CTTTTCATTCTCTTGTTTGAGATCCTTACAGCTACCACTATTCGCACTACTATGAACAGCACTACCATTGCCAACATCGTACCACTTCGCATAAGCCTTAGATGTCCGGTCCCAATACCATTGAAAGTGCTGGCTCTTTTCTGCGTCCTAAGATTAGAGCAAAGAAAAGCGTCCGATGAAAGCGAAGTACATAGCATTCAAGCACGTAGTACAACGAACTGGACCACCATATTCCTCTCATCAAATAATTCCAAGCGTTGTTTCAATTCACTTATGTTTATTGTCACCGAGCAAAAGTCTAATACGATCAAGCTGTCTACTACTAACTATAGGGATTCCAATACTAGAGGGATTTCAATTCATTGCAATGCCAAGCTGACGAAGGGGAAAAAGATTAAGAGCCAAGAAGCCGTAACACTCCCATTTCCTCCACGATTCTTGGTTGTGTGACGTCTTCTTCTTCCATCCAGACCCAGAGTTCTTCGTGTAATTGTCGTTAGACCAGGTGCAGTTCCCAGATTCCGACCCAGAGTTCTTCGTGTAATTGTCGTTAGACCAGGTGCAGTTCCCAGATTCCGACCAAGAATTCCAAGATTTATCGTAGTCGGCAGAGGCGCAACTGCTCTTGGATCTTGGCTTTGATCTCGCCTTTAGTAATGTTCGTGTACGTGGTTCCCATCCTTTTCCTTTTTGAGAAGTGTCTTCATTAGGAATGTCTTCATTAGAAGTGTATGCTGATAAAGGAAAAAAGGCTGCTTCTTCGTACAACCATCTCACAGCACGACAAGGCACGCGATCCAATGATGGCACCAATGGTCCATCAACGAAGCTAGGAAAGGTAATTATGTCCATGTGGTAAGTTTACTTGATATAAAATCTTCAAGCGTAACGTTTGCGGGCGTCTCCAAGGTGGTTCCCTTTACGGCATTAGAAGTGTCCTTCGCTTTTTTGTCGTGTGGAATTGGCATGCTCTTCTTCTCTACATCCGAACAAGAAGCTGGCACGGAAGGGGGGACAGCAGGAACAGCTGCAGAACCAGTAGTATCAGAAGATGATGAGCCAGGTCCACCAACGAGGACCAGAGCAGCTGCGGTACTCATACCAGTAGAGTCAGGGTCAGGGTCGCGCACTTTGTTCTGGTTGTAGCTTCCCAGCGCAGCGGCGGTACTCTGAGACCGTGCTCTGCCTTGAAGACGGGGCGCACTCTTCTTTGCTACAGTTAGAGCTTCCTCCAGTTCATCAGTGTAGGGATCCCGCAAGAATATGCCTCACTATCTCCCTTGTCTTGGCGGGGTGCACACTGGTGTTGGAGAATCTCTATAGAGATAGATTATAGAGGATCTTCCCGGAGTTCGATTAAAGGAAGCCTTAAGACAAAGGCGTGAACTGGAGGATCTTCCTGGAGTTCGAGTGCTACTTTCATGGCTCTCCTGGCTCTCCTGGCGCTTTCTGGCTCTTGCTGCAAGTCCTTGACAAACGAAACTACATCAGAAAACGCTGTGCGCTGTCGCTCGTATTGCTCGTTGTTATAGAGGACATACTCTAGACGGTTCACACGGGTACCCCGCACCGGATGAAACCACTGTGGCTCCAAGCAAGCAACGCTCACTTGTCGACCGGCAGATGAATTAGAAAGATTAGAAGGGTAAGAGGAGAAGCCGCTTGCCGACGTTGCGTAGTTTCCACAATATTTATTAAAGAGCGAGATATTATAGACCAGAATGAGGATCTGAACTTCTACTTATTATCTATTTAGTTGTATTGTCTCTACCATACCTAAGCTAATGTCCCATGGGAGGCCCCAATACCTAAGATAATATGACGAGCATTTTTGTGATTTCAACGGGCAAAACGTGCTACAAGATGGCGCGCCTCTTAGCTTTTGGCGGTGCCTCAGGGGAAACAACGTCGACCCGACCATGTGACTTGCGCATGTGTAGCTGCCACGCTTCGCCGCTTAGGAAATCGTCTGGGCTCTCGGGGTTTGCCAGCCTCTGCCAATCATTTACCTGCCATGTTAGAAAAATTTCTGCTTACTCTCTCTATCATGTTACAGCTACACCACCCTACATAGCGAATATGGCACCAACTCTGCATCGTGGAGTTAGGCGAAAAGTAGATGTTTCACGACCTCCTTCTAGGACACATCCTCCTGTGTGAAATGGCAGGCAACACGATGAATCCAGTCTACTGAACTTCATATCCTGATCACTGAACTTCATATGCTGATCACCACAGACGAGTCACAAAACGACAGAGAAGAAGAACAAATAGAAATGCCGGATAAAAACTAAGAATAAACTGGCTCAAACAATCAACATGAAAATCATATTGAAGCCACGGCCTTAAATCTATCATCGAAGTCGAGGAAAACGTGGTGCCACTAAAGAGCCAAACGTAGACCAAGCGAAAGACTTGCGTTCTTGAATCCTGCGGGTTATTCGCATTTAGTGGATAACTAAATAACGGGTCCACAGACTCGATGTCCTTCGACGCGGCAGGGCGGAAGGGCTTTTCCGTTTCGTTCCGAATGCTATGAAGCGAAAATCTGTTATCATTATCAAGTTTCTGAAGAAGAAAAGCATGATAATGATAACAGATTTTCTTTTCATAAATGCGGACGACGTGGTATAGATCGCCCAAAGACGCGAGCAGACTGTCAGACACCAGGTATTAGAACGAGTGCGAGGCTGTCACCATTGATCATTCTCTTGTTGAAGACCACACTAATAGATATTTACATAGACGAGTGTCATCAACTTGTGAGGACTAAAACTGGAGTAATCGCTTGATGACATTCTTGCAGGCGAGGATAACTAGATCTGTAGTCGTTTGATGACAAAATTCATCTAATAGAGACTAAAAAAATGTGAATGCGCTAGTACTGAACCCTCACTAGAACCGAGAATTTGTCGGACGCTACTTCTCCAAATGTCTAAATAAGTGGTCTATAGTGCTTTGTTAAAAGCGACGCGCAGGAGTGACCTCAAAGCCCGTGAGAGGGCCATCCCTCCATGCGATTGCGAGGTTATTGAAATGACGTTAGGAACGAATTAGCCATAGAAAACGCGCCAGCCTCTAGCCAAACGCTTATCCTCGCGTGCCTTGGCTAACGCTTCGGCCAGGCCAATTTGCACAGCGAGGGCTTCCGTGCTGGACTGCAGTGCATATCGCAAGTCGATGGTGTCCTTCGTTAGAAAAATAGAAGAAGTCCTTGAAAGACGAAGACTACTGTCCAATCCTTAGTCAATTATGAATACGGAGACTGCTCATCTACTACTGTCCAATCCTTAGTCAACTAAGAATACGATTTGGTCTGAGACTTTACTTGTATGGATATGATTGTGTTACAAACCTCCACCGAGGTCCAAGAATGTAGTCTATATCAAGTAGAAGTAGCACGGTGACCTTATGACTATGAGTTCATGCTCCTGCTTACTGAGAGGACGTCAAACAGTAATAGCTGCTAGGCGTGAGTTACTCCCATAATCTGACCAGAAACGAGTCCGATGGCTTGTCGACGATACGATAGTCCCCGATACCTCTATCGTCCATTCGCACCCAGAGTGCAAAGTAGTCTTCTGCATGCGGAATGCCTTTAAAAAGCTTCGTGATGGCGCTGTTTGTCTTCTCACGGATCTCGCGGCTATGAATTAGAGACATGATTTTGAGAATTCATGAAGGTGGATTCCTATTGAAGTTGTACTTTCTATGATGTCAGATGAAATATAATCTCCTTAATAGCTGCCTGTCCTCTGCCAAGATCTCGTCACCTCCTACTTCCACCAAAGTTCTACTACTTCCACCCAAGGACTGCTGGATCTCGTCCATTATCTGCAGAAACGCGCTCGCCTTTTGACGGTGTTCCTTTAGGGGAAGCTTTCCTCCTGAGCAAGACGACGTGGTCTTCATCTTTGTTGAGGATGTTGCACTTTCCGCCTTCGAGCTGTGATCTGCCATTTTTCTCGTGGTCTTCATCTTTGAGGATGTTGCACTTTCCGCCTTCGAGCTGTGATCTGCCATTTTTCTGACAATCACAATAAGGTAGTTAAGGCTGATCGTGATGTTGTAGTCGTAATCATTTCAAATTATGGATTTTTAAAATACTGGTAAAGTATAAGTAGTCACCTCTTTCGATCAATTTGCATACATTCACACAACTTCATGTACTTTTCAGAGGACAGAAAATATGACAATTGATGTTTTGTGGGGATACTTACTTCTAACTCCGAGTAGGGGCGCAATATGTAATTCTAATTAAGTACATTGGGAGCGTTGAATAGAAGAGGGGGATTATTTTTTCCTTTAGACTTTTCTCCCTAGTCAACTTCACAAAGAAAAGATCGCTTATTATATTCTGAGTTATAAGAAAGGTTACTCTTTCCTCTGTGATGTCATTATTTATTGCGAGGAAGATAATGGAAAGATGAAAAGTCGCTGAGCGATGAGAGAGAGCAGTATCGATTGATTCACAGAGTACTTGGTCTCACTGAAAACAAAGACGACCATCCTGCAGCGGAAAGGTCGCCATCGTCATCATCATCCAAATGAGCTTGCCAATTATCATCATCGTCAGCGCATCATCATCCTAATAAATGAACGAAAAGACACCAGACAGATGATTTGGCAATCATCTTTGGGCTCTATGAGTTAGACTTAGATATTTCACGAGGGAATTGAAGACGACATTAATTTGCTCCTGCCTTCATCCTCGTGAGCGTCGCAGTGAGGCCAAATCTTAACCGATGTTTCTGCCGACAGATGGCCACATTCGGCTTTGACTTTTGACGCGGAGTATGTCGTGCTCGTGCTCCTTCCTCTTCTTAATTTCAGATGATCAAAGAGACGTAGACCACTACGAGATCATAGTAGAGCTCCTTTAGCAGGATAAGAGGAGTGACACCCACATGTTGTTGGATCTGATTTTAAGACCATTTTTGGGATCAATGCGGGAGGCGTGGCGGCTACAAACCATCGTCGAGTTGCGTATTATCGGTGATGCGTTTTTTAAAGGATCTATATTGCGTTTGATTTACATCACAACATCAGAGCGTGCAATCGAATCACTTTCACGCATGCACGGATTTTAAAAGGTCATGTTCTTGCATACGACAGTGTTCTCCTATGTTGATCATCATGATGACCAGCTATAGCATCGTCCTCGTGTTCAAAATCCAATCTAATCCCCAAGTTTGTTTTGAAATGTGTTTTTGCTGCTTGTCCGAAATCATTATCAAATTCCTTGACACACCCAGAGGTTGCTAAGCGTCCAAGTTGCGTCAGCAGTCCCTCAACCCTGTCCACGACTTTGGGAACTTCGCGTGTAGATCGTGATGAGAGAAAGTCATCTAATATTGTGACTTTTGCGCCATCTGCATTTACAAGACCATGACGAAAACCTGCACTTTTTTGTCTCTCTCGCATTACGTCTTGCTTCAAACGCACACGCAACTCCACTAGACTGTTCAAGACGTCCGAGTGTCGCGACAGAACGCCATACAGCTGAATAAACCGTTTAGGCATGCCTTGGCCATGGAAAAAGGTGAGGAAGGGTAGGTAGGCGAACAACGTTGGGCCGGGAAGCATCATGCTGATGGGCTTTTCTGAGTTGTTTGACGAGTGAGCGTTCGCCTGCTTCTCGTTCTTCGGTGCGTCTGCCTTCTTGGAAGTACTAGAGTTGAGACCAGCCACTGCCTTGCGCAACTTCGACAGTAAAAAGGCCTCTTGCCTCTCCTCTTCGGTCGGGGTAACTTTACCTAGCGGAGTAGCGAAGAGTTGAGTATTACAACTAGATACGAGGTGGAAGCGCAAATGTCTTTGTAACGCCTACGACTTAATCTGGTGGAGGTTATTTTTTAATTATGCACATGATCATTTTTGTGGTCATGATCATAATTTCGTACTGATTAAATATCAAGTCTTACTCTTCCTGCCGGCAGCCCCAAGGAGCAACACATCTCGCGCACGCTCCACGTCTTCGAGCTCACGCATGTGAGAGCCTAGAATGCCAGATATCAGTTCGTTGGGCGACTGTTGCCACCTTAGCAACAATTCTAATCCATCCTCCGTTTGTCCAGTGCCAAGATGAAATTCCAGAACAGCGTTTAAAAGCGAGGTCAAACCATGCAACTCTGAAGATGCAGAAGAGGAAGAAATCGAGAGTAGTGGTGATTTGCTTGTTGTTGGCTCGTCTCGTAGTTTCCCTCTACCTTCACTTGCTGCAGTGGTGCTTGAAGGCCACAGACTCAGATATAGACGGATTAGCTGCTCCTCATGTGCCGCCTTTACAGCTTCTTTCTTCGCACCATCAGAAGCTTGTGCTTCATCTTGTACACATGGTCCTGAAGAGTCAGCACGTGCACTTTTTGAGATGGAATTCATCAAATTCTCGTCTCCGACCGAGAACAGCGCTTTCTCCAATCCCTCGTAATCTAGAGCGATTGCTTCCGCTGCATTAGCCCACAGGAATCGAAAGGCACGCTCAAGGCACTCTGGCGACGAGCTATCGTCTCCTGGCGACGTTTGAATACTAGTTGTACTATGGTTTTTCCGAACGAAGGTTTTTCGCATCGCACGAATGATAAACGATAATTGATGGGACCAACTCCAAGAAGTTAGTACTCTACTACTCCCGAATTGATCGTCTAGTACATCTTCCTGAAGTTGGACATGCGCTTTCGACACAAGCAAGTGCCACAGGTCTCTAGCTTCCTCTTCTAGTCCGTGATGACTGGCATTTGGTAAGAGCCATCTGGTCAATACTTCCCGCGTCTCATCGAAGTCGCCATCCTTAGCGTTGTTAGCACGTTGATATCTCAGGTATGCTGCAACCAGGTTTTTCAGAGTGGACCTGGTTTGAAAAGATGATCTCTGTCCAGCCGCCGTTCGACCACGTGGCAACGTAGACAACAACAAACCCAGGAAAGATTCTAGAAGGCGTGCGCAATCTGAGTCGGAGCTTATTTTGTTCAAGACATATCGTTCAATTGGAGGCGAAGTAACCCAGTACGCCAGTCTTGAGGCTTCAGGCATCGCGGGTCTTGACGAAGACGAGGACGTGGATGAGAAAGATCGCATATGGGGTTCTTCATCTCCAGGATTTTCAGCGTCTGTTTCAGAATCTTCCTGTTCCCCTTGTTCGCCAGCAGACAACATGGAAGTAATATTTCTGCCTCCACCTCCACCTCCCACAGTTCTGGAATCTTTTATCCCCATCGCACCAATAAAAACTTCCTTTGCTCGCGAAAGAAAAAGGTTCTCACGTTCATCCAGCTCCGCCCGACCTAAACTACCGCCACGACTGGCAGTACTAGCACTTGCACTTCTTTCCCCTGCCAATCTATGAACGAAATGGTCTATCAACAGTGTTGCGCACACTGGGGATATCAAAAAGTCAGTTCGTGTCATCCGCTCATACAAATTCCACATGTCCTCGGTCTTGTATGCTTCTGAGAGGCCAGTGAAATGCGCTTGGTAGAGAATACGCAAATGATCGTCTCTTCGTTCTTGATTCGTTGCTCCTTTGTTAAGCTGGTTATCATCACAAGCTGCAAGTAAGTTTGCCCGTCCCTTCTCAAAGAGTGAATTCGCTGCCGGAATATCGCGGTATGCTGCGAGAGTGTAAACAAGATATGCGAGACTCTGAAGAGACACGCGACCTTCTGCATGATGTAGTTCAAGCGTTACTTCACGAAGAGCGACTTCGTACTCATCGGCGGATCGAATAAAAACATCTACTTGGTCTTGATGGCCATCTGCTGGAGGACTCGCCATTTTTTTGTCAGTCGATCTCCAATTCGCTGGTCTATTCGCATTCACATTTTTCCGAAGACGGAAATTTTCGAGCCAAGTGGTCACGTGGTTGCCTTTTGCGATCGCTTCTTTGGAATACCGTTCTGGGCCAGGCTGCTCACTTCTAGACGAAGAAGTCGGCTGAGAAAGGGCTTCATCGGTTCCAATGCTGCTGGCTCTATTCATACCAAGTAGAAGAGACCCTTTCCCGATATTCGCGCCCAGGTCCATGATGTCTTCTTGTGGGGGTGGGCCACCTATTTCTTCCGCGTCCGTGGCTTCCCATGGATGGCCACCCATATCCACTTTCAAATTCCGAGGCAAAATGGGAGCCAACGAGCGGGGAAAGCCGTTCCGATAAGTGCGCCTTAGCATTTTGATGGTTCATTTCTTTGTTTGGATGTGTGCCGAAGTTTAGACAAAACAAGGGCATTGAGCTGTGAATTACAACTACTTAGATGTCCACTCCAGGACTCCACTCTGTAGCAGGGTTACATTTTGTACAGTTCTAGACTCACGACATTTTTGAAACAGCGATTTTTGAACTAGAGCAAAAACTCGAAACGAAAAACAATGGCGAATACGACCTCAAAGAAAAGCGGGCTTGGGCAATTTGCAATCTTGCTCACAGGATATAGACGATAAGGACGTGGAAACCATATGAGAAAGTAACAGACCACCGAAATACTTAATTGTTCTGAGGAAACCCTTTTTTGTCAGATTTACCGATCCACAGCCAGCTCTAAACGTTGATGTTGAATCGAAAGATTTTTAAATTTGTCGTACACGACGTGTTGGCACGCGACCGAATTTCCAGAATTTCAGTTGAACACTTTTTCCTACGTGGAAGAAGCAGAGTGGAAGAAGCAGAGCGGAAGAAGCAGACGGTTGCAGGTCCATCCGCGCTCCTAAATGATATTCTTTCAAGAAAATAGATGCTAAACATACACGCATTTTGTTTCCGTTGGCATCTTGCTGTACCCAACCCTGTTCACCGCGAATATCTTGAAGCTGTAGCGTGCAGTTTTTTCCAGTCTTAGAAGAGAGACTAGGTGTAGGTTCGAAAAGAGGCCTGGCTTCTATTACATGATCGTGAGCGTCTTTCAAAGAAAGAGAATCATGTATGACTCTTGATTCTTTCTAAAAAATACACCTAAACGAAAGTTGAAACCATAAAGTTGGCGTTATCCTGCACCGAAAAGTATCGCATTTTGCATCGCCATCATACGCACTGATTGAACCCATGTCGACCCATTTTGGATTTTTCGGCAGCACATCTGTCCACCAACTACAATTCGGTACCTTGCACATCCACACGCGAAAAAACAGAAGTGGCGAGCCTCCATCAGATCGGGGACGCGGGAAGCAAAGGTCGATGGGAGGTGTGCTGCCAGTGGTAGCTGTGGCGGATGCGTCCTGAAGGATGTGAAGCAAAGGTTTTTTGAAATTTTTGAAACTGTTCATCACATCATATTATTTTTGTAGGAGAAATTGAAGTTCATGATTCGTCCTCTCACAACATATTCACAAACAGCTGAGTTACAATACCTTACTCCCTACCTCAACGCTGACTGTGTCTGCTTCAACACTATCCGGCTCTGTCGGTGCTGTTCGAACCACAAATGGCTCAGCGTCTAGCATGCCAACTCCACACGCGTTGTTCGCAGTTACGTGAAAGGAATACTCTGTATTTCCCTTTAGCCCGTCAGCGACTAGGTAGCGGCAATTCCTCACGTTGTCTTCGACTAGTTCGTAACTGCTGCGGTCGTTTTTGCTCAATCGGAAGACAGAATAGCTTGTGATGTGTAGGGATGAGGATGAAGAAGAGGTGCTTGGTGTTCCTGTCATGCCAATATTGCCAGTGCTAGTCGTGGTCATCCATTCCAGTTCGATTTCTGTGCGCGCCTGGTACTCTGACCTAATATTTGAAGCATGGATTGCTTCAGGTACAGTATTGCACATCAAATTGCGCAGATAGATGCGTCCGACTATGTCCAAATCGCGACTATAAATCGGATGTCCGTGTTCTTGTAACGTGTAAGCCAAACCCTGCAATGCTGCTCTGAGATCAATCCCTACTCTGCCAACCAAACGTTGTTCAGAGGATGTCAAAGATTCTGACAAAAGCCACACCTCTAGAAGCAGAAATTCGTGTCGTGCTTCCGGTCTTAGCAGTATCAAATCTGGCTCACGAGCAGTTCGATCAGCGTCAAGACTCGAGAATTCCCGTAAAGCAGCAGTACCGTCTTGTTGGGGTCGGATAGAGAAGTAGTCAACATCATCGTCATCTCCTGTGTTGGAAGCGCTCTTTCTCCTGCCTCGCGATTTTCGGTTTGAAGATGCCACAGCTTTCTTATTCTTCTCCGGGTCGTCTCGGTCGACTACACTGGCGAGGACTTTGGAATTAGAGCAGTATTAAGAGAACTTTTTCATCCTTCAACTAGATAGAAGTAACCAAAGTAAGACGAGTAGGAACAGGAAGCTCTTATGATTGAAGTGAATGTCTTAACCCAATTCTCAGTACTTGGTGTACTAGCGTTCATCCGTCTCTGTGTGCGCAAACCCGAACTAGAGGACGAACCGCCAGAGGTCGCTTGACTCGCTTGCTTGAAAGCGATTCGCATAGAAGAGCCTCCTGTTGAGACACAGTTAGTACTGCTAGATCCAGGATGAGACTCTTCCTTCTTTCCTTTTTCGAATGGTTCCGAGATCACCGCACATTTTCCAATGTCCTCTCTGATGGTGATTTCCCTCTCCTTCGCGGGCCAGCGGATTTGCGCCAACGGTTGGTTTGCGGGTAAGGTCCGACCTCGAACGCCGTAGCGACTTGATGAGAAATAGCTTTTCTCGGGGAAGCCAGAGTCTTCTGTGAGGGATAGGTCATTGAAGTAAACCTCTAGCAGATGAGGCCTTGGAGGTAGGTGAAGAGGTGGTGGCTGCTGTGATTGTTGCTGAGCTGCGGTTGTAGAGAAACCCGAGTGAAACATGTTCATGTTTTGGTTGGGTTGATTGAAGCCACTCCCTCCCCCAGTCGACTGCGCATACATATTTGGAGGCGCACCAAACGCACTTGCAGATGAAACAAGATTAGATGAAGCAAGGGGCTGTTCTCCTGGCAGCACAAAACCGCCGCTATTCAATGCATGAAACATGCCTCCTGGTTGAGAAACGGGGCTCGCCATCATGTTGGCCATGGAAGAATTTGTTGGGCCTATTTGCTGTAGGCTCATTTGCTGGGGCTTCATGACTTGTTGTGCAAGCATCTGTTGTGCACCAGACATTTGTTGTGCAGACATTTGCTGTAGACTCATTTGCTGTTGATGTTGTAGTCCTCCATGCTGCAATTGTATTTGCTGATACGACTGCTGACCTTGTTCTGCGACGCCCTGTTGCTGTTGTTGAAGTTGTAACAACTGCATGTTCATCAACTGCTGTTGCTGTTGCGTCCCAGCCTGGGTAATGCTCGCGTCATGCTGTTCCCTCGAAAGTTGTTCCCGCAAGTAACGGACTTGCTGCTCTCGATCCAAGACGTGGTTAGAGTAGGATGGGGCTTAAGCGATATTATGAGTCAGTCCTATACATACATTTGGATAGTTTTCTTGTTAGATGAGAGTTGTATAGAGTTCATCTCAATCTCCTAACATTTCCTCCACCAGGTAAGTTAGCGCTGGCCGACGATAAAGGTGATGCTTCTTGGCTAGTCGAGGTCCACACGCCTGGTTGTGGTTGTTGCTCTGCTTTTGGTTCAACAGCAACAACGAGAAGATCAGGAGAGACAACACTTGCATCTCCAGCATTTGCAGTAGGCTGATGCGACAGACCTGCAGTTACCGCCGTTTGAATGAAGGGTGCTGCTGTTGTAGTTATTGAAGGAACCACCATAATACTTGTACCTCCCGCCACGGCAGCCACACTAGACGAGGACGTGCCTTTCCGACCACTACTTTGGTCCTCCACTCCCGTTGAATACACGACGTTCGCAACGCCGTTGGAAGTGGTTTGCTTGCTACTGGCAGTGCTGGTTACATAAGATCCTGGAGTTCTTAATGTGGTCGATGCACCTGCAACACCTGCTGTAGTTCCGCCTCCTCCAGTGATTAGCGTTGGCATAATCAGCTTGGGTGGTTCTTGCAGCTGCTTTACAAAACCTGTTCTTGAGCCTCCAAACGCCACTCCTCCTGGACCTGCTGCTCGCGTTGCGGGTTGAAACAACTGGATCCGCTTAGCAGGTATCAGCTGCTCATGTGTGGGGTCGAGACTTGAAGCTACAACGCCTGGTGGAACAGGACTACGTTCTATCGTTCGACCTGTTGATAGAACCACAGTCGTGCCTACGGAAGTCACAGCCGTTCCAGAAGACGGTTGAAACTGGGCTCGTCCACTTCCACTGGGTACAGTCGGTACAACACCCAGTGTTTCAGGTGATGCTCCAGCAGTCACAGGAGCTTCGTAAGCCTCGGGAGCGCGACTGCCCTCACGCACTTGAGGCATGCGCCGAGCAGCAGCTTGAGGCATGTCGGTAGAAGAAGCAGTAGAAGTACCACTCATAGTTTTTTTGTTCGTCTTGTTCTCTAATTACTGTTAGTTGTAGTTCAGGAGAGCGAGGAGGTCATTTTGATTGCTTATGTTAACAAAGTAGTTCTACGGATAGCAATAGCAATAGCAAGTTCTCGCATTTATTGCGACGACTACCGAATGACGCGCACGCGGGGCGTCGGAAGATATAACTATAGTAGAAAAAATCCTTTCATGTTCGGGTCCGCTGGCTCTCTGCTCTACTTACATCAAGCTCTACCATCTTCTCTCTGCGCACGCTTCTCTGATTCGTATCGCCTCTAGATCCTCATATCTCGCAGTGGCGATTCCTGTAGTTCAGCAAATCCAAGTACTGACATTACCATGTTGATGGATGCTGTAAACTACAGCCCCAGCGAACTCTGGATTGCTTCTTTTTGCTTGCTCCTGGTGTTGTATTCTTTCTATTGACGGCGATATATTTCACCAGCTCGTATTTCTCGACGTTTTTCCTTGTGCTCAGCTACGATTTTGTGGTACATGTGGAAGGGGAAGCGGTCAATATTGCACCACTGGTTGTTGGGTGCACATCGTACCTTCTATTTAGTACATGCTACCTAGTAGTCGTGGGGGGTACATCCTACGTTATTGTATACATGATGTTACGTAGCAGTAATCGGGGGGGGGAACAAGTGGGGAGTTCGAGTTGTTGCGTTTTTTGATGACATGTTGGTAAATTGCGTACCTCAAAAGCTAAATTCGATTTTTATCTTAGTGGTTTTTCATTGTTGATCATAATAGCGGTTACTTAATAAATGAATTAATGAATTTCGACGGAAAGCTAAGAACTGAAATCAAATGTGTACTGCATTCGTGTGGTTTATTGTAAGCAAAAAAATTTAGACGGTGTAATTCTTGGTCGATCTTCAGAAGATAATAACATAAGAACGCTCTCTCTTCAATAAGTCAGCATTTTTACATTCTGATTCTCTTGACTTGATATCGGATTACTAGATAGACGGCCTCTGTTGTAGATTTTCAGACACTTCTTTTATGTTGGTAAATGGTCAAATTGATACTTAGACAGTTGGAAGCTGATAAGTGAACAGGCCAACGCCTAAACCACTAAGCCAACTGCGCAGTTGGCTTAGTGGACAACGAATGCGAAAACATCGTCGACGTATGAAAATCATTTGCAATTTTGAAGGCATTTTCATCAAAGAAAGACATATTTACGTCCCATGATGGAATCGGAATGCTGATCAAACTGAAGTATAGGAAATACAAGCTCAGATCGATCTCGATGTATGGAGAGAAAATTGGATAGCAGAATGTTGCTAGTGCAAATGCCTTTTTGTAAGAAACGCCATTCAACTACTAGTGCTAGCAATTTAAGTTCTGCTTATGCTCATGCAATACGTGCTGATGCAGTTCATACTATTCATCGATGTTGTCATCTGAGTCACTGACTCTCCTTTACACTTATGAATTTGATAATGCCGATAGAATGACCGCAAGTTAATTTCATCATGCCTTTATCATTTTGTGCAATATTAACAGCAAATATAATCCATGTCGTTGTATACGTGTGAATAACCGGGTGTATTCACGCCGTTTAATCCTGTCCACTACTGCTCTTATGATCGTCCAATGTGATCGTATCGTCTTCCAGAATGCGCTTCTGGATTGGCGACAGAGGCAATGCCGCAGATGTTGTTAAATCCGGTACTGCGCAAGCTTGTTCTGATGGACTTCGATCCCCAGCATCCGGCTCTACTTCGACTTTGCTGCTATCCAACATGAGTGGTCCTTCGTCCCTCGACACAACTTCTTCCACAGCAAAATCGGTTGCACGGTCCACCGTCACCTCAGCTACTACTTCCAAAGACTCTGACTTCGCTCTCGCGGGTCGGATCTGCTCCAAGGTCTCGGTCTGATCCAAGGTGTCTGGGGAACTTAAAACAGCGGTCAAGAGATCGCAAGCCAGTCTATCAGCTAGTTCAGCCTCTACTTCACGCTCATGTTCCACACCTAGTTGTACAGGGGAAGGAACGGAACCGGCCAAATGCTGTTGTATTGCCTCCCCCAATAGGAGGTCGAGCAAGGCAGCTTCTGGTGCACCTTCCTCGCCTTCGTCCATCGTTTCGCCACTACCTGCAGGTAACACCACGTAAGTGTGGCCGTCAGCTGGATCATCGTCGAGGCCAATGCCAAAATGATCACTACCTCCTACGATTGCGCCATCAACGCCAACAGTACCGCTACGTCCGAAGTCAAACAGATTTTCACTAGTAGGACCAAGAGGTTGACCATTTTCATCAAGTCGTTGACCACCTTTCCCCTGATCGCCGCCAACATAGTTATCAAACAAAACAGCACCAGAAAATGCTGCTTCCAGAGCAATATGGACGGCTTTGTCTCCGGCTTCCGCTTCAGAGGATGAGGAAGCAGAAAACGCCTCTGGCCCATCGACACGATCCTGCGCAGAAGGTGACTGCCGTGGATCGGGGTAGGTTCCTGCAGCATTAGTACCATCAGCAACTGCTGCTCGGTCAGCACCACCTGCTGCTCCGTCAGTTGTTCCTGCAGCACCATCTGCGACTGCGTCGCTAGTGCCAGGTCTACTCCTAGCTAGAGCTTCTTGTTGCTCGTCCAATCCTCCACGGCTACCACTAAGTGCAGCACCATCTGCCGCAGTTCCTGCCTTAGCATCATCTGACTGTCCACTGCCTAACGACTCTGAGGATTTCGCTTTTCCCTCTGGTGATCCACGTCCTCTTGAGGGTGACTTCTCTCCCGCCTTCTCTCCCCCTTTACCCTTCCTACTTCCTGGACTGTCCTTAGGAGTACCTGCTTGTGGTCCTTTAGCACCTGCTGAAGGTGAACTACCACCTCGTAGTTGGTCTTGTTTAGGCGTGCCAGAAGAGGATGTGCCTTGACGTTTCTGGCCTGGACTAGTCGTGGGACGACTAGCACCTTCCGCGTCTGGCATGGTTCGCCCGATTGGGACAGGCTCGGAGTCTCCAGTAACACCTCTTGGTTTATTTCCTTTACGGCCTCGCAGAGCACGTCCTGGTGGACCTGCAACTACGCGACCTTTGATTCCTCCTCGGATGCCACCAGTAGCAGGTGCGCTTGGAGTCGGGGCCCCAGGCGTCGCCATCATCGGCTTTGGACCCAATTTGAGTCGTGGGAGCTTCCCTCGACCTCCAACACCATCGAATGCCGTTCGCACGTGCTGGTAACTCCTATTCCAATCCGTTTTGTCTTGCTTTGCGCTATTCGTCTTGTTCCAGCTCCAATCGCCGACTCCTTGTGCATCCTGCTTCTTCGCGTCTTTTCTTGCACCTCCCGCACCAAACAAGTTGTTGTACGGTGGCCCAATGCCCACTAGTTTATTCCGCAAAACTTGTCGGACGTAGGCTGGCGAAACGAGAGTTAGAGCCAGCTTTTATCCATCTCGGTCCCCTCATCTTGACCCCATTGATTCCCAAGGGAAGTAGGGGACCAAGATGCCGAGAATGATGGGAAAAAGCTGACCATAAGAGAGAGCGCAATCTTTGCTCGTCAGCTGTATACTCTACGTCGTTATCGAAGCTCTTCAGCTTGCGCCCGCCGCCCTGCACTGCAGTCGGCGGCTTTGCGGGTAGATCTAGGACACTGTCTGCCATAGTGATCGGCCCGCGTAAACCACTGCCCTCAATTCCCGCAAGCATACCGATCCAACTGGTTAAGCCCTCTCTGTACGTCATATCGGCTTCAGGCGGACTCTTACTGCGGATTGGAGAACTGCCTGTGCTATGGACGCCTGGACTTGTGCTACGACCACGCCCTCGACCGGGAGGACTACGACTACCGCTACTAGTACCTCGCGCAGGCGTTTTCACTGCATGGCCAGGACTGCGGGAGCCGCTGCCCGCTCGATGAACAGCTCCTCCTACCTTTGATGATCCACCTCCAGGAGCTTCGGACGTTATGGAAGACTTTGAACTCCTATGAGTAGAGGAACCGCCCTTAGTGGTACTATGACTCGTCGTCGGTCGACTCATGTCATCGTATCCTGAGCTTGCTGGACCAGCTTGTTGACCGCCTTTTGGCGAGTACAAAATGGTGCTGTCTTCTCCCTCACGAAATCGAGTCTCCTTCTGTCTGGTCTGAGGCCTCGTAGATGCTTGAGTATCCACAGTGCGTACCGTATCCAGACCTTGTTTATGCTCTGGAGACATGGTCACGGTAGAACCAAGACTTGGACTAATGTCGGGTGATTTCATCACACTAGGGGATGCGTGTGCTGCTTTTTGCTTTTTGGTACTAGGAGCTGGACTAGACCCTGAGGACTTTGCTGGTTTGCTGGGGCTGCTGGCTGATGTAGAGTCTTTTTTAAAAGAGTCGGCTTTTTTACTTGGCGACTCCTTGGACGATGACTTCCTTTCCCCCACTGCAGGCTTCTCAGTCTCATTTTTGACTACTTGTTCTGGCGTTTCCGGCTTTGCTGCGTCTTGCGTCGTCTCCTCGGTCGTTGGCTTTGATGAGTCTGGCTCGGCTTTTGCCGGCTCCTTTTTTACCTCCTCGCCCTTTTTAAGAGCACTATCTTCTTCTTTCTTCACGTTTACATCAGCTCCAGGAACAGCAGATGACTCAGTCGCGGCAGCCTCCGCACATGGAGGTTCTGTTGGAGCCGCAACAGCATCTCCTTCTTTCGCAGGCGCGTCTTCGGCTTTTTTAGTTTCTGAGGATGCCTCATCTGAGGGCTTTGTTTCACCACCAGCTTCAGCGCTGGTTGCTACGCCATCCGTAGGAACCGCAGCATCTGGGGCAGTGGCGTCTTTCGCTTCTGCTGCCGGTTCCGCAGTTGCAGCCTCACCCTCAGCTTTCGTTTCACCATCTACAACAGGCTGCTTAGGTTCAGTCTTTTCATCCTTTGGAGCACTGGGCGCCTCTTCTCCTCCAGCACCGTCTGCTTTTACCGTTTCATCAGTAGCAGCTGCTGATGCATCTGCGACAACTTCCGCTGTTTCCCCGGCCGCCTTCTCTGGTGACTCAGCTAGAAGAGACTCTGCTTCTTTCAGTAGAGCGATTTCCTTTGAGAATTCAGCGCCTTCAGCTAAAACTGGAGACTTCGGTTCTTCACCAGCATCGTTTACTTTCTCTTCCGTAGGTGCAACGCCCTCTGCTGGAGGTTGTGCAGAAGCAGCTACACCTTCTACTGTAGGTGGTACTTCCTCCTGCGGTTCTTTCTTCTGAGTTTCCTCCTTGGATACAGCTTCTGCCTCTCCACCCTCCACAGGCTTGCTTTCTGATTCTGCAGCAGCCTGTTCACCTGCAACTGGGTCTCCATCCGCTACCGCAGCACTAGCAGCAGCGACTCCTTCTAGTACTTCTGCTTTCACTTGTTCAGTAGCTGAACCATCGGCAACTACTTCCACCACAGCCAAAGCAGCTGCTTCTTCGACGACAATAGCAGCACCCGAAGCTGACGTAGGAACGATAATAGCGCCAGGATCTACCGCTTCATCTCCTGAGGTCAACATTTTCTCTACGTCTGGCGCAGCTGGTGCACTTTCTTTGGAAGCAGAATCTGCAGCAACAGCATCCACCTCCGCTGCAGCACGCGCTGCTGATATTGTCACACTTTGGACGGCGGACTGAGCAGCGGCAGCAGCGATCGATCGCCTTTTTGATACTTCCCGAGACTTACTCATTAGACGACTGGCAGCAACAGCATGCCATAGACCTTTGACTTTCAGTTTGGATGAGGCACGAGAAGCAGCTGCGTCTGATACTGGTGCATCGACAACTGGTGCTTCTTCTACGACTGGTGCTTCTACGACTGGTGCATCGACAACTGGTGCTTCTTCTACGACCGGCGCATCAGGAGCTGCAGTAGCAGAGTCAGGGGCTGGTACAACGTCCTCTGTTTTTGCTTCTGCTGATGGAGCAGGTTCGCCTTCTTTCTCTACGTCTGCATCCTTCTTCTCCTCTACTGCTACGGCTGCTCCTTTTTGCTCAGGGACAGCGGCGTCTGCATCCTTCTTCTCCTCTACTGCAACTACTGCTTCCCCCGTTGTTGCTCCTTTTTGCTCAGGGACAGCAGCTTCAGCCTGATCTCCTGGAACTACTACCAGCCTGATCTCCTGTTCAGCCTCTCCCACTGCGGCTGCAGCTTGTTGCACAACCAGATCTGTTACGTACTTTTCAATCTCCGTCGCCGGAACAACGCTAGTAGTGTCCGCCACAACCGGAGTGACGTCTTCTTCTACGACAGCATCGGCTTTTTCATCCTTCACCTCCTCGGTCGGAACACCAGCCTGCACCTGTTCTGCGTGTTCAAGGACCGACCCGCGCGGCGATGATGTAGCTGGAGACGATGCTGCCTTGCCCCAGGCTTCACCCGTGACGACGTCCACTTCAATATTGCTGTCAAGGACCATTGCTGGCGCTAGCTTTTCTTTTACCTGATTCTTGAGAGCCTCGAATTGGGCGAGAAGAAAGTCGTCTTCAGTCTGTTCTGCCTGGGCAGGAGGCGTTGGCGAAGCTTGTTCGGCTGATGGTTCAACAGCATCAGAGGGCGAAAGTAGTACCCATTCAGAGTCTTCTGCCAAAGGACCTTGCTGTGGTTGATCAGGAGATGTTGTTGCCTCTTGTTCTCCACTGGGTTTTTGATCCTCTTCAGTGACAGTTGGTTTCTCCTTTGCCTCTAGTGTTTGTTCTATTTCTGCGTCACCCTCGACTACTGGAACAGCTTCCTTTGTTTCCTGTTCAGGGTCAGCTTGCTTAGGAGCACCATCTGCAAGAACAGCAGCATCAGCGTTTTCTGCTGCAGCTGCTGCCACTGTGGCTGAAGCGTCTCCACCTTCCTTTTCGCCGGCATTTAGCTGCTCCCCTTCGGCATCTTTCGTCCCTCCTACGAGTTCCCCTTCCGCAGTGGCTGCTTCTTCTGGCTGTTTACTATCTGCCTCTGCTACCTCGGATGTCGGTTCTCCTGCCTTAGCTGCAGTAAGCGCTATTGAGACATCGACGTCCGTTCGTGCAACTGTCTCCATATCGGTGGCAGGCGCATTTGCGCCCACAGTCGGAGCCTCTCCTTCTGCTTGTCCAGCTGTAGCCTCTTCAGTCACAAGAGCAGCTGATGGGGGGCTACTGGCTTCAACATCTGCTACAACAACAACTACTTCTGAAGTTTCTGCAGAGTTATCTACAACTGGTTGTACTTCTAATGTCCCTTGTTCAGCAGCTTCGGTTACAGCGGCTCCTTCCGCCGGAGGCGATACTGGATCTACTACAACTGCCTCCGCTACTTCAGCCGGTGTGGAAGGTTTTTGCGCCACTTCTTCTTCGACTACAGCAACTTCTCCTTGTGCTACCTCTGCTTCTGGTTTTACTTCGACTTCTTCTGTAGTAACCGGTACTACGGCGGGAGGTGCCGGCTTAATTCCGAGAGCTTGGACACCCTTGGAGAACCTGCGCACTGCGTTGGCCGCGCGATGCCAACTGACTCTTGTGTCTTGCAAGGCTTCCTGCGTCAAACCCTCCTCCACCTCTACACCTGCATCAAGGACTAATTTATCAACCTCCTTCGCGGTCTGATCAACAACGGCAGTCGTGGTTGTTGTTGGCCCTTCAACTACAGCATCAGCAGCAACTTTTTCGGGATCCTCCGAGACTTGATTCTCAGCTGCGGCCACTACATCTTGCGGTTCCTCTCCTACAGCAGGGGTTACTGGCTTTTCTAGTACTGCAGCATCCTGCTGCTCTCCTTCCACAGCAGCCGCAGTAGTCGGATCATCTGTCGTAGTTGCTTGCTCAGCTTGTTGTTCGGTTGCATCCGCGACCACTGCTGCTTGTTCCGATGTCGCAGCAGCATCTCCACCAGCAGCCTCCCGTTCAACAACGACTTGCTTCTCTCCTTCAACCACTTCCTCCTTTTCTCCAAGAGGAACAGCATCATCTACATCTTCTTCTTTCTTCTCGTTCTGCAACGATGCCACCATCAAATTGTAGTCTTCTGGGGCGGCTTCCAAGAAATCTGCATCCGCTTCAAGAATCACCTTGTGAATCTCCTCCGTCGTGGCACCTGGCATCAAAGGTTGTAGCTGTAACTCCAGTTCTGCGAGAGCGACGAGTTGTGCAATGTCTTCTTGGTTACTCAAATTCGTCTGCGCGCGAATCACATCCTCAGCCTCAGCACGACAAGATGTGATGTCCTCTTCTTTTGGAAGAGCAGTAGCTGTGGTATCTTCCCCTGCAGGTACAACTTCTCCATCTCCAGCTCCTACAGGAAGCAATACCTCTGGCGGAATAATGCTTGGATCCAACGGGAAGGCAGCAATACCTGGTGCAATGCCATCACCAGCTTTGTCGTTTCTGTCAATGAAAAAATCCCCACCAACATCGACCCCCATGCCTGATTTCTCCTCTGCTGTTGGCGCCTGTGAAAGAAACTTCGCGATCTCCTCGTACTGTTGCGCCTCTTCGGTAGTCACGTGAGGTCCGACGGAAGGAACACGCGCTGTCTCCATGTTGTCTAATGCGACACGCTCAGCGTCAGCACTCACATGCAGAACACCACCAACTGGAAGGACTGCGGATGAGCCATCCGGGAGATGAACGGCTTCTCCACCAGATAAGCCTGCTGCTTGCTCTGCTTCTGCTAGTTGTTTGGCGCGGGTTTGTTAGAAAAGCAAGGTGGAAAACAAGATGGTTGTTGAAAACAAGAAGTGAGATGAATGAGATGTTCTTACTGGAATCCGCAGGGGTTCTGAGTCACTGTACTATCCAAAGGAGTAGAAAGAGACAATGAAGAAAATGAGAACTCCTGCAAAACCATATCAACATATCAACAACAAACTCACTTTCAGCATCATCTTCTCATAATCTTCTTCTTCTTTCCTCTTCGCTACCGCTTCAGCCTGTGCTTTTTGTTTCAACTGGTTCTTGTAGTCCATCGTAAACATCTTGGGATTGTAGCCAGGGATGAACTCCGCACACACATCGTCCGTAGACCGCAACTTCATCTGCGCCAAAGTGCCCCATTGTCGTGCGTCGCGGACCTGCTTGGGCGCATTGGCTGGGAAGCGCGTTACGGCGAAAGATGCGAAGGGGTTAAACTTCCGCACAATTCCACGATTGCCAGGTTCCTCTATCTCGTCGTTCAAGGCATAGGCTTTTGGTTTTGGATACGGCGTCCTTAGCTCTCGTTCTAATCTGGCATCGTCAAAGTCAATTTCTTTTCTTTCGGGTGCGATAGAACTATAGGGCATCGGAGTCGCAACACTAGGATCGCCGGCGGGGGCGGTCGTTGGGCGGAAAAAGACGTGACGCGCCATGAGCAACTCGTCCATATCGTCTGTGCTGGGTGCGGGATAGTGCTTGAAAGACGGTGGACGGAGAGCTCCTTCGACCTGTGGAGAGATGGTTCCGTAGAAGCAAGTTTCTTTTTTCAGGGAAGATAGAATGTCGTGAATGACAAAGTTTGCTGGACAGGAATTTTTGAAATTGGAGTTGAAGATTTTCATTTTGATATTGGCAATTGGCATACAAAATATACAATGCGGCAAAGCTCGAAGGCATCTGCCCAGGAGCAGGCCTCATCGCCGGCTTAAGATTCGGAGATGGGTGTTGTGGCACCATTGTCTGACAAGAACTATTTCTATCTAAATCATTCATCAACTTAGTTGCCCGCAAGAGCAAGAGCAAGTGCAAGACTTTGCTATATATAATTATTACTTCCTATTGAGAGAATGTGAGACGTAAGCTTCGTTTAGTCTGTCGCATGAACTTCTTATGAAGTTCACAAGTGCCAGTATTTTTGCATGTTGTACTAGTGTGCTCTTGTTCAAAATTTTTGTATCGCAGCTGCTTGGTTTGTGAATCCAACTTTTGACTTGCATCGCCATGCCTGTCGTTTCTGCGAGACTTAACCTTTTCGGAGTTTACGGTAATCTGTCACCTTTTGGGCATTTTTGTGTGTTGGTCAATTCTAAGTTCGGTTGCCCGTTTTCTCTCTCACCCTGACCCTGTATCCCTGTATCTCTCTCTCTCTCTCTGGTCTCCTGCATTCCGCGGTGATAGTTTCTAGCCGTCGCTCGCTCTCTCTCTCTCTCTTCTGCTCCGTACGCCGCCCAATACCCAACAGCTGAGTCCCCTTGGAGTGGCTGCTCCATGAGAGTGACCTTCACCTCGCCACTGATGAAGTTCGAGTCCTCTAGCGCGACTCGTATGTTGTTGCTATGTCCAACCCGCCCATGCATGTTCTTCCTTCCATATCATCCCACTTGCGCTTAGTTCAACGTCAACAGATGAAGGTCTATCTCTCTCATTAGCTTCTAGCTCGTCGGATGGTACTAGAGCGGTCCTGCGATGTTCTGCCCTCAACTGCCCTCCCTGCTCATCTCCGTTTGATTCTCGTGATACTCTACTGGAGGACCCCGCCTTCGGAGGACCTTGTCGTCTTCCACAAGAGGTAGAAGTACTTCCGCTACTAGACGCAGTACAGGGGGACCACCTACCAGTACCACCAGTACTAGAAGAAGATGAACTGCTGCTAAAAGAAGCTGTATCTCTTACCTTAGTCCACATTCCTCCATTCTTATCGTAGATCCGACTTTTTGGTGCTGTAGCATAGCTCGTAGTCGGTCTCATCTGCCCCTCACCCAACACTAAGCTTAGACCTTACTACTTATGACTTAAGAATTCACTTATGATGAACACTAAGCTTAGACCTTAGACTTATGAACACTAAGCTTAGACCTTACTTATGAGGAGCAGCATCTTTGACGCGTTTCCCCCTTAGAAAAGGAGGCAAAGATGCTTCCTAAGATGAATGAAACTCTGTAAGGAGCCTTAAGATAGGCAGTTGTACTGGTGGAGGCACTCCAAACATCTCGTTTTTCTTCTCAAACACCTCCTCTGGCACGAGTTCGATCGGAACTTTTTCCGCTACTGTGTTGATGTCTTTGTAGTCGACATCCCGTTCGTGGCCGTGGACTATGTTAGAGGCTGCGCTATTGCATTCCTCAGAATATCCCTAGTCTCTTTTCCACTGGAAAAAAAAGTCAGGGATGTTTGTTCAGTAGAATGCCATGCCAGTGTGAAACCCTTAACTACATGAGTGTTCAATTGTGCACCCGCGCCGGAGGCGCGCATCCACTGACCGCTCTCTTCGTCGAACCACTCACCCGCGTCACGCTCAACAGTTCTTACGGCTTTATCACGCTCTTCGATGAACCCACCAGGAGCGCGCGTTTTTTCTTCGCCGTGGGGGTTAGAGGGGGAGGAACAAGACAGAGCAGAAGTGAAGGCATTGGGTCTCTTGCTTGAATGTACGATGAACAAAGTGACTCTACGTACTCTAGAGTTGAACGTACTTAATCCACCTCATTTTCATCTAATTGCATCTTTATTACTTAAAGTCATCAACATGCTCATAACCAAATCCGTGTGCAGAATGTCCAACCTCCCCTGTGGCTTGTCCCATCCGTCGGAATGCAACTGTTCCAAAGACATTCTCGTAGTCTCCACAAAACCAGAAACATCAGGGTCGCGGCGAAAAGAACTATGCTGTCGGTCCATGACGTCTCGCAGGGTGTTAAAACAGGAACCCGAAGGAACCATGCCAATGGCGTCGTCTCTGAATTTTGACGGGATGGTGATGGGTGAGAAGTAGAGGTATTCTGGACGGAGGCCTTTCGCACAAATAATGAAAAAGCCGACGAGGAGTTCCCTATTTCCAAATATTTAAGGTAGACTAAGGAAGAGGACCAAAGTACTGCTATTCTTTTTACAGCAAACGAAAAACGGTCTGAGCCTAGAACTCAGAACTTTCTGCTGCAGCTGTTTGCTTGAGTGTAGTGGTCTACATCAGGTAGCCGACTACAAGTCTAAGTCTCCATTGTCAAGTTCATCTATGAGCCAATGAAGTTAGTTGTACACATATTTTTCCGCATCTCCCACTTCTCGCAATGCTTTCTTCGTCTTTACGTGGCTCACAGTGGTCACGTATCTGTGCTTGGGGCCTGCATCGTCGGCTAAGTTCGAGTCCGACGGCAGAATTTCAAAAATGACTTTGATGCTTCCAGGCCTAAAACCGAGGATCTTGATGCGACTGGGGTCGATGTCGCAAGCGCTGGCCAAGGCTCTGCTAAACTTCTGTGACAAAATTGGTTCGGAAAAGGCTTTCACGTCGTCTCAGGATTAGAAGTCTACTATCTACGGCCAAGGGAAGGAGAACTGGGAAGGAGAACTTCGACGATCAGCGCTCAGTTACAAAAATTCTTTGTTCCTCAACCTCACTTCTCTGTGAAAGTTAATGATCATCGGATCAAGCTGAACTAAATCTACTACTGAGCTAACTCTACAACTCTATCAACAAGATCAAGATCACGACCACAAGAACGAACAACCACCAAAGCCGTAAAACGACATATCATGCAGCGTCAATTGCGCTAGGATTTTCTCGTTATTTGTCGCAGACGCTTCGCCACTGGCTAACGCGGCAGAAGATCCAGAAGCTAATCCAGTATGCAGCTTCGCAATCGCATCTTTGGTGCCAGCATCTATTTGAGTCACGTCCTCAGCGACCTTGGCTGCATCGAGGGGTAGGGCGGACTTGAGCGTGTTGAAACCTGCAGTTGTGCGAGATCGAATTCGATGAAAACGAATCGAATTTTTGCTAAATTGTTGCTTAGCTGTCTTCAACAAGAGCTTCTTTAGTTGGAAAGCGAAGGGCTGACTTCTTTTAATGAAACTAAAAACATTCGTTATTATATCCTCAGTACTCCCAACTTGCGTCGCCGTTGCGTCCCTCCTGACTCGCTGATCGTAATTTTGACCTGTTTTTAAAGCCTCCTCTTGCTCCATGGCTACCATAGTGTCTAAAGTCGATCCGTGATCTGCGGGAGCCACGAGTTCGTCAGGGCTAGTGCCCGAAAGCTTCAGATACTTACCTACTGCATCGGTTTTTGCGGCAAAAGACTTGTCTCCGTAAGAGTCCGTAGGGAAGAGCTCGATACCTGAAGAAGTAGAGTGGAAAAATGATAACGAAGAGTGAAGAACGATGAATACCATAAAAAATATTCATAATTATATATAAGTATGTATACTTGGATAGATCTAATAAAGACTCAGTACTGCTAAACCCAGTCGGCAGGTTTATATTCTGGTTTTTCAGGTCCTCTGGTATTTTGTTTACTGAGCCTAAATTCCCCAGGCCACTGGCTGGTCCGTCATCCTTCGTGGTGCCTATGATGAACTCGTATCGTGTATCCGGTATCTCAGTTCGAAAGACGTCTAAGTCTGCGGCAGCTGCCTCCTCACCCTCCAATAGGTCCATCAAATCGTGGACGTAACTTCTGGTGAAGTGGTAGCGAGCAATCGCCTTCTGATCTGTTGATTCCTCCACACCTTCGAATTTGGACAGGCGGACCTCACCAACAAGCCGTTTGATCGCGTCGAGGTAGATCTGGTCGTCATGTTAGTTGCTGTAACTACTAGTAATCATCTCTAATGAATAAATTGGAGAGTGACTGAGCGTCAGAGGTTGTGCGAGTTGTGACTGACTGACTGAAAAATATAGTGATGTTATTTATACATAGACGAGATGACCTAACCAACATCGTCTTATAGTCGGAAAGAGGTACCCGATTCTTCGTCCTCGGACTGCACAATCTTCCAGTATGCGTCAAGACTGAGGGCTTATCGAACCCGAACAGGTTGCCCCAATGCTCGATATTTTGCTTCGCCTCGTCTATTCTTTGAGCGACCTGCTGATCAAAATGTTGCAACACCGACTTCACTTGAGGCGCGCTCAATTTGCCAGTTTCCAAACGGTTAAGTTCGTCGCACTGTGGAGTTGTCGGAGAAGGATCGCAAGTGCTTGAGGTTATGGATTGTATTTGTAGTCGTGCAAAAATGAGTAAGAAGTAGATCATGATCAAGTTCAAGTGTGAATTCATACTACACCAACCATCTCGTCCTTTCTAGTAAATGAAGAACCAGAAAAAAGACACTACTTTAATCGACTCGCTTTCTTCATGTTCATTGAACTTCATTTTTAGAAAAATAACTTTAAAGCCAAAGAGTGTAAGGCATTGATTTAACGATCTTGTTGGGAATGTTGTGAAGCTTTCAGCTCTCTGCTGTTCCTAAGTGTTGTTTTTTTGGAAAAGGCGCGAAAATAGAAGAAGAGCTACTTTAATTATATGATAAGGCTTTTTCTTCATGTTCATTGAACTTCATTTTTAGAAAAATAAAGCATCTATTAGTACAATCGATTCGCTTTCGTCATTGAATTTCGTTTCGTATTTGTTGTACAGCTTCGACACTTCCGCTTCAAACTCGATGACCTGAACATGGTTTTCGCCTAATTCGCTTTTGTACTGTTTCAAGGCATACTCAAACGGCCCTAATACACCGTGAAGAGGCAAGTCCCACCTTGAGACTAGTTCTGACTCCAAAAATTGCTTCCGCTGTCTGATGGCTCTCTGAGATTTGTTGCTAAAATCCATGACATCCACGACAGAACCCGAGAGTTCGAAATCCGCGACCTTCTTGATCTCCTTAATGGCGTAGGAATTGGCGGCGGCTGTTAGAGGGAGAACAACAAGAGGAAGACTTGTAGGGCAGAATTAATTTAAATATTCAATTCATCGAGCGTAAGCGTTGTTTAGTCTATCCAAAAGTGGATGTTGTTGGTTAAGTACCCGTGGCAAATACATATCATGGTGCCTATCCATAGTCATCTTGCACCATAAAAGTCTCAGTTTCTCACTGAATTCTGTTTGTAGTTCTGCAATGCGGTCTGCTAGGATGCCTTCGAATCGGCCTGTGCATTCCTCTAGGTCATAAATCGGCATATCAAACTGCTTGATAACTGTATCTATCGCCCGGCGCATGTACAGGGTCACGCTTTCCTTAGTCGCGTCTCGATGAGCTTCCATAGTCCTGAGAAGGAACTTATGCTCTAGGGTCTCGATAGCATCGACGGAGATTAGCAGAGGAGGAGAAGTGAAACTCTTGTCAGATCCGTGACCCCGAAGGAGAAGATCATTGTTGTATGTAATGATGGATTATTTGGATACTAAGTAAGAGCTTCAAAAAATCGTTAATGATGGATCTTCAAAAAATCGTTAATGGCAGTAGAAAGATGTCAACATGACAAACTATAAATTCTCATTTTGTTCTATCTTGCCAACATAACTTGATCTGATGGCTTTTTTCCTCCATCAATCGTATCGCAGGGTGATCGATATTCAAGCATCTCTCGTATCTCCTCAAGGCATCACCTATGATCGACATTGAAAGATGCTCTTTCTCTGTCAATATCGCTGCTACTGCGAGAGCCTCTTTGCCGAGGTTGACGTATCCGGGCTTCAGCAAACGTCTCGCCAGATATAGACCGAGTGTCATCTGAGGCCCAAGGGGCGCCATTTCCCTGTAGAGGTCGTACGCATCAGCACCTTGTCGTGGTTGGAAATTCGTTTTGATTTATTTTTTCTTCGTTTTCGTGAAGTTCTTCTAGTACAACTGGTGGTACTCATTATTCCTTGAAAAGAAAATGAAATTCAAATTCTTCTGTATGAATCTGAAACTTCTTCATACAAAATCAGAATTACACCACGACTGCAATAACAAAAACTAAAACAACGAATTTTTATGGCTGTACCAAACTGTCGCAAGAACTTCTTCACCCGCACTTGTGCCTGAAAGAGCACGACAGTTTTCACAATAGCCGGCGGCTGCACATCTGCTGCTTCGAGGTCTGGCCTCTTCTTGTTCGGGCCATTGAGCTTATCATCAGCGTACTTGTCTGCCTGTGAACCGGCCACCGTCACGGCCACAACTTCCGTGATTTCGTCCATTTTGGTTTTGGCTTTTCCCTTTCAGTTTCACCACATCAAGATCAACTGCTACCCTGCTGCTTTCCTACACACGACAAACTGCCTTCACTAAAAACGGCGTCGTAATTCTTAGAGTGCAGGGCGTGCACCCTTCCTAAAGTTTGGTTTGAGATTGAGAGGGTGTGGGAGAATGAGATCAAGTACAACAAAATGTTTGGGGTCAGCTGGGGAGTTGTAAAGGTAGATTTGAAACACGGTGCAAGTGATGAAACCATCGCGCTTTCGCTCTACCTACGGCGAGTCAATTCATTTTCGACAACATCGAACCGATATAAGCACAGGCAAGGACAACAAAATGTTAAGACGATAATCTGAAGTGAAGTAGACCGACACACCTCTTGCTTCTCTTCAAAGATTTGCTTTTGTACCTGGTACACATAAGCGCCTCAATCTCATCTTCATCTACGAATTGTACGACGATTGCAGGAGAACCGATGTGCGCTGCCTGTGCATTGCGAAAGGCGCCGCACATCTCTTGATAGAGAAGTTGCTTACCTCCTCGGATCGTAAATCTGTCTTCATGTAAATCTTTGTTCATGTCACATCATTCGTCTTCATCAAGCGTTTTATCTCTTCCCAAACCGGATCTCTATACTTAGTCCCACTAGCCTCTTCCTCTAGAAGGGCCTCTTCCTCTAGAGGATGAGTTGTGGATGTAGTTGTTTTGCTCTTGGCATAAGCATAATCCCACAACAATTCTTCCCCAGTCTCTATGTGTCGCGACGCGACGAACCGAACTGCAGAAGCGCACAGTCCCTTTGTATGGTCTGTCAGCACAATCATATTTTCTCGCTCTGGAAAATCCCGGCAGCTGTTCGAGTAGGCGGCTTTGGATTAGAAATTGTTGATGTAACGATGACTGGCATAGCGATCATGAGCAGTATGGCCAGTAAGTCTAAGAAAGATGCTATAAGTAAAATGCTTATGGCACGCTAAGGCTAAATAATGTTTTGAACCGAAGAAGACCAAGATCCTTCAGTTTCGTTGGACAAAAAAATATAACAATAGAGCCAAGTTAATAGTCTTTCAGTGGAAGCAAGTAGCCATAAAAATAAGCCGCATATGGCGTAGCGCCGCCTGTTCCAGCATCTAGATTGTGAAAAGCGTCCAGTTCGAGCATGTAGCGGTAGGCGCGGTCGGATCGATTCACATTTTCGAATGCCATTTTCGCCCAAGGAGAATTTTTTCTCGCATTGTTGATGCGACCAAGCCAACGTGTGTGGGAAGATGAAGATGACGTTGTAGTTGTTGACGTTGTAGTTGTTGACGTCGTGGTCGTATCGTCTGCAGATGGTGAGGTGGGCAAGCAAGGCATCAACGCTCCAGCCGCATTATGACCCCCAAAACCATGCTTCGCAGGATCCTTACATATCAGCACTCCGTGATAGTGCATGACGACGTCTCCCTTCAGAATTTTCCTTTTCGCAAAAACGCCACAGCCATATGCACACACGGTGCCGTGATCTTTCACCTCTACTCCCGCTAGGATTGCTTCTCGAATAACGTTGCGAGCGCAGGTTTCATATATCTCCTGTTGATGCAAAGTACTAGAAGAAGATGTTGAACATGAACAAGTGCTTGTTCCCCTTGCTTTTTCTATCAAGTGATGCCAAGGTTCTGGTTCGAAAACACTTACTCTGTCGCCATGATTTCCTCGATAGTACTCAACACCGACATCACTCCTTGGCACCACCTCATTCCAAGGCAGCACTACTTTCATCTCCTGCGAAGAGGAACTTGAACTGCAACCACCAGCAGATACAAAAGTTCCTCCAGTCCTCGAAGCAGGTACAAAGGTCGGTAAAAACTTTTGCTTTTGTTTTGCTACTTCGATTAGAGGCTCCGGTTCTTTTTTGGTGTTCGTTTATAATCTCGTTCGTTATGGCCGTGGTCCCCCTGAGAGCCATAACAAACGGTAACAAAAGCCTACTTGATAACCTAGTACCCTTCAGCATCCTCCTTCAGCATCCTCGCTCTTATTCTCGTTCGCGTTCGACGTTGCAACTCTTTGAGCCTCTCGGGCTGCTTGAGTGTTTTTCTTCTCTCTTCCTCGTTTTCAAAATAGTCAAGGAAGCTAAAAAAATCTTGTTGCAGTAAGGAGGAACTTCCTAGCCCACTATATTTGCCACGTGGGGTCCAGAGGAGCAACTTCCCTAGTAACCTAGTACCCTTAATTCAACATTCGTGTCCGCATCATTCTCAGACATCAGCATCCTCTTCATCCTCTTCTCCTGGTCCTCTAAAACGTCGTCAACTTTCTCCACTGAAACCTTGACTGCGCCAGTAAGAGGGTCTTCCTTGACGTTGACTCGTGTCCACGCATCGTCTAAATCCGCGTTATCGATTTCAGGTTTGATATCCTCGTGAGTTAGAAGGAGGAATTCAAGGAGAGGTGACTCAATGAGAGTGATATAAATGAAAGGTATAAAACATGTAAAGAGAGAATAAGAAATAAAGGAGAGCAGGTGACAACTCCATGAGACAAGCAGCTCATTTCCAACTACCAACTATGATGTATGTCTCTCCTAAAAAAAGCGGCCTTATATACAAATATTATATCCTGGTAAAGTAGTAGCAGTACTGATTTACATGTAGTTAGTGATAGTGATAGAACAAGCTAGATTGCCGTAATTTCCCAAACGCCTCTCTCGCAGTACTCATCATGTCTATATATCTCTGTTCGAAAGCGGCGAAAAGACCGTCAATCGACGTCTTCCCTGGAGGAGAGGTGGAAGGAGATGACGCCTGTAGTGGTTTTGACGTTGAGGAAGATATCGTACTGGTAGGTTCTCCTGGTTCATGAAGATCTGCTGCAGAAGCGATCTCGCTTTGCGTGCCTTCTTGTTCTGCGACGTTTTCATCGCTTGGGAGGCGCACTGAATTAGAGGCGCAAGAATCGGTCGTCTCTGTCACTGCTCCGCAGGCACCACCACTCTCCGAACAAAAAGAGAGTTGTTCACGACAATCTGGTTCCAGTTGCTGATCTTTTTTGTGTGCGACAAGACCTGACTCGAGGAGATCAGTCACAAGGTGCTCCGTCGGATTCGCGGAGATCGGAGTTGGATCGGGCATTTTGATTTTTCAGTTCTATGATAAAAGCTGCTAATTAGTGGACTCAGATTTAGCGGGTCTCCCACCCCAGCCCTGCACTTCACGCAGGGGTGAGTTACAAGTGAATACATATTTCAAGTCGCACCTCCAACTCAGCAAAGAGACAAAGCGACAAACGTCGTCACGTGGAATCGCGCTCAAGAGATACGGTTAGCCAGGAAACGCCCGGTTCAGTGCTGCGTCTTCGACAAGTTCGCTTCTCCAGAATCATCCGCATGATGCGCTTTTCTAAGCGATCCAACATGATGATCCATTTATTCAGTATGTGTACTTCAGTCGATGTTCTCAAGCAACAGTTGTAGATTCGGTCTTTTCGCTGTTTCACAATTCAGGCAGGTAGATAAGTATGCCAGTCTGTGCACAAAAATATTCATCTGCTTACAAAGATGGTGAAAACAAGTTAGAATAGTTCCCGTGTCATCGTAGAATGAATAAAATGACTGCAGCTAGGTAGGATGATTTCTAGAACGTCGATGAATATATAAAGTGATACAAAGAATAAGAAACTAGTACCAACTCAAGTAGTTGTAGGTAGAAGTAACAGAAAGTAACTCAGGAAATCATGGCTAGTACAACTATTACAAATGGAAATAGTAACAAATGGTAATGGAACCCCTATCAAATATTGAGTAGATGCGCATGATGTTCAATGAAGGTAGATGCACATTGTTCATGATGACGTTGCTGTGGTTGACATATCAAAACCTACGTTCTCCTACTTCGTCTATCTAACTATGTCTATCTTTGCCACTTACACCCTACAAGGAAGAAACACCAACAAATTTAATTATGGGCATAATGTAAGTAGTTTCAGTTTGTGGCTCTGGCTCATCTCCACCTCATCTATTTGCATCATTCAATTAACATTTTACAAATCGAAGATGAAGGGCATCTATGTGTATGTACCTCTTCTACATTTTTATGTAAGCATTCTCCAATAAGCGATGTGGTCAGTTTCTTTCCCATGGGAGCGCTTCACTTGGTGAGATTTCTAAATGCCGTATAACTGGTGGAAGAAGTACTTTGAATAGTACTTCTTATTGTTGCTGTATTATACTTTCTTTGAATAGTACTTTGAATATTAGTACTTTCGATAGTACTGCTATTCGAACAAGTTGATATAATCGTTGTAGTTGAAGCTGTGAGAGAAGTAAAAACGTCGCAGTCAAATGGCCTAGCTCTAGTTGTAAGCATGATAGTAGCAAGTGGAATTTTTGGATGATGAACTTAACAAGCATAGTTTTGAGTGTAGTATTGATACCGAGTTACTTCGTATTCTAGGATTCTAAAACTTCTAAGTATTCTAAATGTAAATTTGTAATGGTTGAACAAGATGAGCGTTAAATCCATAAATGACTGTTATTTGTTGGCAACTAAGATTAAGGTCGATGGATCGAAACAGTGTACAAGGTACTTAAATATTGCAATCGATGCTGTTGCTGAATCGAAACACTGTACAAGGTAGTGATAGTGAATATCGACATCTGTTATTTATGATATCCCTATGGCGCCTCTGAGTTCGCCGATCAGAGAGATGCTGGCTTCTGAGACAACATTTGGAGTTGTAGCTTTCATCTATTGGCTGCTAATACCGAAAAAGTAAAAATCACAAAGAGTACTACATGTTGTAGTGCTCCTCATTAGATTTCAAATCCGCCTAAAGCTAAAACTAAGACCCATGGTCTACTCTACTATTCTATACTTTTTCAACGGAAGTGCTGTCCAAAAATATTGCGTCTCAAGGAGCGGGCACCGCTTGCCGCTTGCCAGGCGACGCGGTCAAATGCTTCTTCAGTTCGTCCCAGGAAGCACCACACACAAATAGGAAGTAGTAAAGTGCCATCAAAGGGAGGTTAGAGATCTCCGAGTTATGAAGAAACATGGGTAGATGTAGATCTTCAAGTACATGTCATTTAGATGTTTTTTTGTTCTGCAGAAATAACTAGAGGATCAACTACTTGTCATTTTTAGACGTTCTTGTACTTGTAGAAGTAAATTCCACCCTGACTTTGTAGCACGCCACTTGTAACTTTACAGCCTTCCGATTGTTCCACTTCCATGTCCTAGACATGAACTAATAGTGAGTACTACTACCAAATCAATCGCTATCGCACTTATATGGCCTTAAAAAGCACAATGAAGCTAGCCATCATGCCCTTCTGCAATCGCGATAGCATCACCACATTGAAGAAGACACCTGCAAGACCAACGACCGGAACCCAAGGTACTTGGAATTTCCTCGATTTTTCAGCCGTGTCTACCCATGAGCTATAGACAAGGATGAAAACTCCGCACAAGTTCGTCAGTATGCACCAAAGGAACCAAGAACAGAGTGTGCCGGAATTGCACCAAGCGAGGCTGAGAAGCACGAAAAGGAAGTGGGCGATGTCGGTTAGAAGAGGTCACTGTCACAGAATCTATGTACTTATCCATCATACTAACCCTTGTAGTCAAGGTCAACCGTTCATGAACATGCGTAAGAAGGGGTTCCTTATTCTAACCCTTGTCAAGGTCAACCGTTCATGATCATGCGTAAGAAGGGGTTCCTTATACTAACCCTTGTAGTCAAGGTCAACCGTTCATGATCATGCGTAAGAAGGGGTTCCTTATTCTAACCCTTGTCAAGGTCAATCGTTCATGATCATGCGTAAGAAGGGGTTCCTTATACTAACCCTTGTAGTCAAGGTCAACCGTTCATGATCATGCGTAAGAAGGGGTTCCTTATTCTAACCCTTGTCAAGGTCAATCGTTCATGATCATGCGGAAGAAAGACGGACCCCTGAGAAGGTAAAGACATATTTTAGTAAACCCAATGACGAAGACGAACCCCTGAGAAGCTTATCTTAATAAAACCAATCCAAAGGAACCAGGAATAAGAAGATGCTCATAATTTCAACAACGAGCTAAGGAGCTGTTGCGCTTCAGAATCTTGGAGGGATCTGGCAGCGCCTGTTTCCTCATCCACATCTTGGACACCACCACAGAGCCATACCGCAGGTCTCTTAGAGCTACTACCACGTTCGTACCTTTCCTGCTCGTCAGATCATCCTGCTTGGCTTCTCATCTCTCTACATGATAAGTATTTAGGTTTACTTGAAAAAAAAGCTGAGGATGATGTTGAGCATGCTCGAGCGGTACGTAGTCTTAAGTTTTGTGACCAAGGTATGGCGCGTATTGGTTGATGCTCTGATCAATGACTCAGCGAACGCTTTGCTCTTATTTTCTTCTGTTGCTCCTCTGCTTTTGCTAGTACGTGTTCTGGCGCTGTCCGTTTGATCTTGCTGAGTAGTAGTATTCGTAGTACTGTTGTCGGGGTCACCATCCTGATCTTTGTCCTTGACAACACCACCCTCGTTAGATGGTACCGCATTACTACTACTCGATGATGATGATGCTTCTTCTACTCCTTGTTCTTTTCTGTTGCTAGAGTTATTAGTCTTGCCAGCACTGCTTTTTTCGCCCTTACGCATTTTTCCATCCTTCTCTACACCTACTAAGGACTCGAGAAAGCCCTGGGTCCCGAATCCGATGGAAGTTAGAATGAGATGTTGTAGAAGTCTTCGATTTGGAGGATGAAAAAGTGTAGGATGCTCCTCATTCCCTTTTTGTTATTTGAAACAGAATGGGAAGAAGAAAAAATTGAATGGAATGGAATAGATTCGCATGCGAAATGTGTAGAGGGTGAATGAGAATGCGAAAGTGAATTGAAAGACCCGGAGCACACTACAAAGGATGACCAAACCATCTTAAACGAACAACTGCGCTGTCCTCCAAATCTGAGATGAGATGTTGTAGTCTTCGATTTGGACGAGGCTCAAGACACATCCCTTTGTACAACAGTATCTGTATTTTTTTACTTAACATAACTTCATGAAGTCCGGATGCGCTCTGGTGTTCAGCACTGCCATGCAGACCATGACGAAGGCGATAATGGTGTTCACGGACATGATCTCCGCTAGGGCATTGTAGGGATACAGCGTCAAAATCGATGTGATCAGAGCGATGACTATTATAGCGATCGTCGGTGTCTGCGTTCGCTCATTAATGGAAGCAATGAAGCCGGGAAAGATGCCATCCCTAGCCATGCGGAAGATCATGCGAGAACTAGATAAGTTAGAGCTCACTCCCTCATGATCCGTCTCGAAGTCGATCCTGGGGCCGTTTTCTCCTTGAGAACGTCGCTAGCTAGGATGCTTCTGAAGACGGATCATTAGGGACAGCCCTAAATAGGAGAGCATTCAAAGCCAACGGGAAGATGCCGATACAAGCGCCAGTACTGATCAAATGGCTAAGCGCCTCACTGTCTTGCCGAACGATTGCCGTGATCGGCGTTGGGTCCTTCAGCTGCTTCAGGCTCTTCTCAATGCTCTTCGCGTTTCTACCTGTCGCGTTTCTACCTGTGTACAGTGCATCTACTATGGACATCGACGGACCACCCTGGTCTAGACTCGCTGCTTCGCCATTGTGGTTAATATTAGGACTAAGCAAAAATTGTCCACCCTCAGCAGCATCTTGGGCCGCGTTCTCCCTCTAAAAACGGCCCCAAGATGCCTGTGAAGATGGATTTCTATTTCTTGTAGACTTAACAATAGAAAGCTGCGTCGTTGGTCCTGTTGTATCCACAGATGACAATTGCATGCTCCGCGTCTTGCTGCGTCTCCTAAAATGGTCAGCTGATTGAGGTGCTGGTGAAGGTTCCTCTAGTACTGAAGGGGAATATATTGAAGACACGGAAGAGGATGAAAACGATGAGGATGAAAACGATGAGGATGCTGATGGAGTAGAAGATGACCCGACTAAAGATTGAGTGATAGCAGCACCCACAGAAGCCGCAAGTGCTTTAAAGTCCCAAGAACTAGTACTAGAAGGTCCTTCGCTGCTCGTAGAAGTCTGGCTTCCGTAGTTAGCACTGCTGCTTGTTCCAGCAACATCCTGTTCTATCACCGAAGACGAAGATGTTCTTGATTGTGCACTATTATCTGCTGTAGGTAAAAAGTCTTCACTCGCTGCATTCCCGTCACCAGGTCGTTGTGGTCGTGGACCAAAGCCTACATTATAGTCAGGTTGCTTCACATCCGGCTCAAAGGGTTTGATCGACTTGAGTGGCGGAAACAGAGGATCTTGCTCTGTTGCTGGTGCTGATGGAAACTGTGGCTCTTTGACTGGTGCAAGCAGAAAGGCATGCTTGCTAGGAGAGTAGACGGGGCCAGCGGCGGCACCTACAGGTGCTGAATCGTGATAGAAGTTCTTGGGTTTCAGTCGTGGCTTTTTTCTTCCCCTACTCACTTTGAACGCCCCTGGCGTCTTGCTCTGAGGGGTCACGATTCTGTTGCCATCTGAAAAAAATGGTAACCACTTACTACTCCTAGCACTCCTGACTGTAGAAGATTTTGATTTTTCCTGCACAAAACTAGTCGTACTAAAATTAGAGCTAACTTATAAATATTCATCTTGAAAAGCATCTTTGGCGCGTTTTCCCCTTGAGAAACGGGCCAGAGATACTTCTTAAGATGAATTACTGTAAGCCTTAATAAAATCCTTTCTTCTATTTCTAGCATGGCGAATTCTCTGAAAGGCTGCGCGACGATAGGACGATGCAGCGCTGCTCGCCAGCGAAAGAAACAAAAGCGGATTTGCGCTCTGACTGACTCCACTGAGACTAGTTGTACTTGAGCTCAAACTATTGGCGTTTCCTCCTAAGCCTAGACCAGCACTAGTGCTGGACCTAAGGCTATTGGACCTTACTGCCAGTGATTCAAGCACCTTCGAATTCCGCCCCTCACTTTCAGAGTCTCTATCTACACCCAAAAGAAACAAGCTGGAGGCACTGGCTGTCGTAGAGGTACTCGCCACTGAACTAACCGCTGTCACAGGCGCAGCTGTAGTGCCAACAAGAGCAGTGGTTGCGTTAGGTGCAGCACTAGAGGCCGAAGAATTTGAACTAGCATCTGTTGCCGCATTGGTCGTTGTGCTTGTGTTACTTGTAGTATTCGAAGATGACGTCCCATTAAATATTGGCGATAGAGTTGTCGAATTTGCTGTCCCATTGGGCGAATTTGTACTATTTGTACTATTGGTCCCATTGCCTGCAATAGACATCGACCTGCTAGAAGAAGACCCACTCGCGACTCCTCCTAGAGGAATACCCGGATTCACGTTTTTGGCGCTCGTACTTCCGCTAGAAGATGTCGCGCTTGTCGTATTGGTATCTTAGAGCAGCAGGTGGAAGTGTTCGAAAACAAGAGCTAGACCTATCTTTGAAAACATCACTTCATCCTGTCGTCAAACACATGATACCCCTGATTGAATCTTCGTCGTGATCAATTCATAACATATATACCATTGTTGACTGGATGAAACAAATGCCTTCCCAAGAAGAACATCAAACGCCTCTTCCATAACCAGAGTTCGTCACCACGCCCATTTGTGAATCGAAGCTTTTCGCGTGAATCATGCTCAATATGCATAGTGCTACGGAGAAATAGACGGCGAAACTGCCAGCGACTGTCAGAAGCATCGCTATTGGTAACTGCCTCACTGGGTCTCCAGCTGTTTCCTCGTTCAGCTGTCCCAAAGACTCGAAGCCAACATAAGCAAACATCAAAATGCCAGCACCTTCTAGCACACCTCCGAATCCGTGGGGCATGAAATAGCGCGCAGGTTCCGACAGCCAAGCAAGATTAGAAAGACAAAGATTGTGGTCATTTATTTTGATAAGAAGAAGAACCTGAGACTGAGACACCTCCCTAATCCATAGACTGCGTCGTGTCTTCATAATGCACTACGTTCTTCTCATGATCGTGAGATCGTTCTACCTTTTTGTTTTTTCGGTATAGTCTAATCTTAATCTACTAAAACGAAATCTAGCACCTCCACCATATTATTACGATTATCTAGCATACGCTCATTCAACCAAAGCCATAATCTTTGCAAATTTCTCCGGTAAAGACAGCAAGCCCTGTTCATAGGCTGTCCCAACGTAGGACATGATGGCAGCAAAGATAACGAATAGCCCCAACGCGCCAAATTTGCATAAGGCACCTGCGTGATTGGCGCCTGCATTAGAAGAGCTCAGCATAGTTCCTTCATCCCTGAGTAGCGCGGTGCATCGCGGGAATCCCTGAAGTATCTAATAAAGGCAATAATTTTGATTTGATTTTGAAGTCTTAACCTTACTGAAATCGATCCCTAGAGAAACGGTTGAGGTCACCACAAACCAAAACACCAACGCCAAGGGGTCGATTGCTGCGTTATCGAATAGGTGCCTGAGGAGGTTCCAGGCTCCTGCTAACGACCCAGGAGAAGCTTCTATTGAGATTAGAAGACTTTATTCCGATTTTTGAGGTTAGGGCCCAGGAGAAGCTTCTATTGAGATTAGAAGACTTTATTCCGATTTTTGAGGTTAGGACCCAGGAGAAGCTTCTATTGAGATTAGAAGACTTTATTCCGATTTTTGAGGTTAGGGAGCGGGAGAGTATTCAGATTAGAGGACTTTGAGGTTAAGGGCACTTAAATAAGGAGAGAGTGAGAGAGTAAATAATTTGTATTTGAATTCACAAGATGCACCTACTTGATTTTTACGGTTCGTCCCGACGGACTAGGACGTATTCAACAGTAACAAGATCTTTCTTGTTCAACCTACTTTCTGTTTCCGTACTCTCTCGTAACATTGATGCATTTGGCAAATCTTGATGACCCGATATAGCCCTGCTCCCCTCAAACAGGTTTGTCGCTAAGAGAGAATGCGAATGCGCTCCGTGGTGATGTCCTCTACGAAGATGAAGGTCATGCAACAGATGCCCATGCTGATCATGTACACCGCCGCCGTCGAAAATTGTATTTTCTATTGGAGAAGCGTGACCCATCATGTGTTGCTCGAAAAACGGACCATCATTGCTATCCCCTTCAAAAGAGGCTCCACCTGGGTTGTAGATCAGGTTGGCTAGTGTTCTCGTCATCTTCGAAGCTGCATGATGTAGATGAGGAGCTCCAGGAAGCTGTAGTAAGCTACTATTCTCTACTAATGCCTGAGACTGTTGTCCATTCAACAATGCAACAGATTTGATGGTTGTAGCTATTCCGTCTGCTACTACTGGAGCTATTGCTGGCGCTACAACTGGTGCTACTGGAGCAGGTTGAGGCACGAGTTGGGGAACCGCAGCACTAGGATGAACTACTGGTACTGCATGATCTGAAGCAGCATGATGATTCTGGGCAGCACTAGGATGAACTACTGGTACTGCATGATCTGAAGCAGCATGATGATTCTCGTAGTAGTAGTCCTTGTGAGCATGATGGTGAGTGTGAGAAAATCCTAGTCCTCGCCACATAAGCAAAACATCGTCTACACTTTTTTCCTCTAACCTTTGCACAAACGTGATTCCCACAATTGGCAATAGCGCCGACCGCAGATAATTGGCGAATCCCTTGGCAGCCACAGCGAAACCCACAGTCTGTTCCATCATCAAGGCCGAAGCAATCAAATGGCCAAGTTAGAACTACCAGATGAAATCCATTTTCAATATTCCTGCTAAAAATGAACAGCGTCTAAAGCTGTTACCTTTAGACGTCTATCAAAGTTGTGCATCTTACCTTAGTGCCCGTTACCGCCCGTTACCGTTTTCCCCAAGAAAACTAACGGATCGAAGATCGATGCTGTCACTATTAAGATGAACTAGAATTTCTTGAAGCCTTAACCAAGGAATGGACCGTATTCCATCCTCACGAAGCCGTAGGCCATGCCGATTTCCTTTCCGGCAAAAGCGGCGGCTTCGGCGTAGCACAGTGCTGACATGCATGTCGCAATTCCAGTGATGATAAAGGAAAGCAGCACTGCGGGACCGGCCGCGGGATTAGAGCTTCCGCTATGCCTTTGTGTGGACAGAACAAAAGATGCAATGCTGCAACTCCTTGTTCCTGTTGGACTATCAACTAAGTCATGACGTTTAGCAGTATTTGTTTCTGACATCTATCTTCTAGAGATTCATTGTGCCAAAGCCTTAACCAATGTCGCAGGCCCTGCAAGAAGAAAGATCCCACTACCGATGGTACATCCTAACCCAAATAGGACCAGATCCCCGAGTCCAAGCGTCCGCCTCAAATGCGCTGGCTTTTTGTTGGCGAGACGCCAGGCCCTCCGTCTCTCCCGCTCACTGACTAACGGCCTAGCCAGCTCGCGGATTGCTGGGAGAGCCATTGTTTTGAAGAAATGAGTTTATATCTGTGAGAAAATTTTCAACATATTCATCTGGGGAGTGTATTAGTATTTGTATCGATGTCCATCGATACAACAAAGTAGCCAAAACTTCAGATTTTATAATGCATTTGTGGGGAAAGTTGTGTTTTCATAAGGGCCACAAAGAAGTCGACGAAGATCTTTGCTAATGTTGCTAAGCACCTTTTTGTATGAAGTCGGGATTCGTTTTTGTTCCTTCTTTGTGAGGAGATTAGCGTTAGAGCCAATTTGCCTTCTTCCAATTCTCATAAGCCAAACTTCCATTCTCATAAGTTGGCTCAGCCAAACTTCCATTCTTTTATATATTAGCGGCAGGTACCCACAATGTTCCCGTTTTTCTATCACCCTCTCCTTTAACCCCGCGACAAACCGATCCGAGCCCGATAATCCCTGTCAGAAACCCAAAAATGAGCGTCAGCGTGAAAATAACTACACCGAAGATTTGGATTTCTGTCGATGTACTGCCAATGAGGATTTTCTTTCCCTAGTTTTGTTGGAGGCATCCCATGTCAACATCCATTGTCATTGATTTAGCATTGGAAGCGACAGCGGCAAAGGTTCGTTGGATGTGATCAGAATCAGATAAACAATTTAATGGAAAAACAACTCAATGTCAGAGCGTAGAAACTCGTTAATAAAAACTACCTTATAGATTTCAAATGTTATCCGTGAATTACAATCAGTGAAGAAATTGCCAAAAACGAAAGCACCGTCTTAAGCACCATTAACGCTGTGCGAGTACAACTGCTCATGTCTTTTCTCTATTGGGTACTTAAATCTTGTAATGCAAGTTCACCTGCTCATCGCCAACTAGACTTCTTTATCGCTGCCAGTCTTTGGGAGGTCTCCTCATCTGGCTCTTTCCCTTGGCTCCTCAGCTTATCCTCCGCTTTAGCCAGTGCGCTCTCCAGGCGCAGCAAAACGGAGACTTGTGGCTTCGCGTCGGCTGTATTTTTGGCGAGACCAGTTGTAGAAGATGATGAAGAACAGGCATCTCCCCCATCAGCCGAAGAGCAGGACGATGTGCTGTTTCTAGCTGCACCAGCAGAGCGGGATGGACCTCCTTCTTGATGACTTCCTCGAGAGGAGCCGAGGACTCCTTTCTTTCGTGATGAAGAAGCAGCACTACTACTACCTGAACCTGCAGCGCTCGTGCTACGTGACGCGCTTGTGCTGCGAGGTTGAACACTCCTCGATCTATTCCTAGGCAGCTGCCCTTTATCCCGCAAGCGATGCGGTGGGGCTACAAACAAGGTTGATGCTCTAGAAGCTGTGAAGTTCCCAGTTCCTCCTGGTGTTGAGACCAGAGGAGTTTTTGGTGTACCTATAGTGGAGGAACAGGCAGATCCGCTTGCAGATCCAGACCTACTAGCAGAGGAACAAGAAGAAGATGAGGATAACCTTGTTGTGCTGTTGTTCACTGCTTTGGCACGAGTTAAATCAAGCTTCTTCGGCAACGTGAAGACATTCTCTTGAAATACTTTTCCTCCTTTGTTCTCGGTCACCAGGCTGTCCCTATTACAACTCGAACGCGTAAGTAGTATTTCCTGTTCCGAGCAAGAATTACTTGATGCCGAAGTTGTACTTACGGCGCTAGTTTTGAAGTGTTGTTTCTCTGCTAGTACGCGAGTCATTGAAGACGTATCAACATGACTGCTCGCTGCCCGCGGCCTAGCAGTGCTGGTATTAACCGTTGCTGTCAATCCACTCAGAGTACTATGCCTTGTCCCACTTGAACCAGTTGCAGGGGGTCCAGAAGTACGCCTGACAACGACCCCTGACGTTGCAGCCGCTATTGGAGAGCCGACTTGACTTTGAGGTCGCGACCTCGTAGACGTAGCTGCTAGCTTCACTCTGGAAGATGCGGAAAACGTAGGTCCACCCGATATACCGAAAGCAGGTCGTAGCTTTTGGAACTGGTGGCGAAAGTCGAATGGATAAAGAGGGTCAACCAGTTTGGTGACGTGCAGGTGCATCCGTATTTTCAACTATTCGAAAAACTGAAATAAGCGAGTAACTAGGGAAAATAAGGGAGATACTGCAAGAAGGGGAATGTAGTCAAGACTCTCTTATTGCAGTCAGTAACTCGCTTATTTTGAGTTCTTGTACTTCGTTTAAACAACTGAGTGAAAAATAAATGACCTCCCAGAAAGTACAGTAGCAGATAAAGTTAAAGAGCAAGCAAAGAAATACGATTTCTTTCTCCATATTCCGAATCCCATCTGATGTCATCCTTCGTTCAGGCAGATCAAAATTTTCGCGATCTCGATAGCCCCTCTCCGCCCGTATCGTCGTCAGCATTTCCTTCGCCTGCGCATTGCATGCTTGCAGCTTTTCTTTCGGGAATTAGAGTTTCATACATCTTCTGAGTCTAGAGCTAATACTAAAAAGGCAAGAGTCCTCATAAAGTTCTCTTCCTCGTCGTTCCAGTGCTTCCCATTCTCGCACGCTTTTCCACATCTCCTCCTCCTCTTCTCGCTTGGCTTTGCCCAAGTCTGATATGCTCTTCTCATTTTTCCGACATCGGCTCGGAGTAGTCAGAAGGTCCCGATGAAGTTGCCGGAGTAAGCGATCGAAATGCTTGGCCTGTGTTAGGAGGTTGATTATACGTGATATCAATCCTCGAGCTGCACACGACATAAAAATCTTGTAGTAAGACCACTAAGATGTAGTTAGAACTTGGACTTGCGCATTCTCATAAAGGAAGTACCTTCTTCGCCGCCTCCGCACGCTTCTCTTCCGCTTTAGCCCCTAGACGCTCCACCTCTGCCATTTCGCTGTTCAGAAACTTCCTTGTCTTTGCATTGTAAGTCAGCCTGTCGTTCAAGGTTCTAAAAGGTCGTAGTCTTGTTTTGCCTGAGGCGTCTTTTTTGGGCGAAAGCATAACGCTAGACCCAGCACCCATGCGCGCAAGCTCACTTACTTCTGAGAAACCTGTGAGAGTATCGGGATGACCGCAGGTTTTCTAACATCATCTGTCTTCAAGGAATTCTCAATCCATCTTTGTTTCTCTGCTTACCCTCACATTAGGTGAAATTTTGAATCTTGTTCCATCTCTAGCTCTACAAACAAACAAGCCCAAATATGATTTATTTGAAATATTAATATATCAATATTCATAACTGCCACTATCAGATAGGCCGTTCGTGTACCCCTTTCCCGAGGCAAAGTCGAAGCTTTCGATTCCGCATCCGGATAAAACTGAAAGACATTTGGAAAAACGCTCTCCTTCCTAGAAGATGCAGAGCTTCGTCCAAGGACATCGGTTTCCGCTGGATCAACGTCTGTGGCAGGCGCTTTTTGCTCCTGGTCGAAAATTTAGAATTCGTAGAGCTTGAGCAAAATAAGAAGATGAACTTCTCTAGGAAGATCTCTACTTGATCAGAATAACAGATCTTCACTGAGAGGAATAATCGGAGCCGTAAATGATAGTCGTGACTTTCGACAAAGCTGCCTCAGGAGCTACTTCTCCACCCTGTTTCTCTGAAAATGAGTCGTCTTGTCGCGAAGCGCCACGCCGTCGTCTGGCTGCAGGGACGTCACCCTCCTCCATCGAATCTTCTGCACCACAAGAAGATTTCGATTTTGTTGTATTAATAGTTCTTTTACTCACAGAAGTATTGTGTTCGTTCGTCTCGTTCTCCGCAGCCCCACCGCCACTATTGGAGGTAGGCTTTTGGTGTTCATTTACCCCGTTCGGTACGCCTTTCCCCCTTCAGGAAGGCAAAACGAACGGTAACAGGAACACCTGTAGCCTACCCTTAACATTACTTCCCAACAGCAACATCTTGTCAAACGTACTAGTACTATATTTCTCGTCAAAAGCCAAAGGCTCAGCATCTTTTGATTTGACTCGCACTATAATATCCCGAAGTTCTTCGGAAACTTGCCCAAAGGCTTTGATAGCTTCCGATGCGAGGTCTCCGGAGCTTGGAGCAGCGCTAGAGGATGCCAAAGACGTAGTTGAATGAACTTGAACTTCTTTAGATGAACTACTTCCGACAGGTGTAAAATGCCTTGATAAGGGACTTGTTAGGTGAGCTTGTGCAGCTTGGGCTTCACCTTGCTGACGTGTTTGCTCGTAGATACGGCTGTAAGAGAAGGACGACAAAACCGGAAAACCGGAACTCAAAACACGAGGTCGGAATCCAACATAATTGTCTGAGGAAGACGACGAGGGAGGTGCTTCGAAGGCTCCAGATGTAGAATTAAAGCGCAGCACTCAATGGTCACTGATGCTGAACGGAAGAGACCCCCTTCAAAGCTCTCCCCTTTCCCTTCCTTTTCCCCTGTTCTCTAAAGGGGTCGCTTCTTCGATCTCAGTGACCAACCCCAATGACCATTGAAAGCGGAGCCTTAATAGAAGTCTTCGTCGCACTGGAGGAGCTTGGCGCATCGACAGGTACTCCTGGTGTAGCAGATGGAGACAAAGAGCCTCCACCTGCTTGAAAATTCATCTGTATCGGCAAAAAGCACATCTGGTGCGGTTGTTGAAAATAGTGTTGTGGCGAAGGACCACCTGTCTGAAGTAGATGCGATGGTCCTCCAAAGGGTATGCTGGGTATTGATCCAGCACCTCCAAATTGAGTATTGAGTATTGATGTCATAGAGCCGCTACTCGTCAGTGTATTTGGATTGGCACCAGCTCCAGTTGGATCGCCACCACCACCAACACCACAAGGACTTTCTGAGGGTCCGGCACCACCTACAACAGTCTGTATCAATGTATCCCTATCGCTTCCTGGTGTTGCAAGATACCGACTCTCAGCCTGATTATGTGAAGTTGTCCCAGGACTGCTTGCAACACTGTTGCTCGTTGTTTTTCGCGTATTGTTTCGTTGCAATTTCCTTGCAGTCGCCGAAACTAAAGTAGGAGAATGTCGACTGTGGTCTGCTTGGAAGGCTGAACGAGCTATCAGCGATCCACCAGCGTTGTTTGGGCGAATCGCGGTGGCAGCAGTCATCGCGTTGTTTGAATGTTGACCACTAGTTGTTGAGGATTTCGAGTTACTAGTTTTTTGATCTTGGCCAGCAACTAGAAGGTGTGATTGTAGGTGTGGTTGCACGGCACCATAATGCTGAGGATAATTCACAACACGCGCTGGAGGCGCGTAAAAGTGTGTCATTCCTATCCCTTGAAGTGGAGCAGGTCGTGGTTGAAGACTCTGTTGCAGCAGTAGTCCGTTGATGCTGTTATTGAGGTCCTCTTCGATTGGAGAAGCGCGTCTCGATGGAATCATTTGTTCGCTTCTGCTCGACGCCGTCGAGGTCATCAACGGGTCCATGCGTAGTCCACTTCCGGATGAAACGCGCGCAGTTGTTGTAGTGGTATTAGTAGAAAAAGCATTACTCACCTGTCCGAGATTGGTCCCACGTCGCGTTCTATAGTACGGATCTACTTTGAATGGTTCTGGTATTTGGTAACCTGAATTTGATCCTAAGGGTTCTCTTCTTGTTTTCCCTTCTTGTTTGCCATTGCCACTACAACGACCTCCTCCACCACCCCTACTAGATGATGAAGCTACAGCTTCGGCAAGAAGTTCATTGATACTGTCTGTCACTGGTGAACGGGAAGTAAGAGTTTTTCTACTTGTCTGATCCATGTAGTTTGGTCCACTCGTATAATTTGGTCCTCGTGTACTGTAATGCGTTTTGGACGAAGTTGAAACTCTCGCATTTTTTGCAACCTCTGCTGGCTGTGATTGAGAAGTAGAAGAAATAATCTTCGGCGCTTGCAGTTGTTGATCTTCCTGGGTAGCGGTAGGTACACTATTTCTAGAGGCAGATGTTGACGAGGATGCTCCTGCGATCGCGATGTTCTTGTTGAAAAGACTCGAAGACGAAGAAGATGAACTAGTACTACAAGCAGCACTACTAGAAGATGGCATCATCACAGGAACATGATTTAACAGAATTTGCGGACATGGTTTTGTTCCTTCTGTGAGATTTTTCAGGACGTTTCCTCCTCGAATCTTGCTCATGTACAAGGTGAAATTAGAGCTTAGATATAATTACACGACATTCAATATTTGTAACTGCATCCTAGTACTTGATGCTTGATGGTGACGTAAGGCCTAGGATGAGGATGCAATCTTCTCAACAAAACGCCATAGCACTATAGTACTGGGCTGCCGAGTCCACCTGCTTGGTCGTTGCAAAATGGTCACGAACGGGCTGCATCGTTTCAGGGATCACTCTAGACGGTGCTGCTGTCGATGCTGAGGGATGTTCTTCGCTAGGTATGTCGAGAAGGACGTCTTCTTCCTCGTCATCCAGGCTGCTTTTCCTTCGCTTCTGTTGGCTACTTGAAGTCAGAGGCTTCTGTGGTGATGCTTTATTCTGTTGTTAGACAGGAAACAAAGGGAGGACGATAGAGACTTGTCGATACGGCATTAGCTATCTTCTTACTTCCTTCTCAACATCTTTCGACAATGCTTTTGGCCTTAATTGTTCTTATTTTGAGGTCGGTGTCCGCCATTAGTCGTAGCCGAGCCCGCAGCTCCAACAGCTATGAAAGGAAAAAGCGCACTTACACTCAAGAAATTGGCTAGGATTTAGGTGGGAAAGTCGCTACTTTTTTCTTGAGTGTGAGTGCACTTTTTTCTTTCATACCTGCATCTGAAGTTGTGCTCGTAGCTGATGAGGTGCTCGCTCTTTTCTTCGGAACTAAAAAAGTAGCTTCAGAAGTAGATTCCACTACGATAGAAGATCTTCTCTTTTTCGGTTTATCTATAGTGGTAGAACTACCTCTAACGGACGATGATAATGGTTCGTAGCTGAAGGAAGTACTATGTTTTTCGGAATTTTTCTTCATCCGATCTCTCGGTTCCGATCTTTCGATACTTGACGTGGATATTCTTTTTGTCGCTTCGATAGATGGTTCTTCATCGCGTTGTAATTGCTGACTACTCAGCTTGTTGCCGGGTTTCCGTATCCTTACCTTAATCCTCCGTTTGTTTTCCCCAGGAGGGATGAGAAAATCTCGTGGTTCTTGGAGAACGGTCATTTTCTTTAGGAATTCCTTGTAAGTTCAGTCAACGCCGAAGCCTCGTCAAAATAAGTACTAGACTTTTTACTTTGTTCACTGCTTTTATCACTTTGAGTCTCCTACTGTAGGAGACTCAAAGTAGAGAAAGACATCAAAGAATACAGTGCAGGATCGACGAATACCAGAATCCATTTTTAAAGGACGCTTTTCTCGATTTTTCCGTAAGCGAATTTCAGGGGACAGGAGGTAGGGGGGTAACATCCGACATTTTTTTTACAGCCCGTTTTGCTGGGACTGGGTACACTTTCTCTCAGACTGAGGTGCCCGACAATGACAGATAGATGTTCTTTTGTGGTACATTTTCTCTTAACACAAATCATATGATTCTCACGTCAACGCTCTAGTACTACAACAGAGTCAAAGGTTTATAAGTGCGTCGCCTGAGAGATGACATCAGAGCTACTTAGTTTATTCGCACCACGTCTATAACGCTGTCTAGAAATATATGCCACCTAGTGGGGTTTCCAGAATACTCGTGCGCGCGTGCAGTAAGAGTGCAACATCCCCCTTCGCTCTGCTTAGATACACGTAACTTTCGCGGAGTGACAACTCAACGAGGTGTGATGCAATTGGTATTGGACAAGAATTTCTATTTCATAGTTTTTACAGACAACGGAAAGCAACCTATCTTACAAGGAAGAGCATAACATCCTGTGATGATGAAATAACATTATATATACGCATTAACATATATTTCATTCATTCATGTATACACGACATGAATAACTACGTACTGCGCAGCACTGGTAATTCTGCACTGCACATGATTCAATAAAACACGAAACAACTAGACTACTCACAAGAAGTAGGATACAAATTGGGAAGATGTAATCAAATTCAAACTGAATGACCTCACGTTTACTTCAATGGATGTTCTTGAAATGACAAAAATCTACAAAAGTGTTTTCTTCTATGCGGTAGAGAGCTGGCAAGGCAATCCAGTTCCTGCTGTATCAACACCTCTCAGTGCAAAAAAAAGCAGAGTTATCACATCTTCTATGCGATTACTTAATTTTGATCTTGTCTTCATTAGTAGTGTGCCGAATCCAAAAATAATGCATAGAAACCAAATAATGTCATGCAGTAATTGTACAACATACATAGTACATCGTGAACACCAATAACTTTCTTCTTTCGACGAAATTCTCAAACTTCATTGTATTCGCGTGTAAGTACATTTACGTACTTGATGCTACCTCAGAAAAATTTGTATCTATCCACCTTATCCTCACAAGATGGTCGCTCCTTAAGATGAGAAGTATTCTTAGGGGTTGAAAGTTGGCGTCTCCAGCTCGCATATCTATGGCTTTCCTACTTGAAGAAGCCATAGAGATGCTCTTAGATGATAGGTCAACTTCCAACCCTTAATATTCCGTGACAAACACCGTCGCAATCCTCTCCGCTATGTCGCCAAACACGCTCTCCTCGTGGTTCAGTTCAGGTAAAGCAAAACTCGAAACCGCAGCAGCGATCATCTTTTTCATCTTCGCTAATAATCCAAAGCGTGAGCTCGTGTCTACCATTAGAACCCACTCCAATCCATCTTTCTCCTCATCCGTGTAGAAGCCCCGTCAAAGCTACCTCCCATATTTCAGTCAGTAACTCGGTTATTTTCAGTTTTGGACTACTTGAAAACAGCTTGAAGATGCGGCAAAAGATGGATCAAGTGGGGCCTTAATACCCTGACCTCAGCACGAACTTGAAGGATCCATCTATTTTCTTGATGTCCTTCATCAGTGGTGCTAGTTGTACTCGAGGTTGAGCTTCCCTCCTCCTCAGGGTACACATCGTATGTTACCCTTGTCTTCGTCGGTTCTTTAGCACTTTCTGCCTGGTTCAGCGTCAGGTGCGACTGTGGGACTTAGAAGGTGGAGTTGATAAGCTTAAGCAAGCTACAAAAAATTTTTCTTTCGGAGAAGAACTAAAAAGGAAGAAGCTGTCCGTCGTAGTCCCTGTTTTTTTGTTCAAGAAGAGGAGCAAGGTCCTGAGGGCTAAGATAGAACCCGCTCTCACTCAAAACAAATCAATAAATTTTGATTCTTCAACTCGCTTCAATGATACTTCATGATCTGGTTCTACACGTTGATGTATCTCTGATTTACATTTCGGGAAAAATGATTGCAGACTCCTGATGGGTTCAGTTACAGTCCCGATTATTCGAAATCTACACCCAACGACCTCAACATAATGGTAGTGTCTTCGGGATGACGAGGAAAGCTGTGCTGGTAGGACAAGATTGTCAATTATTTGGTTTCCGCGACCCAGCGCAACCGTTCTCATTTGAAATCGGTAGTAGGTAGTGCTACGTTCCTCCTCGTTGGAAAGGAAGAAGTTTTTTGCGATGTTAGTGGTTTGTTCCTCTTGCATCAGAGAAGTAGTTGAGGTGGTATTAGAGGTAGGTTTTTGGTATTCGTTTAACCCGCTTGTTATGGCTGCCCCCCTTAGGAGCGCCATAACAAACGGTAACAAAAGCACCTTTAACCTACCCTTAATGGTAGGTCCACCAGGAGCACCTCCTGCTTTATGGGTAGGTGATGAAAAAAATCCACCACCTCCACTTCCTGCTTTACTGCGCATAGCAGCCTCCTTTTGTTCTGCCTCCATCCTTTCGCGCCAAATTTTCACAGCATCATCCTCCGACGCAGGCGATGGCCGTATCTTTCCTATGGCTCCAGACAGGCCTTCTAGGTCAAATCCACCCTCTAATGGGGGCCAACGTTTCCCGTCAAGGTTGTACTTTTTCGGGATGCTGGAGATTAGAGGTTGGTGGTGGTAGTGGTCGTCCCAGGTACATAAAGGGACCAGAAGCAAAAAGAATTGCAGCTTTTCCGGTTCTATTTACTTAGAGGACACAAAAAGAGTAAGAGTTCCCAAATGAAGATCAACATAACAGTTGCACTATTCTCTTGAACTTGAGACTCGTTACTCCAGCAGGGTCAGTAAGGACCTCACCATCCTTTTCCCATTCAGACGCAGAAAGAGCTGTCTGAACCATGTCTAACAATGCTTCCTTGGATGTTGATGTTGTTGATGAAGCGGTAGATGTGGCCTGCAGTGGTATTGATGTAACATTGGTCCCGGTCGTTCGTGCCATTTCTGATAAAACTGGTGCAGAAGTGGCGTTTATGCCTCGCTCTATGGAAGGTGTTGAACTAGGAGGTCGTGTGGTGAAAGTAGTAGTTGGATCAGACACGACTACTAGGTGCTTGTTCAAGTGACCTGCACCATCTTCTGATGAAATAGGAGAAGTAGCAGGCCTAGTACTGCGGTTCTTGTCATCAAAAACGCCGTTATTTCTCTGCTTGTGGTCGGTCTTTGCACCTTTAAGGGAACGCCTAGTAGCAGGAGGCTCGCCACCCACCCAAAACCATTCATTCATTAGCTCACTCTCGCTTGTGGGCTCCTCTATTGAGTCAAAGTACTCCTCTTCATCCTCTTGTGGAGCATCATCTTCATGCTCATATTCTACTTCTGCCTTACCTACCTCTTGGTCGTCATCTACTTCCATATTATTTACGGACTTTCCGCTTTGCGCAGCTCTGTCCCCCTCCTCCTCCTGCAATTCTTGTTCATCCACTTGCATGTCCATGTTCTCCTCGTCCACCTCGTTGGAGGACTGCCCAAAGTGGTCAACGCCATTTTTACTCAGGCTGCGGCCCAGGATCCGAAGTGGAGACGAAGGGGACGATCGATTAACAGGTGATGAGCATGGCGAGGAAGCTGTCGGCGAAGATGCGTGAACGGACGGGGATTAGAGTAATCAGCGGCTTCACGCTATTGATCAGGACCATCCATCCCCTGACCGACGACCACAGCCACACAGACAGAAAGAAGCAAGTATGTTGTATGTATGTTGAGAGAAAAAGCGGAAGCTGCCACGTAACCGAGAGCCGACCGCGCCCGTCAAGCGCAGGCGGATGGAGGCTTTCAGACGTGGGTGGAAGGAAATCCCGACAAGCTTTGTGTCGCCTCCCTGCACCTCTTTGCTCGCCCCATAGCAACGAAGCAATGCCCTGCACCAAGGCGGGCAAAATATCAACAAGCCGATACCCCTCTATTAAGTCATCGCCCGACAAGTGCCCAGACGCAGTCAGTCAGGTCACCGACCCACCTGCACAGCGCCAGGCTAGCCCGCCACCGCCACGTCCTCACCCTCTGTTGTGAGTCACGGCCAGGGCCACAGATAATTAAGTAATAAGAAAACCCCAGCAGCTGCAGCACCCAGCCAGCAAGAACGAAGCAACGACCTCCCCCAAGAAGAAGAATGCTTCCCCCCCATCAGCGGAGGAGGTGGGCGCTTCCCGCTTCACGGTGGGCGGTGAGCAAGTCCTGTCAACCGGGGGCCCCCGCGGCCAGTCCGCGGAGGCTGCTCCGCCGCCCTGCTCTCACAGCCGGCCGTTTTTCCCACAGTCAGTCAACAACACGCCCCACAATGTAGCGCCGGGCAGCGAGGTCACCAGAGAAAAGACACCGAGCCCACCCAAACGCAAAACAACAGCGCCAAGCTGTCCGCTATGGCGTCCGCCAGTCCAGTCTTATCGCGTCCGCCCCTCCATTGGCGCCGCCACTAGTTCAGCCACCGCCACTTTTAAAATCCCAGCGCCAGCCGCGCCGCAACGCCGCTGGCCTGCACGAGCTCACCCCCTGGCGCCCTTCAGTCGAACGCCTCCTCGACCTACCTTCTCAGCCCAAGAGGCCACAGCAACAGGCGAACCCTTTCAACCCGGGAAACTTCTCCAAGGGCCGGCGTCTGCCTCCGGTCGCTACTCTCTTCTCCGGGTCTCTTCGGCTATCCTATCAGCCACAAGCCCGGGACTGACTCTCAGCCGCAGTAGGCTCCCCATATGGTCCCGGCAGGCCACAGACTAGCCGGGCCGCGCCCGCCCGGATGTGCCGGCTCGTATCCGGGAGCTGTGGCCAAGGGTGTTTTTTTAACTCCCTGGGCCCCCGTCTTTGTTTGGACGCTCACCAGCGTCGGCATGTGGGGGCCGTCTCTGTGTGTGCCAACCATGCGCGAAGCCTCCGACACCGCCTCCCGGCTTGTTTGTTAGTTTAAAAGACCGACACGCGCACAGACACGAACGCGGGCGGAAGGCGGCGGCGCGCGCGTCTTCTCGTAGCGCCCGGGTGCAACTCCGAAGCTTTACCCACGCGCGGCAGTTTCTTCCATGGCGGCGCGGATCCCTGCCCCCCTCTCCGCGGCGTGCTTCCGTCTTCAAACTGCTGGCAAACCGAACGCAAAAACCCGACGAGAAAAGCACTCAAATAGCCACGAGCCTTAAAAGCTATCGGTCTCTGGGAGTGAAGTTGACACAGTCCGCGCGCGGCCTTTGAGGATTCCAGCAAAGCCTTCAGACTCACCAACCGGCGTTGATGGAGCCGAGCTACAGCATGACTTCTTACTTGTAGCTCTAGAAGTAGAAGGTGATGGCTTACTACCCTGTCTTGATTTACCAGAAGATGTGGCATCATCTCCTGCCGTTTGAGAGTCCGGGCATACTTGTGGTCGTTCTATTTCTTGTTTTGCACTAGAAGAAGTTCCTGGCCCAACTCCACTGGCTCCACTAGAGGAGGGCTTCTCGTTGTCGAGAAATTTCATGGATGATGTTCCCCATGGGGCGAAGAGAAAGTCGTCAGGGGTGTAAGTGCGAAGCATATCTGCTGCATCTTTAGCTGCATGCTCAATACCAACTGCTGCACCCTTTGCTGCACACTCAAACCCAGCCGCAGCATCCTTCGCAGCGCTCTCGATGCCAGCCGCAGCATCCTTTGCTGCACACTCAATACCAGCACGAGCATAATTCACTGCAGAGGAGAAAGCACTAGAACTCGTCGAAGTAGTTGCCTTTGATTCTTCTTCAATCTCAAACAGATCCGCTTCCTGCGAGCAGTGCTTCGGTTGGCTTTTCTTCTCTGGGAAAATGAAAGGGCTAAATAAACATGCGCCAGCGACGTTCGACGTCCTCCAGATCGTATACTTTATATATACTTATAACTTAAAAAATATAAGATCATTACCGTCCTTTTTCAATTTCAATAGCATGCATTAGTCACCTCCACTAGCTCTATCCACATTTCGAGAAGGATCTATCGTTTACTAGATGGGAATCCATCGTAACATTGCCGCTTCGTTGTTGTTCATCTGCACTTGTTGTTCTGCAGAAATGTTGTTCATCGGCACCTGTTGTTCGCGACGACCCAGAAGTAGATGAACCAGAGGTGGACTTGGCCTTCCTATACTCCCTATCCCTGGCGCCTTTCTGTTTCTGGCCTCTTAGGCCTGGAACTACCAGTGACAGAGAGTCTGGCATAACTGAACTCACGCTTTTCTTCATCGTTTTTACTGAAGGACAAGGCACGGACGGAAACGGCATGGTAAAAGAACTAGTAGGACTTCTGATGGAGGTCATGTCAGGAGGTGCAAAACGTAAGCCAGAAAAAAATCTTGCTGAAGTTGAAGACGGACACGAAGATGCACCAACGCTTGAATTTGATGGTTCAGGGCCACAGCCTTTTCCTGCAGGTGCAGCTGCAACTTAGACAACATGAACCTGCGTGGTCTGTCCGAGATAGAGTCTTCACCTCCAAAGAAACATGTACTTAAAAACGACTCAAAGTCTATAACTACCCTGAAAAATATGATCACCACTACATAAGTATATTCGAGCAGACAAATAAGAAACGCTCTTGGCGTACTTATCGATATGCAAAATCAAAAACCTGAAGACCTCACTCATAATTATCCTTATTCTTCGGCGTCTTCGACTTTTTTCTACTGATTGCTCCACTTTGCTCACGCGCAGTGCTACGAGCCAAGTATAATGCTGCAGCATGAGCGTCTTCTAGCAGAGATGAGGCATTTTTGAGCAACCAAGACGCGTCCATGGAACCCTGCTGAAACGGAAGATGGTCGAAGAAGGGAGTGCTTTGGACTTGGCCTCGGACATCAACTTGGATATTAGTACTGCTTGTGGGGGAGGCTTCTAACAGAGCTCCTGCGGATCCTCTTCCATGTGGCAATTTTGTTGTGGCAATTGCACTAGTTGGGATTGGACCACCAGCAACTTCTGTAGGAACCTCCATAGTCACGTGCTCTGCCGAAGACGCTAGAATTGCTCCTTGTTCCTTAGAAGTACTAGTACTAGTTGAACTACTTTTGAGGCCACTAGTTGTGCTGTGATCAACACTGGTTCTTCTCTTACAAGAAGGACCAATTATGTCCTCATACTTATCTCCTTTCGTCGTGGTCAGCTTTATTTCACAACCACAAGCTTCATCTTGACCAGTAAAATTCTCTTCCTGACCTCCACTAGTATCATCATGATCATCGTGGTCTTCTTCAGTCGTGATTTTCAGTCGTCCTAAGCGTTTGCGAACTACCGCAGTGGCATTGTAGTCGATTGCTGACTGGAACATTTCATCTGGAAGAGCTGATGAACCTAATGATGGAGTGCTACTTCTAGCATTTGAAGTTGTCGTCGAAGTCGAACCACTAGTAATTAAAGGCAGCTACGGAATCAGTTACATTCCTCAGAACATCCCCCCTAGCTTCTTTTCTACCAGGAAAAGCGCCAAAGATGCTGGTAGTGAGGAATGCAATTCGGAAGCCCTTAAAGTATCAGGTGTCGAAGGCGTGGCAGATAATCCCAACACCACGCAACTTTCGACGAGCAAGAGGAGAGACACGAGTTGAAGAAACGACGACATTTTCCCTTGTTTCTTCTTGTGATTTTGATAATTTTGCATATTTATGTATAAAAGTTAAATCTTTGAATGCATTGGACGAGGAGAAAGAAACACTTGAGTTGTTCTTAGTAGCGTCTTGATCTCACTCTAGCTTTTAGCGTTGTAGTTCGAATACACTTGCTCTACTTTCATCACGATAGTATCAGTATACATTTGAATTGGTACTGTAACTTGGTCTACCTTTTCGTTCCAAACAAGAAAAATCAATTTTTCCATTTGATGTCAACTACTACTACAACTTCTACTAGCTTTCATCAGCACAGGATAATTACAACTCTGATCAAGCACTTTAACCATCATCTTCAAGGGTCGTATGAAGGTCTAGTGCAAGAGCAGGATGACATCGTTCTTCCGCGGATGACATAGACATTGATATCTTCCTCGTGTCTACTGAAAAAGACATTTAGCATTCTATGCCTCGACTTCCCGGCTCAGAAGTCTTACTTTGGGAGGTGCCAGGAGGCTCAACATACAGCAGCTCTCGTCTATTGTAGTTCAGGATAAAAATTGCTTTGGATGTACATGATCTCGTGTCACATGGGGTAGTTCTCGGGAAAACATCTGTCACAGTCATCCCAATTTACAATACATATACAATTACAATGAGCCTCGCACAAAGTAGATCTGTGCAGTCAAAAGTTGTGCTACAACAACCCGTACTACAACTATATGTGGTTAATGTAGCCGCGGAACCTACATTCAAAAAGGGAACAAAAGCAATAGTTCTTGATAATGAGAAGAATTCTCTTCCACCTTCTTGGCCATGATCTACGGATCGATTGCAATATACGGACACCTCCACTGAGCAAAATTGAACAGTCCATTTGCGATAAACTCACTAACGCTAAAAGAGGTCCTCAGGTCATAGTTCATGAAATTAGTTGCCTTACACTTTTAGTATTAACGAACAACTACGACTACTATCAAACATTGTCAGATTCAGATTCAGATGGGCTCCTGCCTCAGCCCTGCGCATTAAGCCGAATGGTTCACAGAAGAGTGAGAACGTGACTTTTGCAAACTCCGTGACTTTTGCAAACTCCGTGACTTTTGCAAACTCTTTGGATGGATTTGAGATGGATGTTTGCCAAGGGACTTCTACTTGAGGAGACCAAGTCCCATCCTAAGGGTCGACTCATTCATCCTGAATGACAGACTCTAAACAAGGAGCATAGAATTACAAACACACTGAAGTGCACGAAATGGTCTTACAAACACACAGGGGTGATCACGCAGGGGAATAATAATGATTATTGAATAAATGCTGTAATAAGGAAGAAAAGACTGTATCTATAATAATGAAGTATAGTAACGAGGATCTATGTGCCTCTGTTATGCCCGTTCGTGGCCATTGTAGAAGCAGCTCAAAAACAAAACCCTCCTGTGAATTCCATGAAAATTCGAGTCTGGGAGAGAAAGCCTCGAGGTCGAACATCAGCTACGTAGTGGAGCCCTAAGTAAGTCGGAAAGCCACAGACTACAGACGTAAAAAGTTGTCCCTTCTTCAGGCCCGTCGAGATAATATGCTAGGCGTCGCGAGTTCGTCCAAAGACGAAGAGGTCTTCCCCTCGTCTGCGGCTTCAAGGAAGTGCTCGACTCGCGTTAATAGGGACCCCTCCTCGCTTGTTTCCTCTAGCATATCGGTTCACTAAACAAGCGCATCGCACGAGAAGTGTGGACTACTTACGCCTGTTCATTCATTGAAACCCCGAGTCGTTCCCCTAGAAGTCCTCTCACGGCAGGACAATACAATTCTGTGATATAGAGATAGTACATCGCGCTCATTTCACGTGTACGCTTCGTGTTGCGATTGTAACTCGATCACCTAAAAAGCTTACTTTAAAATAGCCTTGACACGGTTGTTACCCAACGAGCCTTATCTATCACATAGCCTTGCTACAGTTATCATCCTTGTTATGCTCAAACTAACAAGAGTAGGAGATAAAATTTAATTTTGCTAACGGTCCAACTTGTTTCTACGTACATTTTTTGAAAAGAGGCTACGGCAAGCCCGCCCATGCAGCTTCGGCACAGGCACTCTCTTCATTGTCATTCATACTCAACGCTGTACACTTATCAGTATCAAATCAGGCTTAGCCTCTCCTGCTAAAAGATGAAATAGAAATAGAAATTTTGATGTCAGTATATATTTATAAGTAATTGAAGCTACTCTTTCTCGTAGAAAAAATACTTGTCAAGGGATAGACGATCCCATTTCCGTCAGCCGATATCAGCTTAGTGATATTCTGGATAGTCCTAGTTGTATTCAGACCCCCCCTGCTGATCATACCCCTCTTGCACATTTCCCGGCAGATCATACCCCTCTTGCACATCTCCCGGCTGATCAGCTACCTCTTGCACATCTCCCGGCTGATCAGCTACCTCTTGCACATCTCCCGGCTGATCATACCCCTCTTGCACATTTCCCGTCTGATCATACCCCTCTTGCACATCTCCCGGCTGATCGTCTCCCGGCGCAGCCTCCCCCTCTTGCCAATATCCCGGCTGAGCCTCTCCCTCTGCTTGCCAATATCCCGGTTGAGGTAACCCTCCTTGGCCATATCCCGGTAGAGGTAACCCTCCTTGGCCATACCCAGGTGCCGCAGCGTATCCCCATCCACTGGGGTCGACTTCGTACTCGGCACCGCCTTCTGGCTGGTATCCGCCACCTCCCCAACCAGGGTCTTGTCCCCCACCAGCGTCCACCGCTCCAGCAGCATTAGCAACGTATAGCCAGACAGCGTATGCCAATACTAACGCCGTAACAACCATCCCCGCCAAAAGTAAAACGCGCTTTAGAGTGGAAAACAGTAGACAGAGTAGTCTCATGTTGTTAAACTCGTCAAGTAGAATTAGAAATAGAGTTAAATAACTCAGGAAAGAAGTAATAACTTCATCAAGCGGCCAAACAATCAAATGTTCGAAAAAAGAATCAAGGGAAAGATGATACATCTAAGGGGCATCTCTTCACTTAGTATAGAAGTCCACGACGGACATGAGACGATAATGGAAAACTAGCCTTAGCGTCGTCGAACTAACGCTCGTAGTCGTCGCGCTTGTGGTCGTCGCGCTCGTAGTCGCCGCGCTCGTAGTCGTCGCGCTTGCGGTCGTCGCGCTTGTGGTCGCTGTTGAAGTGGTCACTGTTGAAGTGGTCGCTGTTGAAGTGGTCGTTGATGTTGTACAGTCATATATCAGTGCAATGTTTGTCTCCCAACTATTAGAGAGAAAGACAAGACGCACTCCCATCAATCGCCGACCTCTAAGCAGGGGAAAAGGAATAATGCTACAGAGATACGAATATTTAGTTTACGAGATACGAAAGGAATGATGCTACAAGTGCTTTTATTTCGTTTTACGGTCGTCCTTTCACCATGACGATGATAGTGATGTATCCAGTCAACAATGATACAGAGAAGTGTAGTATCCACTCAGGAGAAGTCTTACGCATCGGGTCTATTCACGAGGATGCGTAACGTTGTGGGCATCGTACTCCAGATCCACGTACTCCGGATCCTTGCTTAGAACATCTCTCGGCATTTTTGGGAGGGATCCTTCCCCTAAAGAAAGAGTGCCTGTGTGTTTGAGAGGTACTCCTGTGCTGTCTTGAATGAACAATAGTACAATCTCACCTTACAGCAAGGCGAGCTTGTGCTTGAAAATTCAACTTATAGCTAACAACTACTTAACGAAACAGACTAGCCAACCTTGATAGCGGGCAACTTAACTGTGAAGATACTGACTGAGCATAGAGGTCGTGGACTAGCTGCCAGTTTTGAAGTAGCTGAGGGTGAGTAGTTTTTTTTTTGGTTATACTAGGGGCTGACTCATCCTTAACTTATTGGAGGTGCTATCGTCCCGGTTGACACGATGATAGATGGCGTCGTCCCCGCAGTAAAATATCATGGTCCACACGTCTTGCAAGAGATAGCGTTGCTTGAAAAGCCATCCCTTGTTCGCAGAAAGTTCAATGGGGGACGACACTGCCAGACATGCGTCATCTCTTAGACGAGCTCAAAACAGTTATCACTCCATATTGTTCCCTTCATATTGAAGGAGACTAACAGGGAGAAGTGACTACATATAGCCTAAGAAGGAAACAGTCTAATAGGGAGTGGAATATGAAATGACTACAAATAGAAATGAATCTTACATGAAATTCATTGAAGAAAAAGTAGGAAATTGAAGAAAAGGTAGTAAACTATGTTGAAAGGGAGATGAACGGATTTGCATTTGTAGACATGAATTGCATTGAGCGGCCTTAAGCCTCGGCCAACCCACTGCGTGCGTGTACCTGCTGCGGTCCCTTTTTCTTGAAACTTCAAGGGTCCTGCACACGTCGACGTTGAGACGGTCTTCTTGCTGCTTTTGGTTAGAGCTGCAGCATCCGCATCTTTCCTGAGAGAGATATCCTTGAGTGCTACTTCGCATCAATAGCATTCTTGGCTTCTTGTTCGCATTAACGAGCCAAGTCTACTCTGGAGGCTTCTTTTTCGAGTAGAAAAAGAAGAGCCAAGAGTGTTAAGGATAAGGATAAGGATAAGGATAAGGATATGCACCTTCAGCGGTACTAGCCTTAATCTTGAGCAATGTTGAGTTTGTTCTCCCCACCTCTTACTGCATTTCATATTCGGAAAGATTAGGGTACTACTATTATAACTATAGTAGCCCTAAGTACGGTGGATAACCGGGAGAGGAAAAAGGGGTATCATGAGAACTGTCTCAGTCGGCTCAATCAGCTATTTAGCTATGTAAGTTCACTCGCACGCTGCTCTCGCACTTGTTCCGCAATAACGAAGATGATGAAAAATAACAATAAGCATAAGGAGTATTTATATAGAAAAGTAGTTTACACCAACCTCATGAACAAATTCAAATTAACGCTTCACGACCCTCATCAAGTTGACTACATTTTCTTTAAGTAGACTAGGCTCCCCCAACGCAAATGACTCTTGAAGAAATTTTTCCTCATTAAAAAGTTCGAGTTCCAACTTTCGCCATCTTCTTAAGACCAGGCTTGCCACATCTGCACAATCGTAATAAAGCTGCCAGTAAAAGTGACGCACCAGCCCAATATTGGCCAAAGAGAAGGCAACAAATTCTGGCTTTTATTAGTGAGGGGTAGAAAATCCATCCCAGGAAGGGTCTGGATCTCTTATTTCTCTCGTCTTCATTCTTCTTCCAGATGCCTTTGGAGATGGACTTGGAGCTGGATTTCCCGCATTCTTAACAATATTGCGCTGAGTCATGCTTCGTGTCTTCGGTATCCATCCAAAGAAATTAGAAGGCAACAACAACATTTTCATCAAGTCTAGCCGTTTATTGTTTTGTAGTAAGCAGTAGTGTTCTGTTGCTCCTGTAGAACTACGAAGTCCAACTCAGTGCAACAAGTACTGAAGTCGTGGTAATATCTACCAGATCAACTAGTACAAGATGATAGGACATTTTCTTGTTCTATGACAGAAGTATATAGTTGCTGCAGATCACGGGAAGGGTTTGTAGTACGAGTATTAATAGGCGGGTTGGACAAAGGAATTCGAATTCGTACTCGAGCATAGTAGTTACGATCGGTTGTTGCCTCTCCAGGGTTAACCCCAGTCCACACGTAGACTTGCCAACTCATGACGTCCGAAAAAGGCCAACTATTAGCGCTAACGATGTGCATCCCTGAGATCATCCAACTTGGAGTTGAAAGATGTATCTATAGGAGAAGCCAATCCTATCAAGTGTTGTGTTGGTGGACCCGTTTGTTTCCCTCTTGAAGATGAGGCCAGCGATGACGTTGAGATAGATGCTCGCTTGGTTGCCTTAAAACTTCGCTCGAAATCCGCTTTGAAGAACCAACTTTCGGAACTGGAACTGGCGATACTCTCTGGATAGCCGGGTACTGCCTTGCACTCGTGCGATTTGCTCGGTAAAGACATTAGTTAGATGGTGGATGAATACTTACTGGTGGAATTCCAAGGACCCACTGACTCTTCCTCTAGAGAGGAATACTTACTTGTGGAATTCCAAGGACCCACTGACTCTTCCTCTAGAGAGGAATACTTACTTGTGGAATTCCAAGGACCCACTGACTCTTCCTCTAGAGAGGAATACTTACTTGTGGAATTCCAAGGACCCACTGACTCTTCCTCTAGAGAGGAATACTTACTGGTGGAATTCCAAGGACCCACTGACTCTTGTTCCTCTACAGAGTTATAATTTAATGACTCTCACTAAATATGAGAGTACAGGTGTAAGAGTGAGTAGTTTTTTCTCTCGCAGAAGATGGAACATCATCAGATGTTGAATCAACATTGCTTCATCGACGCTGATACTTAGAATACCAACTTCAGCACGATCACGATGATAGAGCAGTCTCTACCTAAGAATGAAACTGTTCTTTGAGTCAGATTTTAGCCCAAAAGTTTAAGTTCTCAAGTCTCGTCTAAGTCATCTATAAGCTTCGAAGTGAACCATAAAGCAGTTGTTCGATTGAGTTCCCTGAGTTTCCATTGCTCTTCAAGATTACGCTGTTGTGTTGCGCGCCTATAGTTTCCAACTGCGCGCCCGTTCGTTTACTATTAGAGCTTTGATTTTACTATTAGAACCTGTACTATTAGAACTTTTTCTGGGGGGCAATGGCCATCGAAGGGGGTTCGCTTGTAAGAATTAGAATACTTGTTCTGGGGCGTCACGGTCATGGAAGGGGGTATACTAGTAGCGCATTCTTGATAGCGACCACCTCCAATTTCTTCTTACTCTTTTCTGAAATAATTAGCTTTGTGATGACAATCTCAATCTAGTAGAAGTATCATGATGACAATCTAGTTCTAGAAGAGGTTTGCAGCCTTAATTCTACACCGTCTCTTCCGTGGCATGGTGTCGCATTCGATAGAGCCAGCTATCTTCCTACTTTCCGAAGATGCAACTTCAGTCAGTGCCGCTTCTTTCCCCAAGCGCGCCTCGACCTCCGAGGTTGGGATCATTGTAGCATTTGATGCTACCAAAACGTTGCTGAAGGAAAAAGAACTCGAAAATTAGTGCTGGCTTGGGAAATGGTGCAGACACTTGAGATATGGTTCTAGCTTGGGGCGGATATGGTGCTCTTGGCCAAAGTATACGTAATGAGGCCTTGGTTGGTCATAATATATGTGGTGGAGGGAGCCTAGGTCGGAAACTTTCAACTTTTTCCCTCTCGAAACTAGTAACATGTACGAAGTAGATTGAATTCGATGAGTCGAAACACAGCAATTGAAATTCGTGGACAACGAAAGCACTAGAGGACTTTCACTTTGATTGATTGGCAGACCAGTGATCAGCCTTCGACCTTCCTCGATCACAAAAAAAAGTGGCCTTAAAAGTCCTCCATTCTCGTCTGTTCATCAGGCACAGTACCCAGACTTTCATGATCTTTGTTCTGCTTCTTACTCGTTTCTAATACTAGCACTTGCTCTTCTTCTTGCTGTTGTTGCTGTTGTTCAAAAGAAGTCCTCGCACCAGCATGATCTACCTCTTCATCGTGTACATGAAGTTTGTCATCTGCTAAATTCGTTGTTGGCGGTTGGCTACCTTGGTCTGCTAGAACACTTGTTGTACCTCGAAGAAGAGCTTCGTCTGATGAAGTCCTGTTTTTATCTCGATTAGATGAAACCTGGAGGTCTACTGATATCTCCTCTTGCTCAGACAATGGCTTGTCGTCCTCGATTGTGTTTGTGCGGCCTTTGAGCCAGAGATCATCGTCATCATCCTCTTCATCATCATGAAATTTAGCCTCTCCACCAAAAGTAGAAGTGCTCTGCTGATCACCCACGACACCCGAGGAGAAGGACTCACGCCTTAGCCAATGCGAGTGCTCCCTCACAGGAGCGGCTCGAGAGTGCTGTTCCTTAATAACAGAAGATCGCGTCGTATCGACAGGAGATGACCCAGTACTAGTTGTTCTTCTTGAATCAAGAGGACGAGCTTCACCGGCATCAACATCGTGGTCGAGAACCTCCAATATCTCCCCTGCCTGTGTCACAACCTGTTCTGCTCGCCTGATTGCTGTACTGGTAGTCGCAAGAACAAGAGAAACTATAGTACACCGCCATCGACGAAAAGCCCGTGGGCGATGTGGTGGTGCCATCTTATACTTATTACATGCAGAGACTTCATCTGAAGAGGTTCCCACTCGTCTTCGAGAGGTACCAGCGAGGTATTGATGCCATTTAATTACAGATAAACCTCCATCATGATCATTAGGATGCGGGTCTTTAATTCTCAGGTCAAGGCCTGACCACACCAAACAGCGGCCCCAGATAAGACACGCCCAAGATGAGGCCGGTGATGTGGCTGCAGGTGGGATCATCATGGTGGGTAGCTCTAAAAACGCAGCGGCCTGCCCACAAGGGAGGTTAAGAGAACGACGCAAAGCGAGACGCAACCAAATGGAGCGAGTCGCGACCAAATGGAACTGCTTTTCAAAGTAGGGAATTCCAGGATATGCAAAGCGACAGCCAGTTAAAGATAAACCTCCATCATGATCATTCTATATTCTCATATTCAAGCGTATTTTTCTCAAAAACTAAGTATGAGGGCAGTGAGTGTGTGAGTGTAGAAATCTATCATGTCTCATTCCGGTCCACCCCTTGTCTGCGCAAGTCGTCCTCCAGGCGCATCATCTACCTCTGAAGCGCCCTCTAGTCCCATCTTGACCCTTGTTATCTCCTGCTCCTTCGCCGCGAGTGTTTTCACCACTAAGGCGTTTATGCACAGCAGTATCGCCGCAAAGAGTACGAATACTCCGGAAAAAGACTGGTAGATGTTGCTGTAAAAGTAAGAACCGAGAAAGCTGCTGTGATTAGAGAGGAGGCCGTTTTTTGTGAAGCTGAATGTTCTTTCAATATCTGAAAAATTTCATCTGTACCATTCTATATTTTGCTGTTTGCAATATGAACGTGAATTCTTTTCGCTGCCTGGGAGAGTGAAATTTCAAGCCATAATGAAGAGAAACCCAACGTTCTGCGTGAAGAGGAGACCTGCGAGATACTTGTGCGCGCTACATCGAAAGAGAGCGGTTGGATTTGGCACTATGTAGCGCGTTACGATAAGCCCTGGCAATACCAGATGTAGCGCAAAGGCAACTCCGAGTGCGAGAAAGAGTTAGAGGAGTTCCAGTTCGTGTCCGGGTTCTTTCAGCAAGACTGATTGATTGATTCATTGATTGATTGACGTGCCTGGTAGCATTCTTGAGGAAGAGAACAAGATATTTGGTGGGAGCATTCACCTTGAGGACGTTGACTTCTGTTCGTCATGTTGTTTAAGCCTGTGTTCTAGTAGAAACTGACATTCTTCTAGCTTGAAGAGTATTGATCTCTACCAGATTTAATATAATTGCTCATAACTCCACACGTACAGCAGCGATCGCAGGGGATAGCTCACAAATAGAAACGGCAGTAAGAGGTTGGCGCACAGCAAGTTACTACCCACGTCACAGTACAGTCTCGACATCAGGTAATGGCCATATGCTTAGAGGGATAGGGAGGAGGTAAGCAAGCTCAAGCTAAGCAACTTCGTTGTTGCAGAAAAAAATGTCGTATCTATGTACTGATCATGTAAGACGAGCTGTTGCGATGTCTACGTAATAAGAAACGGCAGAGAGAGAAGATGTTTTTGCTCCAAAGATAAGCTCATGCTGATCCCTACATCAACAGGTGCCCATTCATAATCTACATATTTGCTCAAAAAGAGCACGACGCATGTCATCCCCGCGGCTGCTAGAAAAAAACTGCTCAAGGAACTCGCTAAAGCGTAGCTTTCCTTTGCGGGATCGTCTAACGGAAGCGGAGCGCTGGAGTTTCGAAGGCAGATCAAATAATGTGAGTATGTAGAAGATGAAGAAACAAAGTCGAAAGGGAACTCGAATCACCATTAATCCTCGAAGTTATCTTCTGTGAACACGAACAGTTCAATTCCAACATACAAGAAAATAACCGCTTGTTCAATCAACAAGAACAATGCTGCATACTTAAATAAAAAAATGAGACAGAATTTATACAGTTTGTATAGTACTCCAACATAGGGCTCCCCATCGTGCGCACGTCTTCTCGAAAGACGTTGTAGACGAGGAAGAGCTCTTTTGAGATGAAGAGACTCCCGTGAAAGAAGAGACACGCCCAGCAACACGAAGACGCGAAGGCAACTACATAGCATAATCTTGCGCCAGAACCCGAACGTGGTACACGGATCATCGGCTGTAGTGATTTTTATGAGAGTTTGATGCTCTTATGAACGTGGTACACGGATCATCGGCTGTTGTGAATATGGTGTCGATACCTATCTATCAGCTTCAGCTTGTGCCTTCTAGATTTAGATCTTCGTCCGTTCCAGTCAACAAAAAATCTTCGTATTCCTGGTACTGTGTCCCCAGCAGCTCCTCTCGCGCTATTTTCCAGTGGCTGTGTTCTGTGTCTGATGGTTGGCGTCCGGGCTAATGCACTCAAGCTCGTACAAAGAACCGTTATAACCGGCAAAACTAGATGTTAGAGCAAGAGCTCGAAACAATTCTTTCAACATCTAACTATCTTAATCTCTTAAGTATTTAAGTTTACCTCCATATCCTTCTCGGAATCCAAAATGAAGGTCCTTTCAAATGATTTGTATTTGATTTGAATCAAATCCTGAGCGAACGACGAAATTATCTGCAAAAAAGATCAAGATGAGTCAATATGAGCCTTATAGATGGAAGGCAAACTTGAAGTCCACGCATATGCCTCTACATCTAGCACCAGCCGCATAGTGGGTCGCCCATGACAGGTTGGTCACCTGCAACGCAACGTATATCCCGAGTATCTCAAGGGCTCCAGCTCCGCAAAAGGCCCTACCTGTGCTAAGGAAGCATGTTTGTGTCAGAGTGAGCATCTATAATTTTATCTCAACATTTACTATTTATATGCCTCTGATATGACCGTTCGTGATCACGACCGTAGGACGAAAGTATCATGGTGATGCCATATGTTGTATCGAAAGAAGAGTAGTCCTGAATGAGAACGATGTAAGCAGAGTCATCGTGAGGACGAAGTAAGCTTTAGGGCTGAATAGTCGTACTCACACGGGAACCTAGACGTCCTCAATCAACATCTTCAAACATTTCGGTACAGGTTTAAAAAATACCATATCTATCCCATCCATTTCCATGGCAATTCGTTGCTAAAAGGGTGTACGCCGCTAACCTTTGACATGATAATGCGGCCAGCAGGAACAGGGCAGCAGGAAAAAATGGGAACTGTCCTAGGGCAAAAAGGCCGGCAACCACAGCCAACCCACTTCCACATAGTGCCTTCTTCACGTCTATCCAGTCGAGAGCCAGACCAAAGACTGGTGCACAAGAGTTAGAAGATGTGAGAGAGAGAGAGAGAGAGAACTAGAAGAACCAACTACTTTGGAGGTGACTCCGGGTTCATCTAAAATGCCAAGTTCTAAATGTGCTCAAGTTTTTAGCTGGTTCTAGTAGTCGTGCTAGAAGATAGAACAAGAGTGCACAAAACTTAGATGAAAGCAGCTATTACTTCATTCTGGAGTACTAGAAGAGTGCACAGTATAAACTCAATGATTGTGAGACTTGTCTGCTCATAAAAAATGTTCCCACCAGGAACGGCAATCTGAGAAAGTCCTCGACTCGTGGAGGTTCAACTGAGGGGTTTGCTGTTCTGCCATACTTCACGAGTTCGCCCGTATGATTAGAGGAACAAACGCAAGTAAAAAATCTACTACACTGTGCTGCTACCTAGCGGACTCTTTCAAATCTACTACACTGTGCTGCTACCTAGCGGATTCTTGTTTTTCAAAGATATGAAAATGGATATCCTAGTTGTTCTGTGCAATAAGTACATGTATTAAATCTAGTTCTACTGTGAAGGATATTCTTATTTGCACGCCATGCCCTTGTAAGTTATTCTTACTCTACTTCGCAAAACACGATGTAATTAGCATCATTTACAAAGTGAGATACAGTTCTTTAGCTTTACCACGGAATATGAATATCAATGTTCATGTTGATGAGGACAGGAGCCTTAACATATTGAATGTACGTTCCCGATATGAGCCCTAAGCTGAGAAAGCAACAGGCTGTGCGCAATAAATCCACAAGCCCCAAAGGATCCAGAACGACCGATGCTGGACCAGTCGTGGTTGCAGATGAGCCTTTCATGACAGCGTGAAGTAGAGCAGGTTCATGACAGTTCGTTGTGCCGACAGTTTGATGGATCGAGTGAGGTTAAAATGGGCACCGCAAGAAGACTCAAGAAACAGCTCGTCCCCCAGGCTAGATTCTTGACGGCAAAAGAGGAAGCACCGGCACCAGGCGTGAAAATAAGCACGCTACGAGTTCTTACGACCACGACATTCTAAGAGTTCGTCGACGGAGAAGAGCATGTGCTAAAATTGAACGATTTTTTCTTCAGATGGACACGGATTTTAGTCATGGAAACGGAAGATCCATAAAGTTGTAGAAAAAGCAAGAAACAATTAACTGATAATTATAAGATAATATACAACTAGTTAGTATGCTTCTCAACAGATGACTGCTCTCGTTGCTCAAACCGAAGACTCAAGTTCTTCAAGAACCGATCAGCTTCTACTTCTAGAACTTTGTTTTCTACTCTCAACGGGTCGCCCTCACACGGTTCGCCCATTCTCTCAACGGTTCGTCCATTCTCTCAACGGTTCGCCCATTCTCTCAACGGTTCGCCCTCACAGGTGTCCATGAGACGGAACAGAAAGATCGCAACTATAATCGCATAGTAGAACAGTTCTTCACTGATTTTCAAAAAAAAAACAAACAGAGTTTTGGTATTAAAAAGCATTATGATCCTAAATAGTTATAATAGTATCTATTGTTCGTTGGGAGGCGCGGGGACATGCATTGAGGATGAAGAACAAGAAAAGTGAAGGTAAGGATGCTAATGTTTTTGATGTTGAGAGAGATTACTCCATTACTCCAAAATAAGTACATTTAAGAACAGCAACTACAACAAGGCGTAGACTGAATGATGCCCAAAGAGAAAGATATTTATAAGAAAGTGCTTGACGAGAATATTAACAATTAATACTTCTCAGTAGTTATCATAAATAGCACAACATCCTCTTGAACATGATCGATATTCCCAACATGATGCCCGACAAATCACTGTAAATCGACACTCTTATACACGTGCCCTTTTTGCTGGCCTCTCCTATTCTAATTGTCAAACGAAGTCTTTCAATGAAGAAGCTCCACCATTTCGGTAAGTACTTCACGACATACACATCATTTAACTTCAAACTATAAGTCAACGAGGATAATTTTTGTTTTTCATTATTGCAGTAAGCAGCCCTGCTGAGTAAGACAATCCAGAGAAAGAACCTTCAACTTGTTTCAGCGCATTCAGTTATAATCACACAGGCTGTGGACCGGGATCAGGAGAGGACTTACAGATTTGCCGTTTCCATTGAATCGAGAATTTCTGGCATCTCAGACACAAGGGCAGTGATTTCTTCAGCAGGACCCACGGTTCCTGCACATCGATTGTTGTTTTATCTATTTGATAATTCATCTGGACACGCAGAACAAGCGGAATTCCGAGTAGGCACAACCTTGCCCGTGTGTTGAATAGTCTGCTAGGGCATAAATTCGATTGCCTCTTTAGAGATGTGTCGGTGCTGTAGTCTTGTTGCTTGTGATACAAATATTGTTGATAGCGGGTGAGAATGTGCAGCTAGGGGATTCTAGAAAGAGAATTCTATAATCTAGAATAATCGCTAAATAGAAAAAGGCACTTTATTCCCTCGAAGCAACGAAGAAAACCAAGCTTAAGACAAGTAGATGAACCAAATCTGGAATGATAGTAGGATAGCTCCAAATCAGGAGGCTAGTCTCTTTCTAATCTCTGTCACCTGTTATTCGTATGAAGCTCATCTAGGTACACACAGATGCTTAACAGCACGTAGATTCAGCCAAGCTACAACAAAGTGAAAATCATGTTCACGTAGCTTCATCAGGCTCCGCCTCAGTAAAGGTCCATCACCCTGTTCTGAAAGCCTCTACGGTCACTCCGAAGACTCTGGTCATCTTCTGGCTTCAGCATGTTCAGCGCAAGAACTTCCTCTGGCGAAAATCCGGTCTCAATGATTCCACGAAACACCGCGGGCCATCCTAGCTCCACCGTTCGATAGAACTTATTCGCGGCTTGCAAGCGCGCGCGAAGGTCCGCTTGCTGTTGCTCGTTCTCGAAGGGAGCGTTTGCCTCTGCAGCCGACAAGGTTCGCTGAGAAATCCAGACTTTGATCGGTCGATCCGTCACAAACATCTCCGCGCGCCGGTCCTGAAGCCCTCGACCGGTGTTAAAGTACTGGTCACAATACAAGTACTCAGATGGAGTTGTGCCCTGTGTTAGAAGAGCTGGCGCATCGATCCTTCGAGGCATCTTCTCTGGCCTTTTTTTTTGTTCTTAGGAAATACTTAGCCAGAGATGCCGTTGGAGCGTGCATCTGCGGTACTAGCCTTAACCGTGATTGGTCCACCTCCTCTTCCTGAAAGATTCCTCTGAATACCCCGTGTTTGGTCCTCTGCTTATGTGGACGAAGTTCCAGGTGTGGCTTATACAGCGCGTCGATCATTTTTTCGTTCCACAAGTCGCGAGTAAGCAAGTCCAAGCCTCTAGTATCGACAAACTTATCCTCCTCCGGATTCGGGAAAAATAGCAATTGAAAGTCGTAGTTGCAGGTGGGGATGGCGATGAATGTAGCTCGGTGGTTCGTGGTGACTTTGTTGTCACACAGGCTAGCCGTCGCGAACGACTCGTGACTACCAAAGTCGTCTATTTCGATCCGCAGAACATCCTGCGGGTCGACCCTTCGATCCGCACTTTCCTCTAGTTCTACGCCCTTGCAAGCTTCTTCACCTGTAATTTCGTCGTCCGCCAGCGCGAGGGGCATGCCGAGAACAACTTGTTGAGGAAAGAACTGCAAACACAGATAATTATATTCGCCTGACGAGGCGTCGTCACTACTCTCATCATGTCTGCACAACATCTGTTGCATGCAGACACTATGGATCGCAAAAATCTTTGTTCCCCTAGGGTCCTTGTCACAACAAAACCTCCGGTTTCGCAGCCGATCGCATAGCGTGTGCTCACTGATGTCTCGTCCCGTCTCGGGGCAGTAGGCACGAAGCCGACACGAGGACAGGACTTGTTCGTTTGAGAGGTCTTCCAGACTCTTTTCGCAAACCAGATCTACCTCGACAGTGTCTTTCCCTTTCGCTTTGCCAGAGGCGACGGCTTCTATGCTAATACCCTGTTCTGGAGACACTCGCGCTCGCTTCGGGCTTTTCTCTCCAGCAGAAGGCTGCAGAACAGGGAGTTTGCAACGCATGGATGCCATATGGGTGCTTCTCAACATGGGTGTTGTCATGGTGCCGGGAAACGGATGTTTGCGAGGCGTCGTTTACCATAGAATAGGGCGAGTGCTCTCGGTAGCTTGTGGCCATATTTACTTGCTCTTTCGGGTATTGAATTGAAACGAGCTTACTGAATACTAGGTTTTTCACACTTGCATACTTTACTGAAAAAAATCCAGCAAGTGACAATGAAGCTCACCTCGTCCTGGAAGAACTAATAGTAGTTGAGAGGTACTTGATGAAAGTTGTATCTTTTCCGATGTAGAGAATTAGGGCGCTTCGGTTTCCTCTCTCAAATTCTGCTTGATCAAGAGGTTTGACAAGATTCAAACACGCAAAGGTATCGCCTCTCGTCCTATTATCATTGTCAACAAAAAAACTCGACTCAGCTAAGAACCTCATTTAGAGTGAGTACGCTTGACAAGTACTTATGATGTCACAACAATCATCATGAGATTCCATAGTGCAAGCATGACACTTCTTTTTAGACTGTGCGCGTATTTCCATTTCAAGAAATTCGGTCGATTTTACTGCCTTGTTATTCTTGTTGCGACGTATCATCGCGTCATGCGCCCTTCCGAAAAAGTCTCAACAGTGGTTTGAAAGTCGCACCTACTATAATGAATCTTGGAATTTCCAGTGCTTCGTTTAGGAAAAAGGACACTCCAACCCGTACCCAAAAGGGATCTGGTATCCACTTTGGTTTTTGACCTGTTGAGGTTCCACTACCTTGTGCAGCACCTTGACTTGATGTACTACTATTTGCATCCTGAGTGGTATATTCTGCGAGAAAAGCAGGCATTTCCAGGCCAAAGGCGTCCAAAACAGTTATTGGATCTGGTAGGACGCCAGTTTCGAATAGGATGAAAATCCCAAGCCACATGCCGATGTAGGCTACGCCGTAGTACACGATAAAGGGCGTTCCGAATTCTTGAAAGAAACTCATAAACCTCGCGAAAAAACCTTTCTGCTTGTCCATCTTTGTAAGCTTTGCTTCGATTTTCGTCTTAGAGAGGAGCGATTTTTAGGAGGTCTTTGTTTCCAAGAATCATGAATCCAAGGTGCCTTTCACACGACATTTTTATATTGTGTGTAAGAAACTCAATGTTTAATCCATTATGGCTAAAAAAATTGTTGTGAAGAGTGAGACAGAGAAGATTATTCATAGAGCTTCAATGCGTTTGCCTTAACAACTATCGTCTTTTCCAGTTTTGCTGTCGTCGCTTCGAGCACACTAATGCGATCGGCAAGAGAAGGTTGTGTTGTTGCGGACGATGATGATGCACTTGATGAAGTAATTGCTTCGGAGGTTATTGTTCGTCTACAACCTGCTGCTGCTGCTGCTTGTATTATTCTCGATGAAGGGCCTCCGAGTGTCGTCGCAGCTATTCGCGAACCAAGGGGATTATTTCTACTGCCAAAATGGAACTGGAGATCGGCACCCCAAGAACCATAACTGGGAATATAAGAATTTGCTTGACGTAGCGCTCTTGGATTTCTGTTCTGTAGCATCGTTGCGCATGGTGGACTTGGTAACCCACCTCCTAGCACTGTTCTGCTCTTGAAGGTTGATGAAGACGAAAAACTTCTTCCCCTAACGCTCCCACAGCCTGCAAGCTGTCCTGCAAAAGCTTGTTGTACAGGAGCCTTCATGTTCTGTTGACACGAAGCAGCGAGCAGTGGCCTCATGTTGATGAAGGTGTTGAATGTTGCTACCTCCACCTAATGCGAGTAGAAATGAAAAAAGCAAGAACTACTAATACCTCTGACAATTATGCCTTTAACTCTGTTTCTTCTACGAACCTTTCTTTAGTAACAAAGACCGCGCGAACTGTACAGTAGAAAAGAACGCTAAAAAAGATTTCTACGTCTCGGAACCTGTGTACTAGTGATGTTGAGTCAATTATAGGGAAGAACCCGTACAACTAGCTTAGAAAAGTAAGGACTTGTCGAGATTCATGGTCGGATCTCAGAAAAGTAAGTTCGGTCTTGATCTTGATGTAATTGCGGGTGGATCTCAAAACTCTGACCACTGTTCAACCGGTAAAGCAAGTTGGTTGAAAAACCGGAGCGAACACGACACGGAAATAACGAAAATTGCTTCCATCAGCATCTTCGACTTCGCATTTGTAACATTATATAAGTCAGATAGTAGACCGAATACGGTGCTGGTTTTTCTTCGTGAGATCGCTGGCTTCTAAGACCATTTAACAAGTATTTGTAGAAGAACCTTCGTCGGAACGCTTTGGATGATTTCTTGGGGATGATCTAGGAATAAATGTGGGGATGAAATCCTTAAAGAACCGGTGCAGCCGGTTCTCGTAGCCATATTAACATCTTGGCGAGAACTTATGGTGAGAATGGGTGGCTTTTTTCTTGTGCTTGTCGTAAAAAATCAGCAGGTAGACCAAGTGCTTGGACTAATACTAGAGCAGCCCCTTAGACTGTCACGTGATTCGTCAATGGATGAAGGAGTGAAAAAGTAGGGCAATGCTTTCCAGATTCAGACACCCCATGCCAATACTGTTTTAAGTCTTCACTCTCTTCTTTGAAGGTTGCATCCTCTCACGGCTCCAAGATTTGCCAGACGTGTTTCGGCCGAGAGAGCATCAAAATTAGATTAAGCATAAGGTAGCCCAATGGCTACGGTTTTGGATGATGTGCTTCACCATCCTCCGCGATGTCGCCCCTGTCCTGCGACTAGTGCGAATCTGCACAAGCACAGGACAAAAATGGGAAGACGAAATCTCTGGCTTTTGTTGTTGTTATTGTTTAAGATCCCTCAAGCTTAATGCCCTTCATCGCTTCAGGCTAACTAGATCCGGACCATCTAGTTGAGCCATCAGTTTATTCTTCTCCTGCACACGCTTGAGGCCTTAAGATTTTGATCTTGTTGCTGCTGATCGTCGTCGCCGTGTTGCTGTCGTTATGAGTATCTTGCTCCTGTTGTTTCCTTGGCCATGATGCTCGTGGGTCGTTACGTTGTTGATTTCAGTACTGGCAAGATGCTCTCTATGTTCATGCTCGAGATGGTTCATAACGTGGGGATCGACATGATTCATAGGTTGGGGATCGACAAGACGCCTTGCAAAGCCCAGATCAGTATTTCCTTGACTCGCCTATTTATAAGCAGACGAGCTCGGGCTGGAGCTCGAGCTGGCTGCTGGGTAGGTCCAGCTGCTACTCGCGATGACTTCACCCATATTGGACCTGGACGCGCCTCCCAAGTGATTGAGACTTGCTAGGCGCGTTGCAGTGATGTGCTGTCGTTCTGTTCGTGGGCAGCCATCGAGTTCAGCCGTTGCGCCACTCAGGCCTGTTGCTTCGTAGATGCCCAGTGGTGCCTTGCCACTTTCATCTTGCTCAATTTAGAGGCAGTCTATCATTGTTTGCGCCTGAGGTAGTTCCTGTTGAAATGGATTCTGATGGAGGAAAAGGAAGAGCACAGCACTGCCGTGCTGGATGTAGAGTAGTGGAAATCTACTCTACGAATTGGATAGTTTTTGATGGTTCAGCTTCAACGGCTAAAAGCCATCTAGCTGCAAATCTTGAAAAGTCAAAGAAAGAGAGAGCCGCTCTGTCTGGCTGTCTTTGACTGCGGTGCATGTTGCTGGCGATAAGTATCGGCCAGCTTTCTCGCTGAAGATTTTTCATGTATTGCACCAATAAGGTCCAGTGTGCTCATTGGTGTGCGTCTTTCATGTTTGTCGCAGTCTCTTCAATTGCTGCAAGGATCCAGGAGCATCAGCATACGCGTTAACGTTCGCTGGTCATCTGATAGATCAAATTCCATGCGTCGCAATTCCCTTCCCTGTTCTCGAGTAAAAAAATACCTCCCCAAAATGAACAGAAAGCACTCGTCATCAAGCCAGACACCTGGCGCAAAACAATGATCCACCGGCCTTAATTCCCAAAAGTGCTGACGCTGCTATTGGCGACGCGGTGGAGGGAAGGCGAAACATCCTCCAACTTTTTCTTATCACTTCCCAGCAAAGCCTGGATAATCGGACGGCATTGACACTTAGAAGCATACACTACCCAGTCCCCACCTATGCAACAACCCAAAACTGGAAAAAGGCGCACCCTACTCAGTAAGCTAAAACTGGGCACCCATCTACCCTATAATAAATTCAGCAACCCATCTAGACCACTCCACCTGAAAAAGCTTCTATGCCATGAGTAGGAATAGTGTCACGATTTCTTCTCTAAAATACATGCACATCTACTAGTAGCGGGACAAATAACAACTAGGTAAAGCAAGAGCGTGAGTAGGATGAATGATAATTACCCACCTTCCTTGGTAACATCTAAAACTCCTGCTACGAGTGCCACTTGTCAGTAAGAGTTCATATGCGGACTAGTGGCCTTCGTATTCAATAATGAAGATGGAGAAGATGTGAGTCACCAAGCATAACTTCGCTGCTGCGTTCGTATACGCAGTATCGCGCTGCGGCCGGCGCAAAACGGAGGCACGTCTTCGATAGCAAATCAGCTACCTGCTTTTGCTTCTTCTCGTCCTTTAAGTTTGTTAGATGGGCATTTATTCACTTCACTGTTCTCACAAGCAGAAACCAAAAAAGAAACGGCGCTCCCCCTCCCTGTGGAGGTAGACGCGAGGACTCGGATGGAAGCGCTGCTGTGCTACCTCAACTGCGAGCTCTATCTTTGTTTAACAAACAATGATCCAAACGAGCATGAGCTATCCTATGAAACTTGATGAGATACTCAGTTCAAGAAAAGTGGGTGTCAAGTGTTCGAAGTCTTTCGATATGTCAGGCACAACCTCCTCCAACCAGAGGCACTAGTAACCGTGCATCTTTTACAGCAACTACATACACTTATTGTTTTTCTTACGAACTAGACCTAGAAAGCGCCACTTCTAGCAATGCGGCAAATTGGATAAAGAATTGCGCTACGTATCTGTGAATAAAAACCAAGCTGCGACTAGGACTACAACGATACTGAGTAGGCATAACCTCAATCGTGCATGCTGTTCGCGCACCTCGCACGCGAGTTTCTTGCTTGCCTCCAACTCGCGCAAGTGCCTCTGCATCTCTTCTACGTTTCTGCCTTTATTTCGATCCGTCGCTTTATCAAGCGTCTCGAGGTGTGCCATTATTAGACGAGAAACCAAGGCTCTGACAGTGACTCCCTCTTGGCCTAATAACGTTAACGACGGGCCGACACCGACGAAGGCTCCTCATGATATAACATTGCGTAAAGGCCTCCTCAGTTGCTCTTATGGTTATGGTTTCACTATCTACCACTAACATCTCAGAAAAAGTGCTAGGACTCGTTAGGTTGGTTCTTCAAAGGAAATAGCAGCACGGCCAGGCACGCAGTGCTTTCTTTGCTCATAGTGCGCCCTTAACTTCGTGCGTGCCGCGAGCTCTTTGGCCTTCTCCAGCCTCTCCTCACAAGCTTTGATAGCTCCTCCCGCGGTCTTCCGGCTAAAGGAAGCGGCATCCCTTGCGTGCCTTTGCGTCTCCTTTGTCTTCTGCCTTTTCTTAGAAAAGCAGAGTAATGGCGAGAAAACTTCTGCTGTATAGACAAGGCTCTTCTTTTTTGAATACTACAGCAGTGCAATGGGAACGCCTATCTTGAAGCATGACATCACTAATCTGTCAGAGAAAGGGGAACATCTTGAAGACCTCTTTAGAAGCTATATCTATGAAAGTTCTTCGTTGCCTTAATCAAGCACGCCTTGATATTCGGAAGGTGGCCGCGTCTATTCTTGTTCGTCGTATTGTAGTTGTTCAGAAACTTGTACTCAAGCTTCAGCCTCACCCACGTGGGGGCATCCTCGTCTCCCAAAATTCCTTCATCATCCTCGGGGTCAGACTGGTCTAGTACTGTTATGCCAGTGACCTTGAAGTCTCCTCTCGCTTGGAAAAACAGTGGATTAGAAATCGAGAAGCTGTCACTTGTTCCTACTGATCGTTGTCTTTGAGCTAATTGAATCGTTATAGCAGGAGAAATGAAGATAGACTTCTCTGGCTATTTTAATTAATGCGCGCTGATGAAAAGCACCAGCTATAGTTACAGATCAGCGTCCTGCTCTTGGTCCCTGTACTCAATCGCACCTCCCCCAGTATGTAAATAACGACTTCCTCCCCTCTATGTAAGCTTCGCATCAGAAGGAGAGTATCACGATGACCAAAAGTGTAGCCAAAGCCATAAGAAGTGGACGGCTACCACGCTCATCTTCCTCGTCAGCGTTTCTTAGGGAAAATGTAAATAAAGCGCTTTTTCCTACTGCTAGACGCGCTTGTTGAGAACCGCTTGTCTTCATGCACGGGCAACTGGCGCGACTTTGTCATAAATAATCTTGTTCGTTCTTTTCGTGCATCACCTCAGCTGAGTTATTGCAATTGTTGTACTCTACTAAGTGAGTCATCTTTAGTCGTACGCAAAAATAGACCCCACTCCCTGCTTCTATACCCAACACATACACCATTCATTCATTCAAGGGTCTCCAACGCAGCCACGCGCCTAGACACGGGATTGAGGAGAATGAAAGTTTGCCAACCAGAGGATAGATAACAATCTATAGATAACTATTTATCTGTAGAGTCCAAAACTGCTTCTATAAACCTAAGTAACGTTTAGAAGCAATAGATAACAGTGGTGGGTACTGTGTTCCTGGCCATAAATCATCGACCTCCGTGTCTACCTCGTCCATCACTTCATCGATGTCTTTTTTCAGTGTGTCGCTTGGATGCAAGCTCGCACTGAAGCTTTCGCGGGAATCCAGACGAGCAAATTGAGGACTAAAAATAAACTCCATCTCCCTCTCCCTTCGCTCTTGTCCGAGTTTAAATTTCTGGTCCTGGTGAAGATCAACACCGGTCAAGAATAATTGATAAATCGTGGTGGAGCCGACCTAACTAGAAAAAAGAAAGACCCGAGGAAGATACATAGCTATCTGCTAAAACTACTTAAGCGCCGGCGCTATCGTCAAGAATAATTGATAAAGATAATTCATGGTCGTGGAGAGATTATAGATAGATAATAAAATCGGATGGTAGAAGACATCACTAGTAATGCGAGCTAGGCTAGCACTGGGTGATAGCTTAGCATTCAAGTGTTGCTGAATTCTCTGAATCTTTATCATCGTAGAGACGCAGTCAACATCAAGGAGGGTAATCTTATTTCGACCAAAAGCCTGCGAAAACACACTAATTACTTGCCTCAATAGATTGAATGGTGAAATTCATGCTAATCCTCGATTCTCCGGATTCGATGTGGTGTGAAATCGTCTTCATAAGGCAGGAAACAACTCAAAAATACAGCACATACGAACTTCTTACTCTAGCAGAATCACAGAAAAACGAAAGAAGAAACAGTACGTCTTTGCCCATCCGGTCATCCGGGTCCGTTTCTTCCATCCAGTCTAAGCCGCAAGGCGGAGCTTCCACCACCTCCACACTTTTAGAGCTCAACATGAAACAAACAAACTACAAAAAAAACTAACTTGACACTTGAAAATAATGTATGGGACCTTTTCGTTCTTCAGGAATGCGAATGAAGCTACTTGATCGATAGGAGGCAGCTCCTCCATAGGATCCTAGCCTTAACTTCATTTCCGTCTTCGTCCTCTTGCTCATCATCTGGGTGCCCCAGTTCACCGTCCCCCGTGTCGCCTGCACCAGCCGCTTCTGCGCCCAGAATGTCGAAAATTAGCGGGTCAATCAACGATTTTCCGAAGTCCTTTCGTAGATTATGGGATCATCAAAATTGATACAAACTAAATAGTAACCGCGCAGATGACAATATCAACGATTAGAAGAAATGCGCACATCGCCCAGTAATTTTTCATCGTCTCTCCTTCAGGTTATCACTACTGGAAAAACCAACTCTGCGCAAGACTTAAGGGTGAAGCCTCTCCACTAGCAGCCTCAGCGACTTCCTTGCGGACTAATCTGAAGACTCGAGTTTTCGGCACTGCTTTCAGAGTCGCGCGCTGCATTAGTAGGGTGGGTTTCAAAGATTGGGGATTTTTGAACTAATTACTCGTCTTTTTTGATGTACCGCTACAGCTTCTCATGGTCATGCACTTCAGGTTTGACCCTTCCTGGCCAATTTTGCAGCAAAACTTACACAGAGGCGAAAAAACTCATGGGGACTGAGTACTTGACAGCGCAGTGCGGTTTAAGATAATCACAGAGGATCTCTTCAGAGACCATCATAATTACATTTACAGGCAGCCAGGATGATTCATTGTGACTCCTGTTCCTGTAAAGTCCTTTATTCTATCAAATTAAACACAGAGAGCTTCCCTATACGTAGAAGCATTCTCCTTACTAGTAAAATAATGGCAAAGTAGTAATCATATGCCGAATGTATGCATTACTGAAGGAGCATAGTTCTGCAGGCAAATGTGATTTATCTAGATAGTAATCAATAATGTCGAACCTTGCAAACTTGTTCGCGACAAAACAGAAAAGCCCACTCCATAACTTGTATCCAGCCTCTACACTGATGGGCACCAGTTCTGTGTGCTTTTGAAAGGGATGATCCTCGGCTTCCTTGTCTAATCTTTTGAGCCGAGCAGCCGCTTCCTTCTCTTTTTGTTTGTGCCTCTCACGCTTCTTTGAAGATTAGATCAAGATCAACTTCAGACGCTGACACTCGACATCAGCATCTTACTGTGCTTTGAAGCTAGAGAAAAAGAGCGCACGAAGTACGAGCATAAAAAAATACGCACACTCATAAATGTATGATCATGTTGAAGTTAAAATGATGACGACGATGATGATCCTGATGAGAGGATTAGACTTTTGCGATCAATTAAAGCTATATATAATGTTGTTCGTCATGGATATGATAACACAAAAGTATTGTGTCCTGCTAATTGGACGCAAAGACGTAACGCCTTCTCAACAAAAAAGTGCTCACAAAAACAATCGTAATCAAGAGTCTCGATTTCCTTTCGCTGCTTCTCATACTCCGCTTCGGCTTTCTTCTTTTCGCTCGCACGATCGGCTTGCATCTGCTCCCAATCAAAATCGTCCACCTCCATTTCTATGCCTAGCACCGCTTCGCAGTCCTTTTTCACTTGCGCGAATTCTTCTTTTTTTTCCTCGATCTCAAAAGCGAGCCTGGTTGTAGTAGGTCAGCCAGTAGTTAAAAACGCCAAGGCATTTTCGTAGTCGTTTGAGAATAAGTGTAGTCCTGCCTCTGAGTTGCCAGTAGTGTAGCTACATTTATTGACATTATCAATATTTCGTCTCAAATCCTCATTCGAATTTTTTTGATTCAAAGTTGCCACGTCTTCTTAGGCTTAAAAAGCAAAAAGACCGAAGGTTAGTGTTGTACACTGCAGTCTATTTTGCGACGTGAGGAAATCCATAGTGAAGATCTGCACGATGGGAAAAGAATGCAGAGCGGGATGCAGTATGTAGGAAAAGGTACTAGCGAGATAGAGAAAAAACCGAGGTAGCTATACTTGCTCTCGAGTTGCGAAATCCTCTCGGTGCCGACTTCTCCCGCTCCATGCACATTCTCGCTGGATTAGAGGTAGTCTAATATCACTGCCGGACATGAAGTGTAACAATTGATTGGCCGCTCCGTCCGTTAGAAAATTCCGAGTTCGGAGTCAGAGGCTTCGCCACTCAGGACGCAGCGGCACACGCAGTCACAAAGTCTAAGTCACAGGAAACAGACTAACATATGTCAGAGAAAGTGAAGTGACTAATACTTCCGTCTTCCTTAATAGACTCTACAGGTGGCCTCCAGTGTCTCCAACAAACACTTCTGTGGAGCTGTGAGTTCGTACTTTCTGTCGCCCCACAAAATACTGCGGATGTTTGTCGTTTCCTGCAGCCTCTCGATCCGCTCACGGATAAACCTCACCGACTCCACGGAACCATCCCAAAGCGCGATATTATCTGAGTGGGGCCGGACAGAATGCATGGTCTGAGATTAAGGTAGTGGAGGTAAGCTGTAGATGAGAACACTTTATTGGTCTTAGTTCCAGCACCACAGGAGTTCTTTATATTCTATATCAAGCTGTCGTTCTCTGCCTCTAGCAGAGCAGAGAGATTGAAAGTCAGAAAATCTTCATCATGGGTGAGCATCGGAAAAATACCCTTATCCAATAATTTGCCGAGCTGAAGAGAGGCGTCCTTCACTTTCTTTCGCATCCCTCTGTTTCCATTCGTCTTCTTCTTTGTACCTTTGTCAACGATATCTTTCACCTCTCTGCGCAAATCCTCCCGAGCTTTTGCATAATCGGTGTCTATGTTCGGTTTGTCTCTAAACACAAGAAGCACACGCTCTTCGAATGGCTTTGGTCCGCAATAATCCGCCATGGCCTGCAGAAGAGTCGTTTAGATTAGAGCAAAGTCTGGAGTATGAGTCTTTCTCGCATTTCTTGTAGGTAATGAGAATGTAGTAATATGGAAATCAAAAGCAGAAGCTCTGACGTCCTCGCCCGTCTTAACTCTAAATCCGCGTTGCGCCTTCTTTCTTCCGTAGAGGAGCGAAATACCATAAGCACCACCAAAGGCCTCCTTGCACTCTCCACCTGCTTAACTGTGCTCAGCTTTCCAATAGCAGTATAGAGGGACTCGGGAATGTGTTCCACGTCTTCGCTGCGACGATCGAAGGTCCTGTGGTATTGGATTCCCAAGGACTTCAATGTATATCTGTCACTCCGTCAAAATCTCAATCTTAATCTTTACATGAAAAAATTGACACAATATCATTCAAACACTTTACCCCTGAATCAGATATTCATGAATTAAAAACAGAAGAATACTACGCAACCTAGTTGTATCATGTACTGTATTATACCCGAGGTTATCCAGCAGCGTCAGCTCCAGCTGCTTCATGTCCTTGCCGGAAGTGAATAAGGAATAATTGCACACAGTCGATAACTTGTATTTTTTTGCGCAGATCGTCCCACTCTCCACGATGCTATGCTGAATCAGGGGGCCCCTGTCTTTGCCAATGCAGGACGTACTTGCACTTCCATATCGGTCGAAAGCATGTGTGCTAGAGGTCGCACCGCTGCTGGCGTGATGGCCTCCGTTGCGATCGTAGTCTAGAATTAGAGGCTCTTGTATGTTCTCGAATAAAACTTATTCACAAGCCGACAGCGCGAGTTCTTTTTCCTCTACGCGGGAGTAAAATTGAAGAACAGCTCAGATCTTGTGGGGCACATTATACGGCAATTATGTACTCAAGCGGATGCACCAATTACCTAGTTGAGCCTGGTTCCTTTTTCCTAGAATCGACCGACTTCTTTCCTAGATCCAGCGAATTCCTTTCCTAGATCCAGGGGATTCCTTTCCTAGATCCAGGAGATTCCTTTCCTAGATCTGCAAGCTTTCCAATCTTGAAGTCTTGATCTGCAACTTTTGGACCCATCGAAATCACTGAACAATTTGAATTCGCAAGGATCTTTTGGCATTACGTGGACAGTTCTGCTTGGAGCTCCTACCAATTTCTAATATAGAGTATACATATTTATAGTAAAAAGACCAAGCTTCATCTGAAAAGCTGCCGAGCCATAAGAGTACGCGCCGACCCCCGTTTTTGGTGTCTGATGTCCACTGCATGCGATAGCCCAACAGTGCTGCGATCAGCGAGGACTTGCCCACTCCTGTTTCCCCAATGATAGTTACCAAGTTGCGCTCTACTTCTGATTCTGCTGCTCGCCTGTGGACGAACTCTGGTCCAATGTGAGTCAAAAAGAAGTGCGCCCTTACTGCATCCCCCTCGGGGCAGTGGGGCAAAACCTCCCGGACCTTTTTTACAAAGCTCGGCGATTCTTGCAGTACATGCTGTAGTAGGTGGTCTTCTCCTTGTTCCAACATCTCCTGGCTCGTAGTATCTTTTTCTAGGTGTAGCGGACGAGTCGTACTAGAAGATGACGGGACTAGTTGTACTAGTCTTATGTCTTTTGCGACGGGCTTCCTTTTGTTTTCTTTTGCAACCGGAGGGTCGCGGCTCCAAAATTCGACAGGTGAGCCTTCCTTCAGATCCCCATGCTTCACATCATCAAATTCGAAATGGTATTCGTCTCCGTAATTGGAGCAGCTAAGTACTAGAGGACTACAAGTACTTCGAAGCTCTGTCTCATACATCACAGCCCTACTTCTGAAGCTGGACGGCCTTCTTCTACATGTTGGTCTCCTATATGATCTAGGTCTTCGACCCAGACCCTGTATTATATGTAAATGTGTATGACAGATACCTGACAGTCGAACAAGAGACAGTTATATTATAGCTGAGAAGAGAGCGCCTTAACACGTTCGAACCCTGGCCCATCGTGATTGCACGCACTTATCCGGCCAATTTTCTCGTCGTCTCTTCTTGATGACGATCTCCATTTCGTCTTCATCTTGAAATCGATCCAGAGTACTTCTCCTTGGCGCAACACCCAATCCTCCCTCGACCGCCTCGGAGAGCGGTCCCTCTTATTGTCGCGGTCCCACGGGTTCCACGTGGAGGACGTATGTCTCACCATCTTTTCGGATCGTCTCATGTTTGTGAAGAAATAACTTCAGTACAATAACTAATATATTCAATTTTTTAGAAATGTTAACAACTATGTTAACAACTATCACCTCCACGACCTCCTAAATATAAGCTAAAGCTTATTTTTTTACTACAAAGCCTCAAGAAAACGAAGTATGCATAGGATTACAGATAGTCATGATATGCCATCATGCGAACTGATGATATTGACCTTGTGGATGAAACCGATCACATTATTATAGCCTTCCCGCTAGAGCTAGACGTTGTTGTTGAAAACGACCATTTACAGAATTTTAGAGATTTTTGTCATCGATAGTGATGTCATCAGTACACATGCCAGCTGTTTCCATCTCAGAGGTTTTTCCTCTACTCCGCAACTAGAATAAACAATGTAGAAGCTTAACCTTAATCCATCAGCAGACACGGACCGACCCCTATTAATTTACCTAGATAGCTTCTTCGTCCCTAGAGAACGGGACATCAGATCGGATAGATCACGTTCAGAGAAGAATTTGGACACTGGTTCATCTGTAAGGAATTTGATTCGATTGATCCTTTTACGTTTTGATCTGCGTGCTGTTGACTGAAGGAAATCTTTTCAGCGACTACTTGCTCCTCCGGAGGAAATAAGAAGCGTGTACATGATGAGTTTGAGGACATGCGGACTTTAGACTCTCCGTAGATGCAAGGCCTGAACCCGTTCTCGTCAACGCGGCATCGGAAATTTCCCTTCCTGAAGCGTAAAATCGCAGCAAGTAAGTATCATATAATCGCGCAGTGGTTGCAAACTTCAACATTTCAGAGCGTGTCCTGGTAGTTAAAAGCGTCTTTCTACACGTTGATGTTGTTACCTTGTACTTTATGTTGCACCTTCACACTCTAAAAAGAAAGAGGACTACTCTTTCATATATTTCACAGTACTAGTCCCTGTGTTTCACTCAATGATTCATTCTTGACGTTGAAGTAGTCCGTATCAATCTTTACTTAGTATAGATTTACATGCCACTACTTGCAGACCCTGACATTGTCTCTTCCTCTTGTGGTGCCCCTTCTCTGTTACTGGCGGTAGTTGTTTTCATTTTCCCCTCTTCTACTGAACCAACGGCTTTAGAGTGTTGCCGTTTCGAGGTTCTTGTAGAAGAAAAAGCGCTGCTTCCCGAAGAAGAAGAACTAGCCCTCGAGAGACTCCCACTGTCACTACCAGCAACAAGCACATCATCAAACGCATGTAGTTGCAACAAAGCCCTACTGAGCGCGGCCATCTGGGGTTCTGATAATTCCGTACTATACTTACGCACCCATGGCTTCACCACAGCTAACAGCAGCTTCCGGACTACGCTATCTTCCTCCGATGACCCGAGATGAAGATCAGACTCTTGCAAAGCAGCTGATTTTGGGGCGGACCTTCCGCTTCTTCCAGCAATGAAAGTACTTGCCTTATCATTGCTATTCGTTATCGTTGTACCAGTGCGAGCGTAGAGCTTCGCGAGTCCAGACACGAGTCTCAAGATTGCGACAGAGTCGAGCTTTTTCAATAATTGCCACGTTTTTTGTTCGGTTAGTCTTCGCGCAACCAGATACAGCAGCACTTTCGATCGAATACGGAGTCTGCCCAATGAGTGCATGACACTGCACAATTCTGACAACGAAAATTCGACATCACCGGTGAGTGGTTGATGTTTGAGGGTACCCAGTTTCTCGTCTTGGTATGCGGGATAAAAGTGAAAGTTGTTGTGGTCCATATTATTGATATGGCCATGTTCTTGTTTTTGGAATTGTTCACCAGCACTTCTTGAGTCTGAATGCAAGCCTCTGGAACCAAAGGATCCTTCCTGCTGGTCATTTTGGGCTGCTTTTCCTTTCTTGGCTGATGCTAGAAGCGTAGCGACCTGCTTTCCAAGTAACATACCAAACCGCCGTGCCCGCTTCTCAACAGCTTTTGCAGTTTCAATGTCGTGTTTGCTGTGCTCGTCTTGTTGATCAACAGCAGCAACAGGGCCATCAGGAGCTAATGCCGCACTGGACAGAGTTAGACGCTACTAAATATCGAGTGACTTTGCATTACAACCAGTTATGGGATGATCGGTGCGTGCTTGACTTCCAGTTCCAACCTCGAAGTTTCCGAAAAAGAGTCGTCAGTGAAGAACATCAACATCAACAAGGAGTTCTACATAAGCAACTAACAAAGTATAACGACCCTTAACAAAATCCTCCTCTGAAAAGTCGCAAGCGCATGCAGACCAAACGAGAGCGCGTATGGCGGAAAGGTCTGGATGAAGTCTGGCGTGGTCTCCAATTTCTTCTCAATCAAACTGAGAAGTTGACTCGGTTCCAATCCTGGCAGAAGCGCGTAGCTTCGAAGCAGAGACAGACATGTAGGTGCTGTCAGACTGGAGAGCCCTTCTGGGTCGAAGTTGTCCTCGTCAAAAGGATCATTGTTTCCGAAGAGGACGCTTGATGTTTTTGTTGTTCTTGAATCACGAAGAGCAGGATTCTTCTTTTTACGACCACCGTCACTTGCATTTCGTTCGTCTTTATCACGCACTACTAGACACCTATCGATACGTGCCTCCAAAACCGCACTCCACAAGGACAGAAACTGATCCGACACTGCGATTGCAAACGGTCCATCTGCAGCTTCTTTATCTGCGCGTGGTTTTGTTATTGTTGTCGTGTCACAACGATTGGGACCACCAGCTACTGCTCTCGCCGCATCTAACATGCGTGCAAAAGCATTCATGACTGTGGCTACATCATAGAGACTCCAAGTGGCCTGTCTTTGTACCCGCATTTCGTTTACGAGTACGGGCAAAACAAGAGGCCAAGCGCGCGTCTTCGAGAAGCCATTCACGGCGCCAACGAGTTCAGCATGAGTCAACGAACTCCTCCCGCGATTTTGGGCTAAAATTTGGTTGGCTAAGCGGGAAAAGAGCTGTTCATCAGGAGTTTCGGGCTGTTCATCTCGTTGTTGGGTTATTTCTTCGACATGTCGTGCTACGTCTTGTGCATCGCCATCGGAATCGGTAACTGAAGATGTGTTCTTCGCTATACTAAGAAGTTCTTTTTTCTGCATACAAGAAGTGGCTTTCTTGCTCCTCTTCCTTCCTCCTCCGGCATCACCTTTCGAGACGTCAGCTTCCGTCGTCGTTGTAGTATTGTTGAGATCGTCATCATCGTAATTCTTGGTCATCGGGTCTTCTTTCTCTCTAATAGTAGCAGGGCCAGAGGATGTCTCATTGTCCCCGGCTATAGAAGTAGTCGCGGAACCCTGCTCCCCAACACTTCTACTCCTTGCTCTAATGCTCTTCGCCAATAGTAGAGACGACCGAAACGAAGCCGTGAGATCAGGCTCCACGCTCTTCGAAAATGCGCACAAAAGCATCACCGCATGACTAGATGTGAAGTCCTCTACTCTGCGCTCTAAAACCTGTTCTCTGATCTCTGAGCGCAACAGGCTGTCCCTCACATGCAGATTCGCGTATGCTGCAGCGACCATGGCGAGGTGTTGCGGCTCGAATGGATTAGAGTACTGATCAGTAGTTATATGGCTTGGTGGAGGTGGGGACATTTTCTTCCAGAAGAATGGAAAGCGCTTTCTTCAACATAAAATAATGCAGCTTGTGCGGGATTTCGCTTGAAGTCCATTTGAAAAGCTCAAGTGCACGCACCCTCAATTTAGCGTACGCGTTGCAGATTAAGGCCAAATCCTGCGCGACTGCACCTCGTAGCACGCGCTTCACTCGTGGGAGGATTGCTGAGATTAGAGAATAGTAATTACTGAGACTCGACCTTATTGAATTCCCAGAGAAACGACTACCACATGATCACCATCCATTGATCGAATTCAATATAGTCACTTGAAATTTAAATAAATGGCTACAACTAGCATGTATATTTATTGTTCTACTTCTCGATGCAAGGCAAGAATGCCAATGGCTCTGTCTATCATCCTTAATAGCAAAAAGAGATGCGGCTCTGTCTCTTCTTCCACATTCAACGTCGTTGTGGCTTTCATATGTGCTGCTGCGAGTTGCATTGAGGGGGACATGTTCGTCGCTGTATCTTGTTCTCTAGCATCCTTTTTGTGATGACCACCCACATATGCACTTGTAGCAGGTGCCAAACTCGTGGTAGAGTCTGCTTCCGCCTGACACCACGCAGCGCTCCAGCGTCCAGTACTGGGATCCCACCCACCTCTACGAGAAGCTAGGTCCGGAGATGTCGGGTCATTCGTCCCAGCCGTGCCCGGATGTTGTTTCACTATATCTTCTTCGCGGAGATTGAAGCGTTCTGCGATTTGCTTGGCACGCGGTTTGGCTTCTCCCTCTGCGATCAATGACCCTGCACCTGACGTCGACATGCCAGCAAACAACGCTGAGTTCGTTCCACTACGCTTGTTACCAAGTAGTTTGCCATTAGAGCTACCGCGTTCGCATCCATGAGAGCTTCCTTGGATACTATTTCCAGTAGAAAAAGGAGCAAGGACGATGCTGAGGATGCTTCAGCGCTAGCCTTAATGCCACTACTCACGTTCTCCAGACAATGGCCACGACTTTGCAACACCTCCTTCTTCACAACCCGAATCCACGGTGAATACCTCGCACGCGCAAAGCAGTTCAAGAGCAGCGACAATTCCTTCGCACGTATCTGTGCAGCCAATGCGTAAGCCCTCGAAGCGTACTGGTCTAAGATCTGAGGTGTGTAACTACCGGTGATCAGTAGTTTTTGACAGTGCAAGACCAGTTGCTGGACTTGCAAGGTCTCAGGAACAAACATGTCCCCCTCGATTTTCCTCTGAAGTGATTCTCTGGAGTTGTCCATTTCCTGCGCGTAGCGAAAAGGATTCGCAGCTCGTGCCTCCCATCTCTTGTCCTTCTCATACTTTCTGGTGGAGAAGGGTCTGCTGCAGAGGTTGAAGTGGTAGTCTTTTGCGCCGCAAAGACTATTAGTTGTAGCACCTCTAAATCTCGAAGTAGACGAGGACGACGGACAGAACCCACGCATCTTCGTAGGGCAGAAGCCAGCAGGTACAATTCGGGCAGCAGAGCTGCAGCTGGCCGCAGAGGAGCTGCTGAGTACTGCAATGTTAGAAGACGATGCCATTTTGCGTCGTCGTAGTAGTTCGTTATTTGTGCTGTAACATAATGTTGAGATATCTTCTGTCTCGTAAGCGTAATTGTGCTCTAAGATAAGTTGTGCTTGTGGTGGAGCCGACCTAACTAGAAAAAAGACAGACCAGAGGAAGATAGAAAAGAGAAAAGGGTAACTATCAACAAGTATCCTGCTAACTGCTAAAACTAATTATAAGATAAGCTCAATAATTATGACGAAAGATCTGCGCAGAATGCAAATGCCTTAAGGGCGTTATCATATTAGAAGAGTTTCGGCACGAAGATGCTACCACACACGACAAGGTTAGTAAGTTCTATTTCACTCATTCATTATCATGTGTCGTCAGTTCAGAGGCGGAATCCAAAACATAAACGTGGCTTAATGAATTGCGTTCCTCAACGGATAGATGCCTGCACTGTCTCTCGAATGACCACACTGTCTCTCGACTGGTCGGATGCCGACCCTTTATAACCTTGTCGAACAGCGGCCACCTCTAAAGTGTGCTTTGAATTCATTCATTCATTGGTGGCTAGTACCCACATTTGTTTTTTTTTTACCTGGGTCTGCAATACTCACATTTGTTTTCATTACCTAGGCCCCTATTCTCCTCCTTTACCCCTGCGATAATCCTGAGGCACGACGGCCAGGCACGACTTTCTCATCAATGTATAATATGGTGTCCACGAGTGAACTAGTTTGCTGATGGTGTACCATTCCATTCCATGAAGTCTATCACCGGCTAGCATGCCAGCACCTAGACTAGCACGGGGTCTTTGATTCCTATATTCTTTTGTCAAACAACGTCAACATGATTTAGAAACAAATTGATGGGGATTGGTCCATGGAAAGAGTAGCAGGACTGTCTTTCGCAGTGGAAAAGAAACAACACAAAACCCGCCAAGCTCTCAATAGCCGGGGAAACAAATCATTATGACTTCCGAATCGAAGCAAATTTGAAAACTTCTAAAGTTTCCACCACTTGACCCTAATTTTCGTAAATCTAAGGCTGATGTAACAAATTGCATATTCTCCGAAAAAGAGAGTCAACATGGTTCTTACGGTTCCTTCGTTCGGAGACGTAAAGTGGCCACCGTAAAGACAAAATGGATGCTGAAAGAATGTCCTTGACGACATTGCACACGAGGTCATACCTGAGCCCATCACTGGGTCTCTTTTCCCCTTGAAAACGCCAGGGATGGCACTGAGGATGTTTCAGCGGTAGCCTGAATCACAGTTACTTTTGTTCATATTCTTCATAATGATCAAGTTCAAGATCTTCATTCAATAAAAATGTCTGAATCTGCTAGTCATGTGCTAGAAAATCCATACGATCTTCATGTGCATCTAGTCGGCGGATTGCCTAAGATTTTCCTGACGATACTAAAATCCGTATGTTGTAATTACGGAAATTACGACTGATCCATATGCTGCATAATATCTGCATTTGGTATCTTCGCTACCTTATGATTATGTTGCTACACTGAGACTGGCACTGACATCAACAGAAGAAGAACGTATGTGTATGTTATTCTTATTGAGAGGGACTAGTCTAACTATGTATTATTTTCTACCACACCTCCGCAAAGAAGTAAATACACCGACAGATGACTACCTGTGATGAGAGCGCTATGGCTATACCGAGAACAGCACAGCTTCTATTTTTATGCCTACAACTTACAACAAAGCAAGCGCGTAGATTTGGGGCTAGTCTGCGTATAGATACATACAACAAAGCAAGCGCTAAATAATCAGGTTCAGACTTAGATTTGGAGTTCGTGTATCTCCTTTGCCACGAGCTCCACAGCGTCGCGCAGTCTTTTCAGTCCAGGCCGTCTACTTGCGTTGACCCTTTCCAACAGCTCCAATTAGCGCTCCACCTCGAAGTCCATCTTCCTGGTGCCGTTTTCTTGAAAACACCTCGAAGGAAGATGCTTCCGAAGCAAGATGGAAAATGAGGGGAACGAGCCTTAATCCAAGGAGGCAGGGTCCTCGCTGTAGCTGATTTCCCAGGTTTTGCTTCGCTCCAAATACTGTTGAAAGTACTCCACAATAGGCGAAAAATGTCTCGATTTGCCAGCTTGCGCGTGCAATTTCCTTTGAAAGGAGGCGTAATGATGAGATGAAGATGAACTACTGCCAGGACGAGATCCGCCCTCCTGACGTTCTGCTTCACTCTCTCGACGCAAAGACAAAGGGACCGCCGTCTGCAACAACTCTAGCAACATCTGGATCAAATATTCGACTGCGTCGCCGAGCATGTTGTCATCAATTTGTTTATCTTTGCCACCACGCCGGAGGCGCTTACACAGTCGAGCAAAATTCCGCTCAGCCTCAGTTGTAGAGGCTCCTCCCTGACTACTAGGCTCTCCTCCGTGACGATCTCCAGGGGTGAAAAATTTCCACATCGCCTTAGAGCGGCACTAGTCGGTCACTATAACTATTGAAGTGAAAAGCGTTCTCATTCTCAAAAACGGGAAGAAAAAACTGAAGCCCCGATCCTTTGGCAGTTCCCCTTGATTTTTCCACGTCTTGGAGTTTTTCTAGGGGGAGCAACTCACTCAGGACATTAAGTACAAGTAGTGATCGACCACCCGTAATAGCCTGCTCCTCGTCTCTTGTCAGTTTACTCCGGGATTCGCGGAGGAGTCGACACGGTTCGCCTCGCTCTTTTTTGTCATTGTTAGAAGTTGCCCGATCTATCTCGCCCATCTATCCCTCTCCTACTTGAACAGGAAGTCCCCATTTCATCTTCTTTCGACATCAATTAAGTATAATAAGACTACTACCTCCTTGTACTGGAAGATGAAATTGAAGAGAGAAGGACAGCTTTCTGTGGATTAAACTTAGATAAAAAATATGCTACAATATATTTGGATGATTATAGATTGATAGGTCAAGTACTTCCAACTTAATACTACTACTTGAAGTTTTTGGGCCTATCGGTACCAGGACGTTCCGAAAACCCCACACCAAGCCCGTTCGGAGTTTTGTTATGGATGACGCTTCTTCCATCTATGCAAACCATCGAGGCTCCCCTTTGACCTATAGCACACGTTCAAGGGCAAAAGGCGCAGCCTCAATGGTCGTAAGGATGGAAAAAACACCATCCATATTTAGCATCTTGCTCTCCTCAGCTGGAGTTCGTCCAACTTTGTCTTCTTCTTGAACTTCACGACTCGTAAAACCAGAGTTCTGCTGCGTTCTACTGATGCGCAGATCATCTGTGCAGGCTTCTTCTTGCCCTGGTTCCGCTTCCGGGGACACAAAAGGCAGAGTACTTCTATTGGGAAGAGAAGAGTAGCACATCGGCATATCATGATATGGAACAGGTACAACTGCCGGCGGCCCAGCCGGCGCAGCAAAAGACGAGTACGAGCAGTACCAGTAGTTCCCCAATCTACTTGTAGGAACAAAAGCAGCAGGTGCAGGCTGCGTCCAACAATGGCCAGTATCCGCACATGGGTCGTGTGGGCCAGGTTGCAGTAAAGACGCCGGCGTTCCGGTTCTTGTAGTTGAGATTGTTGACCGGGAGTCATGTAGTTCATATTTATCTTCACATCTTCCGTGAGGAGTGGTTAAAAGTGCTGGTTCTGTCGTCGTCCACACATCTGTCCTCGTGGTCTCTTCATCCCTTGAAATTATTAGGGGGCTATGAATATGATGTTGATGTCTCTCAAATCTTCCAGACCACGCAGAGAAGCCCTCGACCACAGGCGAGCGCGCTTGGGATGCGGATGGCGGAAAACAACTTCTACTGCTCGCAGTCGCACCAGGTGGAGCAGCAGTTGGCGTACTTGTAGTTCTGTACCAGTCGATGTTCTGTGAAGATGAATCTCCTGCGTTTTGTGCTTGTTGTAAAAGAAGTTGTTTCCCCTCTACCTCCTCCATCTTGATCTTATCTCCATCCGTATCTGGAAAACCAGCAGCATCTTGTCCGCGGGTTGCACTACTTGCGGGTCGCCCCCCACTTGCAGGAGCCTCGTGAGACTCGTGAAACTTGGAAAAATCACTCTTCGAAAACGCCGCGAAGGTCGGCTGCACAGCAGTAACGTCAGTGACAGTACTGCAACCAAGAAGAGCCAGTTGCGCGAGTTGTAGCACGAAGGGGCACAGCCTCCTTATAGTAGAGAGTCCACCTTCTGAGAGGATCGCGTCAGGTCGGACAGGTAAACTAGAGGACGTACGCAGGCGTCCTGCTCTACGAAACGTTGTACGCAGCATGTTGTTCCAGCCAAAGAAATGGCCTATAATTTTCATCATGATTGGTTATTCTCAGGCTTTTTCTCCCAAATGTTGTGTCGTGTTCCAAAGTCTGTAAACTAAGCTTTGAAGCACAGAACTCAGCGCTTGTTATCATAATCTCGAGACCAGCTATAAGTATCGACAAGGACAAGGACGAGGAAATCTAACTACTTCCAACTACCACAACAACTCCTCCTCCAACAATTCAGTCATCTATGGCCAATGCCTGTAATGATAGAGCGGAGTGCGGTCAGCTAAGGACCCTGCTTGACAAAGACACAAGACTTTGCAGCATGCTCACAAAGATCTCGACTTTTGATTTCCTGGCTTTGGAACTCGAGAGCGCTCATGTCGTATTTTGATCTTCGTGCTGTCGATCTATGAAAAAAGCTGCACTTTCAAATAGAAGCGCGGCTACGTGCATGAAGACCTGTTACCCCAAGCCGCACGTGGCAGAGACGGAAAAGATGTGACGAGTAAGCCAGTTCGTGGCTGCATCGTCTGCTAAAATCATTGAGCACAACAAGTGGTGATAAATTGAATATAGAGACTCGACCCGACCATCCACCAACCTCAAGAATTATGAACACCCTCTATTATTTCCAAAAGTCTGCAATCACAGTCGCGTCCAAGAGCCTAGTTTCCATATCATGGAACTTTCGTCAGACAATTGCAATTCGTCTCGGAAAAGAAGAGATGAAAAAATCAAAGTTCTCAAACTAACCCAACTTGCACACTTTTTCTGAGGAAAAAGCAAACCAAAGAACATCATGGACGAGGAGGGGTCAGTGCTTATTGCTCTTCGCTTCGATCATGTCCGATGCAAGTAGGTTCTACTTGTTCTTCTAGCTTCGATTATACCTATCTCCCTCTCATGCAAGTAGGCACAGCTCTTCGCTTCGATCATATCTCCCAGAGTCTGCAGAGAGGCGTTCCTGCTTCCCCAGAACCACACGCAAAGTTCTTCCTTAATCCTCCACAGCAAAGCCTCCACCCTCTTCTCTAGCTGACCCTAATCTTGGACTTGCAGGTGAGCCTGTCGTGGGTACTATCTGAGACGAGGAAGGAGGTGGATTCTCGGAGGATATTGAAGCCACCGAAGGTAGTGCAGGATCTCGAGCAGGGCCTCCAGCATTCTCTACTTGTTCCCCAACATTTTTTACCTCAACAGCAGATGACACAGGCAGCTCCTCTGCTGTCGTGCGTGCACCCCCTTCCGCAGAAGCGAAGATATCAGAGCCAGCTTCCACAGGTGCATTCACTATTGCAGGATCCATTCCGGATTCACCTTCAGGAGCTACTGCTTCGCCTTCAGCAGAGCCACCCCTATTCGGGTTCAATCTCTTTTTTCTCTGCATTTGACTGGCTGGACTTTGCGCAGCGTGAGATGACAGCTCGTCTTCGACTGCCATGTCGTCATCGTCATCTTTGGTATTAGAAGAACGAGAATTAGGATTTGAGTTTTTTTTTGATTACAAGAGCGCAAAACATATTTCCTTGTGTTATTCGGTACTCGTACTGGAATCAACAAAGAGTTTAGAGCACTTGCAATGTATGGATACTTCTAATTCTATATTCTGGCCATAACAATCGACGCTCTTGTTCGATCCTGGTCTGCGTGTCCTCCTGAAATACTTGCAGCGCCTTGACCTGTGAGTTGCTCCAACATCCCTTGCTGTTCACGCAAGAACTCGCTCTCATCTACCTCTTGGATGCCGTCCAGTATGGAAGCAGCACCAGAAGGAGTCGCACTATTCCTATTGTTTCTTGTTCCACCAAATGGCACTGCCTGAAGTTGTGGTCTGCCAGAATGTGCGGGTGTCATACCGTGTTGCTCCACTTCTGCCAACATGTGCTGATTCACGCTGTGAACTTGATGTGACCAGACATGTTCATGATAGTCTTCGTCATGCATCGTTGATGGCATGTTGATTGACATGGAGTAAGGGTGCAGTTGTCCTCCTGGGGCCATGTTGCCCTGCCTTGGTACTTCTACGATTCGTTCTCCTGTAGCTCCGATTGCATGTCCTCTTTCTCCAACAGCACTAGCAGAAGATGGGTCCTTTCCTGCTCCATTGTTGAAGTTGTTCATACTGGAAGTTTTATCAACTCCTGGTCCTGCATGATGATCATGGTAATCGGCGTTAGGATGTTGTCCGGCCGCGGCACCAGGTACTATAGGTAGTCCAACTTCATCTGGTCTTATCACAAAAGGAACTGCATTCGGCCTCCCACCTGCCAATTGAGGAGCGGGTGGAACATTGTAGAAATACCCTGGCGGCGGCTCATAGCAGCATCCCCAAAGAGACGTCGTGCTATCGCAACAGGTGAAGTAGCAGCAAAGGAGTAAGAGCCATAGCGGCGTTCCCCCAATCACTACAAATACGGCCCAACAAAGCAAATTCCAGACGAACGTGATGAGGTTGCCTTCCATGTCGCAATCACTGATCCTGTAGGTATCATACCTCACATCGACATTGAAACCGCCAGGACAATGTGGATCGCTTGTTAAAACCTCATAGCACCCACCGGAGTCGGGACCCAGGTCACCTGAGGGGAACAGCGGGAACAAGTATTGACATAGAAGTTAGTAGTACTAATATCAGAGCAATTTATAAGGTTTCACAGCTCGCATGGCATGGAGTGCATGGATCACATGGGGCAGCATGGAGCTAAAGGGGGAGCTTCTTGCGCCCCTTAAAGCTCTGCGCTCCATGCACTCCATGCTACTCCATGCGTGCTATAAACTACTCTGTAAATATGTCATGAGTTCTGTCGCTTGAGTTTTTGAATAGTTGTTACGAACAGTAAGAAGGAATAATTCTTGTGAAGGAGAAGTAGTAATGCCTATGTCACTCAGTCTTTGTCTTTCTTCACAGATTGCATAGATACAGCACAAACTGCAGAAAAGAACCTCAAAGTTGTTCGAAGTCAGGAAGTACCGAACGTAAACAGCGCTCCTTCCTTCCGTATGGCTAATGCACAGTGACTCGGATTGTGACTTTTCCCCAAGTACTTCATGTTGGCCTGACAATAACTCCCTTTTTCCACTCTAGTAAGACAAACTTTATCCTTCCGCTCAATGGTCCTTTGGCACTGCGTCAGCATGAAGGCGTCAAAGTAAGGGTCGGGGACTAGCTTGCCGTAGCATCCATTGCCAGACTTTTTGAGGAAGCAACGAAAAGCCGCTGGACTCGGCTGTCTTGGTATTTCACGGTTGCGTTGCTGGGGTAATATACTTCTGGGACTACTAGATGGATTTCCTGGATTGCTAGATGGATATAATCCATAGCTACTAGGAGGAACCATAGCTACTGGTACTGGATTGTAGCCACCATAGCTGTTGTAGCCACCTCCTCCACCATATCCCGAACCACCACTACTCGGAGGGAAGTAGCGTGGAGGTGCAGCCGGGCTGGGCGGATTCGGAAATCGTTGAGGTGGAGGCATGATGTTAGGATTGTAGTACGGGTAGGGCCCTCCAGGTGATCCACCCGGAGGAGGCATTTGAGGCATGATCATAGGTGCTGGACCTGGCATAGGTGGCACCCAGGCACCTCGTCCGCTCAGCGTGTTCTGGACAAAAGCAGAGGGTGTCAGGGGGTTACTCCATCTCCTATTCAAAACTGATTCTTGTTCAAGAAAGCTAAGTGCGCCACGACTTCTTGGTACATCATGATGTAGTTCAGCATTCCCGGCTCCTCCTCCTCCGCCAGAAGTCCTAGTCAAAAACCTCGTCCCCTCATGCATGTGCAGCAGTGCGGGTGCTGCCAATGGTACTGGGAGACGCTGTTCTGATTGTTGTTGAAACGCAGACGTTGACTGCTTTCCCGTCTGATGCAAACTACTAGCTGCCGCAGGAGCAGATACCGGAATCAATGGTCGTCCAAAAACGAAGGTGTCATAGACAGGCCTCCCCACAACATCAGCGGATGAAGAAGAAGCACAGGCAGTTTCTTGGCAGTGTTGTCCCTTCCTTGCACATTCCTCAACTGTCTGCGTCACACCGAGATCCACCGAAGCTACTGGACAGGTCGTCGACTCGCCAATGGGGGAGAAACAAGGACCACGCGGAGGCGGTGGCTGATTGGGCCCAACGTAGCGCCTGTGATTTTTTGTTCCTACCAATGGGTGGATGTGGATCTCATCTATTTCATCCCTGCCGCTTAATATGATCTGATCATAATGATCATGTACTTATCATATAAGCAAAGTCTAAGTCTATTTTTGGGTCACCAATCAAATGTACAGACTGCAAGTTCTCCAGCATACGTACAACAAGGAGAGTAGTACCTCCATTCCGCACTTGAAAAGGGTGGTGGTCGCAATCCCAATACCACAGACATATAGGAATCCCAGTAGCTATAGGCGAGCCGTATAATCTGGTAGATGAAGAGCGTGAAGGGTCCGTCGCCAGCGTAGTAGTCGTAGGGGCTCGCCGGTGATTAGAGGCTTACTTTTGTTTGGAGCTTAGTCCATACCTACCTTAAATCGTTAGTATTCTGTCTGTTGAGTCCTAGCTGTATGAAGGTCTAGCTGTTACCAGACTGGAAATTGCAAACCTAACTTAGCGTGCAAATTCACTGCAGCAGAGATCCCCATCTATTATCACTCTAGTCCCATAACTTGAGTCGTACACGCCTCCACTTTGTGGCGCACTAGAAAAGCCTCCTCCCGCACGCTCCATAGGCGTTTCCGAAGCACCCCCACTAGCACTAAATGGGCTCTCATAGTAGACGTTGTTCTGCGCTGCATAATTCGAGGATCCTGATTCACCACTGCTGCTCAAAAGCGGATTATAGTTGTAGTCAAAGGTGTCAGGGACAGCGCGATTATTAGCAGTAGTCGCCATGGTCACCCAGTCGACGAATTTCTTAGTTTCGGATCCTTGGCCCTGACCTTGCTCTTGAAGAGACGTCGTTTGCAATGCTGATGTTTCGGATCCTTGGTCCTGACCTTGCTCTTGAAGAGACGTCGTTTTTTGTAATGCTGATGATGATGATGATGATGATGATGATGGTGGTGGTGGTGGTGGTGATCCGTTGCTGCTTGGGTCATCCGCCTCTTCCTGGTTGTTGTCCTCTTCACCTCTACTCCTACCTTCTCGCTGGAGCAACACAGTTGACGCTCTACTTGACGGCTCGTTTGATCTTCTTCTCGCCTCGAAATAAGAATCTTGTTGAGCTTGTTCATCAGAGGACTCATCTGGCATAGGAAGTTCATCTTCCTCTCCACCACTACGACCTCCTTCTAGCACACCTTCATCTCCTCCATTATCAACGACTACTATGCCGTTGTGAGTCAGTGTCCTCTGTGCTCTAGTGTCAAGGGTGCTCGAGGCCAAGCCGTAAGCCGCATACTGCGAGATGACGAATACGAAAGACGTAGAGGCCAATAGACCGCGTATTATCGTTGCAGCACCTCGCATCTTGCGAGCGAGGTTATAGCGCGCCCTTCTTGCAAAGAAGACACGAGCCAAGGAAACACGATTGGAGTTGGTCATTTTCGTCGTTAGGACGAGTGAATGATCCAGTGGAAGATCTTCTAGATGTTGATCTAGATCAGATATAGATAATCTAGATTTCATCCGCGGGATACGCTTCTAGTAATGAGAAAAAAACATTTGAGTGTCAACAACTTCAGAGGAAGCAAGAAACCCATGCCATCAACTCCACTAAGCATCACATCACAACATTGTTTTTGTTATTGAAGTAGGCGAAGCTACATCAAGCTGGTCCAATCACAGATACTAGCTCTGCACAGGCAGCTTCCAACAGACAAATAGTCATATCGAGTAGGACAACCGAACTTTCGAATCCAAATCATAATTCCAGAATGGTAGTTGCTCTTTAGGAGGATCGAAGAAGACACATTACAGAATCGAATAGTGTCTCAACAGTTCACCGAACTTGGCAGGGCCAACAGATGATACAGAATTTGATTATACTCCTATTCACAAAAGAGTTGTAGCACATCAATCACCCGATATTTCTCCAAAACAGAGGTGGTGCTTGTCGCTCAACCGATGTTTTGAGAGAAACGACGCGCCTAAACACGACATTGAGTAGACTTTACGGAGAGCTCTTTTTTTTTCGATTCGTTCATTTTCTTGTGGTAAGCGGCGCAATCACTGTGCAGGAAAAGATAAGGTTTACATTCTGTACATAAGTGAGTGCTTGAGAAGGTTTTGCGCAATACATCTTCTAGTACTCAGGTGATTTTTCTTGAACAACAGTCTCGGACGAATAAATATGGAATAAGCGCGCAAGCAACCATAGGTCGTATCAAACTTACTTACATCATTCTCTACAAATGATCATACCCCGCCAGCATTACCCCTACTAAAAGCAAAAAACCACCTACACTACACGTCGGAAGTCCGACGGTGAAAGATACCGGTCTTATCCTTTTTGCGATGCCTGTGGCGCATCGCTGCTTCCCGTCACCCATCTTGTTCCAGATCGGGTCCGCGTATAGTTCGCAAAAACCGGCACATTCAAACTCGTACTCACTATCGGACAGGTAGTCATAATAGACTTTGTTCACTGCAGCGGTTGCTTCGGTTTCACCACCAGACGCAGAGGCAGAGCCAGCCTTTCCTGTCGAGACCGTAAAAGCTTGATTTTAGAGGTGCTTTGGAGGCTTGTTGATGTGACTGTGGCTTACGAGTATGACTTATATATTACCATGCATTTCTAATTCTTCTTGAAACGATCCTTAAAATTTTCTGACTCTCTGCGCATCCCCTCCCGCTGTTGCGGCCCCTCCCGGTGTTCCTGCAGTCTCGGCATCATCAAGGTATCTCTTCCCGCTAGAAGCTGTCCGTCTATCGATTTCCTCGAGTGTTGGAAGGTGAAGCAGTGACGTTGACGGTGCGTGGATAGTACTACTAAAACTATTTCTCCTGGATGAAGATTGGTGAAGCAATGGTGACGAGGAGTATCCATCTTCGTTCAAAAGTAGTCTCCATTTTCTATCGCGATCTATTCCTGGTTGTCTTGTCCACGAAGAGGTAGAGGATGTCTGCAAATACGCCAATGGCTGTTGTGAACGAGACAAGGACTTTTGCTTTTCTCCTACCTTCAACATCCTACTACTACTTTTTTGTTTTGATTCTCCTAGTCGTGACAATGAACTCGTACTAGTTGGACGTGATGAAGAGCTGGGGATAGGACTAGGATGCAATGGCCAGGCAGCTCCACTCGCAGAAAAGCGTTCTTTTTCTGCAAAATCGATAAAAATCTTCCCTGGATAGAGCTCTTTCTCCGACAACTTCTTTTCTGGGAAGAGATTAGAAGGTCACATAGTTGGTTTTGGCAGGTAGTGCTACTCATCAGATGCAGATGCTAGTAGCTAATCATGTAGCTACTTATGTCATAATAGTACACCCCCTGCCCAGAAGATACTCTCAGTTACGACAACCGCGTCACTAAATGAGGTTCAGCACCGCATCACTAAACTATGTTCAACCCTCCACATGCCCTAACAGCTTCCTCCTCTTCTTCCTCAACTGCTCCCGGTAACTTCGGTGGTTCTTGGTTGAACGGTTGGGTTGCGAAGTTGGGACACGACTCGATATCCTGCTGAAACGTCGGATCGCACGCTTTGAGGAAGTCCTTACATGCTGTCTTAGACCTTTCATCCCCCAACCAAATCCAAAAAAATTGAAGGTTGGAATTCCCTGAAGACCGGGCCCCCCCTTGTATTGCTTCCCTTGTTGTATTGGGAGGCCTATATGAATGCACTTGAGGGATCTCTATAGAGATGGCTCTATAGAGATGGCTTAGGGGAAGCCTTAGCTGTCCAGGTTTCCTGTAGTGCTGCAGTAAGCGGATCCTGTCCGCATTTCTTGGTCAGGTTCATCACCACCCGTTCAGCCTCCATAAGGACAAAGGATCCCGCGAGAATGAGGACACAACCGAGTGCCTTTAGTTTTTTTGAAGAATTGAGATATGCTACTGCAACAACTCTTCGATGATTCAAAACTCTCTATGTCTATTCCTCAAAAAAACTCGAAGACATCATGGATTTTTTGAAGAATTGAGATAGGTTACTGCAAGCAACAACTCTTCGAGTTTGTTTGAAGAATAGAGAGTTTTAAGCAGAAAGCTTGTTCAACCATCGAAGAGTTGTCGCGAAGATCTGCGATTTGCATGCCTGCTACAGACAGTGGATCCATTTTTCTCAGAGCCGCGATTGTGCTCGGGTGTACGCCTGTTTCGCATCTACTGTAAGGAACCGAAACGGATACCTGCTCCTACAAGAACATGACACAAATCAATACGATCAGACTACAAGAAACAAGCATGTCGACGCAAAATCAATACCACAAACAACATGACGCATCCTTTTCTCGCAGCTGCTGGTCTTACAGTGAAACATTGGAAGTAGTTGACGCCAAGGTTGAGGCATAACAGGCAAATCGGCACACTAAGGTTAACGTTTTGAGGCATCGTGCCTAGCCAATAGACGATGTGGATGTCGGTCGCATACACGAGGAAGCAGAACATAGGCCAGATCGAAAGGAAAACGGCTGTTAGAAGGGGAGGTGGCGATCCGAAAGCGATCGATACGGAAGGGCGAGGCACCACGGAGAATTCCGGATGGTAAAAACTTCTTTTCATAATTAATGGCAGCAGATCGTAACAGACGGAAGAAGGTACTTGAAGTGGATTCATGGGCTATCATTACTACAACTCCTGCCATAAATTAAGAAAACAGAGAAAAAACTGCAGCCGTCCGCTGTTTTTATGCGCACCGAAGCCGAAGTAGTTGAAGACTCCATCGCACACGCGATTGATCCAACGCGCCATTTTGAAGTGGTTCAGGAAGGTGGTGGTGAAAACGATTGGTCATGAAATGAGAGTCTAGTGCTCCTGATCAGAAACTTAGACCTAGTACAAGCGTTGAGAAGTATTCATCTATACTGAGAAGTAGATCTGCAGCTGGTTCTTCAATTTTTTCATGGAAAAAATTTCCTACACTGTTGTACTTGTAAAAAGCGACTTAGATTTGTTTAATGACCACTCGTTGTGCGATTTCTCTCTCAACATTTCTCTATCCGTCCTCTTCTCGCTAGCACTCTCGGACAATTTATTTTGACAAGGCATCATCTCCATTTTTGGCGTTCCAACACATCCACCGCATTAAACGGGGGAGCAGAAGATGTGGCGCATGATGAGGGATCTGTCAATGTCATACACGCAGCTGGCTGTATGATTTCCTTATACGAGGGTAGTTGTTGTAAGTTGAATTCAGCTTCTGTTCATGGGTCATCTTCAAAAGAAGATGCTGGTGCTTTTTCATGAGAAGACTCGCGTCATTCGTTTGAGTAGATCCGCCTGTTTACATAAGTAAGTAGTTCTTCATCACGATCATCATTCCTAGTTCATCAAGTAAGACCTCTTCCTGTCGTCATGATCCTCGCGGTCTTACAACGCGCGTAAAAGAAAAACCCATACAACATCTGATTTGGATAGCGATTATAGCAATAAATCGAGGATAAGAATAAGACGAAATATAAGTGACTTCTATTAAAAAGTGATCTAACTGGTACAACGACTTGTATTTGGAGATTTCAGAAAAAGTTTCTGGCCACCCACAGGGGCAAGTTTCGTTTCACACACAGCAGAGTAATGTTTGAATACAAATGTTCACGATCACACTGGTACTAGTAATGCGTCAATAAAGTTGATCACCATTCATGCATTTGCGCTTGATTGATCATGAACAGCTTTGCTTTATCACCCGTCAACCTCGGATTCAACCTTCCCAGAATGCTGTTCTCCGGTTTTTCGTCTTCGTCTACGTCCTCCCTAGCCGAATCACTGCACAACAGCACCAAACAAGACCAGCACATGCGACAGTAGGCGTGGTGGGTGGTTGAAAACTTCAGATTCCTGACCACTGCTTCTGCAGACCTAAGCAGACATGCGTCGCATCGTTCCGTGATCTTTCTTGATCTGACCACGATGCGCGGATAAGGTCCAGGGAAATGTAAGACGTCCTTTCGGAACCACATGACGTTTTCCACCACGACGACTCTGGGTCGCTTCTCCGTGTTGCTATGAAAAAGCATGGGCTGTTTGCTGCCGACAGCGAAGTTTTCTCCAAAAATATCCTTGAACCGTAAACCCCACTTCGGTACTACACGAGGCTCCTTGTGAGGCTCCGTATGAGGGGAGGAAGAGGACGTGGCTTCCTCCTCTGCTCTTGGGGTGCAAGCCATAGAACTAGAAGTCGATGAACAACCCGAAACATTTTCATTTGCTGGTACAGAGGTTCCGGTCAGTTGATCGACATCGGTTGACTCCTGCGACCGAGCAGACCACCACTCTTTAATTAGCTCCGACAAATGACAAACCTCCGGCTCCACAACGCCGTTGCGACCTGAAGTTTTAAGTTTTAGAATTTATAATCAATTTTTGTGGTGAGTTGAATGTCGAAATGTACACAACTACTATCAAGATTTGCTGTGAGCAATTTTCCGAAGGAAAAGAAGACACGAGTGGCACAATTGGTCTAAAGTCAAAATATTGAATACCTTCTTCCTCCTCTTCCATCGCAACGTCGGTTTCTTCTGTATGCTCTCCCGTACCTGGAAGCACTGATGCGTAGATGGTATCGCCAACCAGTAAACAGGTCTCCGTATCCCGGAACTGGTCTACGCAGTAAGAACGATTCGACGCACGATGCGAGCTGTCTAATAGAAGTTCAGAAAATTCCACAAGTAAAGTGGATCCTAGGACGTCGATACTTGTTTCCAGTTTCTGCGCAGAACCAGTTTCTGAACTGTAGACGCTTAGACGGATGAGGATGTCCTCTCCGTTTGATGCAGAGGACGCATCTTGTTGTGCATGATCTCCCTCTGTTCGTGCAGCATCTTCCTTGGCAACGAGATCTGCAGCTCCCTCTGCCGCATCTGCTCCACCTCCTAATTCCATCCGGAAGAGTCTGTTCTCCATGTTCTTCCCCTTCCGCAAGTGTTTAGGCGTATTTTCTTGCAGGTACACGCGGAACCGGGAGTTCAGCAGTGGCGTTCGGATGTCGACTCGATCGTACGTGGCCAAAGATTCCTCAGACATACCAGATGCAGCTATGGCATCTACCTCTGCTCGTGCACCGGTGCCACAAACTTTGCTCTGCTCTGGTGCGTTCGCTTCATCAACCTTGGGGTCGTCGTTAAACAGATCTCCTTGCTCAGCCAGCTCCAATTTCTCGTCGTCCTCGACCACGTCGGCATTTAAGTCATAATCGCAATTATCCCCGTCATAATCGCTTCGACCTCTTTTGTTGGTAACATTCTTCCTCTTGTACTCCAAGCGCATCCATTCTGGCCTAGCCCTTGTCCCTCGAAAGACCGTCGGCCACTCTTCATGGATGCTCTCTAAAGCCTGGCTCCAGCGGACACCACCTATGACACCAGGAGAAAGACGATTAGGTCCGTACTTAGTATCCGCTACGATGGTACCTTTAGGATTCTGGTGCTTATCTCCGAGTTGATGCTCCTCCCGTATCATGATCTTTCTCAACAGATTGACACGCCGCCTAAGAGAAAAATGCGTGGCTTGGACATCCTCAGTGAGATGGGGCATCAGCACAGTCCGCTGACCCTGGAGCAGGCTCAGAGGATCGAGCAAAGTCACGCTGTTGTATAACGCAGAGCGAAACCGTGTGCCGTAGTAGAGTTTGCGCATAGCGTAGGTGTAAGTCCATAAAGATAGATCTGAAAAAGCATCTTGTGGATGCTCTTCTTCATCTTCTCCCTTTGCCTTGCTTGCTAATTTTCCACCATCGCCAGTTGTACCACTGCAATCCATCTTACTGCTTGATGAAGATGATGACGGGCGCTTACCATCTACGTCAGAGAGTCTTTGGCGTTTGCTAGCTGGAACTTCTTTATTTGAAGACTCGTCCTGCACTCCTGAAGCAGTAGATCGAGGGACCCTACTATCTGTGATATTCGCAAGCTTAACCATGCGACTTGCGTCGTCAGCCTGTGTGGCAAACTCTAGGCCACTCGTGTCCACAAAGCTTCTTCCGACTTTGCTCCTTTTCTGGTGTGTAAGTACACTTGAATAGAAGCAACGACTGAGTGAGTCCCGTGATAGACGCTTCAGTGCGACGAGGGTATCTGCGTCTGCTTCGAAGTCGGCAAGAAGTGCTGTTGATGTATTACACCTAGAAGTATCTACCCTTGCGTTTTGATCTTCTTCGCCAAATACGTTTCTCGACAGCCACGCCCAGCCATCACGCTTGAGAACCTCGTAACAAGAACTCGGACTCTTGTCTAATTCTTGGGGTAGTTGTTCCAGATGTCCGTTTTTGTCTTCGGCTTCGCGTCTCGCCACTACATCCTCCAAAATTTCTCCAAAGCTCGTTACCATCCAAAGGTCATCCACGGTCTCCTTCTGTCTTTGACCAAAATTAGCCAAATCTCCTACTTCTCTATAATGGTGGGTGGCTAAGAGGTACTGCGAAGCGCAGTAGTGCTCTCGCATACTGTACATCTGCTTCAAGGTCCGCACATCTTCCAGCTCTGCTCCCACACGGTTAGCCTTCAAACTCGTGCACGACCGCGAAGACCGTGCAATTTGCAGGCGCTCACGGATCAACAGGTCTGTCGGAGCTGACGGAACTCTGTCCGTAGATGAACTGCTGGAAGGCGTTGGGTCCATTTTTCTAATTGAATTTGAATTCTAGTTCACGACGGCTAGTACTATTCAAATTTTTAGAAGTAAAAAATCGAAGTATTCAAATTTTTAGAAGTAGAAAGTCTAAGCACTTACGTGGAATGAAACTGGGCTAGGTCTGATGTTCCTTTTCAGAGGGGATCGTGCTTAACACTGCTCTATTGCAATTCTTCTCCACCTACAGCACTTACTTCTGCTAGTAGTTTCAGTTTCTAGTTCGTCAATAACACCATTGAAAAAAAATCCACTTTTGCCTGGAATCCAGTTTTGAAAGCCACATGATAGGATACTAGGATAGGAGGTTCTGGATGGTGATCGATAGGACAGGATAGGAGCCACATGAAGGATGGTGATCGATATCTCCAAATTAGAACTGCAAGCCTGCTCTTCTTAGATGAGTCATGCTCTTCTTTTGCTTTCCTTAGATCATTGGATCTCGCTCCGGATGTTCAGGTTCTTGGTCTCAAATTTCTTCACTTCTGAGGATCTACTTGTTAAGAACGCGGGAGCTCAGGAACAATTCTGCCTGAAGAGTCGAGACCATTGATCATGACAAGAATTTCGCTGACATCAAATTCATCTACTATACATGAGTGGCGTGTAATAATAATCGATCTTGCTGTGTTACACCTGCAGCAGCTTGTAGTTACAGTGGTTGTATGTTCTTTCGCGTTGATCCTCGTTGTTCCTGGTGACTCTGTCCGTTTCTTCCTCACTCTACAATGCGCAAAGAAGACCAACAACGTTCTGGAACATACTACTTTTACTTACTATTACTATTTATTACAACACCATTTACATGATATACGTACCCATGCTGAGTCCCTGAAAAATCCAATTTTGGTATCTACCATCATAGAAGACATCATAAACCCGTACTAGTCTATAATTTATGAACAATGTTACCAAAACATAATATTACAAGAAGAATCTTCGCTACCTAAGTATGCTGCTACCTAAATGTAAACATGCTGAATCTGAAATAGGAAAGAAATAACCCAAGACCCAATTGAAATTTGCGATGGAATTGTCGTCACAAACTATCAAACGTATGCGAATAAGAAAGTCTCTTGAAAGTCGTATGCAAATGTCTATTCTATCCAACCTACTTGGTACACTCATTATAGTTAGTGATCATCTTTACTTTACACGAGCATCAAACCTCGTCATATTTTTACATGTACAGCTTCATCATAGTGTGCGATCATGCTTCTCTGTTTAACTACTTGGTATGCTCTGCTACTTTCAACCACTACTGATGAATATGCTATGCTAGTATCCTGTGCGAGAAATTTTACCAAGTGTCAAGTTTTCAGCAAAGCTTCGGCTCCCGTTTTGCTCTTTAGTCGATTTTCTTATCCCCTGGTCGCGGTGATAGCATATCTCCCTTATCACTCGTTATCCCTCCATCTGTTTCTTCGTCCCCTTCTCCTCCCTTCTTGCTTCCTTTTTTCCCAGCAGCTCCCGGACTGCCCACTAGTTTCTTCTTTTTCTTCTTCCTTTTCAAGATCGTGCCGTCTTCTCTGGTTATGTATTTCGGTGGTTTCACGCTCCTCGAGAATTCGCCTTCGCTAACCATACCATCCAGTCCTCTTGGGCCGCCTACTAGTCTGCTTAAGTCGACCTGCGGTATGCGTTCATCCATTGCTCCTTTCACCTCCGTCAACACGCCAGCCAACCGCGCCATTTCGTTCTGCATTGCCGTCATTTCTGTTCGCATGGCCTGGTTAAGTAGAAGATGGTGATGCTTTTATTAGGTCCTCTTAGGATTATATTTAGGAGTGGAGGACGCGGAATTCTATCGAATCAAATCTGGCATGTTGATGTTTGTAAGTTGCTTGCAGTGGCAGTTCAAAGATAATCAAAGATTTCCTGGCATGCATTAGCAGTAGCCCCCTGTAGTTTATCAGGTAAACATGGACTATGTACTGTTCTGGTATTCGGTAACCTGATTTCGATCTCAAGGGTTCTCGTCTTCTTGCTTTCCCCCTTCTGATCATCAAAATCAGGTTACCAAATTCCAGAACCATTCAGACTAAAGTATAAGTGCTATGTCGGGGGCTCCCGTCGTCAAGTAAAAGCAGTATGCGCTACTTGAGGTAACATCAGGGTAAACTTCAACCCGACAGGCAAGACAATCCTCAGTCGCTGGCAAGACAAGATAGTCACGAACCGTCAACCATAAACCAGATATGCAGACATCAATCAGTGCCTCCAGTTACAACCATAAACCAGATAAATATGCAGACATCAATCATTGCCTCCAGTTACAAGTGTTCTGAAATCCTTAGAGATCCTTAGATGTTAACAAAGGACAAGTATCGTCTGTATCTGAATAGGCTTTGAAGCGAAGAGAACAGTGCAAAAGCTCGTACTACTAAGCAACAGCTAGAGGTAGATTACCTGAGCAGTCATCAGCATGTCATAAGGCGGAGAGGATCAGAAAAAACATCATCGAAGTCATGGAGGGATGAGAAAAAACATTCTGATATGAAGTACGTCTCTATCCTTTTGTGCTTTTGCTCTTTCTGCCTCCATCGCCGTTTTTTCTTCCTCCCTTGCCTGCCTCACTTCTGCCGCGAAACGACCTTGTTGGGATTGCAACATGGTACTTTTCAGGAGTTTCGTTTTTTCCTCTGGGTCGCAGGCCGATCGAATCAATGCGATGTTGTGGGACGAGTCCATCACACTGGACACCAGTTCCATATATGTCGTTGCCAACTCGAAGTGGTCCAAACCCCCAGAGCCGTCGATATCTAAGGCGTCGAAGAAACCACCTGCATCTTGAGCGTTCAGGTGCAACTTGTCAAACAAGTGCCGCAAGGCTCGATTTTTCATCCAATTATTGATGAAATACTCTTTGGTGGTCACTTCCTCGTCTCCGGGAAAATCTAGCAAGTCGCTAATCTCTTGGGTCTTGTGGTCGATGTCGGTGTTAGTCTGCACTCTAATTAGAACTTGCAGAAGTTGTCCATCTTGGAGGAGGGCATCTCTCCACTCGTTTCCCTCCGGTGCTGTACCTACGAGACAAAGAGATGCCTTTCGAAAGATGGATTCCCTCAAGCACCAGCCTTAACTTGACCTGCTGCTCACGCGCCGTCTCGAGCACAGTGACGGTGATCAGGTTCATGAGCGAGAAAGCGGAAATAGAAATAAAGAAGAGGAACCAGAAGTATGTCCAAACCTCCTGCTCAAACAGTGGCTGCGTCGGCCCAGTCCATCCGTCGAGGGTCATGATCTGTTGAAAGTGGTTGATCAATTGCGATAATTGATTGCTTCACTAAGACTAGGAAGAAAAAATGCAGACAATTCAATTGCAGAAAAAAGTAAGGGCAGCACGCCGCTAGTTGTACAACTACTAATTTCCTGTAAAAAATAGATTAATCATAATCATTTCCAAGCAACATACCTTCTAGAAGTGCAAGAATTTCCTGACTCGACTCAAACAAGTTGTATCATCGAAGTTCAAAATAAGTACCTGAAAAAGTGTAATCAGCGCTTTGCTGGTCGAATAAAAGCTTTCCTGAGATTCCAAGACGCCAGGATCGCTCCCCAGGTCCGCTCGCCCAATCAACACGATGGTAAAGATCGCAAACATAAAGACGACCACCAAGATGAACCCCACTGCCCAAAAGAGTGGCGTCAGCGAGAAAAAGAAAAGCTCCACGACATGCCACAACGCTTCGAACATGGTCAGCACACGCAGGACACGCAAAGCACGAAGAGCACGCGTAGAACGAACCAGATTCAACATGGGGTCACCTGGTGATTTTGGAATTGAACTATTGGTTTTGGTGAAAAAAGAACACTATTCTTATTGATTCTAACATGTTTTGGATGACGGCAGTAAAAAGCTCACATCAAGGAAAAATTAAGTAACCAACCATTTGCATTTTCTCTATGTGCTTTGATCATGAGCGTTAAATTCTATCATGTTGAAGCTCTTGGTGGACGAAGGCAAATTCAACAATAGTTGATCATTATACCGATAGACAATGACAAATCTAAACCTCCTGTTTCTAAGTAAGAGGGGATGGATCAACAAAAGAATCATCTTCATCAGCAGTACTGTCTTAGTGTTTCACGTTGAGTAAAAGAGCAATCAATCTGAAGAAACAACAGAATAGGAGTACTACTGTGTGTCCTTGCCGCTTAGTTGAAGAAAAATGTGATGGAGGAATACACTGCGTACCCATAAGCATATTATCAATTATCACCTAAGACCTTCAAGCTAGTCCTCGTGGATCATCTAAAAATATTTTTACAGATGTAGAAGCAAGTACTGTCTTTCAAGCTGATTTGTAGAAACGTTCCAGCGGCTATCGGCAGGATAACTTCTGATATCAGACCTGTGGAAACGACTACCACATCCAACAGGTACATGAAGTTGAAGACGACCTCCTTGATCCCGAAAGCCTTGATACGCAAACACAATTCCGCCGTAAACACCATCAGAAAAATAAGATCGGAAATCTGTTGTGAGCGGTTTGTTGTGGGGGTGGAAATAGGGTTTATTTTAGTATATATTTAATATAAGTAAGTTGTTGTGAGGGAAGAAATGCGTTGAGTGATAGTCTAACTGTAGGCTCATGAAGGTCACCCTCAACAGAGACTCGCCGGCAATGTAGTCTATGTATAAGGGTACCTTGTTGTGATACGTGGGTGAAGATTATATCACGACCTGCAGAACCTCAACCTTGTACTTCTTGTAGTAGACTCATCTGTTAACAAGCCTTAAGAAGTTCTTCTTGCACTACTATTCTCGTACCAATATGCACATCTGCAGGGCTTTATTTTCGATGTCTCTGTCCGAGACCTGGTATTCGATACCCATAAAGAGGACGTTCAGCATGATACATATTCCGATGCCGACGTCGAAGTGTTTGTGTGTGACTAGTCGTTGCATTGGCGTCATCGTACTTCGCACGTCTGGGTCTTGTAACCGCTTCTTTTTTTAGAGTCTAAAACCTAGAAGGAGCTGCATCCTGGATGAGCCTTTTGAGATCACTGAGAGACAGGTCTTCAAAACGGAAAATTCAAAAAAAAAGACGTTTCCCTTAATTTTTCTCGATCACGTTCGTCTGCAGAGGTGGCAAGTTCTTCAAGTGCGCATGTTTTTCTTCTCGCAAACGCTTCGCCTTTTCCTTAATTTTCGCGGCTTGCTTCTTCGCAAGCATGACACCAGTCATATTAAGACCTCCTCCACCTTTCTTGGCTCCACCCCCAAAGAGACCACCTAGGCCGGCTTTGGGAGTCGCTCCTGGACTAGCACCGGGGGCACCTCCGCCGAGGGAATTAGAAGTGATTGATAGCAACAGCAATATATTGCAGTGGATCAGAATAGGCAGATGATCAATATAGTTCTCGCATAAGATATTGTAGTGGATCAGAATAGGCAGACGAATCAACAAAGAATTTTTACAATTCATGTATTGCAGTGGATACCGACAGGCAGACGAATCAACAAAGAATTTTTCCAAGAATTGCACATTAATTATGTAGAAAACAAGATCAACAAATTGGAAAGCTTTATCCGTCGTGCTAATCGTTTTTTAAAAACTGCGTCGAATTAAAAAACTGCGTCGTATATACGACATGCTAATCGTTTTTCCAAAATTGTTGTCTCTGGTACTTCTATCGGGGTTACGCAAGAAGATGAATGAAAAATGAATGTACCCAGCACTACACACTACTCCAGTTGTTTTGAGCCTTAAGTAAAGCCGCTGCGCCACCTGCTGCCTTTGCTCCACCGACTGGAGAGGCTGCAGGTGAAGTCCCATCTGTGCCAGGAGCGCCTATTCCAGCAATAGACACTTTCTTCGCACCTGCTCCCGCAGCACCTCCTGCCCCAGGAAAGAGACCACCTAATTTAGCGTTTGCACCTCCTGCTTTGGCACCACCGAGGCCACCTCCTAAAAGCGGGTTTTTTGCGGTTGCTGTGGCCGTACTGTCCTCTCCTGTGGTACTAGCGGTTCCGGGAGCAGAGGTCGTGCTTGTCTCATCGGGCTTCGATGCTGCGGCTCCTAGTGCTCCGCCGAAAGGTGAGGCTTTCTTTGCTCCCAGACCGCCTAATAATGGGTTATTCGCAGCTTTGGGAACTGTAATTAGAGGTAGGCTTTTGGTGCTCGCTTACCCCGCTTGTTATGCCTTTATCCCTTAGGAGAGGCATAAAAAGCGGTAAGAAAAGCACCTCTAACCTACTCTTAATGTAACGGCAGCTGGTGCTGTCGCTGCTGCTACGTCTTCGTTTCCAGCAGTAGTGCCTCCTTCTTCTGGAGAAACTTTATTTGCGTCTCCTCCAGTCGGCAAAGGCAAACCAGATCGTTTTGCTTTGGTGCGTTCTATTTTCGCTAGCTTCTCATCCGATGCCTTAGGTTTTGCGGCTCCACTTCCTTCGAACATCTCTAATCTTTTGTCTAACATAGCCCCACCACCGTGGCCGTTTTTCGCTAGCATAGCTCCGCCACCCAGAGCGCCAAGGCCACCTTTGGCTGCAGGCGTGGTCGCAGCAGCAGCTTTCTCAGGTACGACTGATGTTACAGTTGTGGGAGCTGGTGTTTCGGTAGCTGCTGGTGCTGCGGGTGAAGCAGAAGTGCTGGCTTTTGGAGCAGCCGAATCTGTTGGAGGGGCTTCCCCGGCAGCAGCAGCTTTTGCAGCATCTTGTTCTGCATTCATCTCCGCTGCTTTTTGTTTCATAGCATTCAACATGCCCATCCGTGATGGTGGCATCTCGTGTCTACCTTCTTGTAATCTCGAAGATGTTAAAGGCGCCGCCGCAGCCGGCGCTGGAGGGCCCATTCGCTCCATACTGAGACTCAAATGCTGCTCTACAGCGTCGTTTACATCATCCTCGTCCAGCCTATGGGTATTTCTTGACATTTTGTTCTCGCTATGTTAAAGCTCAGCCTTCAAGGGTCACTGACTCTGAACGGAAGGGACCCCCTTCAAAGCTCTCCCCTTTCCCTTCGTTTTCCCCCCATCTTTCCTCAAGGGGTCGCCTCTTCGATCTCAGTGACCAACCCCAATGACCATTGAAAGCTGAGCCTTAACTATGAGAAGATGCTTGCGCCCGGTTCTTGGATGTGTTCATCGTGGACTACGTGGTAGCCATTGTTTCATTCATTCATTCATGTACCTGTTGTTTGATCATATCAAAAAAGGAATTGGAATTCTTACGCACAGTCTACTTACAGACCAAAAATCATGCTTGGGAAGATTACTTGTGAGTATAACAAAGGCACATGTGTGTGTGTGTGTGTGTGGGGGGGAATGAGAAAGATCTGGTTTTTGATAAGGTTAGGTTAGGTTATGGATCCTTCACAACGAGATGATAAATGTTGATGTTGAGTAACAAGAAATTATAACAAGAGGTGTAGGACATTCGGAGTTAACAAGAAGACACCAGAAATCTGGCGTAGGACATTCGGGATCTCATAATCTGTCTTCACGCACTCAACAGGACAGACTTTAGTAGCAGCAAACACTGTTGAGTCGCTCAAGCACCTGACTTCTACAGAGTACACACTAGAGCAGATCTTTCGTTCGTTATCTTCTCACTCTACTGCTCATTCATCAAGTGGCATCCAGACTTAGATTTAGACCTCATTTGAGTACAGAACATCAAAGTCATAAGCTTTCTCTCATCTCTCACAACAGAGACTAAGCTAGCCCCTCTATTTACCATAGATGAAGATCATCTCTCACAGCACAGACACACCAAGTAGATGAAGATCATTTTTTTCCTGAGAATCTAGGTTTGATCCAGCGTATTTTTTTCCTCTCCTCGCTTTCGTTCGTTCGTATTCTGACAGAGACACACTAACGTCGATAGAGGCATTCATGATGTGACAAATCTATAGTATAGTAAGTCGCGTGTTGTCTAGTAGTAGGATATTTCGTGAATGAGTCTTCCTGGAAAACTTTGCTTATCTTATCATAATCACATGGGTTTTTTTCTGGGAAATATAACTGCTTAATCAAGTGGGTTCGGTGATGTTGTTGTTCTTCTTCTTCTCGTTGTATTCAAAAAATGTAAACACAATATTGAGTTATTTCAGAATTCTTGTTCATAATCTTGATCTTCATCTATTCTCGTAATAGGACATCTTCCTTAGTAAACAAGCTACAACTTGATTCTCATTGATGCTCTCCATTGTTTTTGGTATCTTCGGCGCCTTCTCTCTCTCTGTCGTCTCCTTCCCTGTCTTAGAATCCCACTCCTCACAACATCCCTGGCTTCATTTCCAGTAGTAAAAGGGCCAAGGATGGTAGTCCGGAATGTAGTTCCGTAGCCCTTAACTGCCCTCTCCTCCTCCTTCTCTGCCAACATCTCCTCCGTCGCCCTTGCGGCCCTCTCCTTCTCTGCCATGCTCCTCAAAATTTTTCTTGACGATGAATGGCATTGTCATGGTGCTCAGCAGTGTCTTTCGCCTCGCTCCCGCATTCTCTCCAGCTAGGCATTTTGCCCTTATCTCGTGTCGTTCCTTGTGCCGCGAGGACGTCAGATGCAAGTCCAGTTTCACTGGACAGATGTTAGAAGACGAAGAGAAGCTCTACTACGTCCACATATTACTTACAAGAATTCGTTTTATTCTTGGGGCTTCTTTATTTTACAGCACTAAAAGGAACTTACAGCACTAAAAGGAACAAGAAGTTGTAGTAGAACTAGAAGAAGTACATGTTAAAGCAGCTGATGTACTAGAAGACGGAGAAGTACATGTTAAGAAAGCAGCTCCACATACTCACTCAAATAGAAGTGCATCTGCATGTTCTTCAAGGATGTAGTAGTAGTACTGTACCCATTCGTGGGGTATTACAGACAACTTTAATTATTGGTTTCGCATTTCTTTAAGAAGAGTTCTAATATCTGATCGAATTAAAAACAGTATCTTCGTCCAGAGGATACCACGTGAGTAGAGCTACAGCTACATCACTGAAGAAGAAGAACTCAATAACAAGAACAAGAAGTACGTGGAACAACTGAAAGGGTACGAGGAGAGTGGAACAAGCAGAGGGTGGGGTGGGATAATTAATAAGCTTCGAAGCAGAGAGTAGAACAGTGCTTGGGATGAGAGAAACTGTTTCTACACCTAGTAGAGGTGGGACAAGTAATAGCCTTCAGCTTCAGTGTGAGTATATGCTTCACTATGAGTCATGGCCGTCCTAAATTGTGGCGGAGCCGACCTAACTAGAAAAAAAAAAGACCAGAGCGAGGGAGATAGAAAAGAGAAAAGCGGAGCTATCGCCAAGTATCCTCCTATCTGCTAAAACTAATTAAGCGCCGGCGATATCGTCGTCCTGTCATGGTCATCATAAAGATAAAACAATACAACTCTACCTTAACAATAGGAGCAGCATCCGCGTTCATCTCTTCCTGTTCGAGCTCGTCTTCTGCTGCAAAATCCGCCAGGCCCTCAAGCTGCAAATACAATTCCAATCGCTCGAAAACTTCATGGAAGACTTGTTCTTCTAGAAGAGACAGTTCCTGCCCTGTGAGAATTCCGGCTGGTCGTTAGAACTTGTGTGGTCGTGTGCTATTCCTATTTTGTTGAAACAAGTTGACATTAATTATACGCACTATTTGTATCTTTCCATCCTCTTCATCAAGAGCTGCATGATGAGCATCTTGCTGCCAATCGTAGCCCACCAGATTACTCTTTTGTTTCTCCATCTCCAAGAAATACATCTTCGTGACTCATCTTTTCCCTTGATGAAAAACAGAACTAAACAAATCAATGTGCATGTACCTCTCCTCGCTTTCCCTCGACAAACAGAACTAGTGCTAGTCTACGATCATTCATAGTGCTGTGGTCGCTGAAAAATAAGTACTGTACTTTTCTCATCCAGAAAGTGGAAGAAGTTCTACAAATCTAGTACTCACTAAGTTGTCCATGGATACTTAATCTACTTACTTCTACATGGATAATCTATCTCTGAAGAAGTCTTAATGTTGACACAACTCCAGCTGTCTGTACATGTCCTCTGTGATCCCTCGTGCCAATAATGCATGCAGCCAGGCTTTCCCGAGTCGTGGGAACGGCTCCAAAAACGTCTTGATGAGCAGGGTTCTGGCGGCATAGAGGACGCGCCTCAAACTCGTATCCAATTGATCGAGAGCGAAGCTGACATTAGAAGAGCTCAAAGTACGTATAATTTCGTTTCTTGTTGGGAGGTTCTATTTCATTCTTGAAGTTCGTTGTAGAACGAGCCCGTGCAAAGAAATGAAATACATGGAGGACGAGCCTTAATGACACTGCCTGTGATAAAACGTTCCTGGAGTGCTTTCGTAGAAGATGAAACACCCATAGGAAGCGCCTCTCCTGAAGATTTGCCGATAGGAATACTTGAAGGTGATCTCAGATTAGAGCAATGGAAGTTCTTGGCATGCTACATCAGCTGGAGGCATGCTGAGTACTTATACGAAGTATCTTTTGATGAAAATCATATTGATTTCGTTCTTTCCTTATTTTTTTCCCTGTTGCAACAAGAGCGAAGTTGTAGTTCTTGCGCGGGCTAGGAGGTCACCTTAAAGCCCAAGTAGAAATTGTTCAACACAAATCTAGATAGAAATAGTTCTAGGTCTTAATTGTATTCGCTCTTCTTGGCGCCGGTCCTTGCTGCTCACTCCCCACTAGGTCCTTGGTGTTCTGCCTGATGCTACCCAACTCCACAGTGTCTTGTCTCATGTTTTGTTCAAACTCTACGTGTCTCTTCGCTTCCGCAACCTTCTCTGCTTCATCCAAGACTACTGCTTCAGGGATTAGAAAAACGTATGTACAACTAGTTCATCGTCAACGCACCTCAAATGGTCTTCATTAACCATCGACAAGGTGAAACTAGTCCCAAGAAGAAACCTTAAATGTTTTTGATTGCGCTCTTATGTGGACGAGAAAGGTCATGAATGAGAGATATGTTCCGGCGTTTCGGATAGCTATTGAAAATTCTTGTACAAAGATGGCAGTGACATCCTCAACGCTGAATTCAGACAGAGTCTTAACCGTATGAGTGGCTGCAGGAGCGCCCGCGCGTTTTCGACCAAAAGGCAGTAGAAGAGGAGTGCACGAGCACCTTCTTCCAGTTTCGCGAAGGATACTCGATTTGCATGCAACACATCCGCAAACTTTTTTTTCTTCGTCCCTTTACTAGGTGTAGTTTTTGATGATGATGCGCTCTCACCTCCTCTAACATCGGATGGGGAAACGCCGACTCTGTAGGGAGATGATTCGACGCCCCGCGCCGTTTTAGAATTACTTTTTGTTGTTGATGGGGTGTAATCCTCTACATCTTCGGTTTCATTCTCAGCGTTCGGATCTGTGCGAAGACGCTCGTATAACTTCGTCTCCGCGGCGTAAATCGGTGTGTAGACACTACCGTAAGAGGCGTAGAGACGACAGAAGCCCGCTTGTATTAGAATAACCAAGTAGAGCATGGTCTTGATCATTGGAGAGCAGACGGCCCATACGTAATCGTATCTGTTGACATCTTTCATCATCATGCTTGTCTACTGAAGTATACTGCTTGTCTACTGAAGTGTACCAAATATTTGATTCTTCAATGAAAAACATCACGCCAGCGAACATATTTTTAGTGTCTTCACTTACAGCAAGCAAATAGACCCTGACCCACAGAACATTGGTATCTATCTATAAAGTATAAGTAATAGGTTGTGACCCAGATGTAAATTGATAGACTGATAAATATTATGATTATTCTAGACGGTAAATTATGAGATTATTCTAGAGGACGGCAGTTTCTATGCACCCTACGACAAGGAAGTTCAAGTTCTTGCAGCCTCAATTCCAAAGCCCATTGTCTCTGAAGGCTTGCAGGTTGCGTCCATATTTCTTCTGGCATTTTGGGGAAGAACTTCTTCTTCGCAAATCCACGCAAACACGCATCAGACCTCAATATGCCGTCACGCGCTTCATAGCTGAACTCCAATGCTTCGCCAATCGCCGCCGCTGACCAAGTCGCGATGCCGTGACGCTCTTTGCGCAACCTTTTGTTAGAGGATACGCAGTAGTGGTCGAAAGAGCATCCTTGAGAGCACGATCCAAGTAAGTAGACATCCCTCCTGGACTCGATTCATTCATTTAAAGTGTCTGTTTGTCTGTAGAAAAAACACAAATAGCTTCCAGGGCTTGAGTCCTCCATTGAAAATCGGAATCAATGCTCTCGATCTCATGAAAAAGAAATAAGGTCCTAATTTCCAGACCAGCTGTGAGCGCGTTTAGGTACATATTCAACACTGTTTGTTGACTCCCACCATTCGACGGGTCAAAGCTGTCCTTTAGCCACGCAGAAGCATGCTCTTGCCTCTGCAAAAAAGCCTCTGGCATCTCAGGTATCAGGAGTTAGAACAATGGAGATTGCGATTTGATGGTGGACTAGGTAATGGTGGTCTTTCATCAAACAAAATCTATGCTGGGCTAGGTTTGCTTACTTGGTTTGTTATGCTGAACTAAGTGCTTAGACTTATTTTGTTTTACAAGCACTTTCATCTCGAACTCCTTATAAGGATTCTTGAGCTATCGGACGAATTAGCATTCCTTGCAACAGAATTTTACTTCGTTTCAGTGTCATCGTTCTACCTAGTTGTACTACTTCCTCGAGTTCCTATATAATATAGGCCTTAAAAAAAGCAGAACAAGCCTTTGCGATGCTCCCACTCAAATGGCTCGAAAACTGCTTGTCCTCGAACTTGTGGCGCGCTTCCTCTACGTAGGTGCCCACTCGCCAATTTTGAAAACACCCTTTCATAGTGTTTTGCACTATGAAATTCCTCGTGCAAGTGGTCTAGATTAGACCTTGAGTTGTAAATCCATCTCATTCTCAGTCGGTGTCTTGAGCTTGGTCCCCTTCCCCCTCCTCGTTTTCTCTTATTAAGAACAAGAAGGGGCCAAAATGTTGACAACTGAGTCTTGAGCATTTTACTCATCGAGTTTTCTTGTGCTTTTTATCAACATACATGTAATACTCTCAAACGGGACCAAGAAGATGCCAGTTGGGCAAGATGGCTTTTCTCAAGGCATAACTAGAGCTCGTTCTAAGGCCGTCGGTTCCTTCTGAATGCCGCGCAACTTCTCGAAATCGACAGACACCGATGTCTTGTACACCAGCCGGAGTAAGAACTCGACCCAACGTACTACGAAAAAACCGTGGAGCCGCTCTGCGTAGGAATGCGAATTGTCAAAGCGCGTCAACGACCGTCGAAGGCCAGCATTTTCTTTCTTGCCAGAAAAGCCTTGGTGGAGGTTCGCTTGGGAGGATAAGTTAGAGCGCAAACAAGCATTTCACTTCTTCCCCTCTGAAGGCTTCACTTCTTCGTTCAGAATCCCAAGAAGGAAACTGCGAGAACTGAATGGCAGAAATGAAATAAATATTCATATTGGGCCTTAAATAAGCGTTTTGGGATCAAAATCCCAGACAACACCTTGCTCATTTCCTGCACCTCTTGATTCACCTCTGCCGCTTGTTCGTCTATGGAGTCACTAGTCGTTCCGTTGGTTTCATATTAGAAGATAATGAGCTTTGAAGCGGAGAGAAAACTGTGCTTGAAATGAGAGAAAGATAATGAGGTTTTTGTGATTTCTATAGGTTGGCGATAGAGCAACAAAGTCATTTCATTCGCAATCGCAAGACGTGCATACATCTGCCTCTTTTGCTCAAGAGTAGAAAACTGAGGTGTTCTTGAGAATCACGAAAATAATCATGTATCATGGAGAAGAAAAATGAGAAGTATCGCCAATGAGAGTCTTAATCATCCCCTTTCCTCTTCTTCACTGCGGGACCAGATGCAGGTGACGTGGCTCCCGATTCCGAGTCCATTTTATCCGTGATGATCTTCGTAATGCGCAAAAATTCCTCGTCCTCCTTGATTTCGTGCATCAGCATTTCGCTCACTCTAGGAACTAACTTCAAAATAGCTTCGTCGGACATGGTATTAGAGGAGGTTCGTTGTACAGGTATCGGCACTCATCTACATCATAATCATTCTTTTTATTTCCCATGTAGTAGAGGCAACTAGCATTGTGATTTATTCATCATGCACAAACCTAGGGACGAGGAGCACTTCTTCCTCTCTTCAGAGAAATTCTATTATCGTTCTTTCCAAGAGCAAGACGAGCAAGACTGATCTAGACGACTAAAAACCAACCTTGTGAACTCCTGCAAGAAAAGAAATCATCACACAAGCTAAAAAATCCTCCTCGTTCCATAATATTACAAAACAACCAGTGATGGTGCATCTCCTTCAGATGCTCAAAAATGATTCCCTCAGCCAGCAATGCGCTTTTGCGCATCATGAGCTGATTAGGACCCTCTCCACGACCTGGATAGAGGTTCAAGGCGTTATAGACGCGCCCAAACGCTACGCCATTGATAGCCAGAGTAAGCAAGGCCATTCCGGACACATGGAAGCCAATGCGGAGACGAAGCTCTACATCGAGGGCGTCGGCACCTGGTGAGGGTGTGGGTGATGAGGATCATGGTGGGCTTGGATAAAGGAATGAATAGCAACAGTTTGTTCTATTGGAGGTAACTTTATTAACAATAACTCAGAACAAAGCTTGTAGTAACAAAAAATACCCTGCTAGGTGATTGAATATAACAAAGGAATGAATAACAAATACTTAGGATCATGATGCGTCAGTTGAATTTGAAATTGAACGAAGCGGTGAAGAGATGCAAAAGTCAAGTACTCTGATCCAATTCCACCAAGAGCGCCATTGCTAGACCAACTGCACCTCGCAACCCACCGAAGACGCAGACCATCGCTTCTTTAATCGACACCCCGAACCCGGTTGTATTCAGAACTGGCAAGAGTAGCAGCACTGCCGTAGCACGACACAGATGGCACATGCAGGATTAGAGGAGTGCACTATGGTGATGATGATGATGATGATATACCCAGCCAATTATATTGACGGGTGTGCACTGTATTTCTTTAATTATATGGGTCCTCGTTGACATCTTTCTTCATCCATGTTTCGATCTAGTAGATATGAGGTTCCTACTGCCGCATATTTTCTTATATATGAGCACAATACGCAGACCGCTGTTGAAAAAACAACTGACCGATTTTTGGTCCCCCATAAAAATACAGCAGCACCAATTCAGCCCAGTCCCTTACTCCCATGTCCGAATACAGCATGTACCTGCCCATCACTACGCCTGCTATGTAAAAGATAAAATCGTTGCTCATTTGCGCTAGAAACCCGATTACTTGATGGTGTGCGTGTGCTAAGTGGTCACCGCCGTTGAGCAGCATCATGTCCTTCCCAACCGCTGCATACCAGAACGCAAAAGCGACGACGGCTAGGACACCAGATACGTGAATCTCATGCATCTCCGCTACGAAAAAAAGGGCAAAGACTACGGCTGAGACATGGGTTAGAGGCATGGAAGTGCTGAAGAACGAGGAGCTAATAAATATTAGGCATCCAAGATTCATGCCAGAAAGCAATTGATTTTACAAAGAACTGTCTAGCAAGAATCGAGCATTCAAGGTTCGTCGATTCAAAGAAGGAGTTAGGCAGGCCAATGCTCGACAAAAAAAAAAGCTCAATTTCAAAAAATCATCCACCAAACAAACAAAGAGCCATAATGTGAATAAAAACACGTTTGCGTCGATGTGCTTCACCCGTTTTAGCATGGTAAAGACAAAAAGCATTCCGACAGTCGCAAGCAGCGGCCCACCGCACGCCAGACGAATAAAGGTGAGGATGCTACCACCGAGTGAAAACTCCTTGACTCCTCGTGCAATGTCGAAGAACAGGAGGAAAAACACAACAGCGGTCGCGTCATTCAGTAATGCTTCTCCGGCTATCAGTAAGGATAATCGCGCTGGCGCACCCAGCTTCTTCAACGCACCAATAACCGCAACAGGATCCGTGGCCGACAAAATCACGCCCAGAAGGAGACAAGATTGTCGTTAGATGAAATCGTACTAGGATAAAATCACGCCCAGAAGGAGACAAGATTGTCGTTAGATGAAATCGTACTAGGGCTAGAATGAAGACATTTTTTTTGCCATCTAGGAATTCAAATTTTTGTAATGGTACCCACTGTAAGCCACAAATCACTGTTATTGCGAATAGGGTCACGAACGACCTCCGAACCATCGAGGGAAATTAGCCGGCTAATTTACTTTGTGTGCTTTGAGCGTCGCGGGGCCACACTGTTATTGTCCAGTATGTAATGACTGGTGAAGTGCACATAATCAAAAGGCCACCCGACATCCGCATCCGCATCGTCAAGAGTCACACTACTGCTGTTCGGAGACAGATCCGACGAGGCTACTTGTATTCCACCGTCTATCCGTGCTATCTCCTTCGGCACCGGGTTGTGAAACGTCGCCCGGATCAACACCGCTAGAAGCAAGAACGATATCAACACCCCTGGCCCGGCTAGCACCATCGCATTGCGGAAAACAGGACGTAGAACCCGCCAATCTGCACTTGCGCCATCTTCATAGAGCAACATGGGAAGTAGAAGCCAAAACAGGACATGAGGATCCACGTGCGACACTGCGTTGATCAATTGCGCTATCGGCGTGTCCTCTGGAAACAAGTGTCCTAGCACCTTCGTGAGCATCCCACTAAGTACTAGCAACAAGCTAGAAGGCAAAAAATCCCGCAGCAGAGACGTTCCGACGAAGAAACAAAGCAGCGAAACGCCAATGGCCAACAAGATCGTTGCAGTTGGAAAATAAATGCTCGCGAAATGGTGCTCATCTTCGTGCCGTTGACGACATAAGCGCAAATAGTCTCCGTGATTCGCGCTCATGTCTCGGTCGTCTCCTTCTGCTTTGTACACTAGCAACCTCGAGCCCTGTTCATACCAACAGCCAGCGCGATTCATGGTATTCAAGGGTCGCCAAGCCCTTGGTTTCAGAAGCGCCGTAGTAGATAAGCCCATCAATCCGTGAGCCGCAGTCTCGCATTCTTGCACAGACTGCAACTCCTCAGTGGATTTGCAGTTCACCGAAGTTAAAAAGTACCTGGTTGGAGCTGAAGCGGACAAATACCTCCACCTAGAAGTGGTAGATGCTACTTCTTTCGTACTATAAGAAGAATCTCCGGAGATGCCAGCTTCGTGGTTAGCCTCTACTGGGGTCACCGGCGTACTACCGGCTATCTTCTTCTCGCGATTTTCCTCTTCATCCAGAGATGTCATTGTCGAAGTTGTACCAAGTGGATCGACGACTTCCTCACGCTCTCCGTCCGGCTGTGATCGTTCTCGTTGTCCGAGTACATGCTGAACAAGCCCTATTCTCAACTCTTCGCCTATCGAGAATAGCAAGAGTGCTAGGGACAGCAATGAGAAGGAGTAGAGTCCCATCTGTCGCTCTCCAGGTCGTCTCTTGCTATTGCCAATCAAAATCAAGATCATCTTGTTAGGACGACTAGGAGTTTACTCCCGTAAGTGAGTACTTGTGAACAGACTAGATTTACTGATTAGGAATACATAGGATTTAATACCGTAAATCAATCAAAATTTTTTCTCTAGTTCGTTGTACGAGCTATACTAAGATGAATAGGGAGCAAGGACTTACAGTTAGTTCCTCATACATCAAAGGAAGCGGGTTGATAAGTGCAGCCAAAAAACTTCCGAACAATGACACTAGTACCTATATCACACCCTATAATTTTGGATGAGAGTATCAGCATTATCTTGATTCATGAAGGAAATCTAGTGGTTAGGATTCGGTCATTGTGGGAAGTCGGGTGTGGGAGTGGGAGTCATATCAATCTCGTTACTTATATTGGCTAGGTATCTGATGTGGTCGTACTTTTCCTCAACCTGCTTTGTGGCGAGAACCGAACTGTCGTTCTTGGCACCTGGAAGCGCCAGAACTGTGAATAGAACCAAACGGACCGATAGAGCGCGTGACTGTGATCCTTTCTACCGATACTAATCAGACCTATCGAGATGTGAAATTTTTGTTGCGTGACAGATCGAGCCAACAGAAGAACTGACAGATGGAGCCAACTTTTTTGTGATGACATTCAGGATGGGTGATTCCTTCAAGAAGACCTTTAGACTTCAAAGTGCAAAATTTGTCACTCCACTGTTTGGAACACTTTCTCACGCGAAAACAACTTTCGTACCAATGAACAAGATTCATCTTCACAATTCTCTTAGTCAGCAGTATCTTCTCCGATAAGCTCTTTGTTGACTTCTGCCTTTGATAAGCGCTTCTCAACAGGGAGGGGGTGAGAAGCTCTTTTCATCTTGGATAAACTTCAAAAATACAGGAGGGAAAGGTTTTTGTGGTGCGGATAGCACCAGAAACAGGGAGGTGGAAATCTTCAGGTTGAGTAGAGAGACTTTGGACCACTATGAGGATTTGTGTTAAAAAAGGTCCATCTTGTCGGGTTAATATTGTGTACGTGTATCGATTCATCGTGGACAATTCTTGGACGTCGATGTCTTATTCTAGTCGTGTATGTGATGTCTTATTCTCATTATATCTCGAGCTCCCTAGTACCAAACAATAGATACGACCTACGGACCTAGTCTGAACCGCCTCCGTCTCTGACAGAGGATATCTTTCGTGGTTCTCCTGAGAAGCATTCATGTTTACAAGTTTCATACGTGCTCATAGTGATATTCCGTTAGACACTTATTCTCATGTTGAGGAAGGACACTCCTCTACCAGTATTAGACACAGTAAATTCCAAAAACATCCCTCTATGGTGCTGTTATATGATCGCTTTTCTCTTTCAATTACCCTGCTTTCTCTTCGTTTTCATCAACAACATGATCATGACACTGAAGTTGAATATTCTATCAAACCATAGGTACTAGCTGTTTATTTCATCATAATCCAGAGACCACATTTTTCATCTACAATTATAAAAAAAAAGCTAAAATGAATAACATCGTTTGGCCCAAATGGACGGCCGTTACGAGTTGACTACTACTTACAACTCACTTCTCTTTCCACCCTTCTTTCCCTTAGCCTTCTTTCTTTTCTTGCTCTCCTCCCAGGCCTTCCAGAGCTTTCCTTCATGCTGCATAAGCTCCGACTCAGCCTCCAATCGCGGTTCCTCGATCATACCCGTTGCTTGCTTCTCGAGAGGCTTAGAGTATGGTGCTTGAAGGGATATAAATTTTAAGAATAGAGGGCGGAATAGTCTAGTTTTGAGTATGCTCTTGAGCTTAAAGATGTCTAGATTGTCGTCTGGACGCCCACCCCCCAACAAGTAACATCCCCATTGACATCCCCATAAGGAACAGTAAGATGATCGATCATGTAGTAATAACGAGGAAGTAGTAGTTGACTTAGAATTTATTGACTCATCATAACTTTCCCCTCTGCCGGTGATTCACTGGGGAATTCCACTTGAACGCGGATGACTAAGTCGCCGCGGCCACCGTATCCGTTGAACATTCCCTTTCGCTGCATTCGGATCACCTCGTTCGGCTGGGTTTGTGCTTAGAAAAACTCGACTCATGCAGTGGGGAAGGACATGGAGGCATATGTCAGTGACTCAGTGAAGTAGGAATTCGTGCACAGATGGATGAAGGCCACGAGATACTTGCCATGACTCCGACCTATTCCGTGATGGTTATTCAATCCGCGTATGAATGGTCATCGTCTTTATCAAGTTATCTCTGGTCATCGTTTATTCAAGTTATTTCTGGTCATCATTTTTATCAACGTAATCTATTTTCATAAACTTTATTCTCCCGATCCAGGACAATGTATTCTGGATCCTTGAGGACGCGGAACCTCGTTTGAAAGCCGAATAATGCTTCCTGAGCCGAAATCGTGAGGACGGTAAACAAGTCGTCGCCGACAGGGGTGTATCTGTGGGTAGGTTATTTTGGAAGGATTCTTCAGACCCCAAAATGGATGAACGAGTGCGCACCTACGACGTATTAGCTGAATGCAGAGAGGACAGCTATCCAGAGGGTGCGATCACTACCATCAAACTCATACTCTGATTTCACATCAATTACAGAGTTACATAATCAGCCAGAAGTCTAACATATTACGTCGGATGCGCTTCCCTCTTGGTGACTAATCGCAAGTTTCCTGGCAATCGACCTGGCGTTTGGTGCGACATGTTGCGCAGACTGCGTAGTTTTGTGCCGTCTGCGGCATTAGCTGGCACTGACAGGCCTCGCAGTGGCATCATCTCTTCTCGGCAGCGCTCTCGGGATTCGACTTCAACCGTCTTGCTGCCCACCATAAAGGGACCCTGCATCTTAGGGACTTGGCGGACCTGGGGTTGTAAGAAAAAACGAATTGACGTAAATATAAATATTCATAAAAATCCGAATCCTAACTCGTCATACGACAAGTTCGATGTTCTTGCCTATAGTACTAGTAGATGATTGCATAATTCGATGAAAGAGCTATCCATTTCTACCTCCGGCGGGCATCTTCCGCAGGTCTTGCACTTCTCACTTGTTGGATCCGCTCTGCAACCTCTGCAGATAGACAACCTGGGAAAGTTGAACTCTTTGGAGTCCGTTCCGGCAAACAATTCCTCCAACGTGACCGGCACTTCGACACTCACGTCCTCCTGCCTGAGTCGCTGTTCCACGTGAGATTTGGGTTAGAGGTCACCAGTGTTGATGAAGTAAGGATGATGATGATGATGATGATGATGATGATGATGATGTGCCTGGCAAGAGGTCAATATGACTGTTCTTCTCACCCGAACGAGCATTCGAGAATAGACTGTTGAGAGGACGAAACCAAGGAATCGCTTAGACAGAACTACATGATCTACAACTCAAAATAGACGTAAAATCACATTCAAGAAGATACAAAACCAACCATAATTCAATTGTGACTTGGACGGTTGTTGTGCCTTGATCTGTGCCTCGGCTTGTGCGCGCATTGGATGGTTCTTAGGAATCTGCTGATCCAATTGGGCCATTTGCTGGGCGACCTATAGAATGGTAGAGTAGAAATGGAAGATGTCAGTCAGTCCGTGGAAGTAGGTTCTTTCTACTGAGTGGAAGTAGGTTCTTTCTACTGAGTGGAAGTAGGTTCCTGCAACAGACACGACTTCTATAGCCTGTTTGTTGATCCTACAGAATCTATCACAAGGATAATTGCAGTTGTAAAAAGTAAATCAGAGGACCATAATGCGGAGCGGTCTACTCAAAAAGAACCTTCTGCGGAACCAACACCATATTAATTACTGACAAGTACCTGTCCTTCCATCTCCTTCGTGAACGTCTCGACGTTTTTCACCAGCAAGGCGCCACCTTGGAGGTAGTAGTCTTTTTTCTCCGGCTCCGAGAGGATTTCATAGGCCTGGCGGATCTTCTCGAACAAAGCCGGGTCTCCACCCTTATCCGGGTGATGAGTCACGGACTTCTTGCGGTAACTCTTCTTGATCTCAGCTGGAGAAGACTCGGGAGTGACGTCTAGCACCGCAAAAGCGTCTTCGGCGAGCACTGTTGTAGAAGCGATAATTGTTGTCAATGCGTTGTCGTCAACACGTCGTGGTTGGAGGTCGTGGTGGACGTGGAAATTCTAATTCGAGGAGTCCTTCTCCTGATCTACTATTTCAGGTCGTGAAAGCCAAACTTTAAAAAAAATGAGTAGTACGTGAGTCTTCCTCTCCTGAAGCAGAAATTTTTACGAAGGTGATGACACTTGGCTTGCCCGTGGATTTGGCAGGCTTAGCTGTCTCAAGCCTTGTCGCTTTCAACTCATCCTCCTGATGAGCGTCCAATCTCGCTTTAGCATCCGCGTCTTTCGTTTCATATGCTGCTGTGCCTGGTGCGAATTATGGTGCTGGGTTCAATAAAGTAGATTAATAAAGTAGATGAATAAAGTAGATTAATATTAAGGAAGTTTAGGAGTCAGTGAAAGTCTAGGAGTGAAGCTGTGGTGGAGTAGGGAGTGCACGACTACTTAGATACCTTTCACAATCAGCTTCAAAACTTGTTCTGGTGTCTTTTGAGTATCTGGGGTGTTCAGAAACACTGCATTCTTGGACGCGCTCCACTTGCACACGCCCTCATGCTTAGCGCACGCCTTCACACTCCCACCTAACTCACCATCGCGGTTGAAAACATAAGTCCCCGCCTTGCCAGACCATTCTGTGTTGATTAACCTGTGTGGATACTTATTATGGAAGGGAATAGCATTGGTTATAACCTGTGTGGATGAAGTGGATGTGGAGAGGGAGTGCGGATGCGAGGACCAAGCAATGGAATGCAAGAGCAGTCACTTGGAGGAAAAACAATTGCGAGGATTCTTCACCAAGTTGTACTAAACAGTACCATTCAAAACTCGAGTCGACTTTTTGTGTCACGCCTCCTGGCCAGCGCACTTCCGGAGGACCCTGCATTGGCATGCCTCCCCCCATCATGGCGCTGAGGATGTCACCCATCCCGCCACCGCCGCCACCTCCCATCTGAAACGTGAAGGTTTGACCTTCTGCAACGTTGGCGTTATTGAGCAAAATCAAAGCTGCTGCACCTGCTAGGGTAGAAGCAGCTTTGGAAGCAGCGTTTGTTCCTTTCCTGCTTCGTCGAGAACAAGAAGACGAGGCAGGAGAGGCATCGGAACAAGAAGACGAGAACATCTTTGAAGATGTTCTGGGCAAAAAAGCGGTGGACAGCATGGAACTTCTTTCAGACGACGTCATTTTTTCTGGTTAATATGTAGAAGCTATTGGAATATATGGTTATGTAGCAGCTTCAACGAAATCGTACCTAGCAGCTATGTGTAAAAAGTGGAGGTACTGGTACTGTATGTAATGGTAGACAGGGCTTAGTCATAGACATAGACTCCTCTGTGGACAATCCTTATCAAAAGTAGGAACTCGAACTTGTTACTTCACGGAGGGCAACAAGAAAATCCGGGATAGTCGTCAACGAACACAAGATACAGCCCTTCGTGCTGTCCATACGCCATGACTATTGAGTTTTCGCAACCTTACTTTTAGTCAACAATGTTGAACTCTGCAGGGATGCGATATCCTGGCTCAGGGACGAATTTTTACTGTCAGCCTAAATATATCATCACACCAGACGCGTTAAATTTTAGCTTGAAAGCGCCTTCGTGTAGCAGGCATGGTACAAGCATAGCACTACGGTGTCTCTAGGTCTACAACCTTCCACCTACATGAGTAGTATTACACGAAAAGAAGCCGAAACGCTATGCTATAAAAATAGGCTTCCAAAAACTCAAATCCCTGTTGTCAAGTATGAATTCCCAGTGCACTTCTACATTTTCTTTTTCATCAATAATTCTTGTGTTGTCTAATTTGACCGTACCGATGCAGTATGCAAGTAATAATTGAAAGAGAACCGGTGATCATACGCACTAATTTTTCATTCAGAAGATGCAAGCTGCAAGATTCCAGAGGAAAATTTTCGTGCAAGAGACTTCTAGCCCTTTACGTGTGCGTTTCCCGCAATACTAGAACAACAAATGTGCTAAGCTGCTAGGAGATAATTGATACTCGCATCGCGATTTCAATTCTTCCCGACAAGCCAGACCATGTATCATGCAGTGTAGTACGATCATGCCGCACATGCACTTGTAGGTATCAACATCTTTAAGAAGTTTCTGTTGTACAGTCTTTTGATCGATCATCCTCATCATGCGAGTCACCCCAACGGCATGGGTGTGCTGGTTCGACTCGCCTCTCATGCGCCACTATTTCCTGCTAGTAGACCCGGCCTCCTAGGCGTTTTTAGCGGTAGAACTAGAAGTCTCTGGTCCCCTCTCGTAGTCGCTACCTTTATCAATCAGCCTCTTCCTGTTTTTTCTTCTTTTCCATCGCATACAGTTTCCATGCTGGTATGGGCCGTGACCCAGTACTCGCACTTTCCCCTGCCTGTGAAGAACCAGCGTTGCTACCTCCACGAGGCCGGTTCGTCGAATATGAGCCTTGTTGAATGGACACCGCGCCGTTTGCAGCACTACCACTACCGTATGAAGACGGATACGACGAGCCATAAGCGCCAGAAGTGCCTCTGCTGCTAGAAGAAGCATTGCCTGTGCCTCCTGCGAAGCCGCTCGTCGGCCCTGCTGCTCCAGACGATGAATTACTTCCCCAGGTTGAAGATGCACCCCGTCCTCCACCGCCTGACCAAGAAGAAGTACTGTTAAAACTACCTCCTCCAGATCCTGCTGAAGCTGAAGTTGTAGAACTAGAACAAGCAGATCCTCCAGCTGTACCAGAACCAGATGTTCCGGAGGCACCTAAGAACTTCAAGCTTGATGTTCTGCTTTCGTCGTTTTCGAAGTTTCCTCTTGTCATTGAAACGCGAATCGGCAATGTTGCTTCGGATGGGTCACGAGCCACAAACTCCTTGATACTCTGGATGTTGTAGAAGGGATGAATTAGAAGGGTCGTGCTAATTCGAATCGACTAGTATCTATAACTCGCGATGGGTACTTAGTTACTAGTGGGTGAAAACTATATGAAAATTCGATTTTGATTTGAAAGTAAGTAGGTCTATGCATCTCGATCTCACATATACTTACAGCCACGGCATTATCAACATCATCTTGTTCGCCTTACTGTCATCACTTCTGCAAGAAGCTGAGTAGTACAACTAGCAAATGTTGTGAAACAAGTTGATCCTATGTACTGGATCCTCTCACAACATCAGACAGACGCGTTCTACTTTTGTCTTCCTCTAAAATGAAGCAGGAGCCTTAAATGCAAATATTCCTCCAATATGCATATTCGATATTCTCCAACATTCCTAGAGTCGTAGTTAGCTCCGTTTGTCAGACTCAGCATATCTTCCTCTCGCAACCGTCTGAATCGCAACGTTGCAACCTGGACAAAGCACATCATCTCAAAGCCGTCAGCACTACTGCTTGCGGATCCACCGTAGCCGCTTGAAGCTGCGCCTCTTCCGTGGGGTGTTCGAGAAGTGCGCTAGTGAACACGATACGCTCTAGCGATGCGACTAGACGCCTGCAAGTTTAAGTGTATGTGTATCCCTTCATAGAGATAGAAAACTACTTACTCTTAACACTATAGTTTTACTTGAATCGCATACTGACTCTAGTATTCCTATCATAACATTAGTTTTACTTGAATCGCATACTGACTCCTCGTCGTAGCAGCTAATCGCGAAGAGAGATGATACCAACACCAAGTACTAACTTACATCAGGGACAATGCGCTCGTCTCACAAGCCGTAACATCCTTCTTTGAAAGCTGGCGATCCATTTCACTGTCGCTTGCTCCCCCTCTTGGTCAAAGACCATGTCTTCTACAACATGTTGAAATTCGCTTTAGAGGTGTCGTGAGTCAGACAATATCCTGTCCGGAGGTTGTAGTAGAGGCACAAAGGTTAGGTTAGGTTATCATGTCCGGAGGTCGTAGTAGAGGTACAAAGGTTAGGTTAGGTTAGGTTATGGATCCTTCACAACGAGCCCCACAAGCACCCGCTGCTCGCATCCGAGGATGATGGGTGACTACGAAAGTCAGCGACAACAGCCGAGGCGGTGACTACCAAAGTCGTGCCATTAGTTATGACCGATGTCCATCTACTCAATTACATCTTGAACCTCCAAAGCCTTAATCGATATGCCTTTCTTTCTGGCAAATTTGTCGTTGCCAATACTGCCGTATCCCACCATGACCATGCATACAACGCCCAGGCTTCTCCTTGTACTGACCATTAGGCACGAAGAGTGCGACAATCTGTTCCGGGTCTTGCTTCGTCCACGCGCGACCATATCGGGCAACGACATCGCAGACCTGTTTTTTCCTTTTCAGATGAACAAATAGAGTCTCGTCGGATTACTAGACGAAGCAGGAGACTCGTCCAGATGAACAAATAGAGTCTCGTCGGATTACTAGACGAAGCAGGAGACTCGTCGCATTCGAGTTACTTATACATATTCTCATTCATTCAGGAAGGGCATCGGCCAAAAAAAAATGTTCCATCAAAAAAAATGAAATACCAACTCCCGGCTGAAAACGCCATAGTCGACCTCCATTTTATGAGCAAAAAATTTCGGAAAAAGTTGTAGTTGATGATAGATCACACAAATTCACTCACAGAAGTCTTTTCACACACAGACCTACTCGTCTGAATGATCACGAGATCGAAACACCGACAAGATCGATTCAATCATCAATACAGCTAATAATACCAACCTAGCACTAAAAGGCTACTAGAAAGAAAGTATCGTAACTGCTTGATCTAGTTCCGAGTCCTTATCTAGCGCTGACACACAGGTCACCACGAACCACAGTACGCACAAAGAGACGAGGACATGGAAACAGTCTGATCCTTTTTATCCTGGCTAAAGACTTTGCAGGAGATCACCATGACAAATAGAGAGATATGATCCTTGGAAACGAAGCAAAAGCCGTTTCTTCCGAGACTGATCCGCCTACTTCGGAGACAGCTACCGCGAACACAAGAGAAGCCTCCTGCTTCGGTACAGGTAGCTTCATCAAGGAAGAGCATTCTTCTGCTCTCGCACTCCGCTCTATTCTGTGCATGATCCCTAATAGGCATATTTATAGCGCCTACACGCAGGATGACTCCCGCTTCTTAGGTAGCCAGAGCAACAAGCGTCATTGCCGCCCTAACAAAAGCTGGTATAACTATCAAAATAGAAATACGAACCAATGATAATCAGACAACCCAAAACACAATCGTCCTCAAAGACTTTCAGTTCACAACAGTCCATCGACCTCGCAAATTCCTTTCCAGTACACTGACATTCGTTCCGTCAGCGCAACTGACACGTAAATCCCCGTATGGACCAAATTCTAGCTTTCCCCAACTACATTTTACTCCCCAACTACATTTGTTCATGTCGATACTTAGTATCTTCCCTGGCCAGTGCCACCCTTTTTCGTAGGAGAAGTGCAAAAAATGCAGGTCGCCCCCACGCGTGATAAAAGCTATGACGTCACTATTTGAGGGATACATGTGCCACGCAACACTGGCGATAGCACGGGTTGCGTAATGGGACAACGTACTGGATGTTTGGGATTCGATTAGAAAGGCTTGGTAATCGTGCCAATTACACACCTCTTCGCGATGCCATTCGCCGGCTTGATACCTTGAAAATCAGAAGTTAATTTTGTTCTTCTCAATTTTAACATTGTGAAAACTATTAGCAAGAAGAACTTTCAATCACAATGCCAATCGCTGTGAAAAGGGAACAAGTTTTTGACTTTGGACTTCCTATTCTTTTCATACCTCGCTGCACGAGGTGGGTGGCCCTGTGTTGTCCCTTATTGACTTGTGTTGTCCCTTGTTACAAGGTTGTGTTCAGAGTTCGGTTTGGAACTATCAAGTAGAAGCAACAAATGAATACCTCCAAATGCGGACATTTCCATCCGCCCCTCCTGTAACAAGTCTTGCGTTTTGTAACCTAGTAACTCCTGCTGGTCGCCAAGCCAGTGTCGCTACGGCCTCAACGTGTGCTGGAAAGGCGCTTTTTGATCGTCCCTCAAAGACTGACACACTGCCACGAGAGTCGCCAACGGCTAGCAGAGGAGGAGCACTCGGTGGGGTAATGAAAGCTGAGTGACTAAATGCTCCTGGTGCACCACTTCATTGTAATAGATATAAGCTGTTCCCCTTGATGTACGAGTGTTGACTAGTTTTGTATAAAACATCAATCCTTGGAGTTGGCTGCGAGCTTAGGACACTTGGTTCTTGTTCGTCTAAAATAGACCTGCTTCTTGAGGTGTAATCAGAAAAAATAAGCATGTTCCTAGTTCCTGTTCATCAACACATCATCTGGCACTTTTTCTCATAAGCGTAAAACTCTGAGGCAAACCAGTGTGGCCTCCAGACGCAGCCATCGATCCCGCAAGTAAACTGCTACTTCCTGCAACAAGCGTAGACGATGCACCACTTCCGAAGTTAGAACGCAGAAATTGTACTTAAACTAGTGTGATTTCATCTACTTCTTCATTTATTAATACTGTCTTCATTTAATAATTGTAATACTAAGATACTCCGCCATCGAGTTTGAAGATATTGTTCCAGAAACAAAGTGAAGGTGAGAGAGCCTCAACTCCTGCTCCTTAACCTCAAAAAACACACTTCAAGACTTCTTCATAACTAGTATGGGAGCTCCACCTGCAGGTACAGCAAAAGCCAGGCACAAGGCCTCATCAGAGGAGCTGTAGATGCCAGTATCTACCATCAAACTTTCCTGAAGGACCTCATTTCGCCATACAAGCGTCGGCGTCTTCATTTTTCGACCTGAAAGCATAGCAGAAGCTGCATCACGACAATCCCTTAGATTAGACGAGGAAGCAGCCATAGAGATCTCATGGGAGGGCAACACGCTACATTCGACCATAGAAAGGTATCATGGGAGGGCAACACGCTACTTTGAAGCATAGAATCATGCAATTATGTTGATGAGAAACTACTAGCCTACCTGTATTGTGCTTGAACTAGAGGGAGGCACAAGATGTTTCAGTAACCTCTACCCGAATCTCCCGATTTATTAGGGAAGCGCCAACGGCACCTGCTTCTAATTGACATTGACATTGTAAAAAAAAAACCAAGTAGTCATAAAGAAAGCCACACTGCGACCACCACAGGTGGCCAAAGTCATGCCGTTCCATGCACAGGCGCGGACGCAGCCACCATTGTGGGCCCGCCATCGGGCTATAAAAATTGCTCTCCCGTCTCGTCTCGCTCTTGCGGTCGAAATTGTAGATGTAGAACCAGTAGTAGAAGTTGATTTTGATGCAGCAGATATTGATACATTGTCAAGCAAATACAAGGCGACATAGCCATCGTCAGAAGCACAGGCTAAAAGATCCTGCTGAGGAACCAAATGTTGATGTTTTTTCTGGTTCTTTTGTTCGCTACTGTAAGCAGCAAGAGGGAGCACACGCAGATCGCATAGAGGTGCGCGAAGTGAGACGACACACGACGTGTCTCGAGAAAGGCCTCTTGAGACGAGGACGACCATTCTAATAATATGTGTACTATATCATGTGAACGTTGTAGCTGGTCTGATGATGAATCATGTACCGGTAGGAGATCTACTGCGGTGAGGAAGATCAGAGTATAGACGATCTAGATCACTCACAAGATGAACAGGCAGGAACAAGGACACCTCAAGTGTTGAAGGATAGAAGACGTTATTAGCTCACTCGGCCATGGCTAATGAGATCGTTGTAAGCACTGGGAAACATCACTCAGGTTGTAACGACTTCAATGCAGCAGGTGGTCGTATAGTCAAATGAAAGAGTGCAGCCGAAGATGCACTGAGTACTGTGAAAATGAGAGATCAGCACACAGTCGTAGAAGAGCCCAGTCGTAGGAGCAAAGTCGAACATACAAGCTTCGTACTAGACAACGCAATCTGTCCTCCACCTCGCTGCAGGAGTCTCGTGATACAACACAGGTCTTCAGTGCTTCCTTTTCATTTAGCAAACTACAGGACACCAATTCAAGATCCCCTCCCGTCCGTTACGAAGGAGTTCTTCGACATACTCACGAGTCTTCGTCTATGATCGTAAGAAGTACCTCGTGTGGTCTATAATTGTTCTAGTTACACGCACCTGCACATGCGCGTCAGTGAAAGTGTACGTCAGTGAAATATTAAACAAGGTTGTACTTCTCCTGAACAAGATTAATATAAGTAGAAGGTGTAAACAGCAAGCAGTAATAAACAAGCAGTATATTTATAGTACACAGCAAGCAGTAAACAAAAACCAGCAAGCAGATTTTTTTAGTAGATTCCCAGTGACGAAACAGACGCAAATGACCGGTGGAAATCGACTACACTAAGCCTTAATAAATAGACTTCTTTCTTGGACGGCGGACGGGCACTTTGCCTTACCTCCGCCACATCCTTAGAGAGGCCAATCTGTTGATGAACTTCTACGAAAACACTTACGTAATACTTGAGTAGAAGTCCATCAGAAGATCTGTAGAAGTCCATCAAGGAGTTGTTCAAGGTGACTGCAGCGACAAGAATTCCGTGGAGTTCCTAAATAATCTCCTGCTCTGGCGCTGTATTTCGCGTCGAAAGTATAGGCAAGTCCAGTGGTGTTTTGAGCAACTCTCTGTGCGACAGATTGGATTCGACGAAATCACCTACAACTGCGCATATCGATATGAACCAAGAAGGGCAAGACTCGGATCTTGGTACGCGGATCTTGGTACGCCTCTCATTTTGATCATAGACAGACAGGCGCAGTGATCCTCAAGCAAATGCAAGTACTTAAGAAAGAGAACTCAGCATGGAGATCGTGGCGCGCATCCCTAAGATGAACTTCTACGAAAACACTTACGTAATGGTAATATTCGTGTACATACTTGAAGAATAGAGATAACTAACAAACTTACTTACTCAAAGCAACAGCTTTCCCTGGGCGCCGACGGAGTACTAGTGACAGTATCAGTAAGTACTGAACTAGGAGCCAAAAAATGAGAGGCACGCATTCGCTCAAAAAAAGAGAGCCGTGTAGTAATGAACACAGACGCAGGGGGGTCAGGAATGATCCCCTCAGCACCCCTTGCTTGCCATTAGCAGCCCACTTCCACCGCCTCCGCCAACCCCATATTTCGGTATAAGTAATTTACCAAGACTAACTTGTATCCAGTGTTATGATGAAGTTCGCAATTGAACTCCGTCAGCTCATGTTTCAAGAGGAGCGAACAGGTGCGTATAAGTAGGAGTTTCTAGCTAGTAGTAACGTATCATCTTCTTCTAGATGGAAAGAACAAACACAAAAAATAGACGGACTCCCGAATCTCAAGCAATACAAACCACTCGGCTAACTCTTCTCGAGTGAGATATACATAGTGTTGCGAATAAGAACTAAGATTTACTTACTTCCGAACCCACGAGGGAAAAATTAAAATAGTGTCTCCGGCAACATCTATAGAAAGTGCGTAGGAAGAAGAAGCACCGTCAAGATGGCAGTCACGCAGCCGCCCATGAAGGACCGCACTACTTTGATCGGTGACCCCAAGACCTTCTTCACCTTCTTCTTCGCGATCTGCTCGTCGCTACCGCCAAACCGTGCTGCTAGCTGTGGATCACTCGCGAGAGTTAGAGGACCTTGATGCCTGCTGTGTATACCTTCACCTCTTTGTTGAACGGCATCTTTGTTGAGCCGGTTTTCCTCGCACAAAATAGAAGGACTCAAAGATCCTTCTTATCAAGATCACTCTTCTATTAAGCAGGATCTTCTAAGTTAGCCACTTATTGTGCATCTGTTGAGCCATAAAACAGCCACGCCTGGTAGTAGAGCGTCATCCCACTCGTTTGTACGTGTCGTCGTCGTGGTCGACGTTGTCGAGCTAGATGTGCTGGAACTTGTAGAGCTGGACGTGGAGGTGCTCGAACTGGTAGAGCTCGAAGTCGACGTTAGAAGACAAGTAGAATTATCGGAACTTCTAGGTTTTAATGATTGCTCAGACAAGAATTATCGGAACTAGGTTTTATCAATTGGAAACTGATTCCTTCATCTGAACGAATAAAAGATTAAGATTCATTCTGAACGGACAGGATCCAAATCAATGGCAACGAACTCTCATGCGCGATGGAGGATCCCAAGGGCGGCATTTGTCCTTTTGTTTTCCCATGCCATTGTTTTCCCCTGCTCGTCTCTCAAATTCTCTTTGGTGTCAGGACCACTCTCAGTGACCAATGAAGTCTGACCCGTAAAGACGTGCTCGAACTCATTGAGCTCGACGTGCTGGAACTCGTGGAGCTCGAGCTCGACGTGCTGGAACTCGAAGTCGAGGAGCTCGAACTCGTTGTGCTCGACGTCAACGTGCTCGAGCTCGAGCTTGTGCTCGTTGAGCTCGATGTCGACGTGCTCGAGCTAGAGCTTGAGCTCGTGGAGCTCGACGTCGACGTGCTCGAACTTGTTGAGCTTGAGGTCGAGGAGCTCGAACTCGTTGTGCTCGACGTCAACATTAAAGGTCGGAGCTCATTGGTCACTGATTTTGAACGGAGAGGGGCCCCACGATCCAAGGGCGGCTCCCGCCTTGTTTTCCCCTGTTCTCGCAGGCTGCGTTCTCTCTGATAGCAGGGACCACTCTCAGTGACCGATGGAGTCTGAGCCTTAACCACGTGCTGGAACTCGTGGAGCTCGAGGTCGACGTGCTTGAGCTCGTGGAGCTCGAACTCGTTGTGCTCGACGTCAACGTGCTCGAGCTCGAGCTTGTGCTCGTTGAGCTCGATGTCGACGTGCTCGAGCTAGAGCTTGAGCTCGTGGAGCTCGACGTCGACGTGCTCGAACTTGTTGAGCTTGAGGTCGAGGAGCTCGAACTCGTTGTGCTCGACGTCAACCTTAAAGGTCGGAGCTCATTGGTCACTGATTTTGAACGGAGAAGGGCCCCACGATCCAAGGGCGGCTCCCGCCTTGTTTTTCCCTGTTCTCGCAGGCTGCCTTCTCTCTGATAGCAGGGATCACTCTCAGTGACCGATGGAGTCTGAGCCTTAACGACGTGCTGGAGCTCGTTGAGCTCGAGGTCGAGGAGCTCGAACTCGTTGTGCTCGAGGTCGACGTGCTTGAACTTGTCGAGCTCGAGGTCGACGTGCTGGAACTTGTCGAGCTCGAGGTCGACGTGCTTGAACTTGTCGAGCTCGAGGTCGACGTGCTTGAACTCGTTGTGCTCGACGTCAACGTGCTGGAACTTGTCGAGCTCGAGGTCGACGTGCTTGAACTTGTCGAGCTCGAGGTCGACGTGCTTGAACTTGTCGAGCTAGAAGTCGACGAACTGCTAGTTGTTGAACTTGTTGTTGTGCTTGTGATTGTCGTTGAGGTGGATGTGATTGTCGTCGAGCTTATCTTAGATGAAGTAGTTTTTCACTATCCCTTCATTCATTCATTCATTTACCTAGCAAGAGGTCGTTCGCAGGACTTAATTGTTGCAGTTGGCTTTTTACTTTCTAACCTTTTTTATGCACTTTTCTTTGTGGCTTCTATATAAGTGAGTTCTTCCCTTATTTTCCCCTTCGAAGTAATCTCGTGAACCTTAGATAGTCAAAAATCTTATCTTACACGAGATGAAAAGAATCCTTCAAAATAAGTATATTAAGGGGCACCCCACATCCACTCAGCACAGCCACAGTCCAGCCTCTAAACTTTAATCTATTGAGGGGGACCTCACGTCCACTAGGGATCAGCATAGTCCACATTTTAGGATTTCAGCTAATGGGAACTCTACTCCGCAAACTAGGGCCTTAATTGTGGTAGTTGTGGTTTTAGTGGTCGTCGTGGAAGTTGACGTTGTCGTTTGGCAGCAGTGATTAAAGGTCAGCAGTCATTGCTCACTGATTCTAAAGGGGCAACACCCCCGCCTACACCGCTTTCACCCTACCTTAATAATATTTCCCTTAGCTTAAAGAAAAATTCCCCTGTTGGTTCTCTCAGGGGGTCTCCTCTTCAATGTTTTTTTTTTGTACCAATCTAAGTGAAGATGAGCAATGAAGCCTGAGCCGTACAGTAAGTCTTGGTGCATCCAGCAGCGGCACAGCGACGCGTGTTCTTAACACTCTTGTGCTCCCAATCGTGTGCGCCACAGTTGAAACTTCCACAATGTTTGCCTTAGAAGGAATAAGTATTGTTTGAAGGGATTAAATAAGTCTGTCGAGAAAAAAGTAGTTTAGAACAAGTTGTAGTCCAGAACAAGCAGTCTAGAAAAACTAGTCGACACCTCCTTATCGACCATCCTCTAAGAACAACGGCACTTAAAAATAGGTTCAAACGGCTTCCAACTACTCATGAAAAAAAACAGAAACTGCATTGGTTACTACTTTTTCGCCGATTCCACATCAGATGGACGCTCTTGGATTTTCATATCATAAAAAAACAACTAAACAACTGCACCTGCTGTAAATGTAATATTATATTTATATAGTACTAGTTCTTCTAGCCATAAAATGCGCAACATTCGGCGTTGTTACACCGGTCGTCACTGCCGCATCCAACAGTTGCGAGATTCGCCACGGCCACCTTCGGCATATGAGTCGGGGATGGACAGTTGTAGTTCTTGCAATTTTTCTGGCAGCAAAATTAGAGCTATAAAATCAGAGCGATAAATTATTTCCATTAGGTCATTTCCCTTTGAGGTTATTCTCGCACGGAATCTATCGTTCTCTTGGAGTTGGATGTCAGAAAAAGTGACCCCCCGGAGCGGCAGAACTTAAGTGAGAGGACTGAGCCTTAACAAAAAGCCTTGTTGCAGTTGTTGCCGGAACACACACGCGTAGCGTGGTTCGATTCTCTTGTGAATGTCGCATCATTGCAGTTGAAATTTTTGCAAGTCTTCTCACAGCACGTCGCGGTGGGGCATGGATATGAATGGCGTTAGTTTTTTCTCCTTTCTAGATGATGTCGAGGCCCCCCTTCAGCTATACAATTGTCTTAATAAGGAGAATAAAAGGGTACTAGAAGCCTAGAAGTAGATGGTCTGTTAAAGTTGAATAGGAGAATGAAAAAAAATATCATCCAGCATAAGGGATTCTGGTCACAAAACGTGTTTCCATTGCCTGCCTTTTCCCTCCACGGGTCTGAACATGCGTTGTCGCTAGTGCCACAGGCAGCTTTGCAGCACTGAGCCACCATGAATTAGAGGCGCGACAGTTGTAGAAGACCGACATATGTATCTATAAAAACATTAGCAATCCTGTAGTTCTTGAAGTCCTAAGTACGCAGCACGAGAATTAAACGACTTGGGTCCATTCCGCCTAGTCTAACCAACAAACACTTCTTTGTCCCTGTACAGCCTAGTCTAACCAACTTAACAGAAACGCAACCTCCTGACAGTATCCAGGTCAACCATTAACATGAACATTAAGTAATACAGCATACATGTGTGGTGGAGCAGACCGAACTAGAAAAAAACAAAAACCAAGAAAAGATAGAAAAAAAGCAAAGGCCATCTATCAAGAAGTAAGTTCTAAAAAAACTAACTAGGCGCCGACGCTTTCGCAGTCCCGTCAGCCCCATAGGTCTCACCTTCAAAGGCAGGGCGGAGCCCTATGCAACGCCTCCGGTGGGTGCTCAGTTCTCCACAGCATTAAGTAATGCAGCATATAAAAAAAGTTAGTCTTAATGCGGTACTCTAACCAATATCTTTATGGTCAACAACACCAATAACAGTGGTGAAGCCTTCCTACCTATGTTCTAAATGTACACGACCTAACACTAATTCATAATATCTTTAGGATTTTTAAGTGGTCAACTGTCAGTTAAAAAAATATTAGGCAACTTGCCAAATAGATTCACACCATAGATGATTGCAAACTTAGAACACGAATTCAACTTTGTACAACATAAGTGCAGGAGTCACCAGGGCACCGGGCATTGGGAGTATAGATCTTTTTTGAGGGGCCACACCAAGCGTTATTGTGCGCCGCACAGGTTTTCGCGCAGCAATCAGCTCTTTCATATGAAGAAAGGCGCCTTTTCTCCCTTCTACAGAAGAGGCAGACCATCGAGGATAGGATAGGAATTCGCTCGCCTACGGAGAGGCTGGTGAGCATTCATCGAGGCCCCCGTTCAGCTGCTATGCAGTTTTAAGGGGAACAAAAGGGTAGCCTAGTAGATGGTCTGCTTAAAAAATGGGAGAAAGTACATCATCCTTATTACACAAGCAGCAGAACTACCACACCTTGTACTTTGCGCCAGAGTATCCCAGTTATTCGGACACGCTGTGGTGTACGTTGCGCACGTTCTCTCACAAAAGGTATGAAAGAAAAAAATGTACTCATAGACATAGTTTTAGTTACTCAAGAAACAAACACATAGATAGGCACGCTTCAAGTACAGAGAATGACAGCCTCTTTTGTGAAAAGAGGCCTGATTATTTAGTAACGACCTAAGTAGTACTTACTCAAAAAGTAGTAACTTAGGTGAAGAAAGTCCCTAATTCTTCTTGTTTCTTGTTGAGGATTTTTCCTAGTTCTTGGGAATCATCCTCGTCCTACTACCCGAAAAACTGAAATGCCCGAGTAAAGATAATTAACAGGGCTCTTGATTCAGCCATATTCTCGAACTCGAAGTTGCTCGTATATTTTCACTTTTCGGCTACTTAAGTAGAAGATCAAGTGCCTGCTCTCGCTCTCCTGTCTACGTACTACATACACTTTTACCATATTCATCATAACAGGTTTCCTTGTTGCATGTGTTTGACGCGCAAATGATCGAGTTGGCACCCGACAGCTTCACCCAGTTGTTGGGACAGCTGAAAGTTTGGCAGGTTTTCTGGCAGCATTCAGTGTTACTGCAGTTGTCGTCGTTGCCGCAACCTACCTTAGAGAACTAATCATTATCAAAGTTCGTTGTTCCACCCCAGTAGTAATTTGTATAAACTCCGTAAGAGAAATCCATCTTGTCTAAGGGTCCAGCATCTTGAGTCCTCCCTATAAAAATAATTCGAATTTTCCCTTCAAAGCGTAGACGGGAGCCGTTATTATTCTCCCTTTAAAACAAAGGGAAGCGGAGTGAGTACCTAAAAAACGAGACCGAGAAGGAGATGGGAAGGTCGGAAGTGGGTGTGGGGCCACATTTGCAATGCTTCTGAACGGGACTAAGAAGATGATGTGAGAGAAGTAGTGGGACACTCATTTCTCGTTGTAAGTAGCCTCAACTCTTGTGCCAAGCTTCGACTTGGCGACCCATCCACTATTGCACGAATTTCCGTCCAAGATTATGTGCTTCTTGCAACTCTTTTCGCAGCAGTATCCGACTGTGCAATGGTTGTTCGGGCAAACTCGAGTATGCATATTCTTCTCATTTATCCAGCCATCTGGGCAAGAGTATTCTCCACACTCGATTTAGAACTACGGAGACTTCTAAACAATATCCGGTCAACGACCAGTCTTAAAATGCTGCTGTAAAAACAACTGGAACTTTCACACGACTGTGTGACTCTGAAGACAAGTCTGAACAAGACAAAGGAAGGTATCTAAGATCGAGTTAGAGTGTAGCTCATTGAGTGCAGCAAAAAATAGTAGGCGCTGCACTTACTCGACGAGTAACAAGATAGGAAGTAACACGTGAAGATAGTTCTCGATAGTAGGTGTTGTACTCGAGGAGCAAGAACGGAAGTAACACGGAAGGAAGTGTCATCCACATGGGCTTGGCAGTGAGATAGTGACTGATTCAGTTCATGAGATAGTCACGTCAGATAGAATACGCATTGACAGTAGGGAAAAGTCGGAGGAAAATTAACCGGTTATTCTTCTTTCAGTCAGATAGAATAGGTCATCAACATTATCAGTCCACATGAGATACAGATAGATATGATATAGGTAGCAGGACACGCGGACAACTACGCTTCGCAGCCACACAGGACTCGCAATAGGTCTTCTATCGATCCGCTATACAATTCCGTTTAGATCTTAAGTTAACTCACAACATTCGGTGCGCTCGCAAGTAGTGTCCGCGCATCGTCCCGGTCGATTCGATTCCGCCAACTTATCTTAAAGCTTAGGACTTTATGACTTGTAGTTATGACTTCACTTATTAGGACTTATCTGAAAGGTAGTTGTAGCAATGTACTACATGAGTAGTAGTTCCACCTTCAAGCTGAAAGCAAAAGGAACAGCGAGATTATAGTGTAATTTGTAGATGTTTAGCACTATGAAAGAGTATGCAATGTGAATGGACTGAAAAAACTGGAGGAAACGAGGAAAGGCGCAAGTGGTTGAAAGCCAAATTATAGGGGACGAGTAGACTCCAAGTTGTTCTCTCACTCAGCGTAGTGGACGACATGATTGCCCTTCGTCCACTTAAGAATTCCCAGCTTATGGGACGATAGTGTTCATCTCATCCACTCAAGAACTCCCAGCGTATGCCACCATGGGACGTTTATACTGTACTAGTACTGAGTATTATTTGTATTTCTAGCTAGTTGAGTATTTTGAAACACTGAGTATTATTTGTATTTTCAGCTAGCTACGTACTGTATTTTGAAACAGCTAGAATAGTGGACTTAATTTTTCCAACCACTCGGACAGGTGTAGAGGGCGCAGTCACCACGATCAGAGCAAGTATTAGACCCAGTCTCTAGGGGTGGACTTAGCTCTCCAGTCTCTGGGACATCGTTAAATAAGAGAGTCACATCCAGGCTCTAGAAGGAAGAGGTTTCTTTTTGAAGCCTTCAAAAAGAGGCCAAAAAACCGCTGGTGTAAGAGGATGTACTCGTCGCGTGGGCTGAACACTTGTCGCGTCACGTGATGCAACTTCTTATCGCGTCCTCATGTGCCCTAGTACCCTCGGGTAACCCTGCTTCAGACGACTTGTGCCTTCGTTAAAGAAAAGCTTTCTTTGTTCACACAAACCTTCTTAAAGATAGCGTCCGCAAGCGAAGGTATGCTGTTCGGCCTCTTCATGTACACTTCTTAGAACGGAAGGGTTGAAGCTGTGAAGCAGATAATAACGAGCAAGCAGATAACGAGCAGCCTATAAGCTTTGAAGACCCAAAAAGTGGAGCTGGACACGAAGTAGATAACGAGCAACTCCTAGATCTACAACATCTGCAGGATTTTGGACATCAGCCAAGACCTACAACATCAACCTAGACCTACAACATCAGCCAAGACCTACGACACCAGCCAAGACCTACAACATCAGCCAAGACCTACAACAAGATCAGCCAAGACCTACAACAAGATCAATCCATGACAACCAGACAGTGGCTCACAGCATCTACCTATGATGAGTAGTGTAGACGTAAAATTCAGACTGTACGCCGCCCACGTGATGGGGCTCCGGATCCCCGTTCGCGTAATTGGTATCCCATTCGCTCCTGACGTAGCCAAAATTAGTGCTAGTTTTTCGCTGTGGTTCCTGGTTGTTTGAGTTGCGTTCTTTCGCTCATCTGGTTTCCCCTTTCCACTAAACTGCAAATCAGTGGCACCTCCCTCGGCAACGCACAGGAGCCGCTTGTGAAAAACAAATAGCCTTAACAAAATAGCAGTCATCTTGATAAAAATGGCCGCTTTTGAAGTATCTGAAGCACTGGCACCTCGGAGTCGAGTCACACACGTCTTTGCATCGCGCCACGGTTGTTGGTCCGTAAAACGCGGGGTTTGACCCATGGGGTTGGAGGTTCTTGAACATCGGATGGCCCAGACGCGTAATCCCTTGCACATTGTTACACTGGTAACCAATGTATTTCTTGCATAATTAGAAGAGCCGGCGACGTCTAATTCATGTATCAGCCGCAGCCCCTTCATCTTCCCCTTGTATTCTTCCATCAGAAAAAAGGGCACCGAAGAGATGCTGAGAAAGGTAGACTCGATTGATTGATGTACGGACCCAACATTCACTACTACATAGTACCACATTATTAAGTTTATGTATAACATGTCTGTGTCGTGTACTTACACTTGATTCTTGATTCGTGTACTACCTCTCACTTGTAGAAAAGCTAAGCCCTATACTGTAGAAAACCCTAAGCCCTGAGCCAGCCCTAAGCCTTAATAAGTGCACTTCTTCAATGGCAACCGTCCGGCGCTTCCTAGCGTCGTTACGGTGGCTCGCGGACAGAGCCAGTCTTCCTTTCGCTTGTAAGAAACAGTCGATGACGGTGCTGTGTACAACGGCGGTTCCGTATTAGCAAGTAGCGCTACCTCCTCGTTCATTCATTCATTTACCTGTTCGGGGGGTGTTGCCTTGTGCGAGGGGACACAAGTGCGGGCCACTTTAGTTCAATGTAATGGCACATGGCAACCTGATGGTCCAATTAGATTTATGCCTGTCGTGGAAAATATCATCAGGTTTGACATGCTGGCTGCTCTCTAAGTCTAATCTATAAAGTGCAACTACTATAGAATTATATATGATACAGGGACGCCCGCCCCCCCCTCAGCCCCTGTGGATGGCCCGGTGGTGGCGCTTGCGCACGCTTTCCCGCTCTGTTTTTGGCGGGTTCTCGCGGTCGAAGGCGTCAAAAATGGGAGCCGGATTCCCCTTGCGCCTCCCTGCATGTACCCTACATGCGTCCCGCCCTCTGCCGACCCTAGCAGGGAGGAGGCCGCCGGGATAGAAGTCCGCCGAAGGCGGCCACGGTCTCGAGGCCTGGCCCCTTTTGCTGGGTTGCCCTCATCAAATGCGCGACAGGGCGAGGCCCAGTAGGCTGAAGACCAAGGGCCGGGAGAGTCGGGGCAAGTGGGGATGGTTGCGGCCCGGCGGGGTTATGTCGGGCACAAGCCACACAGCTAAGAGGGTAAGCCTTGCCCCCTTTGCCGCCTTCAGGGCCTCCCCCCCGGCACACTGCCGCGGAGAGCAGGGGCCAGCACGTCGAAAGCCTTTCGGGCACATGCAGGCATCCGGAAAGGAGCGGAGGGGGGCCACCGGACCACCCTTGGCCCCCTTTTGAGGCCTTCCACCGCCCCCCCTGAGACCAGGCCAAAAGGGGTCCAGGGCTCCCGACCCCCCCGCCGTCCGGGGGGGGGCCGTGACCCTGGACCCTGGAACATATAAATATACCTCTACCGGTGCAAGAAGATGCTAGTTCATCCCTGTGCTACCAGACTTCGACTAACTCTTTCACCTAATCCCTCCGAAGAGGATGAGGAAATCTCTTATATTATATATAATATAAGCAGATAGTACTACTACAGCCTTACAATATATGATGTGGTAGAGGTAGTGGTAGCCATGACCCGACTATAACTGCAAACTGTACCTTGTTAAACACCACTTTCAATTCATGAAGTCTAACGCCATAGCGATTGGTTTATTGTTTTTAAAGGGATAAGATGTATTTGAGCAACTTTTCCTGGTCAGTTAGCCTGATGGATTTTACCACTGCCCCTATTCAATTCTGTACGCCCCTAATAGGCATGTGGGACCTAAACGCAGGACGAATCGATGTGACAAGATCTACAGTAGAGTACTAGACACTTATCAAGTCAGTGTGCCTCTTAACAAAGATGCCCCTGCATCGTCTATGAAAAAGTGTGCCTCTTATCAAAAACCTCCAATCACAAAGATGGAGGACTCATCAAAACAAAAATTTAGATATAGAATTCAGATACTAACTTGGCCTTAACAACAGGTGGATTTTGCACCGAATGACTCATCCAAAAGCCCCACTTCGTCGTTTCCGTTGCATGTTGTTCCACGGTAAAGCAGAAACACCTATGCGGGTAGCGGTCACAGCTTTCAAACGCAGTGGCAACTGCATCGCTTTTCTTAGAGAAGACTGGAGACACGGCTCACAACTATTATCTTTGCTGGTCGAGGTTCATCGACTGCATCACCAGCATCATCATTATGATCATCATCGTCGCCTCATTGCACGGCCACTCTTCACTATCAATTTGTTTTCGCTAGAGTAGGGCTTGCTCAGTGATGGAGGATTGCCTCCCCACGTCAATTACAACTACCTCTCTCGCCTCCCGGTTAGCCTGCTTGCACCGAACACTCTTTACTAGTCTGTAGTTATCAATCTGTAGCTATCGGTTGAGTGATGGATTCCCTCGCCATCAAGTCAGCCACAGCTTCTATCTCTGGTGGCTGAATAAATTACTCCCTTCGATGATTCCTGGGCCCACCCTTAGAATCAGTTCCACAGTTAGCTTCTAAGGGGCCGGAGGGATCCAGTCAAGGATTGATAGTCACACCAGATTAAATAGCCACGCCCCTATTAGTGTACAGTGGAAAGAAATGCCTAATAAATATTAGTACTTTTTTCTATTTTCTTATATTAAAATAAATATCATTAGGGCCTATACCTGACCGCAGCACCGGCGCAAAGTGAGGGCGCTGGGGGGCCTAGACTTTGCGGTGCAGAGAGCGCCGCACTAGGTCCGGCATAGCACCAGGGGGCTGGCGAATAAACTGGGTGACGGCTATGAATACGCTGGCCCCTAATCTATGGCTAGGCCAAAAAGGTAACAGAGCTGGTAGCTGGCTATTGCTAAGGGAGCTGGCTGGCTATCTGGTTTCAAAGCTAGTCGGCTTTAGCAAGGCCCGCCGGAACTGTCCAACAGGCTTGCCAGCTGACCATGGATGCTATGCATGGCCAGCGAAGTCGCTGGCTTTGGCCGTGCAGCCGCCACGCTAAGTAACGCCACCATGATGCGGGTAGCTTAGTCAGCTACCTACGGGAGTAGCGTACCTGCCTGCAGCAAGCTAGTGCTAAGCTCGCTGGCCATATCTGGCTGACTGCTGCTAATTTAGCTGGCTGTGGCTAGCTAGTCCCAAGCTAGCTGGCTAGACATGGCTAACTGCTGCTAATTTAGCTGGCTGTGGCTAGCTAGTTCCAAGCCAGCTGGAACTGGCTATGATACTCCACAAACACAGCGGCCCGATGCGTTTTTTTTTCGAGGCTTTTGCAATAGAACTGCGCTACAAGTGTTTCTCTAAGCCAACTGCGCAGCTGGCTTGGTGGTTTTTTTAGGCGTTGATCTGTACACTCATCACTCTCCACAGACTTGTTGCGGCTGGCTCCTCCGTTCCTTTCGGACAAAGTTACGACTTTCCGGGTCAGTTGTTCTAAAAGTGGCCAGCTCGAATGACTTATACGAGAAGACGCGGCCGCACTTAATGAACTTGACAGCGTCGCAAGGATGACGCGCTAGCTTCTTGTGATAGATAGAGCAGCACTATATTAGTACTTATATTATAAGATAAGCAACTCTTCTCAAGTCCCTAAGTAAGAGTCTTCCTTAAGGAAATTGATTTCCTTAAAGCGCTTCTATTGCAAAAAGTTACTATAGCTTTTCCTTAAAGGACAAGGATGCCCCTTGAGGAGGCTCCTTAATAAGGAAAAGTTGCTATAAACTTAGGGGAATGATAAGCCCTCCTTTAAGGGCCAGCGCCACCTCGTAAGGGCCTTAGCTTACTAGCTTAGCCAAGGCCAGCGTGCTAGCTGCTTAGCCCTAGCTAGCTGGCCTGCCTACCCCTTACCCGTAGCTACCTGGCTAGGTTAGCCATAGCTAGCCTGCTAGCAGCTCAGCCATAACTAGCCTGCTAGCTGCTTAGCCATAGCTAGCTAGCAAGGTAGCTGCCTGGCCATCACTATATAGCTAGCTGCTTAGCCATAGCTAGCTTGCTGGCTGCTGAGGCATCGCTAGCTTGCTGGCTGCTTAGGCATAGCTAGCTTGCTAGCTGCTGCGCCATAACTAGAGGGCTTACTAGGTAGCTGCCCGGCCCTATTTGGCTAGCAAGCTAGCTTCTTGGCCACGATAGCTAGCTTGCTAGCTGCTTGGCCATAGCTAGCTTGCGACCAGCTGCTTACCCATAGCTAGCCTGGTAGCTGCTTCCTTTGCGAGACCTAGCCCAGCAGCTGCTTTCTTAGCCATGGCCAGCTTGCTAGCCAGATCGGCCATGGCCACCCTGCTAGCTTAGCCCGGCAACCAGGGCCAGCCTCTTAGCCTAATTTTGGCCAGCTTGCTAGCCCCTCCGTGCCTAGCCTGCTAGCTTGGCCCTGGCCACTCCAGCTCGCTAGCTCAGCCACGGCCAGCTTGCTACTTTAGCCACAAGACTAGACAGCGACAGCCAGCCCGCTGCCTTAGCCATGAGGGGCGTCCACGGTATTCCATCCTGAACCCGCCGCGCGTCGCTAGAAGTTTGGTGGCTTAGGGGCTTGCGTCGTAGTCTTATCTGTCTAGTTGCTAACCTATGCCCAGGGCAGCGGGCCCCTGATGGGCCCGCTTTCTGGGCATGTATAGAATAGGATAGGGCGATAGGATAGAATGCTTCGGCTTTCGCCGTCCTTATGTATAGCTTATGTTTGTACTAAGCTGAGAACATGTGTTGTTTTTTTGTTTGTATTAAGCTAGGTAAGAATATGAATATGTATCCGAAACAACGAGGGATAGACATTGATATATGGTGACATTGTACTAGCCTTAATTTTCGACGAAAACGCAGAGGTCGCATGCGTGATCATCCAACTGAAGCCTAAACCTCTTGCGCACTTTCTGGCGTTGTAGGCGCTGCTGTATTTATGCTTTTTGATATAATTAGAGGGCGCACCCATCTTCTCCTTCCTTGAGTTACTACTTGCGCCAACATAATTAAAATCATACGCTTTGGCAGCTGGGCGCATCAATACAGACAAAAAAGGCCCAAGGGTCGCGCCGGGTTGCCAGTCAACTGTATGCGGCCGACTAACGAGCGGCGCCGCCGGAGAGAGAGGAACCGCCCCGATCCGGGGAGGGCGGTCGCCTGGCCCCGACCTGCTGGCGCTTCGGGTGCGGAGGGGATCCGCCCGAGCACCACGCAGCCAGCCCCTGGCCCTGAGGCCTTGCGAATTTTTCCAGGTGGCGCCCCCTGTGTCCAGTCACGAAGTACCCCAGGCGCAATCTCTCTGCGGCTGTCTATGGCCTCTGCCCGCTTTGCGTTTGCTTGCGCCGTGTCGGGCTAATGAAGGGCGGGCCCTCGCAGTTCAGTTGAGTAAGAGGACCCCGCTCCGAGCTGATTGCCGGACTACGTCACGCGGGCACATGCCCAGACTATCCGCCCTCGCTCGCGATCTACCATGCTGAGGCCCACGCCAGGTTGTCCGTGAATGAGTGGACATGTGCTTCAGTCATGTCTTGCCCTCCCTGGTCAAGTCTGAAACAAATCTTACACAGGGAACCCATCTCCCCGCAAGTTCGTTGCATTTTCTTCCCATACTAGGACTATATGCTCCTCCCTCCCGGTACAACTAGTATGTTACTCAATTAAACAACCACCCTGGCAAGCATAAGACCGCGCGTACGGCCGAAAAGTCTGCTCCTATCTGAAGAACGATACATCGGAAGGTTGTCATAGGCAGACCTCCAGTAACACTTCTACACTCACATAGTATCCGAACTAAATTTAATCAAGCAGTTTCACCCCAAACGAACCAACACCTAGTCCTCCAGTAACGCTTCTACACTGACATAGTATCTGAACTAAGCCCTTACCATAATCAAGCGGTTTCACCCTAAATCCTCTGTAGGTGGATTCTCTTACCAAAGGGAATACGTGAACAATTCGTACTCATCTACTAGAATTAGTTTAAGATGAAGCAGTAGCCGTAATGTAAGCGTCCTGCTTCATGAACGTGTTTATAGCCACTTCAAAATAGTTCTTGCCCATTGCCGGACCGAAAGGCACACACGTGTTCGGAGTTCCATCGTTATTTAGCGAAGCGTAGAACATCAACAATTTCACTGACACTTCTACACTGACATACCACTCGAGTGCGCCCCCGCGTTCCGCACCCAGTTGATCCATTCGCCAATCAAACAAAAAAATAATTATCCTCTTCACTTTATATTTTTTCTTGTTCAGTGAATAACTAATTGCTGCCCTTGCCCTTCATCGTGATTCCTAATAAAAATGAACTCTATTATCTTCATCACACCTCAGCGGACCTCCAACAAATAATGCGCTCACCTCTAAGAGGAATAACCCAGGAAAAATATTAACCCAAACACTGCGTCGTGGCACCCCTTGGCTTGAGAAAGACTTACCCTTGTTACGAGTGACCTCCACTCCTCAGTACTAGGAGCCTTGAAGGGAGCGGTAATATTATTAGTTCTTGGAGTAGTATTGTATAATTAATTGGAGTAGTAAATCATGATGAAAGAACTATTGTATTAGAAAGAGTATGCAGTTCTAGGAGCCTTAAATGATCTGCCCGCATGTACCTAAACCCGTGACAATTCAAGTACGCGTTGCAAATCTCCTTACATCGCGCAGGTGTTGCTTTGTAGTTGTAGTCTCCGACCTCTTGTTAGCGGTGCTCTATGAGAAGCTTTTGTATGAAGTTCCAGGAGTAACGGTAGCAAGTCCTAGCCTATTGTTCGAGCTGCTTTTTCTTCTCAAATCATATTGAGTGTTGCTTGGTGGGATAAACGACCTAGGCTATGAGGGATCATGTATGCTCAGAATCTTCGGGAGAGTACTTAATTCTTGACTCATCATCTTCTTCTTTGGAGATCATACATACTCAGAATCCAAAATCCTTCTTTCTACTCTGACATAGAAAATCGCGGTATTTTTCTAGATCTTCGTACTTAGTACTTACAGATCTTCTGTGAGCTTGCTAGCTACTCTGAGTGAGAAACAACATACTCTCACAGGATGTAATTAAATCGTATTTTTCTGGAGCTTCATCACCATGGCCTCCGCATCTCTGGTGAGCATTCTCTGCCACTGGCGAGACAAGAGAGTTCCTCTACATTGATTGGAGAGACTAGCCTATACAGTAATTGTCGTTTAAGTAGGAAGTATTTCAATAAATTCATAAGTAGATCAACATCTTTGTAGATAGATACTTACAAACCTTAATTTTGCAAGCCGAACCCGTCCATCATCTGTGGACGAACATGCTCCCCTGCAACATCTTTTACCAATCCGTCGACGATGCGATGGTACTCCTCCTGACACCACTGTGTACTTGCTTCTGGCTCCACAGTCGCATCGACATAGGACGACCTACTTCGTTCTTGCAGCCCTCCAACTACCTGGCCTTAGAGGTAGTTCTACTAGGCTTTCCCTACCAGCTACCTGGTGGAGTGCTGTGTGTGTGTGTGTACGTGTGTCTTCCCTCCCCCTTTAATAAATATAAATATTTATATCCACCTTACACTTACAGTTATTTCCCCTTTAAATCATGATAACAAGGAGGACTTGACTCCATGACTCACCATAGTTTGCATAGCGCGGAATTTAGTGCATGCATGTTTTAGTGAAAAACTAGCCTTAATGGTCGTGGTGCTCAAGAGGGCCAAGCGCTGGAACAACAGAAGACCCATTTACAATAGGCACTTCCCCCCTTTTCTTAGACCTTGCAGGTATTCATCTTGAAAGTCATCTTTTACGCGTTTTCCCCTTAAAAAAGGGGCCAAAGATGCCTCTGAAGATGAATTACAGCAAGCCTTAGTTTTCTCTTCCCATCGGTCGTCGTCTCTACTCTCTACGACTGCGTCGTCATGGTCCACGACAACGAAAGCTGCAGAAGCAGTAGAGCTCACCCTAATCCATCCTGAGATCCATCTCGGGCCACTCTTCCCCTCGTGGGACAGCTTCGAGATGCTTCTGGGGATGGATTAGGTGAAGCCTTAAAAGTAGTAGAAGCTGCTGCAGTAGAGTCATTTATTCTTCGCATACTTAGAGCCCTAGTTGTACCGCGTTCGCATCTCCTTGTCCTTCTTTGTGTACTAGAGTCAGTACTAATCGTAAATCCTATGATGAGATGCTCTCGGTTGCCTTAACATACTTTGTCGCCGCAGGAGAGCACCCTTTTCAAGCGGATCCCCGTCTTCTTAGAGCCTTCCGGAGTCCATCTTGAAAGTCATCCTGCTGCCCGCAGTCGCTCCTTAGAGGATGAAGGCCTCAAGATGCTTCTGAGGATGGATTTCCTGAAGCCTTAATCTTCATCATGATCTACTTGAAGACGCCGCTCATCTGCCATGCTTAGAGCTAACGATGTCGCGCCGTCCTTCGCTGCATCATCTTTGCCGCGGCCCCCATACTCCCCAACCACTAACAAAATAGCAGCAAAGATGTTGCAGCGAAGGATGCGAGTTGCAGCGGAGGATGCGAGTTGTGCCTTTTGTGGACAAGTCATGGGAGGATGCTATCAGCATCCTTTTATAGAAGGACAAGTCATGTGTGAAGGTTGCCTTAACCTAGAGAGATAAAAAATTCCGAAGAAGGTCGTTCTCCAAAAGCCCATTTTATAGACGAGAATCATGAGTCTTTTTTTAGCGAATAAGAACCTCGATAATCCAAATAGCAGGGATTGATGCAAGCAGGAGGTCATTTCGGTCGAAAACATCTTGGACATGTTTTCCTGATGCTGCATTTGCTAGTACTAGACTACTACGTCCATTTTCCCATTCCCTCTGACTAATAGTGGCAGTTTCATCTACTAGACTAGTTGTTCTTCACTTTTACTACCCCTTCTCAACATCTGGTACAAGAAGTAGTGGAAAAAATAGTGTGGTTGCCAATGCGGTAGTACCCAGTAGTTGCTAGTAGTTGCTAGTGGATCCTGCAGAGGCCTCTGTCCTGGACTCCGAAACACTAACCGAAGATGATAAAAACCAGTACTGCTTCCAAGCAGTGTACTTCGCAAATACAAGAAGGGAACACGCCATCTTGGCATTATCTTGCAAATTCCTGGTCAGAAGATTCTTCCTCCATGCTTTTCTTTAGTGTGGATTTACCAGTCAAAGTAAGGGCTTTTCGAGTCAAAGTCAATTCTATCGGTTCTTGTCTATAGTAATCAATTCTATTTTCAATATTTTCAATTTCAAATCGCTAATTTTTACCGCGCAGCTTATGTTCGTTGTCAACATTATTAGTTATTTCATCATTGGTTCCGACTTATTCACTTGAGCTTGACGAGCATCAACATCATTGACTAGCATCAACATCATGTTTTTAATACGGTATAAAACCAACGTGAGTATCTTCATCCCCGACTCTGCGGTCGATCGTTCCAGCAATCTATTTTTGCTTTCGCAGCCTCTCCCTCTGTCAGTGTCTTGATGTTCATACCTTTGCGTTCCGCGTGATCTTGCGCACTGCGGTTTTTAAAGTCCTTCACTTTCGTCAACAACTCCTTGCCTCCAAAGAACGCCAAAACTTTGACCATGAGTTCGCCTTGCGTTCCCTGTCCGACGGCCTCCAAGATCGACGTCCTCGCGACCGCGCCGCCCCAAGGCGACCACAAAACTTGCTTGCCCACGCGCTGGAGACACAGGAGGATCCAAGGGATGTCATTTTCGCGCACTCTCTGGACAAGTTCGGACTCGATCAGGCCTTCCGGGTATTGGGCAAAAGGGCGCCAGCCAGTAGTCCACGGTCTCACAAATTCACAGCGTCCTGCGGCAATATCTTTGGCAGCCGTTTCTGCTAAACTAGCTACGGGAAGCTTCAACAACGCCTTGCTGGGGTTACTACCAGTCGTGCTTGTGCTATTCATCTGCGAAAAAATGGAAGTGGTACTGTTGTTCAACAAAGGACTTCGAGGTGATGCACCAGTACCAAAGGCAAAGGGAGCATTTCTTGTATTAGAATTTGCTGCGCCAAAAGACGGTGAGGACGTTGGAGAAAAGAGATGGCCATTAATTGTAGACTCGTCGTCGTCGCTTGTTGTTCTCATATTTGTTGAAAATGATCCGCGATTGTAGTGGTCAGCAGTTTTTGGGCGTTCGTCATTCCCGCGACTTCGTTCCTGTTCGTTGCCACGATTATTAAAGTTGTTTCTATTATTCAGCAGAAATCTCACTCCTCCTCCTCCTCGGTTGTTGTCGCTTTGCCTCTTGGCAGCAGATGAGAGAGCGCTAGCGCAGGCTGTCTGTGGCCTCTCGTGGCCTTGAGGATTGGGCACGTGCTCGTCGAAAGCAGTAGTAGATTTGGTGAAGGGGATATGAGCTTGATTATCATGATCCTCTCTTGTACTGGAATATTCTTTCAGCGTGGTCGTCGCACTCGGAGGACCTCCACGTGGCATTTTTTCGATAGAAAACATCGTTGACGAGGTCGTACAAACGCCATAATGTTGAATAGGTAAGAACCTGTATTTTTCCTCCGTGAGATCCCTTCCTTTTCGCAAATAGGGTTCCAACGGGGCGTCATGTTGCAGAACTTCGCTTGCTTCACTGTGAACTTCACCGTGGGCTTCGTCTTCTAATCCTCCAGTAAAAACGGTATCATCCGGGTGGATGTCCTCGTTTTTCTTCGTACCACGACTAATGGCACAGCTTGTAGTTCTATCGCTTTTGATACCTGCGCGAACAGCACAGGATGGGTCACGAACTTGCTGCAAGTCTTCATTCTCGTCTTTCTTTGCCAGGATAGACACAGATTCGCTCTTCTTGGTCATATGACCTTTTTCAGGACATGAACTAGCGGTAGTTGTAGTTTTTCCTTTCGTGGCACTATATTCATGAGAGTCGGCTTTCGTGCCATCGTGTTCATCAGCATCTCTCCCAGTAGTAACGGCTTCGAATGCACAATCTGCCCTTTTGCCCTCCAGTCGTATCCATTTGCGCTCCTCCCTTTTAAGTATGCTGGAAGGGATCGAGTACGCATTTTCTTGTCCCACTTTCAAAACATCAGTCGAAGCTTCTTGTTTCTTTTGTGCAGCTTGCGGTTCTCGTTCATGATCTTGTACTATCTTCGTCAAGAATGATTGATGCCCCCTTGCATCTTCGGATAATTGATGTTCTTTTATCAACATCCTCGAAGATGCGCAAGCCTGCCTCCCAAGAATACGTTGACCATGCAACACTTCCTTCGAGGTGAGTGTGCCTGCAGTAGCCGGCCGTCGCGCATGATGTTTTAAGACTGCTGACCCACGCGGAGCTCCCACAATCTTGTTCCTTCGGACGAAAGGAAAATCATCGCTCGACTGTTGTAGTTTCAAGGAGTCATCTACGTTAATCGACTCCATGATACAATTGGACCTTTGTTGTGAAGGTGGAGGAAGAAAGGCGCGTGGAGATGACGCATCTTGTTTGGAATTGGATTCCATACCCATGAATTTATTCGACTGCATTCCACACCCGTATCCAGAAATCTTCATTTTCATAGGTACAACAGCATCTCCAACATTGTTCTTTCGCGCATCTGCCTTCTTCGCGGTCGGGGACAGTCTACCTCTCTTGCCGACTCCAGGAGCTGTGCCAGGTCGAATTGGCGGTGGAGGAAAGACGACCCTCTGCTGACTCCCGACAACTGCTGTCGCCGCTCCGCAGTGAAGGTCGTGATGGAGATCCTTGTCTTTTTTGGCACCGGCACTCGAAGAAGACACAGGAGTCCTTGGAGAAGAAAGCGGACGACCTTTTTGTACAGAAGTACAACTCGCGTTAAAAGAAGTTCCTGTACTAAACGTCGAAGGACGAACTCGTCGTCCTTCTTCGATACTAGAAGTAGATGGCCTTACCGGAGAACTAATTTCAAGAGCTCTTCTCTTTTGTCCTTCTCCCCCCTTGTTGCTATTAGCCGGTAGCTCAATGCGCGGAGAAAAAAGGTCACCCAGGTTCAGCCTGTCGTTCTCTACTAGAAGTGGTTCGTCTGGGCTTTCAATAGCAGTCCTCGGCAAAGAAAAAGGTCCAAGTGGTCCTTCACGATGATGTTGACCGGTTCTTCCAACGATGAAGGGAAATGGCCTAGGACTAGAGGTTGTGCTCCTATAATTGGCACCGGAAACGGCGAAGTTATTGTCTCCACTGGAAGCCGACGACGCGCTTTCAGCACAACTTTCAACGTCCGTGGTGGCTGATTGAGCATCATCAACATCGTGGTCGTCTTCCACCATAAGAAAGGGATCTTTGTCTTTCGTCACTAGATCGAGGTTTTCCATTTCCTGTTGTAGCACCATACTTTTAGGATGTCCTTGCACTCCAACAACACCAATTGTCGTATTTTTCGCAAGCTCTCGCTGCATCCTCGACAAGGATGCCGAAGTTTTATCGTGCAGAGCCCCCAAAGCAGGCGTCCGTAGGGTACGACCTCGCGCCTCGCGCGAAAGCGAACGAACGTCGAGTTGGAGATCTAACATTTTTTGACTTATCAAAAATGTGTGATTTATCAATCTGTGATTTATCAATCTGTGATTTATCAATCTGTGACTGAGTAGCTTCTATCGGCGTTGACAGAAGTGTCTCTTCAATTGGTCCTGGATACTGAAAGTTTAGTATCTGTTGTGAGGGTTATAGGTTTCATCGAGGACAGAGAATTATGCAGACGGGTTAAAGGAAGATCCAAATTCCATTTCGTTCTCAACAAAAGATAAATTCGATTCTAAGACTAAGATCTATCAATAAGCATATTAGGAATTCGGATTTACTTGTACCTCACTAATTTTTCACTAATTGTCAACTTGAAAAAACGATTGGGGCCTGCTATTTTTGTTTTATTAGAGTTACTCGATAAAGTTAAGGACGAATTCAATCGATTCGAACTATTTACATGACTGTAATTGACACTCCAACTACAGAGCACATGAACAGATTCTGTGTATTCTTTTTCACCTCTCAATAACCAGATTCTTGCAGTCTTCTCGTTGCCAGCTTCCTCCCATTTTTGATGACCGAACGTCCCCCTTATAAGTACTTTTTCTCTCAGTTATGTTACCGATGAACTCGCTGTATCTCCAACCATGCTAAAAATGCCAGCGTTGTGGATCGTTGTGATTCTTCACAATCGTGACTACAACAGAGAAGTTGATGCTCAGATACTTGGCACTTTCGACACCACTTAGTACTCTCTCTTCAACAGATGATGATATCTTGATCTTCACACCACCACATCCTTCTAAACAAATTTCTCGCTCTTCACAGATACAGATGTGACAGAAATCCAGGACCTCTAAGAACGCATTGTGGCTGCGCACATGCTTGTCTAAGGCCTCCGCTTGTCAACGTTTCACTTTTTTGCATGAGGTTGTAGTAACGTGGTTCCTTCATTTAGATTAACCGGCGTACTGGCGTCTTCTACTTTAGTTTTCTCATCATGCTCATCTTTTCGCGTTTGAAGACGATCGCTTTCTCCTTCATCAAGATCACTGATATGATCTTCACTAGTTGCGTCAGAAGAAGCATCTCCATCTCCTGCCTTATCTATTATCGCGATATCTACTGCAACGTTTTGATTTTCACGCTTCAAATTCGGTCTTAGAGAGTATGAAACAGTATCGTTCAGAATGAATTTACCCGATGCTGCGAAAGTGACTCGATGACCCCTTCCACATTTACCTTCTGGCTGAATGGCTCCTCCATTTTTAGTCAGCTGCACAATTTTTCCAGTGCGACGCCGGCTGACGAGGTTAGAGACAGCTAGATGATCGATGTTAGGGCTAGGGGTATGTTTGTACTAACTTCATGGAGCAAGATCTATTTGTATCCGCTTTCTTTGTTTACCAAACGAGAGTGCCGTACGTCGCTGTAATACTGTTAAACAGCTCTTCTACACGCTACGATGATGTGCTGGTCCGCACATCACAGTTCTGAATCAAAGTAACTATTTGTAATGAAGTATTCGAAAAACTGATATAAGCCAGTAACTGATCAGAATAACCGAGATACTGATGAGAAGAAAGAGTAGCCTTGGTGTTAAGCTACCTCCCTTATTTCCGTCAGTAACTCGGTTATTTTGAGTTTTCGAATACTTCCTTGCACCTCATGTTCAGGAGCCATAAAAAAAGCTGCCCATCCACCTTCCTCTGCTTGGTCAATCTGGAACGCACTTTCCGCCAGGGCATCTTCTGGAGAGAACGATCCCTCACCCTCCGTCTCTCTGGGCTTCGACTTAGAGGTGCAAGTGCAACCATATTTATTACCCACATTCCTTCATCCTCATGGTTCGCCAACTCAATGATATCCTCTAAGGAGTGGACAACTGTTGAAAAAACAGTCGAATGTAGCAAAATTCTGCCTATGATTTTGCAAATAGGATTTCGCCATAACATAGGGATTTCTTTCTGGAGTGATTGGTGCACTTCTTGGCCTTCCACTGTCGTCCAAAATCGTCTCAAAGGTACATTAGAGGATAACCAATCATTGAGCCAACATCATTGATCAGCAGCTTCGTGAATAAAAGAAGTTTCAAAATGATTCAGAGAACTAGTAGTAGAACCAGATCATCGAAAGAAGCGGGCCGATTACCTCTACAGTTTCCGATCCCACTATCTCTTCAACACGAATACCGATTGGACTTAGATCGAATTCAACGTCAAAAGCCTTAATCAAACGTCCTACGCTTGACACCTATTGGCGGTTTCGCCCATCTCCAGAAGGCTCCATCAGTACTGCTGCTTCTACTACTGCGTCTTGGACTTTTATTTTTTCCGCTACATCCCGTCGAAGACTTACTACTTTTCGTTTTCTCCCTTCCTCTATGAGGACGTCGTCGTTGATATACTATAGTCGTTGTCGTAGAGGATGAACCAGTCGTGGACGAGTCAGTTGTAGACAATGGACTATGAGTGCTGCTGGAGCTGGTGGACGCATACCCAGGTGTACTACAATGAGCATGAAGTTGTCCTCCATGCGTTGCAAACCCGTTGTTGGGAGGTGGAATGATGTTCGGAGTGAACGTCTTCTTCCTGGGAATCGTAACACGTATGCTACCACTACCTCCTGTCACTTTTTTGACATACTTATACGACCTCTGCGGTTCATTAAGATGAGTTTCAGAACGCGCATTCGGGTCTCCATGATGATGATGATGATGATCTTCAGAACGCCCATTCGCCGTTATTTGAAACTCTCCTGACGTTTTATTGCTGTTATCACCGTCATGTTCGTCGGAAACATCAGAACCACGAGTGCCATCAGTACTGCTCGTAGCAGCAGTACTGGTATTAGTAGTAGTTGCACCTTCCGCTTTCCGTTTGCTTTTTCCTTCGACTATGGTGTATTCCACCTCGTCACCAGGTCTAACCCAACGTTCTCGACATTCGCGAGTGTAAAAAAACAGCCGCTCCCCCGATGCACGTTAACGCAATATAGGATGGAGGAGGATAGGATAGGACAGGATGCTCCCCTGATTCACATCAAAGCAATATAGGTTGGAGGAGGATAGGATAGGATAGGATCATGGAGTAGAATAAGATACAGTAGCAGTAGACAAGGGTAAGAAAGGATAGAATAGCATACGATCGGATTGGACTTTTACCACTAGCTTTTTCTTCTACAAAACAAACTTCTTCTAGTCACTGTAGTCACAGAGAGGACAGAAGATCAATAGTCCTGAAAAATTTATCTTCGAAGCTTGTTCCAAACTCAAAGCCATAATGTTGGTGGAGCAGACCTAACTAGAAAAACAAAGCCGAGAAAACGGAAATCAGTCAGGTAATTAAGTCTACTACTGACTAAGCGCCGGCGCTGTCGTAGTCCTACCAGCCCCAGAGGGCTCACCAACCTCAAAGCGGGGCCGGAGCCCTGCGCAACGCCTCCAGCCATAATATGGGTGGAGCCAAGCTAACTAGGAAAAGTAAAAGAAATGTATGTAGATAAAATCTTGAATACGTCCTCCTTTCCAATTACCTTCAACCTCACAGCCATAATGATGATCTTGGATACGTCCTCCTTTCCAATCAGCCGTCAAGTCCACGATGATGCCTCTTCGCCTTAGCCCAGAAGCACTTGAGAATCCTCTTGGCATGCTCCTGTAGCACAGCAGAAGCGGCCGTCTCCTGGGCGAAAAGTTCATCTCTGCTGCAGGTGAGTTAGAAATTCAAATCGTTATCAATCCTGGCGATTTCTACTTTGGTGTTGGTACATGAAAAAAAAAAAGAGCCTTGATGCCCTGGTTAGGATATCAGCTGGTTGCCGAACCTTTCTAGGTTTTTCTTATGCTAGAATACATGGAAGTGCAAGTAAGTGCATTTTTACAGCTGGAGGTACTGTTTGCCCCGTTACAAATGAAATGTACAAGTCTGAGAGGTTTTGCTACGTCGCGGCACATCAAGCTATGCAGACTAGTTCCAAAGCAAAAGTCAAAACCACTAGTTCCAGTCAAGTACAACATCACACAGTATCAACCTAGTAAAAGACTGAAAAACAAGTAGCCCTGCTTTTCCTATTTCACATCTGCATATGAGCACAACAAGCTGTCTATTCTTATGCTATTCCTAATTGAAGCCTTAATAACTAGTGAAGCCCTGGGAAGCTTTGATGACGAAGCTGAAGCTCCATTCTTGGATGCGAAAAGTCTCGGTCGGTCGAAAACTATCGGTCGGTTACTAAGAAATCGCGCTCGACGTCCTGCGCACCATGAAGATAGAGTCATCGTCATTTCTTTCATTTCTTAAGGGCCAAGTAGGACTTCTCCAGGTAGTAGGACTTCTCCTCTATTTCTACCAAGATGGAACACTGATTCGACGTCGCAACTACTTGGCTCATTGCCTTTTCATGATGATGCGAATCTATTCGGCAAGTTGTTGAGCTACAAGCTTCCTTATGGTGGACGGAGGAACAAATAAGTAGGCAAATGAAAAAAAACATAACTTTTAGACCTTACAAGAGTAGAACTCTTTGTGGAAATTATTCAACGGAAATAGTAACTCAACCGATTGTAGGGGGGCAATTCATATTCTCAGGAGCGGGGAAAACTCTCTCTCTCGACATGAACTGAATGGGGGAGAGTTAACATCTCACGCGTTGGATCCTTTCTTATCAATCAAAGCTTTCAGATCTTTTCGCATCAGATGTTTAACAACTTCACACGGACACTTTTCAATCTACTCGTGGCATTTGGATCATTCTTTCTGCATTTGTAGGAGCCTGAATCTATCGGGAGAACTGAAAGTTGCATTTGCTTGTGCGTATGAACACATAAAAACTATATTACCACTTCATTAATTACTTTGGCGGGGCACCCAACAAAATTTTCTATATAGTCACACTTTAAGAGAGTCAGGTGTTTAACACAGTGCATGAGCACTCGCGTCGTCAGATATAAAATTCATGGCGTTCCACGTCGGTGAAGCTAATCCGAAGCGCGAGAGCTTATTAGACGAGAGAACCTGGAGTGATGGCGTAGTAAGTGGTAAGGAGTGCATGAGGCTGCGAGCTGTCTAGTGCCACCAAGATAAGGCACTGTCGCCAGCGTGATGAGATGCAAGACCACCCGTCATGACGACAGATATCAGACGCGGGTCTCCCGGATCGGTCAGCTGCACCAAAATGAGAAACACAAAGACCGCCATAGAAGTAGCAACGTCGGTCCATAATTCGTGACTGTATGAGAGGCACAACAATAAAAGTGCTAGCTTAGGTAGCAGAAGACATAAAGCCCCCAAGTAATGCCCACATGAAATAAGCCGGCGAGCGAGAATTTTCAACCAAATCAGGGGTCCCAACACCGGCAAAAGACACTACGAAACCCACCAACAAGGCCTGCAGATAAAACAACAAATACCACAAACATTCTCAAACCACAACAACACCCGCGCCCAAGCAACGAAACAACAACAGCAACAACCTTGGCCCACCCGCTCACTTTTGCCGTCCGTGGCAAACAGTTGCCACACTGAACAGAAACCAAGGAACAACTACACACCAACGATCACGAAAAGCGTCAAGAAGTGGCACTTCAATCAATTTTGACAAAGCAAACACGATTCCGGCCTGCCAAGGATGAGCGCAACGAGCGGACAGTTCTACCGCGGCAAATGACACCACAGATTTCGAGGCAGGGCATACTACAATCCCACAGAACGACGAACAGCTCACCACGTCAGCATGCTCCACGGCTGCAAACACACAAACCCAATCGGCAGGGACACGAATCACAACGAGAAAACCCTCCCCGCCTGTGTTCATCTTGCGGGCTGTTTCCTTGCACTGCAAACGTCACAAGATAAAAGAACTCCGAAAGACTCCAACGGCCTTCCCGGTGTTCCTCTTGATAAGAACATAACAGAAAAAACCCAACAACCTAGAACGGGAAAACCATCACAAAGAAGACACGAAAATAACAGAAAACCAGGGACAAAAAATGAAGAAATCTGCTCAAACAAAAAAAGAAACGAGATCCGGGACCATCTGAAGATGGACACAGAAACACACAAAGAGAAACCACAAACCAACAGACAAACCAATAAAAACCAAAACACAGAAAAACAAAACGCGAAAAGAAAATAACAGAAAAACCAGAACAAAACAACAACAAATCGCACCAGGATAGCAAAATAACAGAAAAACACACACAGCCCGACCATTTTTCTGCTGCCCTGTGAAGAACCTCACAGGCACACACACACACACACACGAAAGAGACCAAAGAACAAAGACAAGAGACCGAAAAGGCGACAGAACCAACAAGAAAGAAACAAAAAAGACACCAAATAACAGAAAAACAAAACACAGAGACCCAAAAAACCGTTCCAAACCGTCCAAAACGATGAACAAATATAAGAAAACCCTAACAAACAAGGAGGATAAACAGGGAGAACGAAACAACAAACACCGGCAGGCACGAACACACAATCCCACTCGCAAGACCAACCACACACAGCAAACAATGCTACAAGATCTCTAAAAACAAAACAACAAGAAACGAAGACAAAAGAAAATAACAGAAAAACCAAAAAACTAAAGACCAAAAAAGCAAAAAACAAAAACCAAAGATAACAGAAAAAACCGGGAAACCGAACAGACAGAGGCCAACAAGAACAAAACCGGGAAGGAGCGTCGGGAGCTCAAGCCACGCGACCACACACGAAGCGGCAACAACACAAACACCACAAAGACTGAAGGACGGCGCACCAAAACCAGTAGGAGGGCAGGGGCAGCAGTGGGCCAGGCCTCCCCTGCAAGGCCCACTGAATGCAGGCACGCGCCGGCGAGAACGGTGCGCGCGCCTGCTGACGCCATCTCTGCTAAACACATGGAAGCAAACAGAAACACATCTGCACAGAGCGGCAGACTGCTGTACCCTGCGCGCCGGCTGTGCGGTGGGCATGGATTGCGGAGGGGGGCAGCTTATCCTTTTAAAAAATTATGCTAAACGCTAAAGGCTTAGACGCTCTCCCCTGTAGTGTTCCCTCCTATTGTCTTACGATTTACCATGTTGATTCGAATTTTTGAACAAGTTGACTACTGTTGTTATATTTACAAAACGAGAAATCAACGATGAGACCCCACGAAAGTCATCAGAATTGTTCGCATAGCTTCAAGAGGTGCTTGCCGTTTGGATCATTTACTCAAGTGCTTGCTCATATGGATCTTCATTGTCCATAAAAGGTCTGACAAGATCAGGAGCACGATCGGTCGATAGAGCTGTGCTTCTGGGCATGCAATAGGATCTCGTTGCGCTTGAGCTGCGTCGATGAAAAAAGACCACCACTAGCAACCAAGCCATGAGACGCTCACGCAGATTCATTTTTGAACTTCGATACCAATGAAGACGATTCGACAGGAAGCATTCGGCCTTCATTCAAAATCAATTTTTTACTAGATCCCATGCGCCGTTTGTTGAAGTCAACACTAGAAAAGCAAGTGCCAAAGCCTCAGAAACAACCTCATTTGATTTCTAGGGCAAGAGCACGAATCAACAGGAAGCCGGCTCAAGTGAGGTTTTGTGAGAGGGTGGGACAAGTAAATTGCCAGCCTGTGGAGAAAGCCCATACAAGGAAGAGTGCTTCGATGCTCGACTAGGCTATACGATACGATCAAAACCTAGAGTCTGTCCCTCAACAATAGCCAGCGTTTTTCTCTTCCGTTTTAAGTTTCTCTCACGCTCGTTGTTCCTCGTGCTGAGAACCTCTCCCCGAGAGTCTTCTTCCTCTTCGACAGAGCTACGATCCACGCGACTAAACTCCAATCTCAATCATGGTCAGTAGTTTCATACACACCGAAGTAGATAGCGCTATCGCCTTCGCTTTCACGCATTCGCTTTAATCATGCAAGCCGGTAGCAATCAATGGGAAAAGGCATTCTCATATCCTTCAAGTTACGATGTGCACAACTGAGAGGCCTCGTCGTCGATTTTGAAGGATTGCAGTATGATGATCCTGTAATATGGTTTCTGACTTTCGGCCTTCAATCTTCACGAGCAGCAATGCGGGGGAGGGTATCATAATCATGTTCAGTTTAGAACTACAAAAAAGCTGGCTCTCAGATGTTTCGAGAAATATTTCTTGGGGACTGTAGGACTACAGCGAACTACTTATGATTCCGTATTAAGTTGCGCCATATGTTGAGCTTCATTCTTGGAATTCATCAGCGGCCCGTAGGGTATTTTAGTTTCTTGTTTATGTATGTCAAACTGGATACATCTGCTCCTTTTATTGCCGAGAGTTTTTCATGATTTGGGTACTGAATGACTAGCGACATCATCGTGGAAGAGTCTAGTATGTGAATCGGTATCGCAACAACGCAGGCAAGCTTGAAAGTGTGGCCTTATGTAAATACTCGTCTGTAAGGTGATGAGAAAGATACGCCGTCCATTTTTGTGTTGGAAAGTAAATATGTCATACACAGCGGTAAGCTTGTCGTATGGGGAAAATCATGAGTCGACTTTTTGTTACTGCCTCGCACACTCTAAATATAATGAAGGCACTATCTATAAAGTAAATTGATGAAATTGTTGCCCAGCTTGGAAAATTGTACCACAAAGAATTTTTCTTCTATTATGATCAAGATGGTTTTCAGATCTTGGCTACTTCTACAAAAAAGTAAGTACTTCGCAAATTGTTGGTCGTGTTCTATTATGAAGACCCAGCTCGTACTAGGTAGCACCCTCTTGATGATATGTTTCACATACAGAGCATTACTGCTCTAGGTTCGGGCTCCAAAAAATTTGTTTGCCATGATCATGAAGGAGCTAGCTTGACCTGTGTACTGAATCAGTAATAGCTAAGCACCTCACTGCTTCAGCAACAGAAATAAGAGAAGGACACTAAGTGATTAGTATGGAAATGATAGAAAACCACACGTAGTTCTATTTCTATAGTAAATAGTTAAAAGCTGGCTACGATTTCACAAGTGCATGTCTATCCTCATGAGTAAAGTACTGTGCTGAACTTCCCAAAAAATACATACTACACCTACGACTTTTCATGTTTCGTATTCTCTTGCTGCTTATAACGCCTTCCCGCTCCGCGATCTTCAAACCAGTAGGGCCTCTTTATGTGGTCGCCATATCATCAGAATCCTCGCTGGGCGGGTCGTCGCCGTTCAACTCCGCGTAAAGCTCCAAGTAGTGCTCTGGAGGAGAGAGATGAGAGAAATTCCCGCCGTAAGTCTGAGAGTTCGTTGCATCTTACTGGTGATAGGACGTGACGGAGCGTTCCAGGCTAATAAGAAGCTTAATAGTGAGACCAACAGCATTACTATACGCATAGAGAAAGGATTTGGAGTGAGATTAAAGCAAATACCATCAGACACATTCGTGGCACCCATCAGCTTGCGCATTTTGCGGATCTTGCGGACACGTATTTCGTCGTCGTGGCCTGCGATTGCGATCGCAGCGATGCTCTCTGTAGTACTTCCTAAGCTCCTGATCCTCTTATTCGATTCATCTTCCTTTTCCGTTGGTGCAGCCAATGCAGATGCTGTCGTCGATGCCTTGTTTCCTGCAGGGGTGGCTAGAGTTGGAATTGAACTTGTAGGAAATTCATCTTGAGGAGGGGCAACAACGTGGGGCAACAGCGTGAGGCTCTTAGAAGCCGAGGCTGAGGTGGAAGACACGACAGGCGGGCGCTTTGAAGAATCTGGCTTGATCTTCGCTGTGGTAGTAGTAGTAGTAGTAGAACTACAAGCAGACGCAGCCATGTTTTGCAGGAGCTGTTTCTTCGCATCCTGAACTGATGTAGATTCCTGCCCCTGAAGCGAAACGTTAGAGGTAGTAAGCGTCTGCTTCTGAAGAGGTCCAGCACTTTCTTGAAGTTGAAGGATGTGTTGACGTTGAGTACTAGAAACCTGCTGCATTGTAGTATCGTGCTCAGTAGAAACGCCTTGTGGATTCGAAGTAGAAGTGGTATGAGTTGTAGTAGAATGAGTCATAGCCAGATCCACCATCGAACGGTCGCCAGATCCACCATAAACGTCGCCAATCGGCCCAGCCTGTAAAACGTCGCCAGCAGCCTTGCCCATTACATCGACACTAGGGCAACCAATCTTGTCCGGAGTACCAGAATCCAAAATAACCACTTGGCCTTCGCCCACATTCTCAATCTCCATCGAAACAACAGCAGGAGTGGTAGGAAGAACCTGCTGAGAAAAATCCATTAAAGGTAGAGGAAGAGAGGGTCTTAATATTCACTGCATATGAGTCGCGTCGCATCCAGGATACTATATCTCAATCAATTTCAACAGAGAAATCAAAAACCCAGAACTATGACTAGTAGAACTTGTTGCACCACAATAATAAATATAATTTATTACCATACTTGCCTCAGCAGGCGGGCCTTCGTCATCAGTGTCGACGCATTCCTGTTTGATCATCACGCCATTCACAAAAACGGGAGCAGGAGGGACACTGTACGATGTGGGTGTCGTGTGAAGAGTAGTGTTTTGGTTCTTCATCTTCGTTTTAATCTCAGCAACAGCCGTGGTTCTGTTCGATTCCTCCACTTCCTGCTTCTTCGACTTCTTTTTCTTCTTGTTATCACTACCAAGAAAGCCGTCTTCATCATCGCACTGCTTCTTCTTCTTGTCCTTCTTGCTTTTTTTGGAGTTGTCTTCTTCCTTGTTTTCCTTTTCTTCATGTTTTTTCGATTTTTTTGACTTCTTTTTCTTGTCAGCAACATTACTGTCACCAGCATCTACTTCACGTTGCATCTGATTCGTGATAGAAGTGGCTGCAGCATCTGAAGCTCCTGAGTTCATTCCGGCGCCAATCACAGCTGGGCTTGCCGTAGTGCTGGCAACTGCAACTGCAGGAGCGGAGGTTAAAACAGGAAGCTGACCTCCTGAAGGCTGGTTAGAACTAGGAGTGGGAAGACCCGGCTGCGCTACCACTGCCGCAACGTCAAAAGAGGCCTGCGTCAGTGTTTGTCCAGCTGCAGCAGCACCACCTCCAGTAACAGGAGTAGTAGCTTGAGCAGAGATGCCTGTGACTTGATCTACCACATTCGTTTGACCAACTACACCAGTAGGTGCAAAATTGTCGACGCAAGCACTTTGTTGGTGATGTTGCGACTGTACTTGATCACTGATCTGGTTCCCGCTCACCAGATTGGCACTGGAGTGGTTGCGCAGACCATCAGCAGATGAAGCCAAATTGTTACTATTTGGAGTGAATGGCTGAACAGGTGCGGGTGCCACGACAACGCCCTGACCTCCTAAAGGTTGCCCTGCTGCAACATTTGCTCCCGCATTTCCATGCTGTAACACTTGCTGTTGTCCAACAGGCAAAAAAACGGCACCAGAAGAAGCAGGTGGAAGATTAAGGTTAGCTTCTTGCTGCGCGTGCAGAACGTTGATCCCATATTGATTAGCATGCTGTGCCGCATTATTGTTGCCTGTAAGCCCGTGACTCTGATGATTGTTGTTGCCGAGTACAACACTCGGAGGGGCTTCTACATGAATGCTCGGGCTCATGTTGGGAGGAGCAGCTACACTCACGCTGCCACCTGCGGCTATAACATTACTTCCAGCAACCTGCTGAGCCGGAGCAAGTGGAGGTAAGTTGTGAAGTAGTTGTTGTCCTGGATAGACGACCTGTTGTCCATTTGCAGCCATGGCAGCACCAGCATTATTCTGGTTCACATGCACAGCATGTTGCGGAGTGGCATTCTGTGGATTCATAGCGGCAGAGTTTTCGGCTGCCGGCGGAACAGCCGCTTGCGCGGGATGCACAGGAACTACTGGATTGTTGATGTTGCCTGGAACTAGGGGAACTGCCGGAGGCTGTGGCTGATGGATCATTCCAGCTTGAGGATTTTGGCCACCAGCACCAGCAACAACAACAAGCACAGGCTGATGAGGTGCCGCACCTTGTCCGGGGCCGGGGTTGATGACGTTGCCTGCGTTCACAGCTGCGCCGACGCTATTATGGATGTTCCCATTAACAGGTGGCTGCTCAGGATTTCCGTTGGCAACGCCGGCTGCTGCGAAAACAGCTGCGCCAACATTCTGTCCTACTCCTGCGCCAACAGCTGCGCCTTGTCCACCTGCGTCCCCGTTGCCAGCGCCAGCTACATTCTGACCAGGAACACCCGGAGGAGCATTCGCATTCTGCCCTGCTGCAGCCTGTCTAGGGTTGTTGTTTTTCTCACGATGACCTTGCCCCAGTCTGATTTGCTCCTGGTTGTTCTCACAAACGAGACGAGCAGGATTCTGTATACCAAATTCCGCCAGCACGTCTGTTGCGTTAATGTCTGCGTGGACGATATCGATTTGCTTGTCTGGGTTCTTACGGGTTTTCACGTCCAACAACTTCTCAAAAAGAATACTCAGCTCCTTGAAATCGTTGCAAAAAAATTCCAAACATCGCACCAAGTTATCTTCTGAAAGTGTACGCGCGTCGTCGAATGAGAGCGCGTCACCTGTTGAAGTTCAGCCAATCATTCAGTCAAGGTTCAGGACTCGGGAACTGATAGAGAGGAAACAGGGTTGCTCAATATTAATATATATAACAAAAAGAATGCGCCGGCGCGGCTTCATCACTATAAATATCTTATAATGCGCACTCAAATAAAGACAACAGGACTAGGATAAATAATTATACCGTCTTCCAAGTTCTGCGCAAATTCGTCTTGCGCGGCCGTGAACCAATCACACTGGGAAAGCTTCTGAGTGGCATGTGCGAGAGATTCAATCGCCAGACGCTTGAATCTGTGGTCCTTCGTGCAACATTCTGCGGCTTGAGTCTTCTGGTGACACTCACTAACCTCGGCAGCAAAATCTTCACAGGCTTGTGCTGCAATGTCAGCGAGCGCAGTGTCGTAGATGGCATGCTCTAGTAGTTCAGCGATACTAGACAAAAGCTTATGCTCCTCCTTCGCCAGTTCCTCAATGCGTTCATCTAGAAGCACTGCCTTCCAGATGTCGCTGTCCATCTCTTTCAACCACTTCATACTATTCTTGCGCTGTTGATCGAAGTAACTCAGCCACTTGGGGCCCAGACTTACTTGTGCTCTTTGACATGCAAGGCGGACTTCTGCACCTAGAAAAAGACCAATTAGCTGATCGCACTTGCTGCACTGCTCGTAAGCAACGTACACGCGCTGGATAATTTGCGCAATTTGATCCACTTGCGCCACAGGTACAGGCTGATACGACATACGATCTGCTTTCTCCATTAGGTTGTTCGTGCCGTCGATCAATTGATTAGCCTGGAAGAGTGGTGGATTGAAAGGGACGTGTAGTAATGGCGATAAGGACACGATCTAATACACGAAAAAGGTACTCTGTTGCAATTCTTGTAGATGAAATAAACAAAATTTAGGAACCTGAGCCCTCACTTCGAGGATACTCTAGAAAAAGTTAGCGATAATACAAGCAGCTAAAAGCAGCTTGCTACCCTCTCACGCGTCATGTAGTGCAGCGATACTCGATTCTGTTTCTGTCCCATGTTGGCCTGATACTTCTTTTCTAGGTCGTCTGCTTCTTCTGTGATCTGCTGTAAAGCAGTAAAAATCTGAAAAGTGTCCCACTTCTCTTGCGCAATCATCTCGATGGTATGGTTGGCATTATGATCATCGTCATCCTCTAGGGCTTGGTCTCTCACCGCAACGCTAATCACCTTCTTTTCTTCGTCCTGCACGGCTTTGCTCCAAATCTAAATAAGAGGGCGAAGTTTATAATCAAGGAAAGGATGCGAATAAGTATAGATCACTGATAGATATCAGGATAGAAATAGCCCCCAAAAAGTTGCTTTCTCAAGGTAAGTTGTATCAAAAAAGTCAGACTTTTCGAGCTAAAGAACTACGAATATCGCAGATTATAAATTACAAAAAACTACTACTATATAATCACTACCGCCTGCAGGCGCCGCTTGATGTCTGCCATGATATCTCCTTCCTGGTCGGGTAAGTCATTTGGCTGCGGAGAGCCTTCATGCATTTTCAGCTCCTTTCCCATTTCATAGCCGAGCAAGTTCAACCATCCTCGAAGTCCGACAAATTGTATTACGTCCGGGTCGATCGTATCCAACCTGGATGGAATGATGTATAGATAGGGTTGACAGAAACAAGCTGCATAGATGGCGCGCGCTGCAATCTCCACTGAAAGTAAATTTTTACCAAACACAAGGTAGGAAAAAATGGTAGCTCATGGACATGCTCATACTTTCATATACGACTACATTTACAAAACAAGGAGTCACTTGTTTGATAGAAAAAGAAGCTGTATTATACCACGTTCGCAGATCCTCCGGTGTATTCTTCTGGAAAATAACTCCTTGAAAAGCTTTCAAAAAAGCGAGGGATAGTAGTTCTTTCTTCTCCTTGTCCAATAGATTCGCGCTTTGGTGTGATAGACGACGCATCTCCTGGCGGTGAGTGCAATAATGTCCACACAAATACTCCACAGCTTTTAGATAGTTCGCCAATCGATTCGTTTGCTTCAGCTTCTCAATGATCGACTTCTGTGGAGGGTGTTGTTGATTATGATTGAAGAAAGCAAGCACGATCCTGAATGAGGTGTGTATATTTACGAACAGCATGTAAAAATATCCAAAAAATTACAACTACAGCAACGGCATTGCCGTACTTCAGGAGTATATCCATAAATCTTAGAAAATGCATTAATAAATAAAAAATTGTATTTGTTAAATTGAAAAGCGTAGCCTTCTGTTTAAAAAAAGTAAGTAGCAAGCATGAACCACAAAACTGAAAACTTTTGGATATAAGCTGCTACTACCTAGGTGCAGACTCATTACAAGCTTCCACCATGGGAATGACATGCATAAAAAGCCGCACACGATCGGGGGCGATACCTCTGACGATGCGACCACCAACCTGGCCCCGCAAGGCTTCGACAATGATCAGCAAAAACAGATAGCCACGCCTCACGACTTCACGACGAAACAACCAACAAGAACCCAAGCGCAACACCCACCCGGGCCATCATGGTGAGAACACCAAAAAAGCCGGGGCAACAGTCGCAGCCTGCCACTGACAAACCACACCGAAACACAGCCAGACACTTGGCGAAACTGAAAGAAACAGAAAAAACCGAAAGCAAAGCGTGCAGGGCTGGCCCTGTGAACCCGCGACGCGCGTCCGTCGCCAATCAAGATAAGGAAACTACAAAACCCAAACAAAAACCAACCCAGCACCCAAGCCGAAGCACTTCCGAAAACTTGCAGACCCAGAAGCCTCTCCACTCGTACCGTCTGCGCCAGCCTTTTGCGACGAAGCCACTCCGCTCCATTCCCACCAGACGAATGCCGCTCATTTTGTTGCACTGCTTTCCGTCCTCTTCGGGCCGCCGTAGTCGCGCGCGGCACTTTCCACAAGCCTGGGCAAGAACCACGAGGCCGCTTGGTAGCCCCATGAGAAGCCCGGAGCCTCTTACGCAGTTCGCTCCCCGCATGGCATGAACTGCATGCAAAAAATGGCAACCGACGCCCTCGACCTCTGTAGGAAGTCCACGCGCCGCCTTTCCGCCCCGTCCTTATTGCTTCGCCCAGGATCGACACCGCAGCCCAGTCCGCGTCTTCGCTGTAGAGGTATTGCTGCTATACATTTCCTGCAGCATCTCGCGGAGATGTTTCGCGAATTTTTGCCACCTTGTTGCATGGATCCGCCCACCCCTCGAAGCCGGGGACGTCAGGGACACGCAACGACTTAGCTCCGTCGGCTTTAAATCTCCAAAAACGCACGCGGGCGCTGGCGCTTGGTGGCGCCGCTCTTCAAATTTCGCACACTGCAGCGCCCTGCCCCCCCTCTCAATACTCCACAGACAGCGCCACGCCTGCAAGTGGCGGCGCATTGGCTCGCGGGGCCCGCCTCACTGTTTTGCTGTTCACCAAGCGCGGGCGAAGCTGCAAGAGATAAGGAGAAACGGACACCGGCAACCGAGTCCCCAAGCGTTCCACACTGGGCAAAATCCCTACACCACTGCGCCCGAGTGCCTAGCGACTGCACAGAACACGAGCGCACTACCCTCCCCCAGGCAAATCGCAAGAGCACCTGCGCCCGCGGTATCCTATCACGCTGCAGCATGCAGGCGCCAAATGGAATCAGGCCCCCGCGCTTCCTCGCTCCTGCGTTTGCAGCAATATGAGCTACAACGAACTGCTTCCAAGCTGCTAAGGTGAAATCTGTTGAAAGGAAAATAATACGAAATAAGCCAAAAAGATACCACAATTTTTGCACGTTCCACTCCGCTGATGTTGAAGAGGTCGACGTCCTTGCTCTTCGCTTTCAAGGATTTTGCGTTGTCAACCTCGACGTTTCCCCCTGGTAGCAGGCGCAGCTGCATGTCGATTTTCTTATTGTTCTTCTCCCAGCGTTCTGCTGCGTTATCGTTGTTCTGGATCTTCTGTAGACTATCGACTTCAGCCCACTTGCCGTAGATCTGGACGGCATTGCGGTAGGTGAGGCGATGTCTCATCGGTTTCTTCAAGTCCTTGCGAAGCTTGTTCATGAGCGTCTCTCCTCCTGCGACGTTCGGCTGAATCTTCAAACCTTCACGAACAAGAAGATCAGCTCGGGCGTTCGGGGTTGAAGAATTCCATCGTTGTTCCGCTGTAGGGCCTTTAGGCTTGCTCGACTTCGACGTTGACCGCTTTGGGGTCGACAATTCAACGATGTCGTCATCCATTTTCTCAGAGCAAAGTACAGAGGAAGAATCCCACGAAAAAGCTGGAAGTTGTATAGACTAATTACTTTGAAAAAGATCTCACGAATTTAGAAAGATGGCACTCTAGGATCGTCAAAAAACTTGACGGCAGTTCCTTGTAGTTTTTTTCCAACAGTTGGACTCCAAACCTATAGGAGGTCCGACGTCATGCTACTTTTAATAAGTAGAGCGCAAAGAAAGTTACAAGTACTAGAAGACGTCTAGCAGAAGTCGAAAAAGTAACTCGCTGTGAATCAAGTACCAATCGCATGATAGAAAAACACTCATAACAACGCATGCTGCCCAGATTCCAGCACCTTCTACATAGTCATAGATGCTTTCCAGATTCGGCAACCCTCATTCTGAAGACAGGCACTCAATTTTTCAAGACGCAAGACACGTGGAAGACAAGAGTTAGCAGTTTGCAATGTATTTTTTTCAACATTCACACGAAACGACGTCGCCCCGAATTTTGAACACAGTGACAAGAGAATTCCCCAGCGATGCCCCGGGCAACACTAAGCATCGTCGCAGACGCGGATACTTGGATTATTTCAAAAAGGGAGGCAACCTTGATTTTTGTGTGCAAGTGCCCTGCAATTCACGAAAGCAACAAACACCGACATCGACATGAGTAGTAATAGTTTCTATATCAGACCTGTAAGTATGAAATAAGTCCAAAACTCAGGCTAAGACGTATTTTCAATTTTGAAGGAAGTCGTAACTCCGATAGATGACTTTATCGATTTTCTACGCAAAACATTCACATCAAATGGCACGAAAACACATGCAAAATGCATTTCAAATGCATTTCAAATGCATTTCAGATGGATCACTCTTAAATTGAAAATGGGCTACGAACTCATTTGAGACTTCAGATCCAAACCTAAAAATGCAAATTTCAAATAGAAGTTTGCACTTTTAGTTTTGTCTCACAAGTTTAAAACGCATGCTATCCTCGTTTAAAGTTTAAGAGTGATCCATTTGGAATGCATTTGAAATGCATTTGAAATGCATTTGAAATGCATTTGAAATGCATTTGAGTTACGTTGTTCATGCTCCTGCTTTTAACCAAATCCGCAAGATCGTTGAGTATATTTGAATTTATGCAAGACGTTCTCCAATAAAATTACTTTGAATAAAAACCCGACCTAGTCCTTTTTTTTCATATGCAGTAAAGTTTTTTCTTCATCTGAAAACTCTATCAAATCTTGCCACATGGTAGCTTCTTTGTCGTTGAGCTTGAAGTGTCCTAACTTATCCTGCTTCAGTTTATCCATCACATTGTTGAAAGTCTCTAGCCACTTAGGTATCAAATGCTTTTGGAATGCTTTCGCATCAAAACAACGAACAACAAGATCCGTCCGCAATGTCCAACCGGTGAGCCACGTCCCCGCAAAGCTAGATGACTGCTCCGTTTTGCCTGCTGACATGTATCGAAACCCCTTGTCAGAATCCGTCCACATTTCCATGCGCAGCCCGATGCTTCTGATTCTTGACACTAAATGAGGAGTATTCGCTGCAGCCTTGTAACTCTTCGCGTAGCAATGAACTGTGAATCCCAACGGAACAAGGCCATGATTTACGACAGAAGAAGTGACGCACTTGGCTCGCTGCTTGTCTACTCGCTGGCTTTCCGTAGCTACTACTGGCTTGTTCAAGGCTTCTGCAGTTGCTACACTTTTGGATGGGTCGGCACGAGCAAGAACAACAGTAGACTTGACGACAGAGGGCAACTGGCTTGGTTTTGCTTTTGCAGCTTTGCTGACTGCACGAAGGGGCATCGTTGTAGAAGAAGCCCCTGTCACGTTCATCATGTCCTTCTCGCCAAAGAGATTCTTGTGTAATTTAGCACAAGCCGCTTCAAAGTCCGCCCGCCTCTTGAAGCCACCTTGTCGGCGACGTCGTTCACGCTCTTCTACAGCATCCGTAACTATGGAGTCTTTATTGTTTGCCTTGTCCTCGTGGTTAACACTGACGCCTGACGTTTCTGGCACAGACGAGACAGGAGGCGGACCTACAATTTCAGATATGAAAAAGATGGATGCAAGTTCGATAAGGACCATGACATGGACGAATGTTAAACTTGTGCCATAAGGTAACAACTAAATACACAGATAACATCATAAAAATACCGGATCTAACGCCAGTCGTAGACCCCTCAATAGGTATGCCGGGGACCGGTGAAGGCGCACTTGCCACGGGGCCTCCACTGGAACCCGCGTCTGCCTGTTTGTTCATGTCATCCACGACACTGCTAAGAATGGAAGGATCCGGAACGCCAAATGCTAAAGCACGATCTTCATCGGTCACATCTGCGAAAAAATCGTCTAAAGCTCGTGTGTCAGGAGATGAAGTATTGTCTTTTTGCTTGATCTGTACATCTTCCAAGACACGTTGCTCCGAGTCCTCGGCCCTCCTATCATCCACCACCTTCAGGGACTTTTCAGCGACAGACGGCCGCAACAAACTAGCAGCTGCAGGAACTGCAGCGACAGATGTTTTATGCTTAGGCGTAACTACGAGGTCCTCCTTCTGATCAACCCCCGCTAGATGTCGCCCCTCGTCAACACTACTAACGCCTACCAGTACAGACGAAGCTTCAACTACTAGAGACGAAGCTTCAATTACTAGAGACTTTTCTCCTTCCAAGCTATGATGCAAAACCGGAGGAGGACCAACGCGCGCTCTACTAGTTTGATGCGAAGCCACAGTAGGATCGTCAGCAAGTAAGTCATCTTCTTGGTCCTGTGCTATTTCGTCGCCCTTGACTTGCTTCTTACCTGTTGCTTTTGATTTTGCTGCTGTCTTCATAGCCTTAGCTTTTACCTTCGCAGCACTTTTTTGTGGACTCCACTGCGCGACGCCTTTTGGTTGAACAAGGCCTCCTTCACTAGTTGCCTTGATGTGGTCTGCCAACTGTGGTAAGAGGTTTCTAGCAGCTGCGCCGTCCGTTGTTCTCTTGGACTTCATCTTCGCTTTCGGCTTATTCTGTGGCGACACTACTTTTTTAGTAGGACTGGTAGGCTTTTCTGGTTTCACGCCTCGCTGTACTGCAAGCTGCTCCCCCAGTTCTATGCTAGCACCTCCGTCCACTTCAGCACTCTGTACAATTTGAGCAGACCACACCTCAAACGGACGGTCATAACCATGAGCTTCATCGGTAGAAAAATAGTAGCAATCTGGGTCATCATAGTAGTCGAACAGCACTATCTCCTCATTATCGCCATAGAAGTTCGGAATAACAGGGCATCCAAGCCACATATACGGCTTTAGCAACACCTTCGCGACTAAAAACCCGGAAAGGCACGTTGGTCGAGCTGCATCTTCCTCACGAAAAAAGACTATGAGCAGCTGAGGCGGTTCCTTGTCAGTAGGCCAACTTAGATGATCCAACGCTTTTGCTTTCCGTTCTTGCTCATCAGTTTCGCTGTCTTCAGATTCAGAACTAGATGGAGCAGATTCTTCGTCGTCCAACGCAGACGCGCCAGGAGCTTCCCATCCTTGAAGCCGTTTCTCCTCTTTCTCCATAGCGTCCTGCTTTGCTTCGTCAGCGGTCAAGAACTCAGAGGTCGCGGGACCCGAGCCGGAAGTTGTAGAAGTAGTAGATGTAGACGCAGTAGTAGCAGATGTGGACGCAGTAGTTGTAGCAGAGCCGCGCCTTATGGATTGAGGCATACCACCAGCAGCTTTTTTTTCCTTCGGCTGCCATCGTTTGCTAAATCGACAAAGCAAATTCGTTAAAAAAGTTGGCTTTGCAGGTCTACTCCATCCTGGTGTCTTCGGCTTGATCGACTTCTTCTGCTTGGTGCTCGTCCCAGGCTTCACAACTGGATCAATATGCTCATTAACTTCTACTTTAGCTAGATCAAACCAGTTTCCTTCTCGGGGATGCAAAATTTCGCACAGATTATCAACCTGCATCTTAGGGTGCTTCTGCCTGTAGATGGATCGAAGCAACTGTCGAAATTTGATTGGCAGCGGCTTCTTCGGCAGTTGGTAGTACTGACAGGTTGCAACTTCTAGTCGTTCGCGATATTCTTTGAGGATGATCGAGCAAGGCTTTTGGTCTAATACTTCTAACTCTTCCGGCAAAATATCCCACTGCATGTTAACTACTGCGTGCCTCTCGTGTTCTAAGTGCTCCGCTTTCGCTGCTGCTACTTCTATCTCGTGTCTCTTCTTCACCTGCACGCTTTGATTCTTCCACAGTTCTTCTTTCTTCGCCTTCTTCGATAGTTGGTTCCTTGTTGTAGATGACGACCCTGCGAGAAAACTACGATAAGCATCTTTAGGGCCCGCGTACTCCTTTGCCTGCGTAGCCTCTTCTTTCCGTTGTTCTATTTTTTGCACGACGTGTGCAATTTGTTGCTCCACGCGCATCCGCTCACTCGACCACTCTGCCAGCCCCGACTCTACTGCAATGCGAGGTAGGCCCTTGTAATCTCGATAATTTTGTCTACGACTAACTCGACCTATGTACTTCTCGCAGTCGTCGGCGCAAGGCTCTACAACATTATCGATCACGAACCCAATTCGATCAACCAGTTCAATTCGCTGCTTCCACGTAGAAATCGCCAGCAGCTTCTGTCGAAGAGAAAGTAAAAACACGCTTCCCGGATCACCTCGGTAACAACACAACTTCTTCTCGAGTAGATGTTTCTGCACATAGTTTACTTTTGCCGCAAAACCACTAGACTCGAAGTATGCTCTTAGCCACTCAAACTGCGAATTCTGTCGCCCTTTGCCTCCATAGCTGCACCGCCAAAACAAAAGAATCTTAGCAACTGAACGAAGAACATGGATAGCAGCTCGTCGCAGAGAATCAACCAGAATGCGAAGCTCCAAAGATACGCAGCGAGTAGCATCCAGAGAACCATCGGAGCTGAAATCTACTGACGTGATGATGAATATTTCTTCTACGACACGATCGTAGTCGTGTAAAATACCGCGAACAAACTTCAGCTCCCGCTCCATGGCATCCAGCTGCTCTCGTTGCGAACCAGGACCAAAAGACAGCTGGACGGCATGCACAGCATCCATAGGTGCTAAGGTGAGCGCAACAAAGTAGTCAACTATTTGGGATTCCGTGAAGCTATCGACGCTCACTGCGGACGCTCGCAAGCCCTCCGCGAGAAAAAGATCATCTAGGCGGTTCCGCAGTATCCATCCGATTCCCAACCCACTAAGCCGCAACCGTCCTCGCAAGGATTTGCTCACCGTCATGTAACGGTTCCAACGAAGAACTACTTGGTTTTTGTATTGTTGCTCGATGTACTCTTCGGTAAGCTCCTTCCTCGCTTTCTCGTCTGATAACGAGAAAAATTCATCTCCACCATGACGGACGAAGAGACCGTAGTCGAAGGTTGGATTACCTGATAACAGTGGGAAAATATAACGTGCATCTTATTCTTTCATACTCATTTGTTCACAACTGGAATAGTTAAAATCAAACGGGACGTAGATTCATAAAAGCCTCTTACTCTATGCTCATCAAGAGTCTACTGCATATCCATATCATAGAGAATACTGACTGGCTCTGTGTTTGCTCGCATCGTTTCCGCGAATCTTTTGCACCCTACCAAACGTCGACCAAGAGAGTCGCTGTTCTTCCGAACAACCTGCTGCAAAATGTCTTGAATAGAACTCTTGATCTTCATGATACCCGTCCGAATCGATACCGCCTGCGTAGATATAAAACCAGTTGTAGGATAAGAAACCACTTTCGGCCAACTTTTATTGAGATACGACATCCCCTAGAGCTTGACTTGCAGATAATAAAAATTTGCTTGAGTATCAAATTACCAAGAAACTCAAATTAAAAAAAGGGCCTGCAAATATGATCGCTTTTCCCAGCGCTTCTTGCTTATTCCACACAAGCGTAGTAGTTCTTCAATCAGCTCCTCCTCTGCAGTGCCCACTTGGTGCATAAAGCACCGGCATCCAAAGCAAACGATTCTGTCCAGGCCAGGGCTAAGAAGTACGGTCATACAGGCATCAAGTATTTCCGCCAGACCTCCGGTGTCTCCAATAGGAACGAATAGAGCGCACGCATCCCGTTCCTTCAACTCAGCATCCAATGCTTGCAATTCATGAAGGTCTTGCTTACTGAAAAACTCCCCTACGCGATTGTTCCGCAACATCGTCGGAATGAACAGCTTTGCATATGGGAGCGTCTTTGACCGCTGGCGCTCCCCGTTCCCAAAAACACACTTTGTAGTTGTAGTTGTAGTTGTAGTGCTACTACTGGCCGAAGAAGAGGAAGAAGTAGCGGCGCTTCTCAGTTCTAGAGATCTTGCCCAGGCTTCTACATCTATCCTGGTGACATCAGGGAGAGTGCTACTATTTTGTCGTGCTCTTTTTCGTGATTCAATCGGAAACCCACAGATGCTGGACCTAACAAAATACTGCTTAGCAGATTTGTCTGCAACACCACCACGACCTCCCCGGCACCTCATGCACCGACCGCTCCCGTCACCTTCTCGAACAACAACCAAGGGTAAATCAGATCGGAATTTTCGACATGTTTCAATTGCAGCAGTAGGCGCAACGGCGCACAAACCCCCGCACAGGATCGTTGCTTGCTCTATCCCGACCGAGAGTCCGTTTGAATCATTATAACCGTAGCCTTCGGCGAACATGCCGGCTACTCGGTCCTGGATCTTGCTCCCATCTTTCGTAAGACATTGCGTCTTTTCTCGTTCTATCAGCTTTGCCAACATGTTTTCTTGACGAAATAATCAAACATCAACTACAATACACATCCTCATGCTATAAAATCCAACTAGTTGAGAAATATTTTTAAACCATTATAAAGCACTAGAAAAAAGCAAGATAGTAACACTGACTTTCCCCCAAAGTAATGCATTAAAAGCACTGCTTTAACATTTGTTCAATAGCACTTTTGGACTAGCATCCTCACGCTTTTTAGACTTGTTGCGCCCTCGTCGGTTTTCCATTCTCTCCTCTACAACTCAACATCAACAGAGCCGCAATCTTTCAAGAAGGTAGAACGTAGTGAGCACTAGGCGTAGCAGGTTTTAATTCCTGTTTTATCAGAGAAACCCATGTCGCACTTAGTTCATTTTTGCAAAAAAGACAATGGCTCTGTTCAGGAATATCAGAGGCCCAAGCGCCGTGAAATTCAAGATGTAGTCAGTGACTCACTGTATGGCCCCCTCTTACTTTCGTCCCATATCTTATCATGGCTCAAAAAAAATAGTCCTTCTCAAGAAAGTCTAACGATGTGTCCTGGGGACGAAGATAGTGCTCCTTGATCGTTCGTGCTTGTTATATATCTATTCATCTCAGTACAAAAATAGGCCGAGTATGTTCAGTGTGCTACTAGTGCTACTGGATCTCCTAGTATTACTAGTCTACTAGTACCTGCTTGATTTGAAAAGAAGCAGGATCATGCTCGTATGTCGTAGACTCCTATAAAGTTCATGGCTGCTACCTAGGATATACAAGGCATGGCATTCATTGAACTCAAAAACTGTTGCTCTATCCTCGTATTCTGATGTCGAATCTCTATGAAAGAATAGATCTGCTTTACCAAGCTACTTCTACTCGCGATGTGTAACTTAAGTAATACGCAAGCAAAATTTTAAAACAGTAGCGGGAGAAGATCGCAGAGCCCTCCCTAAGACATGAGTAATTTATTTCGTACCATGTGGATGCATTGTTTAATACTTGACTACAGCAAAGACCTAGTAACAACCGGAACTGAAAGCGTGAATCCATGAGAAGCTCTAAACTTTCCTACTACCTTAAACAATAATACACCTCTATCAATCAATTTCCTACCTCTATTAATCATTTTCATTACAAAAAATAGAATAGACGCGCGACAGTTTCGCTAAACCTTATTTCATAATTAAGGAAGTCGTCGACAATTTAAGACTTGATACATTGATCTGAAGAGCTGGCCCCGCGCAACCACCATGACTTCATGCGCATACTGAAACATAATCAAGTATAAATATCCATCGCGCCCGTACATGTAGACGTAGCCAAGGCAAAGCCATTAGCTTTTCACTCACAAGCGTCGCGACTCATTTTATGCTACTATGTTCTTCCTACACAACAATCAACTTGAGGAGCACACGCCAGCATCCTTAGCTTTACATGACAAGCGACGTGGAGCCTTTCATTCATAGCGATAACAATGGCCCAACTCAGAACAAAAAGCGAGGTAATTCATATTCGTAATTAAGCACTATGCATTAGTCATGGAAATAATCAACATAAGTCTTACCTGGACAATCAAGATGCACAACCAACAACATGAAAGAAACCCAGTCCGGACCCCAGATTGCGGAGCCTTGTTCTCTTCAAGATAGTCGGTCAAACGCGCACGGCTACTTTTCTTTCCCGGCGCCTGCAGTTATTGCATCAAGTTGAGTGGTCATCTCTACAACATACTGTTTTTTTAACTTTAATGGTAAACAAATGGTGAGTTTTTCACTGGTTGGCGAGGAGTTGCAAATGCTTCAGGAACCTCATTCAGCACCAAGTTTTCTAGCATCAGTAAACCTGTCGAAGCATACTACCTTGTATAGCACACTCGTTCGTTTTGCCAGCGATCTTCAATTAGAACGGAAAGCACTTGCGGCACCCAAAACAAAACGCGACGAGGTTGAGGAAGAAGAACTTGAGGAAGCTGAGCTTGAAGAGGATTTCGATGAAGTTCTTGGAAGTGTGTTTTTTGAAGCTGTTGCGCTCTTTGTTCCTGTTCTAAAAGCATTCGGACACGACGACGAAGAAGACGAAGATGAAGAACTAGGCGCCTGCATGTTACTACTATGCGACGTCGACGCGTGGTTTTGAACAAGTGCTTGACGAAAATCGTTCTCGCTGTAGCGTTCACGGAATGCAGCAACTATCGCGCGGCCATCATATGCGTCATCGTCTGCACTTTCAGCATCAGCTTCATTATCGTCTTCACTTTCATCATCAGAACTATCTCCTTCCCCCAGCCAGATGTTATCCTCATCCGAGGTCCAACCCCCCTTCATGTCGAAGCCTCCTCCCACACCCTCGCTGCCAGATGTATTATCAGAAGCAACAACACCATAGTACTCCTCAGCCTCCTGAACGAGGCGCTGTGGGATGGCGCCGCTCTTCCATCCATGCTCCTTGCAGTACTTGATGATTCGTTTTTTGTGCTTGTCTTTGTTGATGTCCTTGTCAGGCAATCCTGACCCGCCATGGCGTAGAGGACTAGTGATCAGATCATCGTCATCATTTCGGCGGTGTGTGTCATCTAGGCCTACAACTCGGTCATCACTTTCGACACCGTAGTGCTTCGCTGCGTACTTCCTGTTCTTCTCCGCCTCATCATCTTGATCATACAGCTCTAGTTGTTTTATCAGGTCTTCTGCAATCTCTTCGGCCTCCTCTAGTGTCGACAATTTCGGCTGCAGTCCCGCCTCCTCTGCGATGTTGCTGCCATGCCGCGCCATGAAGTCATGGAAGAGGAAGCTACTATTTTTCTTCATCATGTCAGCAACCTCGTCACGCCTTCGGTTCGAGACGACGTCTTCAAAGGTCAGCTGTGACTTGTACTTTCTCCACGCACCAATTACTTCAGACTCCCACACTAGTACTCTTAGATGTAGTTGAAACTTGTTGCGAACTGTTTCAAAGTCAAGCGTTTCCTGCAGAGTGCGACGAAGATCGTGATTAGTCCGGAACTGCTGAAGCGCGTGCTCACGCACTTGGTGGCGACGGAGATCTGGATCAACTAGTAGGCTAACCTCAGTTTGTAAGAGTTTCTCCTTCTCCAAGATCTCCTCTTTCCGCATGTACTGCGCCCCGAACATCTCCCAAGCATCACGAAGAACGTATCTGCACTTCTTGCTAAAATTCAAGGGCTTGTAACCTGTAACGCTGCCACTTCCAGAAAGAAGATGCTCTTTCTCCTCCTCCTGAATCAAGTTCTGAATCCCTGTCCACATTTTCGTCGCGGATTTCATCGGCATAGCAGGCCTTGCAGTAGATGGGAACCATTTATCCTTCAGAGAAGATGTATAGCAGGCATTGCCTTTGTCGTCGTGATAGATGACTTGCTTTTCTTGTTTTCTAGGAGAAGGCGCATTCTTATCAGATGGCTTATTAGGTCCTCGCTGCTTCTTTCCCATCTTCTTCGGAGGAGACAAACTATTTTCATCCTCCGGATTGCTTCCAACAAGAGGAGAGCTGTTGTTGATGTTCTTCTTCTTGTTTCTCTTCATTACTGCCATTTTCATAGACTTCGCCATCGTTTTACTAGTCGCCATCTCCTTGCTCATTTGTTCTTCACTGGATGTTTCGCCACCATCAAGAAGTGGAGGACCAAAAAGAATACCCCTTTCCTCCAATTCCTTATCTTCGAAATGCACCGGACTAGACTGGAAAGCCTTGTCCTGTTGCACTTTGGGACCAAAATAACCATCGCCCAGCAGAGCAGGTTCTTCAAGTGCTGCGGCTGTTTCTTCATCAACTGAAGCAATACGACGCAGTACCTTAATGAAGATAAAAGGACTAACAATAAGAAGGGTCCAAAATTATTGAAGAGAACATGTTAGATTTAGTTTTAAAGTCATAACTTTTGAAAAAATTGGAGCGCTATAATCTTTTAAACAGTTGCAGTGTAATAGTCAGGCTCTACTATAGTATTGAAGAAGCGTTGGCCTCTCAGTACATTCATGATATAAATGCCCTTTCCCGGTTAGAGTGTATCGTTGTTGAACATGATTCAAAGAAACCAATCAACCAACATCGACGTCACAACACTTCAAAAATTTGATACTTTCTACGCATAACAGTGTGAGAGTTGATAAACTTCCAACAAGACGAGGTAGTAAGTCACGCAACACTCAGAGACACTGAAAGCAAGATTCTAGACAAGAAAAGCTCCTCTATAGATGTATAAGTTAGTACATCGCCAACGGTGACGCTGAAAGTGTTCTCTTCCTCTTCGTCAGGCTTGGCGCGCTCGACAATACCGGTATCTTCGTTTTTATTCATTTCGTTGATAATTGCGCTACACTTCTCCATGATAGAGTCTCCCTTAGTGTCGTTGTTTCGGCGATACTTGTTTAAGACCTGTGCAGCAATAGAAAGATAATATAGCCTGGGCTTGGTAAGAGAAAGGAGATAATGAGTACTAATATACAATCGGGAGGAAAAAAATGGCCGCGATGTGGTCAATGAAAGTAAGCTTCAAGAATGGCAAGGGAGAAGCGCTACCTCTTCAGCGTCGTCGTCGAGGTTTGTCATCAGAGTAAACCCAACCTTCTTCCAATTCTTTTCGCCCAGAAGAGCTCGAATATCTTTCGACCGGCAGCTAGTGGGCGTCTTCAACTGGAAAGTAATAGGTTTAGTGAAGTCGAATGCAAGAGGCTACACACTTTAAGGAAGATAGATGAAGTAAATAAAATGCTAAATTTGTAGTTATTTCAAAACTGAAACAAAACGCAGGCTGTTGTAGGATCCTCAACGACTCACAGTCTTGGGCTAATGATAGAGACTTGATGATTTACATATCCGGGCACCCATCACCTCTTTCTTGATTTAAAAGCACCTCCCAAAGATATTCCCGCACTTTATCTTCAGGCCACGATTCTGGAGTGTACCGCTTCGGGAGTTCCGATAACTCTGCACGGATCTCTTCGTACGGTTTTTGAGGATAGCACCGCAACTCCAGATTCGCGATGTCCTTGTTCACTTTTTGCAGCGTCCTTCGTGCTTGCTCGAAGGTCTGGCGTGATGTTCATATGATAGATTCAGTAAAAATAGTTTTCAAAAATGCGACACAAGGCGCAAACTCTTGAAGGAGAAGACAGATGCAATAAGTCCAGAAGCGAGTGCTGCTACCTAGTAGTTCTTATCTGACATAATAGGAACAACATACAAGGATAAACTTGAATCCAATTCCTGCACTTTCTACTCACTACGGCATATGCTGATAATATGAACAGCAATCATAGCACTTGCTTTCGTTTTAACAGCATGATATTAGTTGGTATAGGTATGTCATGTTACCAAAAAACCCACGTCGATCCTGCCCTTGTAGTCCTCCCTGTCGCAATGGGTATGCTCAAGGTGATATCGTAACGTTCCTGGAGTGTCGATGGTCTTGCGCACGTGGCTCTCCTTGATACCAAAAAACTTCGCTGGTTCCAAGGTGTGTGGTAGATAGGTCCCACTGCAGTCTATATCCCAAAACTCTCCCAGTGTTGTAGTGCCGTTGACTCGAAACAATTCTGGCTGGTTTGGAAAAGTGAGCCAAGGAGGACGCTCGATTCCATACTTGTCATAAATCTCTTCCCAGGCTAATGAGTCTTTGCTCACAACTCTATGGAAGTCATAGGGAGGGTCCATCCTGATGATCAGGTAGTTCCTGATAAGCTGAAAAAGAAAACTAATCAATGCACCAGACAGAAGATATACTTACCGCCGCTATCTAGTCCCAATACTTACCGCCACTTTTTCAGCCAGTACGAAGGCTGCGAGTATCTTTTTGATTTTTAAGAATGTGAAAGCCGTTGGTGTGCAAGGATATAAATGGTAATCTAGGTGGTGCACCACCTTAACAAGTGACAACTTGCTAGATCAATAATGCATCGAGATCAGTAACTTACTTTATGGATATTCCCACACAGTCAGTCATTTATTGGAAATTTCTAACCTTGAGTAAGGACATACAAATACGAGGCGTTCAGTTGAGTTTCGTATACCAGCCACAACAACGACAGAAGTTCAAGCTATACATAGAGAATAAAGGAAAGAGCGTTAGCTCGTGAGCCACTGTGTGCGAAAGGCTGACCCAAAGAAACGGGATTAAGGACGAGTCACGCGATAGCTTGTCTATGTATAAGCTTACATGAATGCATGGTTTATCGTGATACAAACACTGAACAAACCACATCAGAAGTGAAGGAAAAGTTTGAGGCTCAACCACCTAGACTACGGCCCTGCCGCCTTCTCTCACTCTCACAACATGAAATGAACGCTCATTTTCAAGCCCTTTTTTTCAAGCCCTTTTTTTTCGTGCGACTTTTGTGCGACGGTTTTGAAGTACGAGGTCGCTGGCTTATTTCTCTAGGGGTCCTTTTTGAGAGAAAAATCAACGAACTTAGATAAGCACTCTGTCGCACTCACTCCCCGTTTCTCACTCTTTCTTCAAACCGTAGGCACGAGCTTTCTTCGTGAACACATTGACAGACTTCGCGTCTCTTGCTTGCTCACCAGCAGCCGAGTCCAAGAGTACTTCATGAGCTATAAACTCACATACCCAAGAAGAGCGTCACTGAATATCATCTGCAAAAAAGGTCACGAGATGAAAAGTGAGGAACGAAACACATCCACCAAGCATATCCTCGTGCTGATGTAGAATCTTCTGCGTCGTCAGTCAATGAATGCGCAATACCTCTCTTTAGTCATGTCAGAATGTAGGTCCGCCGTCTTATCCACACAGCATCAGCAACGCGTTCTCCGCCTTTCAGCCCTCAAACGTCATTTGAATTCTTTAGAGTGAAATGAGTGCCGAGAAATACGCACACGAGATGCGGCTCAGAGTGAAGTCTTAGCACCTGCGAAGACGCGCCCTGCCTACAGCATTCATGTCTAGCATCCCTTTTAAGTACTAGCATCCCGCGTTGCTTGTGAAGCCCTAAATACTAGCAATAACTGATATAGTGAAGCGCCTCCGGTTTAATTCATATTCGTAACTTCTTATTGGCGTGGTATGTAGACACGAGTCGAGCGCACCACCGGGAAGCTGTTTGCCGAGGGCCACGCGTTGACTGCTGCCGGTAGCGCCACAATTTTCTAAGGCTCAAAGATTGATACATCACTGGCAAGTAATCAAATAAGACCTGAACACCCAGAACGTGCGGGAGAAATAGAGAGACGCTGTAATGAATCATTAAAGCACATGGGTCAAATCAAAAACATCAAGTTTCCAAAGAAATATACCTGCTTTTCGGACGAGCAACTTCATCTAGTTCTGGTCGGAAAACTCTCGACTGAGAGAGCACTACCAAAACCAAGCCAGCTGGAAATCTTTGTTTTATTTCATTTGCCTACTCATTTTTCTGCATTTTCTGAATAAGGAGCTTTTAGCGTAAAAGTTGGCTAAGATCATTTCCCTGACAACGTTTTCTATTTCGACATGGAGAGCTGCTGAGTGGTCTTTGCTTACTTCGAAAAACTTTCAAGGCAACTCTTTTCTTCAAGTTGCTTCAAACTTCCAACTACTTATGTCGATCACCCCTCCAGTTTCTTCAGCCCAATCATTCGGCACAGAGTGATTCCTTGTGCCGATATTTTTCATGATCTTCCGTTCTCCTAGTATCTCATAAACGCACAAGCCCTTCTCTTGCCGCAAATACCTTCTTCGTACAGACGAGCGAACACTTCTTTTTCACTGCTATTTTCAGGCACGACCTATGTGCTTTCAACTAAATTCTATTTTTTACATCTCGTACCGAGGTGCTCCGAACCCAGAAGGATAATCATCAAACATGTCCAAAACATAGGATCGCTTCTCCGCATCTTCATAGTCACGGTAGTCGTGCGATGAGTCATGGCAATTCTTAGAGTCATCTAGTTGTAGTCGTGGTCGACGTGGGGAATGGTATTATCAAACATACCTACTCAACAAGATCTTCTAGTACTGAGATATTATTGCCATCTGCTCGTCGAGATTCTAGTACCAAGCATTTTCTACACCTCCTTCTTCACATGAACGTGCATCCTCTCAGACTATAATCGTGTTCTCTTCATCAACTGTATGTGAATATGATTCTATCTAAATTTAGAGATGGAGACTCATTACCACAATTTGCCGTAACATCTTTCGAGCTCCAAAGATTCCATATCCAGCTGCCGTATCCCTGGTTGTCATCTTCGTGGTTGTCCTGTTCTTGCAAAAAAGAAGTGGTCTCTGGATTCGCGTCAACACTTGAAGATGTTGTATCACTAATTGAAGATGTCATGTCAACACTTGTGCTTGAAGATGTTGTCTCTGTACTACTTGTCCTCCCATCTTCTGCTAAAAGAGAAGACGATGTTGACTGTCCTCGACCCTGTAGAGGCATAGGAACCTTTTGTGAATTAGAAGTAGCTAGCCGCTTTGGCCTTATGGCCGCAGGAGGAGCATCTTCTAATTCGAGGAAAGCTTTAATATCTGCCGCAGCCAGAGTCCCCGTCCCAGAAGAAGCTCCTGCCCCGTTACTATCTGCATCTCGGGGCGCTGCTTCTTTTCCACCACGTTTCAAAAGGTGACGCACTTCTGCATCTTTAGGAGGTGAAGGCGGGTTTGCCGCAGAGCTTGTTCCCCCTAGAGGACATGGCATCACTGGTGGGCCATTAGGTGGAGAAGCGAGCGCACGCGGAGGAGGAGGAGCAGACGGCCGCCGCTGTTGGGCAGCTGATCCCGATGCGGCTGACGCGGTAGACTAAAATTAGAGATACTGTCTCAACAACATATTTACTGCAACGTATGGGCCAGAACTGGAAAGGACCTGGTACCAGAAGGGGTGGGAAAGTAAGGAACTCAGCATAAGAGGTAGAGGCCCCGACAAAAAAAAAGTAGAAACAAAGGAAAAACAAAAGGCACAAGCCTACAAAAACAGAAGCCAATAAAGAGAACCGAAGAAAGGGGAAAAAGGTAGAAAAGGGACACCAATGAGGCCCGGCAAGAGCACGCAGCAAAGAAAAGGGAGAGGGAGTGCAGCTACGCCGTGACGCGGCTCGAGGAGACGCTACTCGGCAAGCAACAAGCGCACAATGAAACGAAGCGCGCCAGAAGCGAGCAGAGACAGAGGGACAACTACACCAGAAGCCGCAGAAGAGAAGGCGCGAAAAGAAGCGAAAAGCAACCAGGCAGAAAAACACAGACAACAGCCGCGCACTTGACTGAGTAATTTTGGTGACAGCACCCCAGGCGGCTTTTGAAACGCGCCGCGAGGTTACGAATCTCAAGCCGGTGACTCCAGAGGCGCCGCGGGATTACGAATCTCAAACCGGAGGGGGAGGCAGGGGGATCGCAAAAGAAAAGGACACGCCGCGAAGCGGTTGCCTGATAGTTGCCCAGACGCTCACCTCTGGCGGGCGATAGGTACTGCGGCCAGAGCGGGAGAACTTTGCGGCGCGCAAATTGGGGGAGAGAAACGAAAGACGCAGCAGGATGCGCCTAGTCTGACCCGCCGCGCCAGCAGCTCCGTGGAAATCCTGCCAAGGAACTGCGCGGCCAAGCGCGCGCGGCCCCCCAGCGGGTCCGAACGCGAACAAAAAAGGCAATGGGCGCCCGCAGTCGAGTTGGGAGAGCAACCCACAAGAAGAGCCAAGGGCCCCCTATTTTCCGGGCCCCTTCTGATACCGCGACCTAAGTTTTTCCCTGGACTACGTTGGCCCCAGGGCTTCCGGCGGCCCGGCCTGTTAAACAAGGGACCCCGCCGGAAAAATATGGGCCCGGAATTTTTGCGGCCAAGGTCCGCTTAAAGGGGAAAAACATCGAGGCCCTTATAATACAGGGGGCCCAGTTTTTCCGGTCCATGTATGTCCCCGTGGCTGTTCCCGTGGAGTCCCCTGGACTTCTACGGAGACTCCCCTTGCGATGCCTTACTCTGAATGATGACAAACAAAAACTATCCTTAATCGGATGGAGGTGCTAAAAACTCTCTTGGCTGCCGATGGATTCTTTCCTTCTCATTATTTTCCTCCTCTTTTAGAAGCTTTTCTAACTCCGCGAGGAGTTCTCCCAAGTCTCGCTTCTCACCGTCGCATTGCAGAGCATGCCGCAGTAAAGCGTGCTGGAATCGACAAATTACTGGCTTGTCCTCACTTTTACCTTTACATGGATCATCTGCTCTCCTCCAGGTACTCCAAGATGGAGGCGGAGCCAATTGTAGAGCCCACGGCCTCCTGTTGTTGTCTCTCATGCCAAGGTCATCCCATCTCTTGTACACGCACCAAGCATAGAAGTTGTGTAGAAATCCAGGCCAATGCTCCTTTTGTAGCGAATCTAGGCCCTGCAGGCCCAGCACGTCATCCCCTGGGCCCATCTCATACATCCACTGTTCCGCATGTTCTACCGCTCCTTTCTCCAGGGTTTCTTGCGCTGTGTCAAGTCCTGAGCTAGGAGCAAAGCAGCGGAGTGGCATCCGGTAGAACATCACTCCAAACGCCCACGTATCCCCCGCTTTGCAGCGCGCTTTTTCGTTTCGAGCGAGTCCCCAGTCTCCCGTGTTAGATTGAACTGGGTAGCCCACAGTGTCCGGATCCTGGTAGAACGGCGTTCCGACATCACTTTGCGTGCCCCCTACCGGAGCCGCGCTACCGAAGTCTGCCAATTCAATGGCAAAGCTTTTTGTTAGCGCTTGCAGGACGACATTCTTTTCTACACGGTTTTAGGAAAGTGCACAAAGGAACACTTTCCCAAAATAAAGCTAGAAGATTCTGCCGCCAACCCTTAACTCAGATAGTATGCCACCGTCTACGAGAACATTATCAGGCTTTATGTCGTTATGGGCCCATCCCGCCTCGTGAAGACCCTGCAAGGCCCTCCCTGTTTTAACTGCGGTCCGCAATAGCTGGAGAGGGGTCAGCCGCTTTCCCGTCTTGGGGCGACAAATATCGTTATCCAGCTCCTCCTTCAGACTTTTTTTCTTGTTGTCCATTTCGTAAACGAGATGGACGTGGTGCATCCACTCATCGGCCGGTCCTTCTCCGTTCACATCATCGTCAGACGGCTGTATGGCTGTCCTACTGATTGCAACAAGAACGCCGCGAAAAGGAACGCAACAGGCAGAGCTAAGTGCTGTTGTATAAAGGCCAATGGCCGCCTCGAAGAGTAGTATCAGCATACCCCGTAACAGCACATCAACGTTTGACTTCAAGACTTCAAGGAGTATTTTCTGAAAAGCGTCGTCTGAGATAGTTTCGGCTGAAAGATACTCATGTTGAAGCGTGTTCACGTCGACTTTAGGCCTTGAATCCACCTGTGGTCCATCGTCGTCGCTTGACCACGAGACTCCAAGGCGTAAAAAGTTCCCCTTTGGCGTGTGCCACGGCTTCCAGGCAGCTTCGGGAACGCAGGTCGGATCCTCTTCTATGTTGCAGCTCGCCCCGCCTGGGGCTCCGCTTCCCGATGCAAAAAAGCCCAACGGAAGAGAAAGGACTTGGTGCTTCATTGCTCGCTCGACTGTTGTTTCTTTTTCGCATAGCGTCTCCTGCGTTGTTTCCTCGCCACTACCGCGAAAGGATGTGAAACGTCGTCCAAATAATGGAAATCCGCCGCTTGCATCTTTAGCCGTCTTCTCCGAAGATATTTTCGTACTATACAACGAAACCCGTGCAAAAGCCCCGGATCCAATGGGTTTGACAAATACGCGATTTGCGTCTTCGCAGGTCTCCTGCAATGATCGACTGAGTACCTCAAGCTGGTTTTCTGCTATACCAAAGTCGAAGTTGCGCAGACTGCGAGTGCCTTCGAAATAGTTCCGTACAATCTTGCCGACGTCTTGAGAGTAAGTCGAAGTCCACCCTTTCCAGAACTTCCACCACGGCGGTCCCGGTTTGAAAGGAGATAGCTTTCTCCATGCTTGTCGGTTCGTTTTTCTTTTTTCCTGTTCTTGGAAGGTGTCCTCAGAGTATACATTTATTCCGTCATTGAAAATGTAACCGAGATCCTCAAAAATGAATTCGCCGTGACTGTCTGCGTCTATCCAAGGATATAGCTTTCTGCGCGCTCCTCGTTGGGTCGCCTTAGATGCAGAAGCCGACAAATTATAAGGCATCAGCAGAGTCAGCAGAACTGCCCAACGCGCTGCCGAAACAAAAATCATCGTCAGTGCGCAAGCTTTGAAAATTCACAAAAATCGAAATCGGATCGCCTTCGTGGGTCTCCGACACGGGGCTCCGAAGAGTCTTAGACGTCTCACATTCGCAACAGCTTCCTTCGTCGCGCGACGCAAGCAAGAACCAAAAGGTTTCACAAGATAGAAATAGACATCATATCATCTTCCAAATAACCGTTTCAAAATATGGACATTGAAACTCGAACTCACATTTCCACTCGTCAACAATAGCTTGACACTCCCGATTCTAGAGGTTGGGTATTAGATTTCGGTATACATCCATATCTCAATGTTGCTGCGGGTTCAACAGTTCGGAATCTTCGTTACCACAAATCCAAGCGCATCACATGGTACGGCTCAACAATTGCTGTGCCTTGATGAACATGCGCCTACATCCGATGCCGTCTCAACTGCATCCTTGTACTCACTACAACAAGAATGGACATGACAGTTCCCCTTCCCACAGTGAAGAGAAGTACTAACTTCCAGTATCTTATATATTCTAGAAGTATCTTCCGTTTATTGATTCGGTTACCTATGGTTGTCCTCACTTTTGATTACACTACAGACAATATTCTTGTCATGAGAGACGTCGCACTGTCATCAGTTTTCGAGAATGTCTTGAGACAGGCGTGCGCGATGAAGAACATATTTAGACCAACTTAATCTTGGAGTACACCTACATATCTAAAGCACGCAGTACAACTACACGGAGAACAAATCAAGATAGGAAAAGCAACCCACATATTCCTACTGAAGCCTTTAACGCAGCCGCATCCGTCATTCTAAAGTTCTTCCACCCCCCTTCATTCCCATATTACCCCTTCTAAACACACATGCTCATCGAAGCGCCTGTTGCAGCTGCCCAATCTGCTGTTGCTGAATTGCTACCGTCCCAGTCAAGTCCTGTACGCGTTGCTGCAATTCGATGATAATCCCACATATTAGAAGAGTCAGTCTGCTTTTAATCGGGGATCAAAAGAGCTAAACTACCCTATTTCATCCTGGGACTAGCAGTAGGGGAGTCAGTCGACCCTAACAATTCGTCCAGGATTTAGAAGAGTCAGTCTACCCTAATTCATCTTCATGTACATCTTCTCGAGGATAACGCCATGTCTGACAGTGCTGATTCTTGTCCTTTACGGCTTTACCACGTTCTAATTTAGGAGGCCCCTGAGTACTAACTTCGAACAAACTCAAAAATTTTTTCTCTACTAGAACTACATGACATCATCTTCCGGTCATAATTGAAGTTCCGCGTAGTCTACACCGTAATCGTTCTTCAAAGCAACGAGTTGCGCATCCTCCTTCTTCTTTCGGTTGTTAGAGGAGATGGATATGTTTACAAAGATCTCACCAGTAGAGTTTCCATTTTTTCTAGTAGCTGTCGTACCGCGATAGAACGTGCAAGACAACGGTAGAAAGAAGCAGCGCAAGCTAATTATCTCACGATGATGCGAATCTATTCGGCAAACTGCCTAAAATTTCCCCTGAAGTCAGTGATCATATTTCATTGTGAACTCAACAAGGTCAAGGTAAGCATATCAAGGCAAACTAGCCAGGTTAAAGTGACGCTTCGAAAAGCATCCTGATTCAAACATTAACAAAGTCACAAAGCCATACTGTTAAGCGCTTCTACCGCTTTTCTCCGACGCTGCTCGAAATCTTGGTGATTCGGCTTCAGTGGATTAGAGTTGACTACATATATCTTTGTTAGTTTTAGTGCAGGTATGTCTGTGTTCAGTTGACGAGCCCTCCGACGACAGATCAGATGGGTCTCAACAGCCATCAGGTTACTTACTTCCATTCTCAATTCTTTCTCTGATGAAAGATGAAACCCTCTCCAAAGTAAATCAAAATCATGGATCACCAGGTTACAATGGTTACTGTCGCAAGTAGTCCCTTAAGAGATGACCCTGACGCTGCTGACCCAGTCTTGGCTTCTATCAAGTCGTTGATGCCTGTCGTCATGACCGCACATTTCTCTAGGATTTTAAACCTCGGATACCGCAAATCCTCTAGCAGAGACACAATCTCTCGCTCGTCACGGAGGCAGACTGAAGGTTTTGTTGTGATGGAGATTGAGGATCGAGTTCAAGGTTCAAGGTTTAATGTCCACGGCTCCGCGGCCAGGCCGCGCCGTCCGGGACGAAACAGGCTCGAGTAGAGCCGCATTGAGTTTGAGCTGGAGCAGTTCTACTTTTAGATCGGACGAGGTGATGAGGTGATTTCGTGCACAGGCTAGGGAAACAGAAAAGGCAGAAAACGAGGACCAAGGAGAATAACCTAGCACTACGACTGTAGTCCTGTATCGAGAAGAACGGACACCTCCACAAGGGATCACCCGCGTTTATGGATACGATGGACAGTTCTTGTAGCGACGACTACTTGACCAAATTGGATATAATGAGATCCAGTGGTCAGGAAATGCATCGCAGGTATCAGGTAAGCACTCCGTTGCCTAATATCTCGTCAAGCGTATATCATCATGTGTCAATACAAGTCAGTGGTACCTCGTTTCCTTGTCTCAACACGTTCATATCATCATCAGGTGTCAATAGAAGTGAGTGGTACCTCCTTTCCTCGTCTCATCGACTTGGTCGCAACCGTAAAAAAGTTGGAAGTAGTCCTTCTTCTTCATGCGAATGGTCGAGCCGTCTCGCCTCTTATTCTTATGGTCGAAATCGGATGTCCAGAAGTGAAATAGAATCGCATCAGCGACACTCGGTCCGTGCCAGCCCTCAGCGCAAAGATAGCTTCGCTCAACGTCGAGTAAGCCGTAGGTAACGCCAGCACTTGCGAAAGAAATTGGGACTGTATGAAAGGGAGAGCATGTTGGGGAACATGTTGGGACAGATAGCAGTAAGTAGCTCGTAAAAGGACATCGGGAATGATCTATGAACGAGAAGAACATCGACCTTCAGAAGATGCCATCCATGCCGTGAAAGCGACAGGATGTTGGGGAAGATAGCAGTACGTAGCCAATGAACAAGGAGATTAGGACAAATGATTTACTTATGAACGAAAACAAAAGATGAGAAAAACGGCACTTATTTCTCTATCGCCATAAGTGTAACTGTCCGCACAGCTATGCTGGAACATAGCGTCAAAACCGTTCTGGTTGTCTGCAAATACGTGATCGAACTGCCTGTCATTAGAAGGTAGTCAAACCTTGACGCATGATCAAGCACAACTTTTACTCTAGCTCCGTACGATCGGTGACAATGGAAATCCTACGATCCTTCGTAGGACCTACTGGGTACGCACCGGCCCTACTGCTACGTGCCCTACAATTAACATCGAGCCTTAAATCTCAAGAACTCCAGAAAGAAGCGCAGTGTTCTCCCTGAAGCGCGCACAATTTAGAGGGTTGCGAAATCAACTCCACTTCAAGCCTGGTTTGTGCAGCTTCCTAGTCGTTTGCTGCTCGTCTGTTAGCCAGCTTCCTTGATGGATCTACGACTTCTAATTCTACAAAATTGTTGTTGTCACTCTGATCTACTACTAGTTCTAGACATAGGTCTCACATCTTTCCCTTCTCATAAACAAAGAAGACACCGCTGTTCATGCACAAGGCATCGTAGTGTTCCGTCACGTAGATGTCCGGCAAATCTTCGACTTCTTAGAAACCTCCGCTACATTTGATCATGTGTGCTTATTATATTATATAAAATCTATTATTAAGCTATAATTTTTCATCTTTCTAAGGTGCAAAAACTGTAACGCGCGCGCGCGCGTTACGCGCGCGGGTTACGCGCGCGCGCGCGTTACGCGCGCGCGTTATAACGCGTTACGCGCGCGCGCGTTACGCGCGAAATAAGGCGCGCGCGTTACATGCGCGCGGCGCGCGCGCGTAACGCGCGCG